AACAACCACGCGCCTGCATCTATCGCGTGCACGGGCCGCCGATGCCACGCGATTGAAAGCTCGCCGCTCGCAAGGGTTTCCCGGGGTAATAATGCTGGCGAGATTTCCTGCCAATGAGCTCGATCAGGAGCGCACACGGTTGGCTTTCCTGTCGCGAGCCCTCAGCCAATACTTGGCAGGGCTGGTGAGTCACGAATGCTACATGCCGAAAGGGTCAAAGCAGCAAGAAGCTGTTTTCTCTGCTACTCCGTGTCTAATTAAGGAAAGAAATAGGGCTTTCAAGTCCTTGACCTGGGGGTTCAGCTGAAACTTGCCCCAATGCTGGGTTGGGTGACAGCCAAGAACTCTCCTCTCAGTCCACTAACGGGTCACCGCAGCGGCACTTGTGTTTCTGCGGGTTGCCATCTGTAAAAACAGGTGGGTGCAGTGGAAAGGAGAATTCTAACTAGTTACCCTGATGCGACGAGAAGGCAGATGGCTTGTTCTGCTGGCCAACCTGATGCGCCGACTCACAACCATCTATCAAGTTTCCAGCCTACATATACTGATGTATAACTAACCTCTAGCTCCTCCGGCGGGGCCTTCGTTTCGGTGGATTGGGCCGAGCTCGATGCGGGCGCTTTGGACATCAACAACGATACACGTATGCATATCAGAATTTCTTGGAGAATATCTAGCCTCTCAACAAAACTCGTCGATATCGCATCTTGTCATGAAAGGAACGCAGTGTCAGGCCACACGCGCAGGTCGCTGATAACCCTGTGGGTTCGCCTGCGCGATCACCCGTGGGGATTGAAGCGAGATAGGGCCATGCCCAAACATGGAAACCTGCTTCATAATATGCAGCAATATTCATGCACTAGAGATGCTGGATTGACAATCCCTAGTTGTCAAGCGCCCCTTTGGTGCGTCCCATGTTGGTCGTGTGAACGAGTACGGGAAGGGCTGGCCGTTGACGCCTCTTGTACCTCACATCATCGAGGATCCTTCATGCGTGTCACCGAGATTCGGCAGTTTCGTTTTAGATGAGAAGTTCTCGCGTTGGAACTTGGACGAGAGAAACTCTAAGACATGCATATGCAATCAAGAGCCCACCAGAAGGTTGGCAGGCAGGCTCACAGATGGTACGACACTCTCGTAGACGACCTGGCAGGTGAGGATATCCGGCAGAAGAGTCAAGACTACAAGCGAACGCAGGCTCCGATCCCACTGCAGCAAATTGGTGAGAATGGTCAGACAGTCTAGCAAAGGTGCGTCACGACAGTTTCGCCATGTGGTTAGCGGGTATATGCGCACGGCGCTAGGGTCAGGGCCCGCCCGTATTTAGATTCTGACAGAGAGACTCGAAGCAGTCAAGAGGCGGACTGGACTGGACCACTCAACAAGGCTCGACCTTTTCTTCCGTACCTGTCAGTGCTTTGCAGCCGGGCTCCATCGCCGTCCCATAACTCTGGAACGGGGCCAAGCTTGCGACCCACGGCGGGATGGAGGGGACTTGCAGATGGCAAGGATTCCAAAGTTCAGCTCGCTAACGAGCCGTTTCTGTTGAATCGAGTAACGTTAGCTAGATGCAAGGGATGGGGGAATCTTGAGTTGTTGAGTGACTGAAGAATGTCCAAAATAGCCAACATGGTGAAGATGAAAATAGAATCTAACCGAATATGCAACCCTATTTGTCACGAGGAGGCTTGGGGAAGGAGAAAAAAATGAGGCGTCGCCGTGTAAGCCAGTCAGATTTCGGAGCCGGCTCTTTGTTCTTTTCGGGCGTTCTTGGCCCCATGGCAAGCCGAGTGCGTGAGCGGGCTTTTTTTTAGTTCTTCATGCTGGCCACCTTTGACACCAGTAGTCAACGCTTGCCGCCCCCCCTAGGAAGCCGAGGGCGGTTTTCTCGATCTTGCGCAGGGCGTCTCTCTCGTCCTCAGCTTCCATCGCAGCTGCCGTTGCACAGCATCGGCGTGGCGGCGTGGCAAAGAAGCAGTGACGTTTTCTCCTTCGTGATTGGCGAATTCGACCGTACAACAATCGAGAGAACGAATCATGACGAGCTGAATGCTGTATTCTCATTGGTCTAAAATCCTGCACGAGTTGGAAGGATATCGGCACTCGTTATTGGAGCCTTGCCTGAATAAGCTGCAAGGTACTTTTCTTCGTCTTGCTTGACTAAATATATGAGAGAGGTGCATATGCAGGCAACTCGCGCGCAATGTGGAAGCATTACGCATGCGCATAGTACCATGCTGTCTCCGTTTCCAGTAAGACGAGGCTCTTGGCCTTTTTAAGGGTTGGCCGACGCGATGCCTTTATTCGCAGGAGGGCAGCCCCAGCTGACTCCATCGACGCCTGTTCCTCGCTCCAAAAAGGCTGGGGGGCCCTTTTCGGTACCCATGACATAGAAGCTGAGGCTTTGTCATTGGGCCTTTTTGGCGTGGGTTATTCCTGGTCGTGGCGATGACCGAGGGGACCTCCACGTTGTTTATGCGTGGCGAGTTATGTGTGACGACGCGCTGCTATATACATGGAACTGTTCGGTAGCAGGGTCAAAAGGCCGCGATTTTACGGTCTCGTGTATCCTTATGCCATCACAATTCTGTCTTTCTTGGGCTGTCATCTGCCTCGTACGGACAGGCGAGATTGTGGAACGCGAATCTGCATGGCTCGTGGACTAGAACAGGAACAAGAACGACATCAGCCAGCCTTGCGGTAAACTAGCTGGTTGTATTTACCAGTAGCGCGCCTGCTAACAGAGTCTTCCAAGACGCTAAAAGAACTTGACAGATGAGGGTCTTGTTCCTGTCTTTGCGCCGAGCTCAGCAAAAGCTGACAAGCGCACTCGGCTGGTTGCGAGCATTCTCTACCCGTACGCTAGTTAGCGCATGCAGCAAGGGGAGAAAGGTGTCAAGCTTTTCCATCCAGGCTTCAATATTGACGCCACCACAAGTCTGAGAAGACGAAAAAGGTGTCGTTCTGGTTATACCCACAGTCGGATGGGTGCTGGGCACCACCACCACGAGCCGTGGCCCCTCGCACTATATTCTGAGCCAGGGGCGCGGGCCCTCTAACTACCATCGGGGGATGGATGGTGGATGGGCTGTCTGGAGGAGGAGAGAAAGAAGTGGAAGGGATGGGTGGCTTTCTTCTGTGCGACGGCGTACAGAACCACCACTCTGGGCAGTCTGTGATCCATGGGCGTTGGTGGCAACGCTCGATCGAATTTCTGTCTGTGATTGGTAGATATTGCCGTATAGAAAAAGCCGTCGTTGATACGGAACTTGTAGGACATGGGCGTCGACATTGTCTCTGTTCGCTCATTGGTATGCGGTGGCGAGCAGGGCTGCAGCAAATGACAAGCAGCAGCCATCGTGGCGACTGCGGTGGTGGTGGTTGGTGGTGCTTTCACTTCTCTCGTCATGCACCTGAACTTGAACACCTCCCCTCGGCTACCCCAGCTTCACAGGGTATACACGAAGCAGAGTGTGCTTCGTAGATTTGCAGCCACAGCCACCACTGTTTGCCTAGCAAGGTAATGCGGACGGTGGCATGGATTTTCTGAGAACCCTTTCAAGTTGAGGCAAAGACAGCATTTGAGTCCAGTAGTGTCCAGCTGGGTTGGTCCCGGCGCTCCAGCAGACAGAGCATGTAGAGTCACGCAGGGAGGAGGGGCAGTCGTTATATCCCTGTATGTGAACTTGCATTTGTTTTTTACTGCAGCAGACGGGCCCTTGGAATGACCTTTTGCCACGAGCTATTTTCAACGTCTTCTCAGATATTTTCTTTTCATCATGCTGTCCACGCCGAGCCTTGCGGCGAAGTTGGCGGGGATGACGGCCTAGACCAGTCACTGTGATGGGCTCTCTCTTCCCACTGAGAAAGAGGGCTTTCGGGACGTCGTTTTACTGGCTGCCAGGGCCTGGGTCCCCTGTAGCTCAGCCCCCTGTAAACTCCCGTCTTCACTGTGGCTCTTGACTGTGGACTGTGGCTCCTCCAGCCAGGGTCTGTCAGGGGAAGAAGGAGGGGGTGTGGCTTGACTTTTGCCTCACCCCTCTTCCCCATCGTCTTCAACGCCGACACACCCACCATCACCATCCATCAACAAGCATCACCCACCACAACCATGCTACCTTATCCACCTTGTCCCGGCCCTGCACGGCTTGACGGCCAAGCTTCGACTACTGCCACCTACTGGTACCTCTATCCAGTATGCCAGGCAACTGGCCTACCATATCCGCTTGCTCGCCTCGCTATCCCACCTCATCAACACAGACACTTCTCTGCTCGCCAATCCCCTCCTCAGCATCCCACTTGGCGCGTTTCCTCTTTTGCTTGGGCGTGCCAAGATGCGTCCCTGTCACTTTCACTCCTTTTCTCTCCACACACCATACCCCCGACCATCCTCCATCCATTCATCCATCCATCCATCCATCTTCAACCAACTACCCAAACCCAGCCGCTCCTCACATCTTGTATAAGTCCTCTCTCCTCCCCGCATGTATCCACCACTCTATCCTCGACCATTCCCTCTCTCTATTTTTTTTTGTCGCTGGTCTCTTGATTCTTCATGCTAGACTGCTCTAATTCTAGCTGGAAACCTGCCGTATCTGTTTGATCTACCATCACTCAATACTGGCATTGGCGTGTTCGACTCCCACCAGCACCTTCCTATACGACAGATCACAGCATGGCATTGCTCCTCCTACTCTAATTCAAGCACCTTGCTTCTCTTGCCGTATACATTGTCGACACACTTTCTGGCACAGAATTGGCCTGATCCAGCATTCGCCCATTCCTTTACGATTTCTCCTACACGACCGGCTAAAGAAACGCCGACACTTACGCCATCCGTCCGTCCATGGTGTCACAGCCACCGAGTCTCGATACACTTGACGCCAGCACGCTCCTCAAATACATTTTCGTCATATATCGATTCAACTCCCACGCAAACGCTGATATAATAACTTCTTGATACCCGTCGCTCGGCAGCTGCCTAACAGCCATCCGCCACCATGTCAACCGTCAACATGGCCAACCTGTGCCCTCCACCTTTCTTTGACGCGAGACTCTATCCCAACAGCAAAGGATGTAAGACCTCCTTCCCCGGAATACCTACTAACGACTACGTCCCTAACTAACACGGTTTCAGTCGTCGACGGGCGCCTCTGCCAGAAGATTGCCGACGGCATCCAATGTTGCCTGCCCTGCCCACTCACCAACTGGGTCTACCCGGACAGCTTCAACACCATCGGCACCGTCGCCAACTGGGTCGCCACCGCCAGCGCCATTTGCTGCCTCTACCTCCTCTTATCCTGGGCCTTCCTGCCCGTCGACAAGACGAATCGCCACTACCTCAGCATTTGCCTCACCGCCGGAGTCTTTCTCATGAACCTCGGCTTTATCGTTCCCCTCGCCGCCCGCCCCGAGCAGTGCTACGACCGCATCACCCCCCATGGAATGAAAACGAGTTCCGTCTGCGGTGCCTCGGGTGCTTTCCTCATCCTTGGTGGCTGGAGCGGCGTCATGTGGGCTTTTCTGCGCTCCCTCTCCCTCCACCTACAAATCTGCTGGCAGGTAACCGTCGGCCGACCTTTCATGTACTTTGCCCAAGCCGCGGGATGGGGCATCCCCCTCATCGGCATCGTTCTCGCACTCGTCTTCAGCGGCGTCTCGTTCCGCTTTGGCGCCGTGTGCCACATCAATCACGAAAACAGCCTCGCTGACCTCTGGATCCCGCTGCTCATCTTTGCCGGCATCACCGTCATCACCACATTTGCTACCTTTGGCTACTGTGTGAAGGTGTACCTGGCGTCTCTAGCCGACAATGCCGCCTCGACCGAGGGCTCTGGCCTACCGACCTACTCCAACAGCATCCGTACCATGACTCCACGGCAGGCATACCGCCGCGTTAAGCGCGTCATTGCGCTGCAGTGGCGCGGCATCGCCATCGTTCTCATCATCGTTGCCGACGTCATCTTCTTTTCTGTCGTCTTCGTCTTCCAGGATAACGTCGTCCAGTCCGTGACGAGGGACCCCAAGGTGGCTGAAAGTTGGGTGCTCTGTCTCATTGGATCCAGCGGCGACAAGAATAAATGCTTGAAAGAGGCAGGAAAGTTTGTGGTCAACGAAGCTACCGTTGCCGCTGTACTTTTACTGCTCGGGGTAAGCTCACTTCAATAGTCTCTGCTTTCGTCTTCACACTAACATCGTGATAGCTTAACGGTGTCTGGCTCGTTTTCCTGCTTGGTCGGCGATCCATGCTCGTCGGCTGGGTTGACCTGTTCAAGAATCTCATCGGCCGCGGCGATGGGAAAAAGAAAGAGTTCGTGTCGGTCGACGCCAGACTCGACGCGAAAGCTGATACACGTTCGTATGAGATGCTCTCGCGCGAAAACAGCACCGTGGTAACCCCGGCTTCGGCAGTGCAATACTCGTCAACGGACCGCAAGACGTCCCCGTACCATGAGCAAACATCGGCTCAATACCACGCTCCTTCGCGCTCCTTCTCGGCACCTCGCTCACCCGTGCAGCGGTCTTGGGATGCGCAGCTGACGTTTGCCAATGCGCGGTCACCGAACTCGCCTCCGCCCCCGCCGTCTCAGTCCCCGCGGTCACCTCAACAGGGCTTTGAACGCAGAAATCAGCCCGATAACTACGAGAGCATGAATCCCCTTGCCATGAACAGAATCTAACTTTTTAAGGTTTTACGCAACAAAAAAAGCAAACCAGGCGTTTTTTTATTTGTGACGTTGTCACCTTGGTGCAAAACACCGCCGCAAGAAGCGGCTCATACCCAAATGGTTTAGTTTTCGAACGCATCATATCATATGCCTTGAAACAAGCCAAAGAAAGGCCTAAGTCAGAAGAAGTCTCTGACGTGCACTTTCCATGTTCATTATGTATTTACTATAGCGTGGCGTTGGAGTGAATTTGCTCTTTTGGGCAAGACTTAATTCGCCTCGGTGTGATTAATCCTCATCTACTTGGGCTTCATGTACACATTTCTATTGTTACTATATAGCACTTTTATATCAAATCATGAAACGGACCTGCATCTTGGATCTTGGATGTCGCGAATGGAAGCCTTCATCGTCTCCAGTCGCGTTTGTGATTGAGTGCGCGGCATGGTAAACAGAAGAATGCCAAGCGGACGGCTCGCAGTCCACAATATGGGCGGCGCCCTTCGCATCACCGTATATTGGTGTTCCTACAAACACGAAAATTGATTGAGAGCAACCGTCGACACACGCGGTCAGCCCTGCTTTGGTAGTTTCATGATTAGCGGCTGGTGGGCCGTGACACATCTCAAGGTTGACACTGGATCGGGTTGCTGGTAACGAATTTTAAAAATTTATTTTTGCTGAATTATTTTTACATGGTTCCCAGAAAGTCATTTACTTTTTATATGAGCGAGGCTGGAAATGAGCGTAGGAAATGCCCCCGCGGTCCGGGACGGAGGAAGGTGGGGTGAGCACCGGCCGGATCCGTAAAGTAACAGGCCCGAGTTGGTCTCGTTCTTTCCTATCATCACTTGTGGCATATTTCAATATGAATGTTATCTTGCTTTCATCTGAATGTCTCTGCCGATTGTGCCAGCTGAATCTTAAGCCGTCCAAGCGCCGTATGACTCGCGCGCCGTGCTGCATGACGTCCAAGCCTCGTTAGACAAGTTAACGTGTTGGCCGCGACCTGCCGAAGCAGGACCTGTGCACCGTTCGTTTCCAAACCAGCCGCGGATTCCTCGACTTCACCACTGTCCCCGACCACTGCAGTGCCGTGACTGCTTTCCATGGTTGGCGTATCTGCGCACGCGATAAAAACCCCAGAGTTTGATCTAAAATGTGCTAGCAAACCGTCAGCTAGGGAGAGGCCTAACCAGTCCCGGCAGATCCGGCGGTTGCACCTTTGAAGCCATCAGTGCGCGGCACGTTCGGAAAAATCAACTTGGAACTCTCAAAAATTCTTCGATGGTTGGAGATTTATGAGTATTGGAATCTGAAAATTCGCTCACCACTTGAAACTGAGCAACTATTGACTCATGGCAAGTTGGCGGACAGTCGTGTAAGTTGTTGATTGGTGTCCCGGCCTCAGCTGGCGAGCTTCTGACTTTGGATGCAGGAATCGGACGTTTACCAAGTTTTATCCTTCATAATCCCGTCGATTTCAACCGCATTCACATCGCCGGCGACGGTTTTCTGATCAGAAGGCATTCGACAATAACTAGTCGCCGTATTGGTCGCGTGCTTGATTGCCCAGTTCGTGCCAAGCGCAATTGCTCAAAAATGGGAGCCAACGGGTCACGAGCTGCCAGGGGCAGTTCGCCCCAACATAATACAAAAGTTGCTTCATCATTCTCGTCAGCTTCCACGGAAAGACAAAGCGTCGAAGAGGAATCTGCTCGTCTACTTGCGCCAAGTGAGCTTCCAGTCAATACCACCACAGAACCCAGCCACCTTACTCCGCCCCCATCCGACGACATCGATTGGAATCCCAGAACCCCTTTACCGCGCTGGAGAAAAGGCAGACCTTATCAAGGCACGAGGCGTTCTCGGTGCATCATGATTGCGCTCATACTCTTGGCCGTCGTCGCCGTCGGCACGATTTACGTCTGGCGAAGAGAGGCGTGCCTCAACGCCCCGTGGGTGCCGGACGACGAGACGAACAAGTTTACCCAGACGCCGCTGCCGCCACCGTCCGAGCGGAACAGCATCCTCCAGCGCAAGCTCCCGCTACGCACGCGCGGCCGCTACATCGTCGACTCCGCCGGCGACCGGTTCCAGCTGCTGTCCGTCAACTGGTACGGCGCGAGCGACGAGCTGTTCGTGCCCGGCGGGTTGGAAGTGCGACACCGCGACGACATTGCGCGGACCATCCGCCGTCTCGGCTTCAACAGCGTGCGTTTGCCGTACGCGGACGAGCTCGTGGTGCGGAATCCGGTGATATCCGCGGAGCTGGTGGCGGCGAACCCGGACCTGGCCGGGCTCCGGGCGCTGGACGTGCTGGAAGCCGTGGTGGCGGCGCTGACGGGCGCGGGGCTGGCGGTGGTGGTCAACAACCACATCACGCGGGCGACGTGGTGCTGCGGCGCGGACCCGTGCGACGCCGGCTGGGCCAACGACCACCTCGGCGGGCTGTGCGCGGTGCGGCAGACGGAGGAAGGCTGGATCCGCAACTGGGAGGAGGTCATGGGCAGGTTCCGGGGGGACCCGCTGGTGGTCGGCGTGGACCTACGCAACGAGGTGCGCGGGCTCTGGGGCACGATGCCCTGGCGGAGCTGGGCGGAGGCGGCGGAGCGTTGCGCGGACAGACTCCTAGCGATGAACCCGGGCTGGCTGGTGGTCGTCGAGGGCACCGAGTCGGCCAACGACCTGTCCGGCGCGCGGGCCCGGCCGGTGCGCCTGAGCGTGCCGGACCGCGTGGTGTACTCGGCGCACGTGTACGCGTGGTCCGGCTGGGGCAGCTGGGGAGGACGCTTTGCTCAGCGGCGATACGGGTCGTTTGTGAAGGAGATGCGCAAGAGTTGGCTTTGGATGCTGGAGGAGGAGGTGGCGCCGGTGTGGGTGGGCGAGCTCGGGGCCGGGAGGGAGCCGTCGCGCGGCGCGGAGAGGTATTGGCGGAACTTGTGGAGGCTGCTGAAGACGGTGGACGCGGACTTTGGGTACTGGGCGGTGAACCCGAGGAAGGTGGCGAACGGCACGGTAGAGACGTACTCGCTACTGGAGGAGGACTGGGAGACGCCGGTGCTGGATTATCGGATGAAGGACATGGTAGAGCTAATGCAGCGGTGAGCCGGCTCTGATGCTGCGAGTTTCGAAATTGAACTTTGGAGAGACCAAAAATATTCTGTTATAAACCTTAGTTTGCTACTTTTGCGAGCCTTTCCTCCAGTCACGGGTTCCATCTATATCAATCAATATGCGAGGACAACCCCGCGGCCCGTTGACGCACATCATGACCGCATCTTCCCGATTTCTTCGCTCCTACATTTAGTCAAACTTGGAATTCAGCATCACGTGTTGTAAGAACAATGCCTTCCTTATTTCTTCATCGGGCTTATTGTCTGACAGGCGTCTGCGGGTTCGGAGTGCATATCCGACGCTATGCGACCTCATTAAGCTCGTTCAGCAACAAGTCGCGAAATCTCTGTCATTATTAAATTTCACTCGACTGATGTTTTCAGGTCGTCGGATCACAAATTATCTGACGCGACCTGAAGCCACCATCTACTGAATGCAGCAGGAGTCACCACTTTGACGCAATGCCAACTCAGCTGGACACTGGCCCTGCGCAGACAAGAAGGATGGGCAACTCGGGCCAGGACCGGATGCATTACTTGCCGGTATTTCTCCCACTTCCTCCTTTCAATGCCTCCGTACCACTGAAATCTGCCTTGTCCCTGAAAGCTCAAGAGCTAATCAGGCATCAGTGCGCGTCACGTCAAGTGTGACGAGGGCAGGCCGAAATGCCGGCACTGCCTAGTTGGCGGCCATCACTGCCGCGCTTATACGTTGCCTCCTCCGGCGGACGCTACTGTGCCATCTGCTTCCCTGTATGGTTTTTCACAGCAAGGGCCTCGGAACACCGCCAGCGTTCTTCACGCCCGTCGACATGAGAAGATAGTCAAGGAGGCCAAACCTCCGCGATGGGACTCTATGTAGGCTATCTGATATTGTGCGTTAGGTCTGCACTTTGAACCATTTGTGTGCACCCAGCCCTTTCCCGTCGTAACCTTCTCCCACTTACTATTGTAAGATGATGCTTCTTTCCTAGATGATACATTACATCTCTAACGGTATCGGATCGCTAGTAAAGCGATTGTCTTTGATACGACAACTCCTCTCGGAAAGCAAGTCTTGCAATGCACTGCCAACACGGACGAGCAACTTGTTGCTCTGCTTGACTACATGTTTGATGAGAACATGCCCTGCTCATTCGACCTTTGGATTTTGATGATCCACATCACTCTCCTACGAGATCAGGCGAGTACCCTCAAAACACCTGCCCAGCAGGCAACATTGCCGCCGACAATCCTGCATTTATTCGCAAAGATAGACAAATTTGACACGCACTCCTAAGCCAGGGAAAACAGTGTGCTTAAGTTAGAACTCACCCAAGAGGTCGGGCGCATCTTCCAGCTCGCGATCCGCTATGGCATCCTGACCCTTCCACGGCCCGCAGTCGTCTTGTGGGCACGCTCGGTGGTGGCGTACCCGACGCTTCCCACCACCGGCATCTACGACAGCGTGCGCATCTCCGAAGGCACCAAGTTGGTGGCTCTCTTACGTCGAGTGTACCCCAAGGTCGAGCACGGGCCGGGTGTGTGGTGGCCGAGGGTGGTCGCGGGCGTGGCCGTCGCGGACGGCGAGGCGGAGGACCGCGATTTTGTGGACCGGTGCTTGCTCGAGATTTGGCAGCACCCCCTCGCGGAACACGGGCCGCTCTTGGGCTTGCAGAAGCTGCGGAGACTCTGGCGCTCAGGCAGGACGGGTGGGAGGACCGACGAGCCTGTCCCTTGTTGAGCTGGCGAGCCACAGCGGGCAGTGTCGGACGGAGGGTTGGTCCGGCTTTGGCTTCTCTGCGGGGTGTTCGATGCGAGAGTGATGTCCGAATGCTTACTTTGTACGTCTCTTCTCGAGGCATCCCGGGTCGTGTATCTACCAAGTAGTATGTAGTCACGATGTAATATTCGCGACAACCGCTTTTCCACCAGCCAAGGATATTTGCAGGAACTTTGAAGCACTAATCTGAGATGGCTTCAGTTGAATCAGTACAATGCCGACTCTGGGTCAGGCTGTTTTTCGCTACGAAGCAACTTACATAGGGAAGCTATGTAAGTGGCAAACGCTCTCACAGTAACAATGTGGCGAGCTTGTAGCCCTAGTTAGTCAGACGTAGGTATGGAATTGACATACTTGCAGGCTTTCACGGGTAAGATCAAACTGAGATTTTTTTTGAGCTACGAAATTTAGCAAGCTACAGAAAAATGGAATAGATCGAAGAAAAGAATTGATAAAACGAGGAAATTTTCGTGGACTTTTCCAACTCTTTATCTTAGTGACATGTTTCGGGAGGCGCAAAATGGCGAGTGACGATGGACTGTAGCTTCCGACCCCACCCACCATCCCATAACTACACATCAACCTCGAGTTATTCGCCTCACAACTCTTTTCCGTCCAAGACATCACTTCATCGTATCGACATTGACGCTATCCAATAAATTTCATCGGCTTTTATCCCGAATATTACTTCAAGTTTCTTGACGACTCTTCCCACGTGCTACGCCTATCTTCCGACCAGTTCCAGGAACGAAAACACCACGTCTGACCACGTCTGACCACGGCCACATGGCGGCCAAAGAGCCCGACCCCCAACCGCAAAGGAAATGGGTGCCTGCTACAGTCGGCGTCTGCCACTGGCAGACAGCCACTGATAGGGTGAGAATCTGGCGATGATGCGATGATGCTTGTCGTGGCCGTCTTTAACATGTGGCCAACAAAACAGTTTGGCCCAGAAGCCAAGACAGTCATCCGGGATCGCGAACGAACCATGAATGACTTTCTGCTGCTGGGGCCCGAATTCCCACCAGAAAACCTTAACGGGAACAGCGTAGACGAGCGTTCTATCCATAGCATCATACCAACCACCCAGCCGTTTCGCAATAACTTGACGGCTCTCTCGCAAGCATACAACGTTTGCCGCCCCGGCTCTCAAGTCCTTCCACTCCATGCTAACTTTCTCACAGTTATATTTTGTGGCCTACCAAAGCTACATCTTTGTTTACGTTCCACGGTGTATAGTACGACAGAGACTACCCAAGCACCCTGATTGCCGGTTACGCTGCGAGCCAAGCAGCGTTGCGCGTCGAGCCAGAGGACATACAAATCCAAGAGTGCCTCATGCCGTCAATAACCTCGTCACCGGATTTCTAGGAAGCAAGGAAATTGTTGTTGCATGCTGTGACGACGGAGACGTCTATGCATACTACACAAAGGATATCGCCGAATGGATATCCTCACAGGACAATTCACTGCTTGCGCATCAAGCCGGTCCAACAAGGTCTAAAACGGCATCGACAAAGCCACTCAATCACTTCTTTCGAGAGAGTGTAGGGGAGTCGGCGTGGGGCTTGGCAGTCCACCAACAGTCGCGTCTAATTGCCGTCAGCTCCAATCGCCGAGAAATTACTGTGTTTGCATTTGCTCTGAACACTCTCCAAAATTCCAGCAACTTGCGCAAGGACATTAATCCTTCATTTGATGAACCAGCAACTTTTGTGCGAAGTCGCACCAGGAATTTCCGGATAATACTCGCACTAGGCTACAGAGCAGACAATCTTCCCAGCATATGCTTCATCGACGACAATAAAGGGGAAGCAGATAAAGTTTCCGCAGTCGACATTGATGGGACCGCCTGGATCTCCAACATATGGACTGCCAAGCAGCCAGTTGTATACATTGGACCGTTGGATCGATCGCTACGGCGCAGCGAGGAATCTTTTGGAGAGCCCTCACGGTATGTTTACACTTGCGTTTTCAATGACAGCACTAATGCCTCTGTTCCAGAGGTTGGGGAATTCTGGCTTTGCCTAGTGACAGGTTTTTGACCGTTGATACCGTGGAAGAACTCATCGGCGGAACACCCGGCACAATTCTCCCCGTGGGCAGAGCATGTTCGCAGCCAATGGCCGATGTTGAGCCCTGCGTTCGAGCCATACCTGAAAACCCCTGCCCCCAGATTCATTCAGATCCGGCGCAGAACCATGACCAGAACCATGACCCCTTCATGGCTATCATTGGGGCTCCAGCTACCATTGGGGCTACCTTTTGGGACCTTCAGGCAATAACAACCCTGGTTGAAACTGTGAACGGCCCAGTGGAGATGCCCATTGAGACACCCAACCTGGGGGTTGGAACTGCAAGCGCCGAGCTGGAGGATGTGGTGGACGAATCAGACGTACTAGGTAACGAACCCTTTAACATGGAAGTCGGTGCAGAGGACGAGGAAGACGCGGAGGACGACAATGGCGAAGAAGCCTTCGCCGAACCTTTCGTCGAACCCTGGGAATACGATTTAGCTGAAGACTTTTTAGTTGGCCCCGTTGATGACCAAGAAACCACCACCGATGATGCAAACAGCTCTTCTCCAGGAAGCCCCTTTCTTCCTCCAGGCGGGGTATGGACCGCGGTAGCATTGGCTACCGGTGCTGGCTCAAACGAGCTTGACACTCCGGGGGTGGGCAGCGAGGTCCCCGAGCAACAGGCGAATAATGGTACAGGCAATCAGGCACTAATGACAGGGAGCCAAGATTCTCCTTCATGGGGGAGTCAACAGGCTCCTTCATGGGCATTCTACAATTCAGCATACAATTCAGCATACAGAGATGTGGTGAGTGGGTTCGATAATGTCACGGAACGCTGAACTCCTTCTAAAAAATCACAGGGAGCGTCAAACTTGAATTGGCATGAAACGGGTCGACAGTTGGTTTATTATCCACATTCAGGCCAAATTAGACTTGTGCCGGAAGACACATCTATATTGGCAGATTTCCTCATGAGTCGCCGTCCTGTCAACGACTCTATCTGTAGCAGCCTTGGCACTCTGGGTTCTACTTCAAGGGGCTATCATCTTGTGCGCGCCTATGAGAAGGATTTGGAGATGAGAGCCCTTGAAGACATGGATGTCGGTGGTCAGAGGGAAATTGGCATTTATTGCCCCAACACTCTCACCTTTGGTTACCGTAATGGAATTTTTTGGCGAAAACCTTTCAGGGCCACAAGCCGAATGAGCCTGGTACTACATGTACCGGAGCTCTCACTTGTGATTATTGGGTCACCGACGGGCAGGGTGCTCCTCGTCACGCCAACGCGTCTTCCAAGTCGGCAGAGCGCAGAGCCTGGATACTGGAGGCACGGGATGCGGGTTGAGTGGGTGCTGCCTCGCACCTCGGATGACATCCGCCACGGTCATGACAGAAGACCACTGCACGGCATCGCAGTAGGGCCGGTGCAAGACGAACGAGGTGTAGGTGGACGAGGGTCGCAACGTGATTCCACCCCCCATCGGTACCGGTTGATGCTGCATTTTCGCAATCACGATATTGCGAGTTTTGAAATTACGAGACAAGAGCAGACAGGAAAGCTTTGTGTATTCTAATGTGATGATTCAGTTGTCGACGTGGAGATTGTGGAAAGGGAGCGCGGCATCGGCACTCGTGGGATGTACGGAGTAGCGGAAATGATGCACCAGACGGGTTCTACAAAACTCCAAGTCAATGTGACTAGAAGACGTCGCAATTGTCGTGCTAGTCAACACGGCCAAGGCGAGTAGTAAGAGAGGGAGGCGGTGTTGCTAATCCGGTGCGGGTGGCTGCGTATAGTTACATGACAGCAGTCAAGGATGAACAAGTCAGGCATTGGTATTGCCGAGTCAAATTCTCCAAGAAGCAGCAGGCTAGGATGCTTTATCGCTTTTCTTTTCAGGCAGGGCAAGCGAAGCGGCAGCTCCGATGACGGATCCGGGCGCCACCAGCAAAGTGAGGAAACTGGAGCATCGTGATTGGATGAGCTGCGTCACTGATAAGGCTGCGAGGAAAGGCGGAGGGGGGTGAGACTAGTAGTCCATGGTGGAAACCTTATGTGGCAAGGGCAAGAAAGATCTGGCGGGAAGAGCGAGGCCTGGTCTACTCATCTAGCAGGCCGGCTTGTTCTTGCTTCCTGTTCCCTGGAAGTTGTGCGTCGTGCAGCCAGCAACCAGCAGCCAGCAACCGGGAGGGACCGGGTTGGACAGATGCAGGCATGTGATGGAGGAGGCTCTGCGCGGGGATGCAATGCGCCAAGTGGACACGCCCGACGCTGGTTGACGGGCCTGAAGTAGCAGATTACATACTTTGGAGTACAGATTAGTGATGGGTTACTCGATATTCGACTTGGGATATTTTCTTTTGTTAAAAGTACTTGACAAAGTGATGCGGCTCTGGGGGGAGTTGAAGGCGACAGCAAAAAGGACAGACAGGCCAGCGCCAATGACGATATGACAGGGTGCCCTAGCGAGCGGCCGACGATCAGAGACGCTTATTAGGGGATCCTAAACCTCCTGCGACGAAGACGATCATTCTCGGATGGCCCATTTGAGCACATTCCAGTGACTGACTACCACTGACCAGTACTGTTAAGTGAGGCTAGATACCCAGTCTGCCTGCAACTCAGGAGAAGCTGGTTAAAAAGAGCTGAATCATTGAAAATTGCCTAGCCAGCCACAAAGTCAGCAAATTCAATTCATTTAATTCAAATGCTTGCCCTATACAAGTCGACGCATTATGATGAAGGGCAGCGGAACCTCGGATGACGCGAGCTTGGGCAGCGGAAGAGGAAGAAAAAACAGTCGCCGGGTTTTTATTGGGCGCGCGGAGGCAGGGGCAGAAGCCTATCTTTGCATATCTTGATAGATTGATTGGCCCGGTATGGTCGTCGAGGGGGGGCTGCATGTACCCCAGGCTTGTCAGTGCAAAGAACAGGGTTGACTTGACGGCAGGTATTATTCCTCAGCTGTATCCGTACGAAGTTCCATTAATGTTGAGGGAAGTTGGGCAGCAAATGAGGCTGCAAGTTGCTCGTATTGATGAAGGGGGTAGTTTGTAATTCGTAGGTAATATGATGTTGGTGAATAACTAGGCAATTGCGCAAGGAAGGCCAGCAAGGGGACTTGCCGCGTAGCCGGCCAACGCCCTGCAAATGTCTAACTGTTGGGTCCTCCAGATGGGAAGAAGTAAACAGGTCAAAGAGTTCTACTACTCCGTACCGCCGCTGGAAGCATGAGCTCGCCGGGAGCACACGAGAGAGCGCACAGTCGTATTCCGACCGCAGCGCCCCGTCGCGGATGTAGACGTGCTTGATACCTGTACGTGTATGTACGTGACCTGGGGTCGGTCGGTCGCCAGCCTCTCCGTGCGGCATGCATTCATTCCTCTTATCAGACAGTCGTCCTCTCTCGCGATTGACAGCACGCACGGCATGCAGATACTGGGCATGCACTTGGTCTCTATCGGCAGGTCAAAAGAAGAGCGATGCATTTTTCCGCGGCGGTTCCGAACACAACTGATAAACCTCTTGGACGTGGACTGCAGGGAAACCTGACTCAACTATAAAAAGGCCACGGACCGCCGCTCTTTGGGTTCGAGGGCTGTTGCTGTCGAGATGGTGAAATTCGGGCGATGCGACTCTTCACAGACACGTTCCGGCAGCGCGATGCCGCGACGAGACATTGAAGTCTCCTGGCCTTTTCGATCCGCGATGGCGTCAACAACCACGACGGTCCCCATGTCCATTCAGCTGTTGGCTATTGTCTTGAGCTCGGCTTGGCAAGAGACATGGGACACGTTGCACCACTCCTCGCTTCATATCCCTTTCTTCGTTTTTGATTTCTCATGACGGGAGACCTCATCACCAAGTCCAGGAACAAACGTTCCCTCAAGACAACAGCCACCAGGGCAGGGGGGTGGGGTTAGCACAATCAGCAAGCCAACCCACTTTGTTCGGGGGTTTCAATTCTTCAGCCTCTTCCCTCCTCCTCCTCCTCCTCCACGTCTTGGGAATCCTTTCTTTCTTTATCTCGGGTCCCCCCTCTAACTCGTTTAGTGCTAAAGCTTTTGCGCTTATCTCTTCCTCCTCTCACGTTCCTGTCTTTTATCAGCTCTTTATCCCCCCCCCCCCCCCCCGCTAGCGACACGCTGTTTTCTCGGGACACCGCCCGCTATCGCTACACTTCGTCTGCATGCGTGCCATTACCTATCAGTGATGGGGTCCCCGGGCATGGGGTTTGCTTGGCTTGGCTTGCTGATTGTACCCCGGCCGAGGTCGCCCGTCCGTCCCAAGGAGCTGGGATCGGCCTTGGCCCTTGCTATCTTGACTGCACGCGGAGCTGACATTGATGAGACAAGCAGGAGGGACGACATTTTGAGACGTATCCGTACAGTAGAGAAGGGATCACCCAGCTCGACATTGCTACTGTCTCATTCATCATTGGGCAGAAGAGAAAGAGGCGACACCACAGAGCTGACCAAGACAGCCAGCCCTCCCTCCCGCTGTCCAGATACGACCATGCACATGTCCTGTCCTTTGTCCGGTCGGTACAAGTACAAGTAGAACAAAGAGAACCCCAGACCAATCCATCCATCCCATCCGTCTTATCTATGGCCCTGCTTGCGATGGCCCTGAGAGAAAGTAAAGTTGCAGTACGATAACTGGATCCCCTCTTCCTGCCAGGACCCTTGCCTTGTGGGAAGAGGATGTGCCTCTTCCCCCAGTTTTTCTCCTTCTTTTTATCGCTGCGACTCAGCCCGGCGTCGCAGTGCTTCTCTCTCTATTATTACGCATGTACACACACGCCCTTGCCTTCGGTACTTCGGCCGCGCTCCTCCTCGCCAACAACGGCTGCTCGCTCACTCACTCCCAATCTTCGGCGATATAGATAACGATTCGGTCTTGTGCCTTTTTGCTTTTCCCTCGTTTCTCCTCTTTTTAACCTTGGCTCTTTTCTTCCCTCCTTTTCGTAACAACATCCTTTTAAATAACCTTTGACGCCTCCTCCCTCTTGCATATTTGGGCCTGCCTTCCCTCCCTCCTCCTTGTATACCTCGACTCACCAGTCACAAATACACCGTGTATTTGTGTAGACTTGGACATTTCATAATTGATAAAAGGACACAAGCTTCTTGGTGCTGGGAACGTCATTGGGCAACATCCATATCGGTCCACGAGACCAACGACATACCGACCTCTTCTCCTCCCGCTCCAACGATCCATCATCATCATCATCAACTCTCATCATGTCATACGCACACATTGGCGCCCCGGTGCCGTTTAACGGAACCGATGAGCTTACCGGTGGCAATCCCAGTGAGTAGCACCAATCATTGGCAGACCAGCACCATCAGAGCACCCGAATCTCGCATACTAACACCACAACTCGCAGCCGACACAAACCTCAACCAGTGGTACCAGTCCGGTGACCAGGCCTTCATCCTCATCAGCGCCTGCCTCGTGCTCCTCATGGTCCCCGGCATCGCCTTCCTCTACTCCGGCCTCGCCCGGCGCAAGTCCGCCCTCTCCATGCTCTGGGTCGTCATGATGTCCTTTTCCGTCATCGTCTTCCAGTGGTACTTTTGGGGCTTCTCCCTCGCCTTCTCCCCGACCTCCTCCAACCACTTCATCGGCGACCTGCACCACTTTGGCCTCCGCAAGGTCCTCGCCGCCCCCTCCCTCGGCTCCCCGCTCGTCCCCGCCCTCCTCTACTCCTTCTACCAGATGATGTTCTGCGCCGTCACCGCCGCCCTGACCGTCGGCGCCGTCGCCGAGCGCGGCCGCGTCGTCCCCTCCATGGTCTTCACCTTCTTTTGGGCCACCCTGGTGTACTGCCCGATGGCGTACTGGGTGTGGAACCCGGACGGGTGGTGCGCGAAGAGGGGGGTGCTGGACTACGCGGGCGGCGTGCCGGTGGAGATTGGCTCGGGCGTGTCGGCGCTGGCGTACTCGTGGGTGCTGGGGCGGAGGAACGAGAGGATGATGATGAACTTTCGCCCGCACAACATCTCGCTGATCACGCTGGGCACCATCTTGCTGTGGTTCGGGTGGTTGGGGTTCAACGGCGGGTCGGCGTTTGGGGCGAACCTGCGCGCGGTGATGGCGTGCTGGAACTCATGCCTGACGGCCATGTTCGCGGCCATGACCTGGTGCCTGCTCGACTTCCGCCTCGCACGCAAGTGGTCCATGGTCGGCTGGTGCTCGGGGACCATCTCCGGGCTGGTCGCCGCCACGCCCGCCTCGGGCTTCATCGACCCGTGGGCGAGCATCATCCTCGGCGTCGTCGCCGGCGTCTGCTGCAACTTTGGCACCAAGAGTGAGTCCCTTTTCTGGTTCCCTTTCATCTCAAAAATTAACTAACCTCCCCCGCAGTCAAGTTCCTCGTCCGCATCGACGACTCCCTCGACGTCTTTGCCGAGCACGGCATCGGCGGCATGGTCGGCCTCGTCTTCAACGGCTTCTTCGCCTCCCAGTACGTCATCGGCCTCGACGGCGTCAACTCCGGCGCCATCGGCGGCTTCCTCGACCACCGCTTCTCCCTCCTCGGCTGGCAGATCGTCGCCATCCTCGCCGCCTCCGCCTACGCCTTTGCCGTCTCCGCCGCCATCGCCAAGCTCATCGACCTCGTGCCCGGCCTCAAACTGCGCGCCTCCGAGGAGGCTGAGCTGCTCGGCATGGACGACGACCAGCACGGCGAGTTCTCGTACGACTACGTCGAGGTCCGCCGCGACTTCCTCGCCTGGAGCCCGCACCGCGACGAGCCCCTCGCGGCGGACATGGGCGTCGCGGGCATCGAGCCCCAGCATGGCATCGCGGAGCACGCGAGCATGTCGATCCGGCCGACGAGCTCCTCGCTGGTGGGCGTGGAGGGGAAGAGGTCGGCGCCGTCGTCGCTGCGCGAGCAGAGCGACCGCGAGGATGTTATCGTCGAGGCAGAGGAGGAGCAGCCTGTTCAGGAGAAGCAACCTCACGCCAGCGCCTAAAATTGGGCTTCTCTTTCTTTTTTGTTATATACCTCATTTTGGTTCGCAGTTCTTGTTTTCTCGTCATGGATCTATCTGTTTTACAGATGGCAACGGAAGCGGGCGTTTGGAGCATTTGCATTTTGGATTTTTTGTCCGCCCTCGTCGGGGCGGACGGAGTCACGTATATAAATGGGAGGTAAAACACGGGTCGGGTTGGAGGACCTGCAGCATACAAGCCTATGCAACAGCAATAGAGAACATACAGAATGCATTCACATGAATGAGAGTTTCGTGGCCTGTGTCGTAGCAGTGTACATGATGTAGGACTCTAGCTGCTATCCCATGTCCACTACTCATGACTAGAAAAAACATGGAACTTGTGGAATATTGAAACGTAATGTATGCCACATATATCAAAACTCCAAACCATACGATAAAACTAGAAAGGGCCCTCATGACCGCTGGTTCGGCGCGCCGTCCGTCACCTTGCCGTACGGCTCCGCCTCGTAGTCCCCAAAGCACGCAAAGTCATACCTCGCCCTGTCCGCCATCTCCTCCTGCACCCTGATGAACGTCTCCAGCTCGCACCAGCCATCCTTGCGCCCCGCGTCGCACTCCGGGAAGCTCCGCCCCAGCGGCACCGTCCGCTGGTTCAGCACAAAGTGCACATACCTCGTTTCCTCCCCCTCCTCCCCCTCCTCCCCGCCGCCACCGCCGCCGCCGCCGTCGTCGTCGCGCTGGGGGGCCACGGCCCGCGGTGACTTTATGACCTCAATGTCCAGACGGGCGCCGAACGGGGTGATGTGGGAGACGGTGAAGTTGCGGGGATTCGGGAGGTGCGTGGCGGGCAGGTCGTCGGCGAACTGGCGCAGGCCGAGCGCGGTGAGCACGGAGACTATGTTGGTGTCGTGGGAAAAGTCAAAGTACAGGCTCTGGTCGAGCGGGAAGGTGGCGGGGTCCGAGTCGAGCGTGACGTTGATCTGCGAGTGCGAGTAGCCGAGCGTGGTGTTCTTGAGGCGGGCCATGAGCTCCTGCTGGTAGCCGATGCCAATCGCGCGCTGCCAGTGTGTTGGGTTAGTTTTCTGGGCGGTTGTTGTCACGGAGGCAAGGAGATTTGTCGGGGACGTACGCCGGTAGGGCTGTGGAAGCCGTTGGTGGAGGAAAAGGACAGGTCGACCGAGTAGCCGAAGCCCTGCCACTCTTCGTACGTGAACAGGTCGCAGAACTTGCTGAAGCCGTAGGCCACCGTCTCGTACGGGCACATGGTCTGCGCCGCGTACACGTCCTTGGGAGTCCACTCAAAATCGTCCGACATGGCGTTGAAGCGCGACACAGCTATTTTCTTTTTATCAGCAAAAATTCCCGACTAGCCATCGGCTTCACCCACCATCCTTGAGGTAGATGCCGATCCAGGTCTCCGGCGCCTCGTAGCCCGGCGTCTTGGTCTCCGCGTTCGGGCAGTTCAGGTACCCCGCCAGCGAGTTGTTGAAGCCGTCACCCTCGATCAGCACCTCAATCGTCGCGTTGTTCCGCCAATCCAGTCCGAAGAACCCCGCCAGCCAGTTCTCCGCCGACTTGAGCATCCTGTCCTGCGTCGTCGTCCGCACAATAATCTTCCCCGCCTCCGGGTCGTACAGCTTGCCGTACATGTACCCGTGCAGCACGCCCGAGTCGAACAGCTCCTGCCGGCCCTTGGGCACCAGCACGTCGTTGCCCAGCTCATACTTCCAATCCCGCAAAAACGCCAGCTCCTTTTGAAACGTCGCCTTGCCCTTCTCGCCGGCCACCTTGTTGCCGAAGCGCACCACGTCCGAGCCGGCGGTCGGGTAGCGCGAGCCGTGCCGCGAGAGCATGTGCACCTGCACAATCTCCGCGCCGTCCGGCAGCGGGTACTCGTCCACGCCGAAGCCCGGCGAGGGAAAGTACGGCGACAAGAACGCCATCAGCCGAAACACGCTCTCGTCGTCGTCCTTGGCGCCCCGGATGGGCATAGAGGTCTGCAGCGGCTCGTTGGGCACAAACGTGGCCGAGTCGGGAAGGACGCGCGTCTGCGCGAGAAAGGCCGGCGCGCCGGTGGCGGTCGGCCCGGGCCACGGGTTGGGCGAGGTGCGAAAGTACTGCGGCAGGTCCGAGGGCGGCACGGGGCAGTCGTCGTTGCGGTAGCCGGAGTGGCCGCCGGCGAAGGCGTAGGGCAGGGACAGGTACAGGTTGGCGGCGACGAGGATGACGATGCAGCTGGCCATGGCGATCATGCGGTACCGGCCCCCAGGCGGCGGCGGCGGCGCGACCAGAGGGCCGGTTGGGTATTGCTTCGTTCGTGGCCTGGCATCTTGCGGGGTCTGGTCTTGGACGTCATCGTGCTCGTGCTCGTGCTCGTCCTGGTATACAGGCGTGTATTTTGCGGAATCGGTGTGGTGGTGCTTGGCCTTGCCGGAGGCGGACATCTTGCCGGCGGGCGCGCGGGCTATCGACGCGATTGAATCTTGTTAAGTTTCGGGATTCAAGGCATAAGACGATCGTGCGTTCAGGACGTTTTTAGAGCGAGCTTTAGGTTGCGCGTTGCAGAAAAGGAAGCGCCGCGGTGGCTGTCCGGAATTGTGATGCTGTCAAACAAGGAGACCCTGAGAGGTGACAATGTGCAAGCGTCGCACAGTAGAACAGTGTGAGGAGCACTGTGTTGCCTGACCCGAGCTTGGCGTCACCACAAACGAAGATCAGAAGAGAGGACAAAGTTTAGAACAAGACAAGTCTTGATCAATTCAAAAGCAAACAAGTATGGCAGATATGTCAAGTTGACAATCCGCAAGTCTATCTAAAGGTCTAATTTTACTCGAACTCAGGGAAATCCGTCGCGTCCCGAACCTAATGGCGTCCTCCTGGCTACAACCAATCCAACCCTGGCTACCGTAACGTTAGATGCTGCACCTCGCCCAACCAATCTAGTTGGGCACCTTACGCAGGGGAAAGAAGCCGGGCGGCATGGGGTCGATGAACCACAGCTTCTGGCCCTTGTCGCTAAACGTCTCGTCCCACTCGGCCTTGAGCTCCTCAGGGATGGCCCAGCCGAGCTCGTCGTCGCGGAGGCGCATGCGGACCAGGTGGCGGCGGGTCGCCTCGCCGTCGACGAAGCCCTCGCGGCGGTGCAGCACGGCAAAGTTGTTGATGAAGTGGATGTCGCCAGGGGCGGTCTGCATCTCGAGCTGCGTCTCGCAGGCGATGGCCTCGATGGCGTCGAGGGCCTCGACCTGGATCGGGGTCAGCTTCGGCAGCGACGCGGGGCGCGGGTGGCTGGCGCTGCCCATGAGTGCGGCGCGGCCAAAGTTGAAGATGACCTTGCCGTCGTGATGCTGCAGCACCGGGCGGCAGTGGAACCTGGGCCTGGGATGGTGGTGTCAGTGAGTGCTGGGCGCATTTCTTTTGTCTCTCGGGGATGGGGGGCAGTGCGTGCTTACAGGGCAAAGGGCCAGTCAGAGCGGGCGAGCACGCGGATCAGGTCGGGACGGGTCGCGGCAAGGACGTTGTAGATGGTGTGGGCAGAAGCAATGATGCACTTGCCGCCAGAGGCAGCAGTGTTGCGTGTGAGCCAGCTAATGACGTCGCCGGCCTCCTCATTGTGGAAAGTCTGTCACCAGTCAGATGCCTATTGTTCGACGAAATATCGGATGCTTGGGCTTACAATGGGCGCGGTAGAGTGACGATGGTGATGGGCCTTGATGGGCGACGAGTTGTCGGCGATAATATGGACTGTTTTTTTTTTTCGTGCAAGTGAGTTGGTTGTTAAGGGAGGGGGGTTGCTTGGCTGCGACACTCACCCAGCATGTTTCCGTTGTCATCCTGGCGACCGAATTTGTTCCCGATATGGCACTGGACACCGAGGAAGATGGTTGTAAAATCTTCCACCGAGTACTTGTCCACCTCAAAGCCGCGCAGGAGTGCAAATCCGCGGCCGTTGTAGACGTGATGCTGCATGGCCTCGAGCTTCTTTGAAAGCTTCTGGAGAGGGAAGTTAGACTTGCTAACCAAGTCGCCGGCGAGTCCGAGGCCTGACAAATTGTTCTTGTTAGTTTCCAAGATTTCTTGTCTCTCTTTCTCTCTCTTGTTCCTCTTCTGCTTCGTCTTCTGCCAACCAACTTACTTAGGAAGTGCTCCAGCCCATCGTCAAGCTCCTTCAGGTCCTCGGCCTCCAGGATCGTGGCGTAGGAACTCGGGTCCGGGTACTGGCTGCCCGCCCAGCTCATGGCAGAGTCCAAACGACTCGGGAAGCCAGAGGGGAGGTCCGTCTGTCCAGAGACGGCCGGGGTGTTGCACTGCGTCGCCCCCTGCTGGGCGGCGTGGTCGATGGCCGTAACCTGTTCAATCTCGATAGGAGCCATGGCTTTCCGGTGAATATCGAGGAAGAATTGGGGAAGAAGTTGATGTGGTGTTGTGACTGGTTACGCTGTTGAGCTTGTGGTTGTGGATGTTGGGATGAACTCTCAAGTCCTTCCAGACGGCGCCGTCAGGATGCTTTAATACCCCTTCAACGACCACACGACACGGCAGCTCATGGGCTCCCTCGAGCGCTTCGTGAAACTACCAGCTCTCTTCTTTTTGTTGGTGTTGTTATGTCTTTCTGGCCCGCATCCATGCCGAGGGGTCCTAGAGCAACGAGGAATCCCCGAAGCAAACTCCTGGAACGGTGTGCGGTGGGAGAAAGAAAGAAAGAAAGACGGATATTCACAACAAGACGGTGTGCAAGATGCAAGACGGACGGCAACTGCTGGTGTAAAAATAAACCAAACTCGCTTTGCCCGGGCTCTGTGAGAAAGCAAAGGGCCCAGAACAGGACCCTCCTCCCCCGCCCTTCTCGCTTCCCCCCGAAGCAATCCATGAATGATGAACAAAGAGTGTACTCACATGTTGTTGTCTTGAGCGGTTGTGTCTTCTCTGAGCACTGAGGGTGAAGGGGGGAGATTTTGCTACATTTTACCAGACCACGTCAAACCGTGGATGGGGGGGCTTTGATGCCGTCTTCGCCCAGCCCGAGCTGCCAACATCCCCGGGAAAGAAGGGCTGGACTTGTTCAACGGCCTCGTTGGCTGAGATGTTCGACGGTGGTGGTTTTTTTTTTTTTTTTTTTTTTTTTCCTTCCCGAATGGCTCTGCAACATGCTATAAAAAGATAGGGCCACGGGAAGCATGGAAGGGGCTCGGTTTGAGGCCGGGCGGGCCACCACAAACACGTAGGCGAGATCCGTCCGGCTCACGGTTCGTTTTCTGTTTCTCCTTCTTCTTCTTCTTCTTCTTCTTCTTCTTCTTCTTCTCAGACAATCCTACCACCTCAAGTGACGAGGGCATTCGGCGACCAGCGTATGTCTGTAACCTGCCCCACCGCCGTGGCATGTCTCTCTCTGATCAGGAGTTGGTCGGCGCGGCTATCAACGTCGGGTGTAACGTCTTGAACCAAGATTCGCACAGGGCGGTATCGACGCGCTGGTTCACTCTTCTTTCCTTTTCCTTTGTGTGCAGCCTCGGGGACAGCCTCGGGGCCGAATAGCCCTCGACATCTTGGCAACCTCGTCAGCACTGATCAGGTTCCTGGGCGGGCCGCCGATGAAGGGGAAGGTCCCCCGACCAGGCCACGGAGCGGTCCATGCCCCCTTGGCCGGCGTACCAAAGAGGGCTCTTCTTTTTTAGGTTTGCGCACCAGTCCAGTTGGGGAATTCCGAACTGGTTGTTCTCTCTTTTCATTTTCTTTGTTCTTGTTACCGTCTTTCGGCTTGTTTATCCCAAACACACCGGGCCGGGTTCTTCGGGTCCGTGGCGCTGGGGGAAGAGGGAGCCATGGTTGTTGTTTGTGAGATGGCTGACCTTGCATTACAGCATCACTTGCAGTGTTGCATGACGATGATGAGAAATCAGCTCCAAGTTTGGCACAAGGAAGCCAAGCTTGAGCCGCTCAAAGTTGCGTAACTGTTTTGCATCTATTACTTTTGCGTCTAGCCGCGCAAATGCACGCCCATTAATTAGCTTTGGCGTAGTTGCTACTCTGCAATTCATTTACAGTCTCCTTGTGCCCCTAGACAACCATCGGCCGAGGCTTCCAGTTCTGCTCAAACATTTGGCAAATGTAGTACTCGGCGTGATCATACTCCTGAGACTCGCGCAGCCTCTGCCACTCCGTCCCTGAACAATACGTGTTAGCTCAGGCATCACTTCTTCTCCCTTCCTCCCCCCCCTCTCCTTCTTCTTCTTTCTTCCCTCTTCATCAGAAAAACAAGCAAGCATAGCACAACTCAACTTACCTCTTAGCTTCGCATATGCCGCCATGCCACGAACAAGCCCAATGTCTTGCTCCGTCAGCGCGGCCAGGCTTCTCAGCTCCGCGTCTGTGCACTCGTCTGAAAATGGATACAAACCCTTGTTGCAGTAGTGAAAATATGCAAGCACAATGTTTGCACCTTGGAAACAATTAGATGCCTTGCTCATGACGTCATTCACTTATTCATCATCGCACTCACCAACGTGGTACTCCTTGACCTTATCCTCCCGGGCGAAGCGTCGCTGTCATTCATCGCTGTCAGCTTGTCTCTCACTTTGTCCCATATCTTTTAGTCCGTCCCTGTCTCAAACGTGCTCGTCACTCACCTTGATGCCATGCTTCTTCGCATACCCTGCGTCGTGAGCGATAATCATGGACGCATTGTGCAGCAAGATAAAGTCCACGTAGTACGTCACAAGCCAAGTGCTCTGCTTGTTCTTCTGCACAATCTTTTGCAGCTGGTCCAGTACCGACTTTCGCAGCTTGGCCTGGATCTGATGAATGATGATCAGGTTAAGCTGCTCGCCCATAACTGGCGGCAACGGCACCTTGCCCGGCGTGGGGCTGGTTTCGTCCAATATGTCAGCCGGCATGTCCAAGGTTTCCTCACCCACGATGAAGCACGAAATGGTGTTGAGTCTTGTCGACGTCCACAACCTGATTGTCGACTGCAAGATATCAGACACTTCCGTGGGAACATCCCTTCTCTGAGCCATGCGATATGCTTCGAGATAGGTCCTCTGCATCACGTTGACCGACGACCCCTTGATCGACCTGGTAATCTTTTTCAGCGTATCGTTGATGCTTGCATCAATGTGCTTGGCCCAGGCTTTCCTAGTCTTTGGGGGGTCGGTAAGGGCAAAGGGTGGTATGGGTACAGACCTCTTCTCTCCCTTATAGTCCCATGTCCTCTCCAATTTGTCCTTGTCTCCCGGGACGAACCGACGGACTTGTATTTCCACAAAGTTGGCAGAGTACCCCTCAGCGATGCGAATGGTTCTAATTTCCGGAGAAGCCCACTCCGGATCCGACAGCTCATTCGGCCATCTCTTGGTCCACTCATACCTTGGGACCTGCCCTGACTTGTACAGTGCGATATCAGCAATCTTGTACCTCAGACAGGGCAGCTGGCCTGTCCTTGCAAGAGTGACTTTTCTGCAAGTGAGACAGATGCCGTTTGGGTCGTCGGGGTTCTTGTCACACTGGGCAAGTTGTCAGCTTCCGGCTTTTTTCCTTTGACCAAGGGAAGACTTACACGTATGCGCTGCATTCGGCATCGTATGCAGCACCCAATCTTTCTCGTATACGCAGTGTCTTGACGGAGGCCTGCGTCTCGAAATGGCCCGCGCTTTCCCGGACGCGGACCGGTACAAAACAAGCCGGAAGCTTCTGCTGCAGCCTGTGCTCGTGGAACTATGGTGACGGCAGATATTGGAATGCTTCCTTTCGCAAGTACCGGTACCGGTATCGGCCCGGCCTGGAACGAGTAATGCTCCGGGGGCGAGCTACAGGGGTTCATGATAGGTTCCTGGCCAAATGGCTGTTGTCCGTTGATTTCCTGCGGGCTTATGACATTCTGATGATGGAAATATTTGCCACCATCAGCTTCCAACGCGGCATTCGGGGGAAGCCAACGGACATCAGCGGAACGAGCCAGAGAGCACTTTTCGACTACATACTGTTGACCCGGGCCAGCATATGTCTGGTTATCAATGAGGCGTTCATATCCTGGGTTTGTGTCAGCAGATATTGCAGCATCATATGTGATGAATTATTGCAGCTGCTTATGGTGCCATAACCGACTTACCTTCAAGATCTTGAGCATCTACTGTAGCACAAGAGCAAAGAAGCCTTCCCAGTTCTGCCACACGCCTCGACAGTGGCATATGCGTCTCCATGGGTGCGGTTGCTAGGGGCCAGGATTGAAGGTGCCAAGTATACTTTCCGTGAACGGGACAGCCAACGGCAGTGATTTCCGAGGTGTCAAATTGAGATGCGCCTTGGCTGCACGATGCAATCTGGACAGGGGGCTCCGACGGGTAGAGCTTCCTTCGTTTTGACCGTAGCTCGGTTTCCGCTATAGCATCAGGCGGGAGAGCATACCATGATGGGTAGCTCAAGACAAAACGGGGCAGACTATCTTCCACAGAGTCTGGAAGTAGGCCTACCTGTTGGACTGGGCCGACGCCGTTGGCTTCCCGGTCGGTGCCGGGAAGAGCAATGTATGAGGTTGGCGGGTCCTAAACAGATATCAACACGGGAAGATACGGATGGATGCACTCAATCATGGGCATTTATACACAGGAAAATATGGTATGATGGGAAGCGGGTATAAGTACATGAGGGAGACGGACAAGGGGGGGCGAGAGGATAGTGACTGTGAGGAACGAGGGGTCGGCGTGATTGGAAGGGGCAACGCAATAAGCTTTATACTCAAGAGAGAACCCTTCTTACCATTGTATTTATATGAGACTTGGTGGGTTGGACAAGAGTGCGCTGCTGCTATGGTGAATGTACGCCGTATGTCTGTTGGAACTGGGGGAGCATCGTTAGACGCCAACACGGCGTGTGATTGGTTGAGGGAGTCGACCTCAAATGGCTCAGGACGAGAAGAGTAAGTTTCTTTGTCGATGAAGCAGGGGAGCACGTTGCAAAGACAACAAGATGCGGGTCAATCCAGGGTCATTCCGTGGACTTGGCCCACCTTGTCCTTGCCCGTCTGGTCAGCCAACGCCTTTTGGGGCGACCCGGTGAGTAGGGGTAGAGACGGATAGTGGACCCGGTGAACGAAGAACTGCTGGCTGTGTCGTCGATTATGTCGATGCTGTGCTGTACAAAGGTTGGAGAGGAGGAAAATTAGCGGCTGCTATGCACATGAGCATTGGGGGAGGAGGGGCTGGGGGTGGGATGGATGATGGACAGGGCAGCAGGGGCTCCTCGCAGAGAAGAGACGCAGGGCATTTTACCTGGAGAAGCGGACAGTACGGCTATGTATCAAGTATGTCGAAGCAAGTCTGTGATTGTGGTATGATGGCACTGCTTCCGGGATGGAGACGTAGGGAGAGAAGTAGACGGGGAAGAGTACGGAAAGGGGAGATGGACAGAACCTCGGGTTGCCTAGAAGAGTTGAGGTACTTTTGGGATTGATTCGGGGGAGGTGTTTTCTGCACCCGACTAATAAGAGGGAGAGAGAGAGAGAGAGAGAGAGAGAGAGAGAGAAAGAGAGAGAGCGGCAGAGGTAGAGAGGACGAGTGTACCACCACGAGCGTACCACTATGGATGTGTGGGAACACAGGCTGCAGTATGCGGGTGATGCCAGAGATGACAGAGGTATGTCTGCCTGTCTATCTGTTCGTCTGCTTGCTGTTTGTTGGTGGCTGAGGGTCGTGTGTCCGACGAGGACTGGTTGGTGAGTTATTCGGGGGGAAGGGGGGGGCCATAACCGGGAGGGGATAATGCGTGTGCGCGTGTGTGTGCGACTGTGCGACAGGCAGGCAGCATGAGCGAGTATGTGAGCTGGAAACGTGCCAAATAGGACAAGAAGTGAATTAAAAGAGGCGTCATCCGGCGAGAGGCATGCGGCAGCCGACTGGGACTGGGCTCTCCGGGGGCAGGCAAACCTTGTTAGCTTGCCTCGTTTTGTCCACTGGAGACAGGGGAAGGACGGTCATTTTAGAGGCGGCGGGGAGAAGCGGAGGAGAAGGAGGAGGAAGTAGAAGAAGAAGAGGAAGAGGCAAAAGAAAAAAAGACGGCCCAACAGAACAGCGTGGGTGAATCGCACTGGGTGTGGGGGAAGGAAGGAGCGAGGGGAGGAAGGAGCGAAGGAGGGGGGTCTCTTCTTTTTTTTTTTCTCTTTTTTCCCATTATCACCTACGGGCTACCTTGTTGCTCTGATATTGTTTGCCAATCTTCCCATACCATTTCCAGCGCATTGTCGAATCAAACTGAGTCAAATCTGCAGCTTTCCCGCAGCCCCCATCCGCTGATAATGCTTGGCCAGCGCCTCATCACCACAAAAACCACGCTCGGGCTCGGGTGTAGTCAGTGTGTCAGACGATGCAGGACTACGACATGGGAGAGTCATTGGATGGCGACAAGGGACAGGGACAGGGTTGGAGAAGTTGTTACTATTCGCGTTTATTACTGCGGTTAAATGCGTCTTAGTTTATTTAGTCCCCTTGATCCCGTCGATCGACAAGATCAGTCCCGCTGACTAGCGAGCGGGTAGTAGATTTACTTAGATTTGCGAAACAAAGAAGAACACAGTTTGCGCGACGATGACAGGGGGATGAGAAGGGGGGGGGGCTGTTGTTGCGAGTATACACATGCATCTGTATACCCGAACGCACGGGTAGATGGACGGCCTGAGAAGCATCCCCAACGTTTGAGGCCATATTTGAGATTTCAGGCTGCTAATGATTCATCGGCGTCTCCAAGCCTTGGCTTTTTGTCTTGTTTTCCCTTTCCTCCCTCTCTTTTCTCGAGTTACACAGCATCAAGTGGCGTTGACCGGTGAGGCCTCTGCATTTCTTCCATGCCCTCCCTAGCCTACGAGTTGTCGACCAATTTTTTTTATTTTTTTTTTCTCTTTTCCTTTTCGTTCCCACGAATCGAGGAGACGACTATGGTGCTGATCGTCCTATATTTCTCACTGTGTAACGAATGTTTGCCCACGAGGACGGCGCCCGCTGGACAAGGGGGGCAACTCCCAGCCGTCAAACACTTGTAAGCCACAGTAAGCAGCAAATAAGACGCCGAAAATCGAGATGCACGCCTCGTAAATGATGCACCATGTATACTCGGAAGTACCGAACTGCTTCTCCTGACCCGCCGAGGCCGACGCGGTGCAAGCTTCAGCTCGGGCATTGCAGTAGTGCCGCGATCGAGGTGCTGCCAACTGACTCTCCCTAAGCAGGGGGAGGATGGTAGACCTTCGCATCATGGCCGCAGGAGATGCTTTCTTCGGTTCGGGCAGACAATTTTTTCGACAAAATCAGGCTTCCGGTCGCGGGACGGAAGGTTTGGCTGCCTGAGGACGCCCAACTCGCCACCCTGCATTGCGGCATCGCCGTACATTTGCTGCCTTCTTGGCTTCCTAGCGAGCAACTCCGCACTGAAGACTAGCAGCATAGAGGCACACCGACTTGCCAAGCTTGGGCTTTCTCTAACCCGGCTCCCGATTCTTCTCACAGCTTGAGCGTGTGTAGGGTAGGGAGTTCCCAGCCTTGGTTGGCCTCTCTATGCCAAGCACGGCGACTATAGCCAACCCGCCAACCCGTGTACCTAGGAGCATACCTGACCTCGAGAAGGGCCATTTCCATCATTCAAAGGCGTTTGTATGTCTCCTCTTCGAGCTTCGACGTCGCTTAAGCCGATTCCAAGTCATTCACCGCCCTCGAGAGCAGGGACTAAAGATCCGACGGGAAGGAACGGGCCTGTTTCCGTGACAAACTAGACTCGACAAGTTGGTTCAAGCTTCCCACGCTCATAGAAGACCAATTCGCTCTTGTTTGACTGTACACGGCTTGTCCTATACTCGCGTGAAGTCCCTTTTTGTATTAGGGATACAGTTGCTGTGAAATGATATTTGCTCAGTGATATTTGCTCCGTCCATCTTCCATAAAGACTATACTGCCATTCCGCGTTAAAACCCACCCAATAAATACTTATAAAATGTAGATTATTAGAAAGTATAAAAGCCACTTTCGCAAGTGAATTAAGTTAAATAAATAGTAGAGGATATAAACAAAACTCAAGTAAACTAAAAAGAAAAGAGCCAAGTATTACTACTATTTTAAAAGAGTATTGCTATTTTTATAAGTGCACTTTCTATTTATATTGGTTTGTCAAACTTGGCGGAGCTGGGACGGGTTATCTCTGCCCTCGGACACAGTCTTTTTGTGTCATGATCCCGCCCTCTGTCCTTTGTTCTGCTGTATTGTCCTTTGCTGTGCTGTGAAGGGGGGTAACAGGCATCGACAATGTGTGGCGCGTCACATTTTTGAGTATATATAGCTTGATACCCTTATGACACCATGTTGGTCGTATACGCTGTAAGCGACATGGAGCTGAACCAACACGTCATTCGCCAAGTCGCACTGCCCTCGGCTGCCGAGTACACGCAGCCGCCGGCATGCGACTCCATGCAAGCCGCGGCCGCAGCAACAGCGTACCCGGATCAGGAGTCGTCGACCGAAGACACCCTCTACTGGCAATCCTCCATCCTCAATCCCAAGAACCGCGTCGACTCCCTCGACCTCCCCCGCGACCCCTGCTGGCGCATCGACGGCTGCGCCGGCTACGGCACGCAGTTCCACGCCGTGCCGCTCTTCCTCGGCCCCGGGCCGGTGCCGCCCCAGCGCATCGACGTCTTCATCCCCGACCACGCCCGCGTGCCCTCGCCCGCCCTGCGCCGCGTCCTGGACCTCAGCACCGCCTTCCACACCCGCGAGGGCACCGCCACGCGCCGCCTCGGCATCGCCCGCCACCTCGTCCGCTGCCTGCAGCACTGGACGGCTACGCACCCGCGCGAGGCCCTCCGCTACCACGCCTACCCCTTCGGCTCGCGCATCGTCTTCCACAACGTGCCCGTGGACGCGCGCGACGCCCTCATCTCCGTCGCGCCCACGCACCACCTCGAGCGGCAGATGCTCTCCCCCGCGCAGCTCCGCTCCATGTGGGAGGAGGAGGAGGACGGCGACGACGACGACACCATCGCGCTCCCGCCGAGCATCGACATCGGCGAGCTGGCCTACGTCGCCCAGCCGCACGACAGCGTCTCCGTCGTCGAGGTCGCCGGCCGGCGGCTCATCTTCAAGGCCGTCACCAGCCACACCAAGTTCCTCTACCATGAGCTGCGCCTGCTGCTACACATCCCACCGCACACCAACGTCGTCGCCCGCCCGCGCCACCTCGTCACCAAGCGCTGCGCCTTTGGCGGCGCCACCGCCGTCGTCGGCTTCACCCTCGCCTACCACCCCCGCGGCGCCGTCCGCGACCACCTCCCGCGCCTCGCCGCCCGCGGGCGCCCCTCCCTCCGCGACGAGGTCCGCTGGGCGCGCCAGCTCCTCGCCGCCCTCCTGCACTTCCGCCGCGCCTGCGACACCTTTTACTCGGACCTGCGCCTCGACAACGTCCTGCTCTCTGCCGCCGCGAATGACCTGATCCTCGTCGACTTTGAGCAGCGCGGCGTCTGGTCCGAGTTCGCCGCGCCAGAGGTCAACGCCATCGAGTGCCTGCGCGGGCTCGCCGTCGACGACCGCGGCCGCCCCCGCCGCGACGACCGCGGCTCCCGCTACGCGGCGCTGCTCACGCGGATGCTGCCCGGCTGGGAGGACCTGGTCGGCGGGGAGGCGTACGCGTGGCCCGACGCCCGCCAGGGATTCAACGTCGCCTGGCGCTGCCTCCGCCCGGAGGAGCGCGAGTCCTGCGAGGTCTACATGCTGGGCCGCGCGCTGTGGTGCCTGTTCGAGGCGCAGAGCGCCCCGCGCCGCGCCCTCTGGACGTCGTACGCGTGCGAGCCCGCGCACGCGGTCGAGTTCCCGGCGTACAGGCGCACGCCCCCGGAGATGCGCCGCCTGGTCGACTGGTGCACCGCGGGGCACATGCCCCCGCTCAGCGGCGTCGTCGCCAGGCGCGGGGACAGGCTCGTGCTGAGGCGGGAGGGGGAAATGGCGCTGGGGGAACAGGAGGAGGAGGACGACGACGACGACGACGACGACGAGGTGCGCGAGGCCGCGAGGGCGTTTTGGAAACAACGGGTGGACCAGTCGGAGCGCTGGGTGCTCCGTTACATCGAAAGCCGCGAGAGGGGCACCAGCTCGCCGTTTCCGGATAGGCCGGGCCTCGCTGTTGTCGATGCTCACTTGGAGGCGTACTTCAACAAGCTTTAGATGCTAGTGTTGGTCGCAAATAGGATGAGTATATCGTGGGATTGGGGTGATGGTGGGCGCTTCTCTTAAACTACCATGAAAAAGGCAAGATAAAATGGGTCCAAATAGAGGAATAGATAAATCAGGGGAATAGATAAATAAAGAGAAAATTATACAAATATTAGAAAGGTATAAAAGTAAAACAGAAATGAATTCAAATAAATGGCAACAAGAAAATATGTCCAAAGAAGTAAAAGTTGAAACAAAGAAGAGCCAATCACCCTACACCACTTCGCCTTTTGCCCCCTACCATTACCTCCTCCGTCATCTCCTACGCTTATACACAGCCGCCTCGCTGTCCTCGCTGCAGCTGCGCTTCAGACTCGCCGACGGCACCTCTTCGCGCGCCTTGATCTGCGTGATAAACTTGCGAAACCGAATCGCGTACGACGAAGACGCTCCGCAGCGCGCCATCCTCTCCGCGAGCCGCTCCAGCGCGTGCGCATGCAGCGCCGCGCCCTCGGGGATCGTCTCGAGCTCGTCTAGCACGAACCCGTCGTCGCCGAGGAAGTGCCGCAAGAGGTCGCCCCCGCGGCCGACGACGCCGTCGAGCACGTGTAGTAGGGTCTTGGCCGCGGCGGCCCTCTCCGCGGCGTTCAGCGGTCGCTTGCCGCTCCAGATGGCGTAGCGCACGAGGCTGATGACGCCGCGGATGTGGCGCGCCGCCCACGCGACGGTGTGTGTCGAGGGTGTGGTGGTACTGGAGGATGGGGTGTCGGAGCGGTGGTAGTTGTGTTGGTCAAAGTCCTGTAGGACGACATTGATGCGATGAGTAAGCAGACGGAACTGCTGCATCGCGTCGCTGCCGCCTCGCGCAGCCGTCGCCTCGGAGAGGAAGTAGTGGAAGAAGAGGTCGTCGTCGACGAGCATCTTGAAGACGGTGTGGTCAAGGCAGCGCGGGTCGCGGGCGGGTTGGACCGCGGGCGACTCGTCCGAAACATCGGCGGCCCTCTTATACACCGAAGATAGCAGCTCTCGTGACTCGCGCATGCGCTTCTCGTCGGCCCGCCGCGGGTCGTAGCAGTCGCGGTCCACGTGGCGGCAGTGCAGACCGTCGGCGACGATGTTTAGGTGATGGTCGGCGATGGCGCTGAAGGGATCGCCCATCTCCTCCGGGTAGCCGGCCGACGTCATTGTCAGCGGCTTCTCGTGATCGGTTTCGTAGAGGGTCTGTTTGGCGAGCTGGTCGAGGAGCCAGAGGACATGGTGGCACGGCTGTTGCTGCTGCTCCTTGTCCTTGCTACTGTCGCGAACTGTGGCGGTGGCGCCTTGGCGGCAGGAGCAGGTTAGGCGTGCTCGGCCGGACGAGGGCGCGCGGATGCGAATGGAGCGCGTGACGACCTCGGACATTTGAAAGGCAAAGGTGTCCTCCTCGACCTGGCGGCAGTGCTGGACGACCATGGCAGGCGGCTCGTTGAAGGCGTCGCGAACAGTCGACTTGGTTTTCTCGGGAAGGGCGTCCAGGTTGTAGACTAGGCGTGTGGGAGAGTACACCTGGTTTGGCTGCTCGTCCTCACTCCCGGAGGAGCAGCTGTCATCGGAGTCTGATGCGGTGCTGCTCGGCGTTTCGTAGTCGTCGCGTCCTAGGACGGCGGAGTGGTGCTGGTGCGTCACGGGCACAGACAGGCGAAGAGTGGGCGGCATGATGTCGAGTGCTGCAACGGACGGGCAGCTGCAGATACTCGAGGGCTGGACTGTCTCGCTCGGCTACCAGTCACCAGAATTGGTGGCAGGTGGTCGGTTGGTGGAATAAGAACAAACAACGGCGAGAGCGAGATTGGGGGCCAAGGGTGACAGACTATTCGTGTTGTCACGGTCGGGAGGATTGCTAGTTCGTATATTGAGCTGATATTGTTTGTCTTCAAGTATGGAGAAGCAGGTCAGCTCCAAGGATTAGTAGACAAACGGCGCAAGGACGTCGATGCGTTTGCGGCAAGACCAAGGAGGGGAGGTAGGCAACCTAGGAGGAGTGAGGCTGGTGTGTGATGGGATCATCTCGAGAAGAGGCAGGAATCAATGGTCCTTTAATAGTTTAATAGGTGATTGCCAAAATGACGTTGGTTGATCGACTCCAAGCTGAAGGCGGCAAAAAGGCAGCAGGGGCTCTCCGCCTCGTCCCCCTGCACCGCTGCTCTCCTCATCCCAAGATGGTGTGTGGGCGGACCGGGCATGCAGGTGGTGCCGATTTCTATTCCGGGAATTACACCGTTCAAGAGCTGATTCGGTCCAGAAAGAGGAGGGCATCCAACCAAAAGGCGCCAGGGGCCCAGAGGGGATGCGGGTTCGAGGTTGAGGTTGGCGCCCACGATGTCTCCATTGGGTCGGGCGGGTAGGCTGAACAGGGGGCCTGCATGTACCCATTGCGTACACGGCCAGTAGCCAAGATACAAAGGCGAAAGGCTGAAGCTAAAAAAAGAACGAATGCATTAGATCAGAGACATGTCTGCCTGTCTCCTGGCCGCTGTGCGCTAGTTAGTGCATGCTGGGTCGAGAGCGTTGGCAATCATCGACAAGGGCTGTCTCTCGCTGATACACACACCTCCATCTCTCTCTTTCGCTTTGACCAAGTATTGATTGGAAAGCCATCACGCCGGAGCACACGGCCGGATCCACCGAACAAGGTCAGTCGGAGTAAGTAAGAAGAGGCAGAAGATTGTGCCTTGTCGCGATGATGATGCCTATGTTAGCAACAGCAATCCATCGGTCGTGGCTGACGCAGGCCGTTAGACACCGCCCGGCCAGGCAGCGATGGCTTCCCCTTGCCTCCCGCTAACAAAATATTCCTTTCCATCACCATATGCTCCCCGGATCCTACCAGACTTTGTCATACGTCTGTCCACCCTTGTCCTACAGAACGCTCAATCGATCAACTCTCGATTCACCCATGTCCCCTTGAATGAGGAGACGGCGGCAAGAGTACCGGTCTCATCACCATCTAAAAAATAGAAAATAGAATTTTAAAAAAAAAATCCGTCCTGTCAGGCTGCGGGTTGGTGGATTCGCGAGGGTTTCTTCGCCACTTATTTACGGTACACCCCGGTCCGGTCCCCGTCCCGGAACCCCATGCTCCTTGTTGGGCGCTAACTAACTCGCGAGCCTCCAACGGAGCATTGACATCTTCACCAAACCCGTTTCTTCTTTGCTTGCTGGGCGCCTGCTTGCATGAGGGGCAGAAACGCTCCTCCGCACGCAAAGCTGTCCTGTCCGTCTCCCGGAGCCCAGGGCCGGCTGCGTGCGGCTGAAACGAGGACGGACAGCCTTCTCGCTCCCCCTTCCAGTGCCAAGCCAAGCTATGAATGTATTCTTCGTTGCTGAAGGGGCGCAAAAAAAGAACACACGTGCATGTACATTTCCAGACGAACTCCTCCTCCCCCTCACAGGCACCGACGCACCCAATTCGCCAGGTAAGCTTTTCCAATAATAGATTTCTTCTGTCGTTTCATGTTGACCCAGATGTAGGAGAAGAAACGAACAAATAAGTAGAAAAAGATGGTCACAGCCTGCTGATTCGCTCGCCCCTCCGTTTTAGATGGTAGCATCAGCGAGGCTTCATGCGACACGCCTCGCTACAACCCGGCGCAAGGTACGCTTCCGACGAACAGTACCCCCCATCTTATATCGGTCGCTCTGTTTCTTGTTCCTGGACTTTGAGGAACAGCTACGTAATATCAAGACATACGGTGTCTGGCTGCCCGCGTTGGCCGGCCAGGCTGAATGAACCACGACGGCCAACTCTGCCACTTGTTCAGATATCACATGAAATGTAATAATTTTCCATCTTAATATTAGTGTACGTTTTCTTTCTACTCCCGTCGCTCGTGAGGTCTCTCGCCAAAATCATCCATAGAATGATTTTTCCGACAGCAAAGCCACCGGGGCAGATGCATGTAAGCGCCGGCGCTTGCCCCAGGCCCTATCAGAAGTCAGGCAAGCAGCCATTTTCAGCTCTTTTTTTTTTTTACTTTTCTTTCTTTATTATTATTCGTCTACCCTTTTTGCGTCCACTGTCCGTTTTATTTTTATTTTTGCTATTTCCGTAACCACCATGAACCCCCAAGTTTGGGTAACCGCCGAACGGCACGCACCCGAAAGTTCTCACCGCGAACGTGGAAAACGGGGGTTGCCAATTCCACAATTAGAACTCGGTCTCTTTTTCTTTCTGCATTTCGCCCGTCGCCTCGTCTGCTCTGAAAGCACAGTCATTGTCTCGCCCGTCCTTTTTTTGGTTTTGCCTTTCTAGGCCTTGCCCTTTCACCATGTCACCACTTCAGCCCGGCCCGTTATGCGACCGGGTGGACTTTCTCCCTCTCACCGTCGCCCACCACACGAAACGGTCGCCTTGCACTTGGTCACCTCGCCCCGCGGCCAGTCTGATCCATAGGCTTTTTTTTCTTCATTCTTGCTTCATCATCTACGTCAACGTATCCCAGGCACATCTAGGCGGCCTAGATGAGAGAGAACAGGTCGCATCGAAGTCGGCTGCCACGAGGCATCCCCCCCTTGCTGGCAGGGGTGTGCGACAATGAGCCTTGATCAAACGATGCATGCGAGTCCATTCATGATCAACTCCGCAAACCTGGCCAACGACAATTGCCTTTCCCAGGTTGGCCGGCTCGGGGTCTCCCTGCGCCATCAACAACCCAGAGGCAAGGCAGATTGCTCCAAGTGCAGCTCGGAGATTCGTTAGGGGGAGCGCCAAATCATTCACTCTATCAAGCCTTGCCCGTAATCTTGTTCTAGTCAAGACGCCAGGCATATCAGAGTTTGGCCCGCTGGGCGGCCCGACCGAGGACAACGCGCGGCGAAAGCTTATTCGACATAGAAAGCTTGGTCTCATTGGTTTCCATGACAGCATTAAGCTTGTGTAGATTAGGCTGCTGATTGCCCTTCGGGTACGGTACAATGCACATGCAATAAGCGACGTCAGGAGCTGGCAGAGACCTCCCCCCTCGCAACAGTAGAATCATCCTTCCACTTCTCCATCCTAGCTGCACCGGTTCAATGCTTGGGCATGAGTTAGATCTAACAGACCCACGTCCTACTCTCCCATTCGCCCAAGTAATGACCAGACGATATGCTTCACTCGGGTGCACGGCCACTTACATCGCTCGCCATGTCCCTCGGCATAATGGACAGGAGAGCATAAACGGCCCCTCTTTCTGCCCAAGCCTGTTAGGTATCCAGTCCATGCAGACACAGCTCTACGGCATGACAGCTTCATCTAGGATGATGAGAGATAGCTCGCAACGGAATGTATTCATCCAACGTATTCTAGGAAGCAATCTCACCCTTGCGGGGTCATATCAAAGGAACGTACAAATCCTCCGCGAGACCAGTATCAGAAGCACACCAAAAGAAGGTTCAAGAGGTCGTCAAAAAAGGAAAAAAATAATGAAGGGAGAAGAGAACTCGGGCTGCTTGATAATAAACAATAAAAAATAAATGGCAACCCTATCGCGTGTTCAAGGTGACTGGATCGTTTCGCCACAATAATACACAAGTAGCCAGACCCTCCTAAAACTCCATATTGTAACAGGTGTCAGTCCAACGCTCCGTCAAAGATGATAGAAACACTTCGTGGTTCGTCATTTCCGAGGAGTGGCTTTGGTTTGGTTGGCGTTTTAGGCAATCTCGGCTCTTGCATGCCTCGGGCGCCAGACGACATGTCGTCGGTGCTTGGAGTTAATGAACCATCGGTGACATATCGAGCTGGCGAGGCAGAGTTTACAATCACGCGTGCGCCGCAACGGGGCGGCGCATATTCTCAACGAAGCGAACGGTGCGTGGGCTGATGGACTCGGGCTGAGTTGACTTGGTCGCCGGAGCGGCACTTCGCGGGATGGTTTTAGGATCCGACAAAACGGCGCGGGGAGTTGTCTTGGGAGACGGGGTAGACCGGCCTGCAGATGAGGAAGTTTTCTTCTCTCGCAGACCATCAGCAGACCGGTCAAATTGTCAATCGATACCGTGCTGCTGCTTGAGCCTCGCTAAAGATTCGCGGCGTGCCTCCAGGTCCTCTTTTGACTTGGCCATCTTGTCTGGCTGGTGGTATAGTACTGTGTGAATGTTAGCAGACAATCAAAGCAAGGCGGCGCGTGAGGGCTAGACGAAGAGCGACATTGAGAGTGACGAAGGCGTTGTAAGGGGCAGCGTACCAACTAGATAGCGGTTCTGAAAGTTGAAGCCGTTGAGCTTGTCGCAGGCTTGCTTGGCATCAATGACATCCTCATACACGACAAAGGCGGTTCCTTTGGTTGCGGTGGCGATGCCCTGTCGGACCTGGCGAATGGGCCCAAACTTTCCAAAGAGATCAAAGAGCTCTTCTGGCGTTACGTTGTAGCTGTCAAAGATTTTCATGTCAGTACAGAGGCATCGTATATCGCGGTCGCATCGCGGCAGAAACCGGCGGCAACGGAGAAAATTCGCGGGCGGGAAAATAATGTACCTCAGGTTCTTGACGAACAGAGCTCTATGAGACAGTTAGCAACGGCTGAGATTGGCGGTGTTGATGGCGTCGATGATCCCTGGGTTGTCAGACGACATCATGCAGGCAGACACACTCGCCGGCGCAGGGGCCAGGCTGCTAGTGGTGAGAACCAGATAGAACGCGACAGCCGGGCGACTGGAAAGCAGAGACTGACCGATTGACTTCGGGGGCAAGTTTCCCACCGCGACTACTCATCTCTTGGATGATTTTTTTCGGAGGGCGATGACGGGGGTCGTGAAATCGGGGACGGGCTCCGATGGAGAAGTGCGTAGATTGATTTGGATGTTGCGAAACGCAAAGGCGGCCTTGCTGGGCGAAGAAGAGGCAAGTGGGCGGGCGGTGGTTATCACGTGACGCTAGAGACTAAGCACGTTTCTCCGGCGATTTTTGGCCAGGGAGTCTCTGGGGGCGACTTTGTTCAAACGTGCTAACAGCGGGAGCCACAATGAAGCCTAATAACTGAAGACAAGCCTTCGAAGCTTGCTGACTAGTGGCGCCAGCGGCCTGGCTCCAGTTCTTCCTTTGGCCCTCAGCGGTTGGCTTCTCGGCGTGGCGTGCTTTCTTTCGGCCCTGACGGAGGAGCGATGTTGGGCACAGCTGTTTTCCGTATCGCGGCCTTGATAAACTGGGGCGTTGTCGTTGCGGTGGGATGATTGAAAAAAAGAGCAGATTTGAATGTTAGAGAAAGAGATAGAAGGTAAGATGAAAAAGAACAAAGCTAGGCCGTCTTTATTATATAACTAGAAACAGACTTCCTGTCAATCGTGAAAGAATCGACGAGGCTCTGGGGTTGCACGATGCCGCCCTGTGGCACAGCCACGCGGATACTTGTTCTCTATGCGGCCCAATCACTGAGGCGCAGCACGGCTTGCTAACACACTACCATACAAGGTTCGCGCTGGTCTCGTTAGTGATTATCTTCCCCATCCAGAACGGCGACCGACCTAAACCGAGATTGTAATCGTTTTCACGTTAACAGCCAACCGCAGCACGGAAACGCTCGTTGCTATCGATCTTGATATGTTATCCATTGAATACATTCATTTTCCAAGCACTCCCTTCCATCATGCCACTCCTGCCCTGACTCAAAAAGTGAGCTCCAAGTGAGCTGGCCATGGCCGAGGGGCCAATTTCCGGCCGACAATCACCCTCAAATGGGCTCGCCATCGCCAACACCAAGGAGTTTCTCATCTGCTTCTACAGCATCTTCATTCAGTCTCTATTTTCTCTACAAATATTCGATAAGTCATGGCGCCACGCCTAGCCGACAAGATCCTCCAAGTGTTTAACGTCCGTGCCGACGCGTACGACTTTCTCGTCGACCTCTTAGAGCACCGCGCAGCATCTCCGCATGACTTGAAGGCCATCGTTGACCAGCGCTTGGTCGCTAGGGAAGAACTGCAGCATCATCGGGTTGGTCGCTCTCAAAACAGCAATAGCACCTCCCAAGCACCCCCCACTGCAGAGAATAAACACGACCTAGCCGGCTTCCGATGGGAGGCTACCGACCGTCTTATAAAGCGAGCTAGATCTCTCGCCAGGGAAGCTGCCGATGTCTTGGTTCTGGGCCCTCACAAAGTAGAAGGTCAAAAGAAGGGTAAAATTACCAAGGCAGCCAAGCGCAAAGCTGATACTACTGAGTCGCACTACTGGTGTCAAATTGGCGTCGATGCGGACGACGTCTTTGCTCCGTCGAAAAGATTACGAATGGAGGATGAGGCCAGAAGGTTCATCTCGCAGCTCAAATTACCTGTATCGGGTCTTCAACCCTCCTGCGTTTACCCAGGGGAACCCAACGAAGCGCAGCCGTCCAGTGTTCACAGCGATGCCGGCACGTCACCTTACTTTGCAACGCCAACAAAGGCGCCACAGCCCGTCCCCCAGCGTCCCAGTCCTGGAACTGTGTCTTGTATCCCTTTCCCTCCTCTCAGCGCAGAATCATTTGGCATTATCCAGGAGCAGGTGGCCCATGACCCTTTTTGGCTGCTCATTGTCGTCACCTTTCTCATCAAGACAAAGGGCCTGTATGCAATCCCGACTTTTCTGCGCGTCAGAGAGCGCTTCCCGGTGCCGTGCGACATTGCCAACCCTGAAAATGCGGCGGAGATACTGAGCATGATCCGGCACCTTGGACTCGGTCAAAACCGGCTCACTTGGATGCAAAAGTACGCGCGGCACTTCATGTTCAGCCCGCCGCGGCCGGGCGTGCGCCACGCTGTGCGCCGGTACGACTCGGGTGAAGTCAGTCACGATGCGGAGGGCCGCTCCAGCGTATGCGCCGAGGACGCCGCCGCGTACGGTTGGGAGATTGGGCACATGACGCAGGGCGCGTACGCCATTGACAGCTGGCGCATCTTTTGTCGAGACGTGCTGCTAGGGAAGGCCAAGGACTGGAACGGCAAGGGTGCCCAGGGTGAGTTCCAGCCAGAGTGGATGAGAGTCTTGCCAGCGGATAAGGAGCTCCGGGCTTTTCTACGATGGATGTGGATGCGCGAGGGCTGGGAGTGGGATCCGGCGACGGGGGACCGCGCGGTGCTGCGGGAAGAGATGTACCGGGCGGTTGAGGAAAGCCGAGTCGAGTATGACATTTACGGAGGGCTGCAGATTCTTGACGAGAAGTGAGCGAGCAGCAGGTAGGTAGACCGAGCGAAGGTGCTGAAGCATTGATACCCGGTTAGGCAGGATAGAACCAAGTAAACTCCGCCTTACTTTTGGATGAACTTCTTGAATGAGCTTTAAGAAGTCGATTAATATTCACTCCTAATCGCATTTGCCTTTCTCTTTTGGCGATGCATCATTGTGCTAATTGACTTGGGTCTGACATGGGGGATGAGCTGCAGTGAGCTTTGGTGGAGTGCATTAAGCTAATAAGCCAGAGGCGGCAGGTACGAGACAGCAACGCGTGCCTGGATTTTGCAGGGCTCGCAATACCATCAAGCCACTGGAAGGGAGCCATGAACATCCGCCATGAATGTCACCAGACGAAACCAAACCCAGCATTCCCAAAGGCCTGGTGGAGATAGGTACGGTGCTCGGCTTGTTGCCCTGATCATCTGCTAGTGTATCTGCTAACTAACGTTACTAGTACAAACAGGTACCTTCGTCATACAATTCAAGTGGTGTGTTGACCTCACTTACCCATCGCCAGAAAGGACACAGTTGCGCCAGGCATGACCTGAGGTCATAGCTCGCCGAGCCACATCAAGATCCCACGATTCAACGCTGGTCACCACCAGCCACATTTACCTCGGTGTTTTTTGCTGTGTACCTATGTATGCTTACCTAGCCACCATCATCTACCAGAATGACATTTGTGAAACGCCTTTTAAAAGCAGATACGTTGAAAATAATAACAGCAAAAAGTATTAATACACTCATGGCAAAGAACACATCATCTCGCATCTACCATTACATACCCCAGCCTCCCTTTGTATCGCGCCCGCCCCGGTACCATCTTCTGACGCCTCGCCCGCTCCGCTTTCCTTTTCTTTCGCCCCCGCCCTTCTAACACCAGCCAACCAGCCCTAGCAAGGTTCCTCCAAGTAGTGGACAGCTGGTCTGAACAACCTACCACCTTCGCTGTTCGCCCGCGATTTCACCATCTTTCCCGTACATCAAGCCAATTCTCCCCGCCGCCGCCGACTCTCCATCAATCACGCGATTCGTTGGAGCGCGCGTCCTTTTTTCCTCTTTCCTTCCTTTCCTTTGCCTCGCCTAAGCAACGCGTACCACCCGTCTCCCCATCGCCGAACAACAACCATGTCCCTCCGAGGCGGCTCCTCAGCCGGCTATGGCATCAACAGCGGCCCCAACCCGTACGGCTCCTCCTCCCAGCAAGAGGAGCAGGGCATCCTCGACCAGATCCGGCCCTACACGAGCAAGGTTGAGGACCTACTCGAGAGCGTCAGCGAGCCCATCAAGCCGTGAGTCGCCAAATGAAACGCCCCCCCGAGCGTGCGCTCCCTCGTCCACGATTCGCCGTGCTCTCCCTTGAGGATAGTTGCGCGCATGAAGCACGACGCACGACGCAAAAAGACCAATCTAGCTAACCAATTCCTCTTCTCTCTGCGATGCAGATACCTTCCCGCCATTGGCCGCTTCCTCATTGTCGTCACCTTCCTCGAGGACGCGCTCCGCATCATGACCCAGTGGAGCGACCAGCTTCTCTACCTCCGCGACTACCGTCACAGTAAGCTTCTGTCCCCCCGCCGCGCGCATACTGCCACGGCAGAACTCAATGCGAGTATCTCTCTTCCATACTAAACACCCAAATCATCAGTCCCGAACTATATCACCCACCTGTTCCTCCTCGTCAATGTCGTCGCCATGCTCGTCTGCTCCACGCTCGTCATCATCCGCAAGTACTCCGACTACGCCGTCGCCGGTCTCATGGGCGTCGTCGTCACCCAGGCCCTCGGCTACGGCCTCATCTTCGACCTCAACTTCTTCTTGCGCAACCTTTCTGTCATTGGCGGCCTCATCATGGTCCTCTCCGACTCGTGGGTTCGCAAGACCAAGGCCTTTGCCGGCCTGCCTACTCTGGACGAGAAGGACCGCAAGATGTACTTCCAGCTCGCCGGCCGTGTCCTCCTCATCTTCCTGTTTGTCGGCTTCGTCTTCTCCGGCTCCTGGTCCATCTGGCGCGTCATTGTCTCCGTCCTCGGCGCTGGCGCTTGCGTCATGGTCGTCGTCGGTTTCAAGGCCAAGTTTAGCGCCACCCTGCTCGTCGTCATCCTCTCCATCTTCAACCTGTTTGTCAACAACTTCTGGACTGTAAGTTTTCTGCGATGGCATCCTTGCCAGCTCCCAGTGCCTTCTCGTTTTACTAACCTCGTCGCAGCTCCACCCCCACCACCCCCAGAAGGACTTTGCCAAGTACGACTTCTTCCAGATCCTCTCCATTGTCGGTGGTCTCCTCCTCCTCGTCAACAGCGGCCCCGGCCAGTTCTCCATCGACGAGAAGAAGAAGGTCTACTAAGCGACTCGCCTTCCCATCGGCCCTCTGTGGCGTACCCGCTTTTGTGTCACAGAGATGTTTACGCGCCATGCACCCTATTTCGACCGGTACGGGTAAAATGAAGCCAAGGCTCCGTCACCCTCTACACCGGTTAACGTCTACAAAGCGGAGGAGGATTTCTCGATTTGATTTTTAAAAGAAAGTGGTGGACGAGAGAAGGAAAGGAAATATTTCACCATGATCATTACCATGTCAACGGCGACCACGCCAGCTATCTCATATATAGAAAAGCTTGTTTGGCAAATTGTCGGCGTATGAATTGAGCAATACAACACACAATTGAATTTTTTTTTATCACAGTTTCCTTTACAGCAACAGCGTATTGGTCCTGCGTAGTAATACGTCACTTGTATGTGGCTGGTTTCCTCCTTCGTTTGGCTTCACGTGATGACATTAGCCAGCTCGGCAATCGCCCGCCAAGCCTCCCTAAATCTAAACCGCACTTGGCAGCCTTGACCGGAGGGCGACGCGACAGCTGCAAACATGCGCGTATTGTATTCAACAAGAAGACAAGAAACAGACGAGCGTACATCGGCCCGCATTGAGCCACGCTGGGCGAGTTTGCCGGTGGGGGGGGGACGTTGACGAGGGTTCAGGCTCAAGGGTAAGTTGGGAGAAGGCCAGCCTGGTGAGGAAGCGCATCGCGTCCATTTCGTCACAAAAGAGTGTATGACTGATCGTGGTGATGACGATTGTGCGAGTTAAATGATGAAAATATTACTTTCAAACATGACGCGTAGTTCAAAAAGACTCAATAATTCAACAATACTTTGAATTTATGCCAATGTGATACCGTGATATATAGAAAACCAATAACAAAAGCCAGTCACCAAAACGAACAACAAGAAAAGGCACCAGAATTGTCGTCTTTAGTCATGCCATCAAAAAAAAAAAAAAAACCCCCCAATTCTTCGTCCCTCACAGCCAAATGGAAAACTTCCGCTCCCTCTCTCTCTCACCATCCCGGTTCGGCCGTGTCACGAATCAAGCAACCATGCGAGAACAAGAAAACCAAATAACCCAAATGCCAAGTGCTGAATAATGAAAAAAATGCAACAACGCCCAACACGCACGCAAACCAAAAGTAGATAGCCTGCCATCGCGCAACCTCGATCGGGGAAGCAAGCAGGAGGTTGGATGGTAAAGCAGACAAGCTTTCCCCATTAAAATGCTCGACTGTGGCCATGTCGACCGTGATCATGCTCGACCGTTTCATGCTCGACCGTGAAATAATTTCTTGTTGCGCCAAGGACATAAAAACACCAAATCTTCAAAAGCCAAACCATGCAAACATGAAATCGCCCAAGAAAGAAAAAGGAATACGTTTGGAGTCGTCATCGTTATAGAAAGAACAAGGAATGATTCCCAAGATGCTGAAAAAATGCAATTGTTTTTCTCTGCTGCTTCTTCTTCTCAAAACAAGAGTCGTTTGGCTCGGGCCGTCTTCTATGCGCCCGACACCTTGCGGGCGGTAGCCATAGCAGCGGCCGAGGTTCCCTGACCGACACTACCCACGCGACCGCTCGTCTTGCGGATGCCCGCCGACGAGGGGGACACATCCTTGTTGCGGAGCGGTGACTCGGGCACGGCGCCGCGCCTGCTGCCGCGTACACGAGGTAGTGTTGCCGAGGCGCTCTGGGCGCGCTCCACGGCTTTGGCCGGTCGGCCGGCACCAATATTCTCGGCGTCCTGCGACGCGTCGTTGTCAATCATGTAGATCGTGGTCGTTGACGTGGTCTGGCTCACGGAGCGCGACTTTTGAAGAGGTGACTGCGACGCCTTGCGGGAACTGCGCATCCGGACGAGAAGCTCTTCCTCAGAATCCCCTGTGGCGCCGCCAGAGCGCCGTTGTACGGTTACGACTTCCGTCTCCTGCTCAATGCTTTGAGATTCCTCGATTGTTGTCGTCTGGTGTGATCCTGAGCGTTGGTACGGGTGGTGGCGATCAGAGCGCGTCTTTCTAGGCTGGCCGGGAGTCGGCGCGGGCAGGTAGTCTTCCTGATTGTGCACTTTGTTGCTGCGGTCGTCGAGCTCGCTTAGTGGCGTGCGGTTCGAGGGGCTGCGATTGGGGGGCGTCGATAATTGACCGTTGCGGAGAGAGCCCTTCTGGATGGCGCGGATGGGCGTGCTGGGCACCGGGTTCGCGGCCGCCATCTCGCGCCGCAGTCTGCGCTCGACGCGCTCCTCGATCCACCACTCGCGGAAGGTTCCCTGGTTGAGGTGCAGCCAGTGCTGCTGGGGACCGACCACCATGCCAGGGCGCATGAAGCGCATGAAGGAGATGACCTCGTCGGCGGTAAAGCCGTGGCGGTAGATGAGGTAGGCGCCGATGAGACAGCCGGTGCGGCCGAGGCCAGCCTTGCAGTGAACTGCGATACCCTTCTTCTTCACGGTAATCATCTCGTGGGCGAGGCGGATAAACTTGCGGACAGTGGTCAGCGGGGGGCAGGTGCCGTCGTCAAAGATCATGTCAATGTGCTGGATGCCGAGGGCCTCGAAGTAGGAGGGGGAGTAGAGGTGGGAGTTGAGGCGGACGACGAGCCCAATATTGCGCTCGGCAAAGTGCCCGAGCACGCACTTGAATTGCTTGGGCAGTGTGGGGTGGGCGTCGACGGCGTCGAGGTCTCTGGGGAGGATGTTGAAGAGGTCCGGCTCTGCTTCGGTGATCTTGGCGACGGGGGTGTGCTGGGGCGAGGCAAAGGCGAGGAAGTTGGGTGTGATCCAGTTGAAGTCGCCGTGCTCGACGCGCTCAAAGCGCTCGTACTCGTCGAGGTCAAAGTTGTCGAGGTCGATGCACTTTTCCTCCTTGGCTTTCCAGACGCCATAGACGACGTCCTGGACAGTGATTCCGTAGTCGGCCTGACTATAGCCGGCGTCGCGGAAGGGCATCAACGGGGGGTCGACCTGGGCGATGGGGGCGAGGGCCAGGTGCGGGGGCCAGTTCTGGATGAGGACCATGTAGCACGCGAGCATGCATGCGGCATTGGCACGACCTGTAGGGAGCAAGGGGGTCAGTAAAGAGGTGCGCAGCAAAGACGCAAATCATAAATGGTAGGCTTACTCCTGGGGTCGGCGGCGCTCCAAAAGACGACAGGACGATCCTTGTTCTCCTTAGCAGCGAGGATTTCGTGGAAGCGAATGGCGAAGCGGTAGAGGTGGCCGATGTGCAGGGGGCCAAAGTCGTGGTGGAAGGCATTGTAGAAGAGGCTGTCGTCAATGGTGAAGTAGCAAGGCGGCGAGCGGCGGCTGGGCGACGGCGCGGCGGCGCGGCCCGTGGCCGTCCTTTGCGCTCGCTTCCGCGGCGACTCGGGTGTCGCAGGGAAGAGGGTGTCGGCCGTAGGCGGCGTGATGTAGGCGGCGAGGTAGAGTCGGTCTGGAAGACGAGAAAAGGTCAGCCAACGTCCAGCAATGGCCATCCCAAGAGACGACGAAACGCACCAGGAATGTACTCAATGATCTGGCCCAGGTTCTGGGCTTGACGGGCGGTGGGAGCCATGGTCGAGATGGCTCGCTCTACCTGTGTTGCACCGTTGCAGCTAGATGTTTGTGTTGTTGTGGTATCTGGACCCCTAGCGAGCTTTTTTGCTGCTCCTGTTTTGATTTGCGACCCGGGCCAGGAAGAATTGGGAGATTGGGATGCTAAGGATGCTCTCGTCAAAAAGTCAAAAAAAGAATACAAAAAAAGAAGAGACGTCGAATGAGAAGAAGAAGTCTTGAGCTCTTCTGTTGCAACAAGAAGAAAGATGCAAAGAAACGGTTGGCGGCGCTTGTTGGGGGGGGATGATGTTGTTGTTGTTTTGGTTCGCCGGGGGTGGGCAGAGGAGGAGGCGTGAAGTGTGGAGGACAAGGGAAAGCCTTGGGCGTTGGTGGACCTGAGCAGGGCTGGTCTCAAGGCGGTGATGAAGAGACAAAATACCAAAGCGGGCGCAAGGGGGGATGCGAGGCAAGCAAAAAAGAAAAAAATGATACAGGTGAGATGCTTGACGAGATTCAATTATAAAGAAAACGGGAGCAGCCGTTGGTAATAAAAGGGGAAATACACACACAGGCAAGCAAGCCGGGCCAGTGCCTCGCCACAAACAGCGGCCGACCCAAGTCTGTTGTTTATGCCAGAGGGGCCAGAGTGGATGCCGATGAGCTTGCAGTTAGTGCCCAGGCAGGTATTTCGCTATGGGAAACGATGCCCTTATTCTTTTAGCAGTATCAAGCCTAAAGAGCAGGTAGCTTGTCGGCGGCCTTTTACTTTCTTCTTATGCCTTCTATTCTTGTCCTTCCTTCCTTTCTTCTTCTTGTCCTTCTTCTGTCTGTCCACAAACCTTCTCCGTTCTCCGAAGTGTGACAACGCCCGCCTTTCCTCACCAGCATTGACCTTGTACCTCGTCCTGTCAGCCAATCCCTGCCTGGTCTCTCCCGGGCGGGCGGCTCCAAGTTCCATCCAACCAACCAACCCGTCCCTCCGTCGAATCTTCCCCCGGCGCCGTATTGTTGTGGGGACGTTTTGGTGAGACCCTCCCCAGCACGGTCGCCGTAACCACAGCAACGGCGCCGTTTCGAGAGCCACAAGTGTGGCTTTCCTGCAGCCACGAGCCACCCGGCCTGTGTGGCTTGCCGCCAGAAGGAAGAAAAAAGTTGACCCCGCCTTGGTGCTGCTTCACAGTCAGACAGAAATGAAAATACGACGTCTTGCTTCAGCTACATTCCAGCGAGACCGCGTAGCCACAACAGCACACGGCTAACAAACAAGATTCTTTTCATCGGAGCATCCGAGAGAAGAGCAACATTCCAAAGAGGCCATCGACGTTTTCACCAAAAATAGAACGCACTGTTCATCGAAAGCTGGACGTATCAAACTACTTTCATCATGGCTGCCTTGGCCGACGACGCCTCGTTTCCCTGCTCCATGTAAGCATGCCCCAACACGTACTCGCGATTCTTGTGTGTTTTTTTCTTCATCATCCTTAAAAAAAAACCGCACTACCCATCCCGCGTTCTTGTAAAACCTGAAACACAATATATGAGATCCGGGCGCTTACTTACATCCCCTCCCCTCCCCCGCAAAAAGCTCCCTGCAGGTCCCCTTTCCCACCGACCGCCTCGCCTCGACGGCCCTGCGCGCCATCGAGGTCGACCCGGAGCTGTCGCCGCTCGTGCGCCGGCACCTCGCGCTCGCGCCCGCTGACCCGCGCGTGCTGCGCGTCGACTACCGCGCCGCGACGAACCGCATGCTGCGCGTGGCGGTCAACTCCTTCATGGACAGCCTGGGCCTGGTCGTCGAGGTCATGGAGCAGCTGGACGAGGATGTCTTGGCGAATCCGCCGGCGGAAGCGGAAGCGCAGTGAGAGAGAGGGAGAGAGGGAGGGAGGAAACCATGGAGTCGAGGTGATGCATTGTATATAGGCATCATGCATTTGTAAATAGAGCACGCATGGGTCAACGGCATTGCTGGGACAAGTACATATACCACATGAACACAGCAATGGAAAAAGTCAGTGTTACGTGAATTTTCATCTTCATGCCACCTTCAATAGCAATTATAGGATGTAGGTCACACAGTGTATAGGAAGCTCAAACATCGTGTATTACATGGCAATGTCATGTCCACTGGCATAGTACAGACTGGTATATACGTAGCTGTTGTTTCTAGTAGCCAAAAGCGGTCGCTCACATCGCAAACAAGGTGTATAGAAGAAAGGGAGCTCTAGAAAGACAATCCAGGGCAAATAAACAAATTCCCCAAGCAGAAAACCCGAGTAACCATTAATTGATAGAAAGAAGCCGCAAGGAAGGGGACCCCCCACGCTCTGTCGCAGCTCTACCCAAGGAAACCCAACGACGCCATTGTACGTGTGTCGTCGTCACCATCCAAAAACACAATTGAAGAAAAGGAAAAGGGTATCCCCATCCAACAACTCGCCCATAAAAAACTCCTTCGTATATAATGCAGAATCGCTCATAAAAGACCCGAGAGACCGACCACCAAGAGAGACAAGCAAAGGGCAGGGAAAAGCAAATTAACGTCAATACCTACCTAATGGTAAGTCGGTATCAACTCTTTTGCATAGCCTCCAGCTTATTCCTCAACTCCTCCAGCTCCTTCTTCAAATCTCCGTTTTCTTTTTGCAGATTCTTCATGTGCACAATGGCATTCTCCACCACGCTCGCCTTACTGCTGGGTGTGTTGTTGCTATTGCTGCTGCCTCCCGGCTTGCCGTCCTTCTTCTCTTCGCCGTCCTCGGAGGTGGGATTCCCCTGATCAGGCAGAAGGCTCGCCATAACCTGCAGCGCCGAGTTTATGCGATTACGGCGGCCCTGCTCAGCAATTTTGTGTGAGGTGCGCTTCGAAGTTAGGTTGGTAGACAGCTCCGTCGGGTAGCTGACACCAGGTACGGTGTTGCCCTCCAGAATGTTTTGGTAATTAGACTTGGACATGAGCAGCCGCGAAGTGTCCTCGGCCGACATGCCTGGCGTACCGGGGATGAGCGGTTTGATGTTGGGTGAGATTCGGGGAAGCAGGGCGGGGGACACATGGACGGAGCCAGTGGAGCGCTTTCTGCTATTTCGTGAGAGCAACTGAGGGGTCTTGCGCGCTGATGGACCGGCCGATCGGGGGCCGAGCGAAGGGCTCGCGCTGGCGGACAGGGTGCCGCCAACGGGGCGCAGATTCGGTGATGGCGAAGGGTGGAAGCCGGTGCTGCGGGCAGAGACGGGCTGATCGTTACCAGGGAACTGAGAGGATATTTGCGTGTTGATCGGCGCGAGCGGTCTGTTGGATACAGACTCCGGCAGCTCCAGAGACTCGATGTGTTCAGTGGCTGTGTCACCTTGTTGCGTCGACTGCGGCTTCTTTCCCTTGGAGGATGGCAGCTTCATTAGGGAGGCGGGCGTAGCAGGGTGAGGCTGTTGGCGCTCTTCATTGATGGAGAGTGGCAGTGCCTGGCTCGGGTTGCCATTTTGCGCCTGGATATAAGGGGACTTGCTGTTGGATCTCCGTGCAGGGACAGGCGGCGGTGGCATATCTGTGAGGTTCTCAGGCGAAACGGAAGCATTCTCATCAGAGCCCTCTGTTGACGTGGCTGGTAGAGGCAGCAGGCCAGTTTCACCGCCGCTTTGCAACCGTCTCTCATCGACCTCGCTTAGAACCTGGGAGACAATGGCAGGGCTGGGGCCAACCTTGCGGCGCTGGGGCTTCGCAATGGGGGAATTTTTCACACCAGATTTCGAGCGGGCTTTGGCAGCATTGTTTCTGCGAGCCTTTTTGGCGAGATCCTGACTGGGAGGCACGGTTTGCGTGGCGGGTGGTGTCTCGAGGTCCATGTCAATCGGGGAATTGTTGGAGTTGGTGCTGTGGTCATAGACGGAGGCATCTGGTTGGGCGTGCAGGGCAGGCGAAGTCAGGGGACTAAAATAAGAGCCGGGAACGGCAAAGGTGCTGTCCATGTTGAAGTGAGGGTCCAGAGGGGTGACAGCGGGCGACACGAGCGGTGTGAAGGCCATCTGTGGATGAGATTAGTTTCAGTCATTGCGAGCCAACAGCTCCGAGAATCTGAGGGGGGAGACGGATAAATCACCTACATCTTGCTCGGCGACGCGCTGGTGGTAGCCGCGATCATAGGCAGTGCGCTGGGGCAGCTGCTCTGCCTGAGAATAAAACTGGCCGCTGCCGGGAGGCATCTCGAGGCTCTGAGGGGTGGGAGGGACGGAGTGGTGACCGTGAGGGCCGTAAAAGGTGGCATGCTGGTCCTGGAGCTGGCGCTGCTGTTGTTGAAACTTTTGCTGCTGGAGGTAGTGAATCTGCGCGTCAATGTTGGAGATGGAATCGGGTGCTGAGGTGGCGAGCATGTGGGCAGGGATGGACGGGTGAGAGACGGCGGACATGGCGGGCGTGTGGTTCTGCAGCAGGCCGTCGCTGCGGGGGATCATGGCGGAGGGGTCCGGGTCCGTCATGAGGGCATCAGCGGCGGTCGGGGGAGGTTGTTGCCGCTGCTGCTGATGTTGATGTTGATGCTGATGTTGGGCATGTTGATGTTGGTGTTGGTGGGCAGCGCCGGGCATCATGGGCTGGGGCGCGGAGGAGGAGGCGTCGTTGAAGGTGTGGAAGTCGAACTGCATGGCGGTCGCATCGGGAATCGTGCCGATGCCGGTCATGTCGAGGAACTGATTGAACTCGTCATCGGGGCCCGTGGACATGTGCTGGTCCTGGCCGTCCCAGGCGGCAGAACTCATCATGGCGGGAGGTTCGTTGGCGAGGGCCTGGTGAGGGAGAAGCCGTTGATGAGAGTGTTGCGTATGTGGTGATGCGGCGCGGCGCGCGGGCTTTTTTTTTTTTTTTTTTGTCTTGTACCGCGATGCGGCGGTGACGGAGGAAAAGTCGGATTTCAAATGTCGCAAGTCGTGGCAGTCGTTGAATTGGCGGTGCGAATCCTTGTTCCGGGAGGGTTTCGAAACGACGAGGCGCCGGGGGAGGCTGTCTTTGTGGAAAGCCGGAAGCAGGAGAGCGGCGACGGCAGCGGCGTAGTCTTTTTGGTGAGTCGGGCAAGGCAAGACAAGGCAGGGACTTTGTCTGGCTGTCTGTATTTCTGTCTGGCCTGGAATTTGTCGGCGGGTCTCTGGGGTGGGCGCCTGGCGTATCGCAGGTTAGGGTGGGTGGTCTCGAGGTTGGAGAGGTCGGCGGTCGACGAAAGGAAGGAAGGAAGAGGAAGACGAGAAAGAGACAGGCTAGGAGTCGATGGATGGAAGAGGCGAGGCTGGAGGTTGGAAGAAGCGGCGTAATGGTGTGATGGCAGGTGTTTAATTTGGTTGCAGGTCGGCTGTTGGTAGACTTTTGATGATGGGCACTTGATGGGGGCGGCAATAGTATGTACATGCATACATAGGTAGCGAGGTGCTTGGTGGCTTGTGCCTGTAACTGTACCCAGATCCCAAGAGGGACGGTGGATGGGCAGGCAAACCGGGCCGGAGCAAAAGCTGCAGCTGGTGGATGCAATGCAGTCAGTGCAGAAAGAGCTGTAGCGTCCCTCCTTGGATGAGTTTAGTGAGTGGTGGCTTTTGTTATTTCGGCCTCGCTTGCAGCCTTTATTGATGAATGCATGTCCTTTGAGCATCGGAAAGATGTGCGGGTTGTATCGGAGAGGAGGGGGGCTCTTGCAGGCCGGAAGGTGGGAGCAACTCCAGTGGTAACTTATGTACACAGTACTAGCAGCTGAGCTTTGTACCTACCAATTCCTTGGGCAGTACGGAGGTATCAACGAGGGCATGAAGGAGGGGCTAAACTCTCCCGCCAACGCTTGCTACAGTCCGCGGCCTCATATTGTGATGCGGGTGGGTTCTTTATATCTCCTCCAAGCTCAGTTCTTGTTTTGCGACAAGACAGAAGCAACTCAATACTCATACTTGACACGGGCGGCCATTACCATGACTGGTGGAGGGGCCGCGCAAATGCTGAATGCCTTCAGGGACCGAAAAACAAAAAAGAGTCAAGCAAGGCCGGACCCTACCTCTACCAGGCACTGTATCCTCTGTGGAACTCCCCAAGGTGGGCTGTCGGAGAGAAGAACCAGCCCAAGCAACAACGCACCAACTCACAACCAACTCTCGTTAGTTACAGCCTTGTTCCTGTTGCTGGGTACATTCTGTGGGAGACTTGACTCTGTTGCAGGTCCCCGTCTTCTAGATTGAACCACTTGCCCACCCAACTAGTTTGCTTGGTAGCCCACCTAGCCCCCCTAGCCCGCCTATTGGTCGTATCTCGTGTTAGCCGACGGATACTGGTACAATACTTGTTCTTTGCCTATCAGCATCTCCATCTCCTGCCCCAACAGGACTGGCTCCAACTCCGAGGTAGATAGTGGGCATCTAAACTAACTAACCAACCAACCAGGCTGCGTCCTTTATTACTGGTTCCTAACCTAACTAACTACTAACGAATTCATTGCTTCCCATCTTGTGCCGAAAAGACGGAAAAGTAGAAAGAAACCTGCAACATGACTATCAGACCTTCAACGGCAAACAACAACCAGTCCATTACGTATCGGATTACAGACACTGGTCCCCACAGTCTCTACGATCGAGTGACACAGCCCTCATCATCATATCATCACCGCCACCAGTTCCTCTTCTTCTATTCCTCTTCTGCCTGCCCGCCCGCCCGTCTTGGTTCGAGTGGCTGGCTGCGACAGCTAGTCATGCACCACAGTTCACGTAGATTCGTACCAATCCTGCAAAAAAAAAGCTGTGTGTCATTCGTCCGCCTAGCGTGGCCAGGGTACCTTTCAGCCATTCCATGCGTGGCGTTTCTCCTTCAGCTGCAACAGGGCTGAAGCCTGTGTCGGCCGGCTGTACGCAGCAATATATCTTCCAGGTTATAATAGAGATGCACAACAAGCCCAATATTGAATGGCAAGAATGCGAGATGCTCCGGACTAGTTGCCAGTCTCTTTTCCCCCAGCCACAATATTCGGCCCCTCGCCACGGCAAACAAGGACTGTACTTTTTTTTTCTTTCAGAAAGATATATTCTCGGCCCAAGAGAAATGCTACACAGGCTACTTACTGGCAGGCAAATCCATCATCATCATCATCATCAACGTCGCCAATACAGATTACTCAACATCAAGAGTTCCAAACCACTTCGTCCAGTATCAGGTAAATTAACCCGTACCCAAATTCCCCATCCCCCATCCTACAACACCCAAATGTAAATCTCCGAGACCCAGATAAAAGCAACCACAACTCAAGCAACAATTAAAACATTAAAACACCAAAAAAAAAAACATCTCGGACCAACAGGCCCACTGAGACCTTTTTCTCCCACAATCCATAGTTACTTACCTCTGGACAAGTTCCGTGGTGTCAGAGGGGCATGGTCACTGCCACAAACTCTTCTGCTTCCTCCCCAGTGCTTCTTTTTCCTTTCCTTCTTCTCACCTTCTTCTTTCGCTTCCGCACCAAACCCCCTCCCCTTTTTTAACCTTTTTTTTTTCTTTTCCCTTTCCCCGCTACGCACGAACAGGGCATACATATCACCTTTCCCTCAAATCCCCCCTCTGCCCCTTTGCCCCTCGCTCTTTATCCTGAACGTTGCATAATGGCTGTGTGTGCTTGTGGCCCAGGAACCCAACCGGCCCGGTCAACAAGATATATCAAAGATCCAGAAGGGGGGCGGAAAAGGGGAACCGACCTGCCAACCGTTGTGTAGCGCCAAGTAGATTCCCGCCAAGGTAATGGGCAGCTTTTCAACAGCCGGCCAAGAAACATCCGCGGGTGCCCATGAAAATGTCCAAGTCTGTCCAGAGTGTCCCATACATGTTCAACCCATGAAGGCTCCTAGGCTTCGGATGAACTCTATCCCCACGACGACGGACATGACTCGCCCAGATTCGTTGCTGCGAGAGAGCATGAGAGAGAACTCACGGCCGGTGTCCGGTCCTTCGCTTACTGAAGCAAAACACAATGCAGATAGTAGCATAGACCATGACGGATTTTGAAACCCTTCCCATGATTCTCGCCAGTGACATGCAGTGGATACAGCCTGAGATTACCAAGCTGCCAGAAATGCCCGAGATTCGTTACTATCCGTAAACATCACGAAGCCTGGCTATACACCTTGTATTATTGACCTTCACATCCCCCCCCCCTTTTTTCTTTTTTCTTCGCTTGCAGCTCTTCTTCACAAGGATACTTATTACTGACAGAGCCTCATCTAGGTCCATCGGCCGAGCCTCAACCTAGGCAAGGGTCGGTCAACGACCCGCGACCCGCTTTCGGACATATACCCGTATTCCTTCAATCTGCCAGAATGCAACGCTGTGCTTTTCTTCTTTTCTTCTTACTCTTTTTTTTTTGGCCTTGCCTAATTCGCAAGGAACTAGTTATCAGCTCTCTATCCATTCTCAGCTGCAAACGGGGGCCAGTGACAGAGGGAGATGCGGCAAGGGTCGGCCCAACGACTTCGAGAGAAGACGCACGCCACAAGGCGGTCTTCTCCCAAGTGCCGCCGCCCATCTGCTCGATCATCTGCCAGCCATGTGTCATTTAGAGAGAGACGCTCTCCTGACCATGGAGGACCACGCGGCTAGCTGCTAAAGCCGACGGCTGAAGCGCAACAGGCAAGCCGGACAAGCCAGCCAAGCTTGACCAGGGAAGCAAGGAATCTGACAAGTCAGAAAACAACAAGACCCCTCCCTCCTCGTATATCATCATTCCATCACCCATATACATACGCAAGGCAAAGCAAAGCCCATGAAAACAAACACGAAGAAAAAAAGAGCACGGAGCAGCATCCGACGCGTGCGTGAAGCGCTGAGATGTCATGAATTGCACGGCCGGGGTTTATAAACCAAGAAAGAATCTCAGTATAATCCCCGTCACCCCAGTCTTGCCCAACAGAGGCCAGACCAGCCAGTATAGCTGCGTCGTCTCGTGACAAAACCTCACTGTCTAACCATTCTAACCACCCCCGGAACCCCGGCCCCAGCCCGTCAGCAGCGCCGCGCCTCTCGGTGGAGGCGGGCTTGTCCGCCCCGGTCGGTTTCCTTTTCCCTCCTCGCTCACCGAACAAAAAGGACTCGCCCACCGGGTCTGCAAGAACATACAGGAACGAGCGTTGGCGTTTTTCTCTTTGTTCTCTGCCTCGGTCTCTCTTGAGCAAAAAAAAAAAGTCCGCGAAAATTGTTGCAGACTTTTCTTTGGCAAATTGCGACCCTATAGTTAATTTGCATGAGGATGAATCAACCATACAGGGGTCGATTTTACAGAAGTGCAGAACTCGTCTCTACAACGTCATCCCGGTCTTCAAGTCGAAATACCGTATGATGCGCGGAATGGTTGGCATCATCCCGCAAGAAAGTTTGTAAGTAGTACACATGCCTTCCACCAGTCAAAGACAATCTCGAATAATCCCCTGCCATTTGCATCTCGAGGCTAGCCAATGAAAAGCTTCGGTAATCTTCATTCATACATGAAGCGGGATTCACAGAGGCAACATCTACAGGTAAAATACTTTCGTTAAATCGCTATGAACCGCTTCTTTTCCCACCCTCTTCAACTATATGTGTCAGGAACTGGTATAACGGCTTCAATTGATTGAAATTAAGAGCAATGCGGACCAAACCCGGGTCCTCGTCTAGAATGTATAAGCGACAGATAAAGAGGAAAATGTGTGATATGAGGCGGATATGTCCAATCGGAAATCTCAGGCCTTGTCATCGGGGTCCATGCTAAAAATGTGCATAGCCCCGAAGCCCCCCCGGACGTCGACAGAGACGCCCTTGCGCTTCAAAACAAAAAGGTTGGTGGGGAAATAATGTTGAAACCAAAGAGTGACGCTCTGTCGCAGCCCGATTTTGCTCGCGCTGCGCCAGTCTATGCAATATGCTTCCTCGAGACCCGATCTGGGAACTCTTCCCCTTCGAAACCACCGAATAGTATAAAGGAATCCTGCCGCGCTGACAGGCTCAAGAACGAAAAACGCTATCAAAGAATAGGGGTATCAGCCAACCAAGGCATCAGGACCGGATGCTCAACGACTATGCCTTCGTCACAACGTTGCAAAAAGCCAGTGTCCAACATCACTTGCGGTTCTGGTCGCCCAGGTTGAGCCAGCTCATATCTGATGAGGTGGCTGCCATGGCAAGCTGTGGTTGTTGGCTGACTCCAGAGCTGTGCGGTACTGCTGTCGACCCTTCCCGGCCACTTTGGTATATGCTGCTTGGGGCACGGTCGTGACCCCAAGGCCTATTCTCGCTCGAGTGTCTGAACATCTCATTGATACTCTCTGGTACTCCGCTTGAGTATCCAGACACTGACGACAATGGCGAGACGGGGCGCTCAATAGTGCCCGCCATACCCTCAGTCGGAACCTTACTGATGTACTGCGACACAACGGGGCTTCCGGTATTGACGCTGTTTACTTCAGGCGGGGACTCGAAGTTGAGAGGAGGCACCGTGGCAGAATCCTGAGTAGCCCGGACATTGTTATTAGCCGAGTTAGACTCCGAATAACGCGAGCTGCGCTCCGAGGTGACCGTTGCTCGCTTGTTCCCGTAACCGAGAATCTGCAGCGCGCTGCCTCCGGACCAGTACTTGTTCCATCCAGAGCTACGGCGAGTACCGTCACGTGTGGAATTGGGCTCGCCGTTACGTGGACGGGGCTCAGCGACGGTTGGGTCGAAAGCAATACCTCGGTCATCGTGAGCTTGTAGCATGGGGTTATTCGACGGCTGCGGAATAGGCTTGCTGATGGTGCTCTTGAACTGCTTATGTACAGAGCTCATCGAGCTCCTCGAGGATGCCCGTGACGTCTTGCTGTTAGCACCAGCTTGCTTCTGGGGTCCCATTCGGCCCATAAGGATGGCGACAGAAGAATACGATTCGGTGGAGAGCGTGGGATTATGGCCGCGATAGTTGGCATGAGAGACAGGAGGTTGCGTGCTCCTGGCAAACGCAACGGTATCCTTCTCATCCGGATTGAGGACAGCACCCTGGTTGGGGTTCATGCGACGCTTGCGTCGCTTAAGAAGAAGTAGGATGACAAGGAGGATGGCAAGGAATGCTGCAATAGTTCCCAGTGTGATGCCGAGAATAGCATTCGAGCTAGGGCCGTTCTTTTCGGTTGTACTGGCAGGACTAGTTGCAGTGGGAGTTGCGCTCGTCGAGCTGGCTGTGGTGATCGAGGTGGCAAAGGTAGAAGACAGCGAGGTTGAGGTGGTGCTCGTCGTCGATGTTGTTGAAGAGGCGAGGTTCTTTTGTGTGCCGTCACCAAGAGAGTCGGTAGTATTGACCCAGCTGTTCTTCTGAGCGTTGAAGATCGCAACCGGCTCCTTGGCGTTACCCCCGGACATGACGATCATGCCATTGGCACCTTGGGCAACAGAGTAGCCAGTTCTTGTCGTGTCTGGCGCATTGGTGCTATTGTATTCAGGCCAGTTACCAAGTCCAAAATCAACGCTGCGTTTTGTTGCAGCGGCTGCGCCATACATAGCCGCGTCTGGAGCTTTGGCGAGAGGTATCCTTGTCACAACGTTGGGTGAGCGGCTCAAGTCGAATTTGAGAAGACTTTGAGAGCTGTCGCTAGTGCTAGAGACGAGTGTGCCCCGGATTGCGGCAGAGTCTGAAGGCCATGAGTCTTTGACGCTTCCAACTGGTCTCCAACCATCGGTGTTACCTGGGTCCGCGTTCATAAGCCAGATGGTGCCACCATCTTCAGGGCCAGAGATCAGGGCAATGTCAGCACCGGCCCAAGGGAAGAGCATGGGCTTCACAGCACCAGCTTTACCAGACTTCGGAGGGTTTGCTGCGTGCACTTGAGGCGCTTGGTCTCCTAAGAACTTGATCTTGTAAGTCTCCTGTGAAGCGCCGGCGGGGGCACCTGGGTCATCCGACTTGAGGCCAGAGAAGACAACCATGGTATCGGAAACGTCATTATACACAACACCATGACCTCGCCGGTTCTGCATGTCCATGGTCTGGGCCGTCAGATTTTTCCACGTATTGGTGGAAAATGTATACTCTTGTAAACCCGAGTAACTCTTGTCGTCACTGTAGCCACCGACTACCAACAGGCTGGCTGCCCCTTTGTCAGTCAGGTGCTTGCCGGCGCACGAAGGCCCTGCTAACTTGACACCGCCAGGTAAAGTCTCCCATTTCGCATTTCCCTTCAAAGACAGCGACATGAATCCCTTCTCTGAATAAGAATAGAAGGTATCGTCCACAATAACAGTACAGGCATTGTCGAGCACAGTGATGTCTTTAAGCCCCGGGACAGACATTGTGAATGGCTTGTCCCTTCAACCTGGGCGGCTGTTTTGAGACTGACTGGTTGCGCAAGACAGTCGAATCAAAATGACATGACTCTGCGGCATCAATTGGAAAGTTGAGGGTGCTTCTCGAAAAAGAATCGGCGGGGTTGATCAATTCGGATGTGTGCGAAGGATGTTATATCACTGAGAAACGTTTCGCGATTCGTCGAGGTGCGTGTATTCACGTGAGGAAATAAAACAGAAAATGGTGGTCCAAATTTCGGTGAGAATGAGAAATTCCAAGGTAAATGGTCGTTGAAAACCAGTCGTCGAGATGCTTTGCGTGTCGCCGTGATGTTGTAATGGACACTAGTAAGCGGTTCGTTTGCACCGTTCAGGAGAGAGTTGCGGCGCGCCAGGCGGCGGGATTGAAGAAATTGGAAGATTGTAAAAGGAAGTCGAAAGAGAGAGCGCGGCTCGTTATGGTCGGAAGACAGGAATATCGTGTTCGCGAGGCGTGCTGCGGCCAAACCTCGTACCAGACGGCATGTATTGGGTGTGGGCAGCTGTTTGCTGGAATGCAGCGAGCAGACGGGAAGCCGAGACTAGCCTTGGGTAGCTGAAAGCTGGAATGATAGCTACGCACCAGACTATGTCAAGAGAGAGGAAGAAGAAGAAGAAGAGGGAAGCCTCGATGATACTTCGAGAAACGAGGCAGGTGAACAGAAAGAAAGGGCAAAAACGAGACCTGCACAAGTGAGAAGCAGGAGCAGCGGAACGGGAACGGGGGAGAGGAACGGTGCAGGAGAAGCAGGTAAATCAGGAGAACACTGGCCAGTGAGCCCAAATTGGGAGGGGCGTGCGAACTAACAATACGAAGGCACGCCGGTACCGAGCTTCGGGGAGGGTCCACACTGCGCGGTGACTTTGGGAGGCTGGCAGCGAGGGCGGACTGGGCAGGTACCATTTTAGCTCGCGGGATGTTGGTGCTGTACTGGAGAGGAGGTAGGGGGGTGGCTGATATTTTTTTGGTGATGGGGTGCTACAGGTATTACCAGCATTGCTGCCCCTATCCAGTTGAAGAACGTTGCACTGAACTACAAAAGTCACTCTAGATGACAACGGGGTGCACAGACTAGTCAAACTAAAAACCAAGGGAAAAGAAGGTTGCAATGGGCAGCGATGGAAATGTACGGCACTGACGCTCATTGAACGCCCAAGAGCCCTTGCCTGGCTTTTCTTCTGCATATCGTGGGGCGGAAGCGGTTCAGGGGAGAACAAGACGCTAATAATTTACTAAAAGCTTTGGTGGCGCTGGGGAGAGGAGAGTTGGGCCAAGAAGAGGGCAGCAGGTTGAGCCTCAGATGAGAGTTCTAGTTTGCTTCTTCGCGTATGTCAATTCATTCATCAGTTGAGTATGGATAGGACCTAGCAAGGCGGTTTGTCTATTGACGAGTCTACAGCAGATAACCCCCGGCTCAAGGTGCTATTCATGTCCCGCTGCACGCTGGCTGTACACTTGGCATGGCGTGTTGGAGGTTCCGGTGGTCAAGCGGTGGCCTGTCTACGAGCAGGTCCCTCTGGAACGGCGGTGGTGGCATCCTGCCAGCGCGTACATACGGAACCTGCAGAGCACTGAGCCATGCATACATATTGCGGGCGTGCGAGGTTTGGCAGTGCTGCATCTGCGAGCGTGGCTGGTTTCAGGGGCCAGTTCTTGAGAGGGGTTAATGTAATACTGGCGGTGGATGGCGGACATGGCGGATGGTGGTGACAGCCTGGCTGTGAGAGTAGTGGCTCTGGTGAGCATCTGAGAGACCGTGGTTCCTCGTGCTCACCCGCTCACCCTCCCTTGTTCCTGGCCCTTGATTTTAGCACCGCTGCTAGCGCAGCACTAAGTAGACGCCTAGGGGGGGCTAGCTGGCCAGTGACGTCGACTGAAATAATGGCACAAGAGAGGCTTGCAGTTGCAGGCGGTTATTAACCACCAGTAGGATGTCTTCCTACCAGATGCAAGCATTGAGTGAGGCTTCCAATCAGCTATTGCGAATGGACTCTGTCCGTTGTGGCAACACGAGATGCGGAGATGGAAGAAAAATCGAAGAAGCCATTGTAGATAGATAGATGGTTTGTATTCGTAGATCCGTCCAGGTACGGAGCAAGGTGTGAACACGAATCAAAATTCCAGGCAGAGCCAACGAAAATCACCCGAGGAATCGTCCATGCAAAATCGCATTCGGACGCGCACGGCACAATTCCATTGTTGCCGCATTGCTTTGGAAAGCAGGCAGCCCACCCAATAGCGCTCGCTGCATAATGTCATTGCACTACCGATGCAGAGGCATGCCATTGCACAAATCGACCCACACCAACCACGGGCATTTTGTTCGACGCGAACACCACACCACCACACCATCACCATCACAGCGCCAAACCGCGAATTTTCACTCGACGCTGACTTCCAGGCCGCGAGTCTTTCTCCATGTGCATGTACTTGCTGCAAGTCATTTGATCTTTTCGCGTCACCCGGACTGATTTCTTGCCACGTTTTTTTTTCTCTTTCCCCGTAAAAATACGATCTCTCAATCTGCAGGCTGTCCTCGCCAACACACAACCTAATCACCTGCATGCTCAGTTTCCATTGACTTGCATATGTGCGTAAAAACAAAAAATAAAAACAACACATTTATGAAATGTTTGCCATTTTTGTGTTAATATTGTGCAACGCTCCCTCGCCAAGTGCAGCCGCTCAGACGCTCAGACCACCAGCCCGACTATTCGTACCCGCATTAGAGACATGCAGCAAGCAAGAACATCACGATGCGGGAAGCGTTGCTCAACTGTCCGTATTCCTCCTACCTTGATTGCCGATTGCGTACTATGGATTCAAGCGGAGGAATATCACCCAAACGAGACAAGTTTCTCTGCCGTTGCACTGCAGCCAATACTTGACCGCGGTGTGCTAAGACATAAAAAGGATTTGAGACAGCGACGCGGCCAAGCATCGCAGTCCCTTGCCTTGTTCTGCCTCTCTTCTTGCTCTTATTACCAACAATCGGGCATGCCTTGAACTAATAGACAGCTCGGGGAATATCGAACCTCATCCTCTTTGACATCGACAACCGAGATTACGACTGGCGTCATTGCGAGGCTTCCAGGGTCCGACCCTGTTTCCATCTCTCCCGTCGAAATGAGCATCCTCCAAGCCACATGGCCGATCATGCAACCTCTACGAATACTCCAGACTTCTTGTCAAGTCTGTCGTCTGTGCCTGTTCACCTCACCAGCCCGCTCTCGCCCACCTCTCCTTCTCTACTATGTACATCCAGCCAGAAAGCCAAGGAAAGTCACCTCAGTCCTCAGTCCTCTCGACTACTCCAGCCACCCCTCCCCAGCAAACGCCCCCACCGAAGCTCATCAGGATGAAACGCACTAAAATCACTGGTCCAGTTTGTATTCCTTCTTTTTATCTCAACTTCCAACGTCAACCGACAATGAGATTCTGACAAACTAACTAGTCGTCGCGTGCCGCTACTGCTCGACCAACGCGCAACAGCCATCATTTTTGCTTTGCTTTATCCCTTTTCTGCGCCCCGAATTTGCTTCTTTTGTGAGCTCTTTCAGATGTCGGCTTTCTGACCGCATCGCTACCTCGTACAGTAGGACACGCTTGCCTATCTATGTACATATCGCTGGGCGAGGCTGGTGGCGGCCTGATATCAACGCTTTCAACATTATGGGAGCCGAGGCGCTGGATCCTTCGCTGGCTGACGTGCATGCGAATAACCTTTGTCAACGGTCGAGAATAGATCGGGCTTGTCCCCACGTTTCGATACCCAAGCACAGGCTGCACAGCCCACGAACGGGGCCTTCAACCACGATAACTAGTATAAAAGGCAAGTACGTGTACCCATGCAAGAAACTTCCCCGATTTCCGTTTACACGAGCAAATTTGAAATTGGTCCAATCGAGGCTGTGTAGCTCCAGATTGTTGGTGCCTCGTCACCGTAGAAATTGGTATTACGAGCAACGGAATCGATCTCACAACAGTCGAGCAAATTTACTCTGCGCTACGGGCCGCTGTGTGCCATCCGCAGTATCATATCACACCACTGTCACCGTGGCATGATTGGTGGGTTTCGACAGGGTACTTGGCCACGGCGAAGCCTTGAACCAACGCGGCGACGACCGAAGCCGGCTACGGCATCGGACTTCCGTGCGGCCTTGAAGCCGTCTCCCAGAAGGCCGGTGATTGAAGACATGACAAGTGCCTGACTCTACCCAACAAGCCTATCTTGCACATCCGGGCACCCTGAAGACTCTGTGAGCCCACGGAAGCGTCGCTTTGCTGCACGCGATATCACTGTGACGAGTAAGTCGTCACTGCAGGATGCACAGATCCGTCTACTAGGACTGAAACATTGGATGCGAAATCAGACCATGTTAAAAGCGCACAGAGGTCTTGTCAGAATGAGCCGCGGTGAATAGGAAAGAGCCTTGCCTCGACTCTCGTCTATAACTAAACGAAGTAGGAGCTGGCTCTCTCTAGTTTTTGCCAGAAGTTTCCTTTTTTCTATACTTGTCATCACAAAGAATCCGCCCAAAAAAGGAGGCAGCACGGTTCATGAAAACAACCCGAAAACGGCCATGGCTTGCTTCACTGCATTTGCCTTGCATGAGACGACGCCGTGGCGTCGACAGCCTGCTGGGGTTGGCCCGCGAGCTCCCATTGACTCCTGAGATCGATGAAAGACGGCAATACAGTGTACGTAAATTCGACGACGAATAATTAGTCAGACGATGGCAAAGAAAACTGCAGTTCCCAGCCGTTGGGGCTTTATCCTAGTTACAGAAGAAGATCTCCCTCGTCGTCGGCCCCGCTGCATGAAGCACATTGATTACGAGTTATAACCTGGCCAAGAGGTCTGGGCTGTAGCAGGCAAATTGGGTGCCTGTTCCCAAATTGCACCATGGCATCCGCCGCCGGGGGCTATCATCCTGAAATTTCTACCCGATTGGACCGTTAACTTGAAGTTTTCTACTGTAATAGCCACCGTTCTGTTTACATATGTGATTACGAATACACGGCGCCAGAAACAATTTTGTCGAGTTGCGATACGAGCAGCGCCAAACCCCCGCCCGTACCTGATCTCAGACAGAACTCACAGAAGCATCGTAGTACAAGGACTCACTCTATAAAAAGGGAGAGACAGGAAAAAGCGGCACGGGAGCAAACGACTACCCCTCGCGTCATTCTGTCTTGGACGACAACGGTGAGGCTAATAAGAGTCAAGTCGGCAGCCTCGGCAGATGTTTGCTCTGCCACTTGTCCTTCTTTTCATGCCGACGGGGCCTCAAACAACCCGGGGGAGGGGTTAGCCAAAAATAAAAATAAAATACATGAGAAAGAAAATCCGATCAGCAGAAGGGATAGGGAAGAAACAAAGGGAATAAAAAGGGAAAAGCAATTAAGCCAGGCTCTCCGCCCAATCCCTCCTCTGTGACAACAGGGGCCCACTGAGAAACTCCTCGACTACAACATGATCAGTTTTTCTGCAGCAGAAAGAAGCAAGGAGAGGCTATCGCTGAGATGTAGTTTGGTTCTTAAAAAGAAAAGGGGCAGTGAGGTTGGCGAAAATTTTTAAAAGGAAAGAAGGGGAAAAAAAAAACATCTTTAACCCGCACTCTGTAAGAGCAGGGCGGCGCACTCAAGAGCAGCATCACATTCAGTTGGTGCGTACCCTAGACGCGAAGAGAATGAGCCGCGTAGACATGTCACGATGAATTAAATGCCGTTCAAGGCTCGTAAAATAGTGTTCTTGTGTTTTTTGAATCAGGCGCCTCAGTTTGGTGTGTAATTTTAAATCAATTTGCGTCTTCGTTTCCAATCTGCAGAGCTGCTCCAAAATCATGTTTGTTGGGCTGAAACATGGTATCGGACCAACGGCAAGCCCAAGCCAATCTGATGCATGCACACGACTAATCAACGCGCACTTGTAGTTCATCTCGATGGCATTCGTCGCGCACATCTTCTCAATATCAAAGAGTCGAGGAATTTTGCGATTGAATGCAGCAGTCCACTTGCGCCTTGCCCCATGTATGATACAACGTGTAACCAGCTGAACAAAGTAATGCAACAAAAAAGACAAGTCACCACCCCAAATAAATTGTATCCTTCCGACCCTTCCTATCCTTCTGATTCCTCCCATCCCAACTAATCCTTCCAATGTGCGCAGCTCTCCAGCTTGCGGTTTACTGCCCGGGAGTGGCAAAGGCCTCGGCTGGCAGTTGCGCCTATAGAACCAGTTAGCAGCTGTTCATTTGTCGTAGACGGTCAACTTTACATACCTTCCTCTCCTGAAAAATAGCAAGCGCCTTTGCAAAGTCAAAGTCCACTTGTGTCAGGCACATCTCAGAGTACTGAGGTGTCATGCCCGTCTGCTTGCACAGCTCGACAATCATGGCTGCTCGCTGGTCTTGCGCTTGCCCGGAAGAGGCAGCCGGTGCTGCGGCATTGGCGTTGAACACGTCTGGCAACCTGTTCCATGCGCGTAGCGACAGGATGTCGCTGACGACGCGTATCCCAGTTGCCAATTGACCGGGACCAAGCACAAAGGTGCGCGAGAAGCTCCTCTTCCCTGTAGTGGCACTCTTCTCGTCATATTCATCAAACTCGCCATGGACCGTGATGATGAGGCCATCCACCCCGAGACGATTCTGCCCAGATGGGTCAGCAAGGCCCGGAAGAGGATGACAGTCCATGATGTATTTGTTCAGATCTGTCTTAATGTTGGGATGCTGGGTCAAGGGCAGAAGTTTCCATAAGTCATAAATGCCGCTCGCGCCTTTGAATAGTCGGGTGGCTCTGGCGTTTGGATGCGTGATTTTGACGAGGTTTCGTGAAAACCTCAAGTACGCTGCCCAGGGCAGCGGGAGAGGCGCACTCTGATCACGAACGGAATTGGTGTCGATCGCCAGGGAAAAATGACTCGACTCGTCATACAGACTGGTGATGAGACCTTGTCGATCTTTATCGTACTGATCAAAGAACTCAAGCAAGAATTTCTCGCCGATACCGTTAACATCCCTGAAGTCTGGGCCGCTTTGTGGAATAGGCTTGGGCTTCAGCGCCTCTTCGCGTTCCGCAATTTGTTCTGCGGTACGCACAGCGATGCCGTTGATATTTTGAAGCTTGGGGAACCATTCAAGCAGAGTGTTCTTGTAGTTGAGGTCATCGGTTTCGATGGGGTTGCCAGCCATGTAGAGCGTCTCGAGCTCTCTGAACTTGCCCCTCCATCGCTCCATGGCCTTCATGGTCGCGATTTTATTGCCGCTCAGGTCGAGATTCTTGAGCTGAGGGAAAGTGATTGCGACGTTTTCGATCTGGACGACGTCGTCGATGCCATTGCCAGCAACGCTAATGCTTTCGATGGCGTCCCGCTTCGCCTGGGCTGTTTTGAAGAGGTCATCACAAATGACCATGAGGCCCTTGAATGTCTTGAGAGCTCGCTCGCGATTCTCAAACATGCCGAGATTGACAAGCTCTTCATCTGTAGAGAGGGCGTCAAGCTTTAGTAGCTTGTTCGCCTGGTAGTACCTCGAGCTTAGAATCGACTGCAATTTAGCGCGAAGCTCCTGCGTTTCCTTTGATTCCGTCGCCTTGTTAGGGAGCGCGAGTCCTTCATCCGATTCAACAATTTCTAGGGGCACTCCGGCGAATGCGAAAGAGTTGAGTTTGATTAGTTCTTCTGCGTCGGCTTTGCTGGCGCCTATGAATAGATAGTCTCCAGCAAGGTGTGACTGGGCCATGTCAGTAAGTAGTCGTCGCCAAGTGTTGGTCCCGGGGCATTCAATTGGTGCAGTCTGCGGTGTGCTGAGAAAATCACGTCTTGCGCTGAGCGCCTTGCTTGACCAGTAGCCATCCGGTGTAGTTGCTGGAAATCGATGTGCCCTGAAACATGGTCAATATAGCCACATACCTTTTTTATCATCACGTTTTTTCTTTGGCGCCCCGTGGTGAAAGCGGAGGCTTTCCTTTCTAGGAAGTTGAGGAGATCCTTGACGCCGCCATCAGGATTGGTGGCCGCCTTGCTCTGCTTCAGGCCGTATACTCGGAGGTAGGAAAGGGCGGGCTTTCCTCTAGTGGGGCGAGATGGGACATCACCAATATCACCGTTGGCGAGGTGTTTCAGGAGGTTTTGTGCCGTTCTGGAAGTGCCACGAGCAGTCTTCGCAGAGGACCTTGTATTTGGCCTTGCTTGCCCGCCACTTGACTGTGCACCAGCGGATTTGGCTGACCGCCGAGCAGCGCTCTCCATATCGAGATCCCCATCTCCGTCAATCTTTGTCGGGCCAGCTCTCTTCTTTTGAATACCACCTCGAGAGCCGGCCGAGGACTTCATGGAAGTCGCCTTTGGGCCGCGCGATGGCTGTGTGCCACCGTTGCGAGCACCACGTGGAGCCATAGTTGTTTTAAGTAGATGTGAGGCGGTTGGGCTATACACGTAGGCTATTGATCGTGCGGAGTTGAAGATGCGAATGGACGAGCGCTTAGTGCTGGCAGTGCTGCGAGGCCAAACGACTGGTGATCACACCGCAGGTGAGGAGTCTCCTGGCCAGTCTTATGAAAGGAGTGTTGTGAGGCCGACCGGTGCTGGGAGTTGATCGAGTAAAGTAGTGTTTTGAACGTTGTAGGAGTTTGGGGGTGGCGATGTTGACAGAGGCTTGAATCAGCTCGACGCGTTGTCAGCTGGGACAAGATGAGCCCGTCTCTAGCAGAATGCCAAAGACTATATGAGATTTGCTGGAGTTGCGTGAATGATGCGTAGAATCGCCTGTTTGGGCTTGGAACAAAGCCGTATGAAAGGAAGAGAAGTACAAGGATGAAGAAAAGTGGCAATCCAAGTTAGAGAATCGAAAATGGGGTATTTTCATGGGTGCCCCACTTTTGCATGCAGGCTGCAAGGCGCATTCGCTGCCTGACAAAGGACAACGTTTGAGATCAATGACAGCACATGAGCAACAAGGGTAGACACTCAACAGTTCAGTGACAAAGAAGATGAATACTATTTCTATTCTAAGAGCTACTTGAAAAACCTTCAACTTATCTGAATATATCTAGAGCCGATGTATTGAAAAGTCGAACAAACTGATCAAACATCAAGGTCACGTGACCTGGTACTTGTTTCGCGTCGCGCTTTGTCAAACGCGGACACCAGCGCGTAAATTGATTTCAGCGCCTCCAGATGCACTCAACAGCGGCACTCGTTTTTGCGGCTCGGCAGCAAACATCAATTTTCGAATTTAAGCTACCATGTGAACTACGTATACTATGCAGCCGATCTAGCGACTGATAACTATCACCTTACGCGCCATTTCTCGTGGCGCGAAGACACCGGCTGCCATGAGCTCGGATGAATTTGACGACGATATCGCTGACGAGGACTTCAATACCGCCTTTGATCAGGTATCTTCTTCTAGTACCCGGTTGAATCAGTCTTTTACCTCTTCGAACGGACATACTTCTGGGAAAAGACACTCGGCGAACCAAAATGTGGCAGCAGAGCTAGAGGGTCTGCCGGACGATGCCTTCTCTTCTCCTGAACCACCCCCGACTCAATTTCGACCAAATACAGCCCAAGTGGCGCCGCGCGCTGGACTCCAGAGATCTGGATCTGGAGTGTACCGACAAACAACCCTTTTTGGGAAACCACTTGGTGACCCTAGCAGCCAGCCGCAGGCACCGAACGCTACTAGAGTCTTTCGCGCTGACCTGCCTCGAGAAGAGCCGAGCCATCATGAATTGAACAAGGAAGCGTTGGAAACTTGGGTGTATCCCACAAACCTTGGAGCCATCCGAGACTACCAGTTTACCATTGTGAAGAACAGCTTGTTCAACAACACCTTGGTTGCGCTACCCACCGGTCTCGGAAAGACATTCATCGCTGCAACAGTGATGCTTAATTTTTACCGATGGACGAGAAAGGGAAAAATTGTCTTTGTTGCCCCTACGAAACCGCTGGTTGCTCAGCAAATTGACGCCTGTTATGGCATCGCCGGTATTCCAAGATCGGATACTACATTGCTGACGGGCGACGTTCAGCCTGTTTTGCGCGAGGAGGAGTGGGAGAAAAGGAGAGTTTTTTTCATGACACCGCAAACGCTTCTCAATGACTTATCGCACGGATACGCGGACCCAAAAAGTATCTGCCTCATAGTCATTGACGAGGCACACCGTGCCGTCGGAGAGTACGCATACGCCAAAGTCGCCAAATTAATACGACGCTTTTCCAAGAGTTTTCGGGTATTGGCCCTGACGGCGACACCGGGTTCTAAAATCGAAACAGTACAAGAAATCATCGATAACCTTGGAATATCGCACTGCGAAATCCGCACAGAGGACTCTATCGACATTCGCCAATATGTGCACGACAGAAATGTCGAGCAAGTGGTGCTTGATCCATCTGATGAAATGAATCTCGTCGGCGAACTATTCTCCGAGGCGCTTAAGCCACTATTGGATAAACTTAGCGCGCAAAATATCTGGTATGGCAAAACGCCAATGTCGATGTCAGCATTCGGTTTATTGCAGTCGCAAAAGGAATGGTTTGCGACACGAGGCAAACACGTCAACGATGGCGTTAAGTTCATGATGCGCGCCATTTTTAGCGTTCTGACAAGCTTGGCGCATTCGATCAAGCTGTTGAATTTCCACGGAATCAAACCATTCTACGACAATCTGGTGGATTTTCGAAGCGAACAAGAGGGCAAGGGTCAAAAAGGTTCCAAGTACAAGCGACAACTCATTGAACATCCCAGCTTCCAGGACATGATGAACAAAATTGCCGGCTGGATGAAACGAGACGGATTTGTCGGGCACCCCAAACAAACAGCCTTGGCCGACACGATTTTAAATCATTTTATGGATCGGGGAGAAGGATCTGGCACGCGCGTCATTGTGTTCAGCGAGTATCGAGATTCTGCGGAAGAAATTGTGCGAATGCTGAACATGCATCGACCGCTGGTTAAGGCTAGTATCTTTGTTGGCCAGGCGGATGGTAAGCGAGGCGAAGGCATGAAACAGACGCAACAGATTCAAACGATTGAAAAGTTTCGCGATGGTCATTTCAATGTGCTCGTTGCGACTTCTATCGGTGAAGAAGGATTGGATATCGGACAGGTCGACCTCATTGTCTGCTACGATGCTTCGGGATCCCCAATCCGCATGCTGCAGCGCATGGGCAGAACCGGGCGAAAACGAGCAGGCAACGTTGTACTGCTATTGATGCGAGGCAAAGAAGAAGAGCAGTTTGCTAAATCCAAAGACAATTACGAAAAGATGCAAACATTGATTTGCGAAGGTAGTCGCTTCAACTTTCGCTTCGACTTGTCGACTCGCATCGTGCCTCGCAACATACGACCCGAGGTGGACAAGAGGCATGTCGATATCCCAGTGGAAAACACGCAAGACACATCATTGCCGGAGCCGAAAAAGAGGAGAGCTGCAGCGGGAAAGAAGAAGGCACCGAAGAAATTTCACATGCCTGATGGCGTCGAAACGGGCTTTCAAACACTGACGGACTTTTTGAAGGGTCCGGCCAAAAAGACAAAGAAGGCCGAAGCGAAGCGCAATGCCGAACTGGATGACCTGAGCGCAGTACCGGACTTGGACGGCGTGTTGCTCAGTGAAGAACAGCTTCGGGAGCTCAACCGGTCCTATCGCGACCTGCCATTCAACCAGAGCACATTCGAGGAGACGGACACGCTTAGCATGACTGCTCATCCGGAGCTTCAACGGCGCCTGGGACCTGCCTGCCTGATAAAGCATGGCTCGCATACCAAGCGCCTCGTCAAGATGCTGCATGTCATGGGCACCGACCCCGACAAGCTGGTTCGAGCACGCCGCCACAAAGACGACAGCGCATACCACGAAATACCGGTTCGAAGATTTGTGGCCTCTGATGGAGAGTCCGAGGCCGAAGACGACGGCGACGTAGTGGTCGAGGCACAGAAAGGACGACGAGACTCGTTCAGTTCAACCGGGAGCCTGCCGGAGCTAGTCGAGGTGCGGCGGGCGGCTGCGAAGGCGGCTCTGGAAGACATGGCAGCCGAGGCCGATGGAGATGACGACGGCCCGAGAAGAAAAAAGCAGAAAACGCTCAAAAAGGGAGGCAAAAAGAATAAGGGCCGCGAGGGGCGAACAGCCGTTAACTTGGAGGAGGTGGGCGATGACTGCGACAGAATCAGCGACGTCCTGGACACGGATGGGTCGGACAGCGGCGCAGACTTGCAGGGCTTCGTCGTTTCCGACAATGCGCCGACGTCAAGCATGAGGGACTCGCAACCGACGTCGTCGATGCCGGCTGGTCAGGGGACGCCACGCGGCGATAACGCGAAACCGAAGCCGTTCTACGAGCCGACGACGTTTGTAGCGACGCAAGAGAGCGAAGGCGTGCCGGAGCTGGACTCCATCGTCGACTCCATAGGCAAGGACAAGCCAACGGAGAGCGACATGGGAGTGCGACGGGCTGGGCGAAGGCGTCCACGGGTTGTGGAGGACTCGGACAGTGAGATGGACTTGCTCTAAGGGTTGGGCACGTATTATTGTACAAAGGGTTTACGATTGCAGGTATAATGGCAATAATGTATATTTAAGTATGTAATAAAGATTGTCTCTGCATGTTGGGCTGAGTTGTTGGAGCTGGGAATAGACGAACGGCAGATGTGTTGCTGAGGGTGAGGAATCGAGAAAACTACTGCATGAATGAATGTTAGCCCATCCGGGAACTTTCAAAGCATGAAACGTGAGGCAAGCAACGAGTTTTCTAGCGCAAGAAAGCAGGCCACAACATCCTAGCGGATAGCCATGGGCCTCCAGACCAAGCCAGGAAGTTTGAACAAAAAGAATCTCCGTCAGAAACCTCAATTTATAAGCACCACGACCCCCGGCGGCAACCAGACGGGTCAGCCCCTTAAGAACGAACCTGTTATTTCCATCCCCTCCATCCGCCAGGTTGATCCTGCCAGGCAACTCCTTCTCTGTGACGAGAAGCGGCCGGCGAGGAACCCCCCCAGCAGAAGTCGGGAGAGGAAAAGGTTCGCGGGAACTGGCAGCCTAGCCCGGCCACGCGCAGTTGGGGGTTCGTCTCAGACGGCTCTTCCTGAAGATTATAGAGGGGGTGTTGATATTATGAGAAATATCGAACGGATCATCATTTGGAGATTTTTTTTGTGTGTCGAGGGAGCAAGAAGTTGGCGTGTGAAAGACGTACCGTTTGGAAGGGTTGACGTTTGTGTGTTCGGATCGGTCAATGTACCATGTCACGATTCAAGGGAGGGGGTGTAAGCAAGCAGCAGCGCTGGGGTCTGACATGGCGCGTTCTGGGAGTCGAAGCTGTCGCGATGCCCGTCACAGGACCATTGAAGGTGTTGTAAAGGAAGCAAGAACAAGTTGCATTTGGGCTGGAAAAATAAGTTGCAAATGCTGGGTCGACCGCCTTTGTGGAGAACGCCGCCGGCCCGGCAGAAAACCGAGCCTGTCGAGCTTCCCCACCAAATTTAGGCCGTTGTTTGTTAGCGCCGGCGTTACTGGTTCCAGCGCTTCCTCGCCTCCCCCGCCCGGCTGCCGGCTCGCTCTTCAAACGTCACCAAGTCATCCCATATCCGCCGGCTGTCACTGGTCCGTCCTCCCTTTCTCAAGTCAACCAAGGGGACACCGACAACAAACCTCAGCCCCCGTATCCAACTGCTGCAAACCCTGTCGACGACGACCATGGCGTTCACGACCATTCCCCTCCTCAAGTTCGTAGGGACCGTGTCCCTCGGCTTGCTGACGGTATGTCCCCCCCCCCCCTTGTCCCATTCTCCGACCGCCACTAACATATTCGCACAGGGCGTCTCCTACACCGTCTCCCGCCTCGCCCTCCCCGCGCTCCTCGACCTGCCCTCCGCCGCCGCCGCCGGCGACGCCCTCTCCCGCCTATCCGCCTCTCTCCGCGCTCCTCTCCTCGCACTCCCCGCCCTCGCCGCCGCGCCCCTCGCGCTCGCCTACGCGCTCGCCCCGCGGCCTGCCCGCCACCCCTACCTCCTCTACGCCGCGCTCCTCGCCGCTCTCAGCGGCGCGGCCCCCCGTCTACTCCTCAGCGGCGCGGCCCCCGCAGCGCCGCGGCCGGTGGTGGTGAAGCCGTCGGCGCGCGCGCGCATGGAGGCCAGCTACGAGGTGCTTGGCGACGTCCACAGCGAACCGGCCAGCGAGGAGGACGCGGACGAGCAGCAGGTCAACGGCGAGGAGGTGCGTGGGCGCCTCCAGGGGAGCGCGAAGGCGCATGCCGTCCAGGCCGGGCTAGCGGGCCTCGCGTTTGCCATGTCCGTGGTTGGCCTCTGGGGCGATGGTGCCCCGAGGGTCATTGTATCCTAAATGAAAATGCAGAAGAAAAAATCGCTGTTGTAATGTTAACCCTCTATATTCTGTTGTTCCTTCAAAACACACCACTTGGTCTTTTCAACGGGCCTTTGTGACAATGCACGATTATTCATTCTACTCCTGATTATATAGCAATGTTGTCTGATGTCTGCCTAAGGGGGCGTTTTCAAATAATTCGTTAAATACACTGAATCACATTTCAATATATGCGATATAAGCATCGACAGCTAGTTACATCAAAGATTGCAGTACAGAAACGAAGCAAAGCCACGCACAGCTTTTCAGAAAACGGAATACTATCCAAGCTGAACCCTCCCCTACTCCTCGTCACTGTGGCGCTCCCCGCACTGCGCACATTTTGGGATCGCTTCCTTCGACTTCTCATCGCGCTCCTGGACAAGCCACTCACCAGCATGCTGCAGCGAGTTGTGTACAAAGTCGGACAGCTTTTTGCCCTCGTCCGATTCATTGTCCGATTCCGCGTCGTCCTCGGCGTGGCGGCTGTTAACACTAAAGTAGCGGGACGTCACGTCGCTCTCGCCTAGGCGCCGTGCGACGTCATTGGCCTCGTTGAGGCTCACGAGGCGGCGCTTGCCCGCGTGGCGGCGTACTGCGACGCTGCATAGGTCCCAGATCACGAGGGCGCTGAGGTCCGGCGTCTGCAGATCGTTGCGGTCCCAGTCCTTGGGGTTTTCGAGGCCCATGGCGCCGAGGATGCGTGCCAGCTCGTGCGGCGTGTACGTCTCTGCGAGGCCCGACGCCTTCTGCATACCCTCGGCCTTTTTCTTGAGCAGCTCGTCCTGCGCCAGCTTGTCGAGTAGGAACTCAGCCTCGCCACGCTCCTTTAGCGCCAGTGCGCTGCTATTGTTGCCACTGCTACGGCCCCTATGGGAGCGCCGGTGCTCGAATACCTTTGCCTTTAACAGGTCGCTGGCGAGCTCGGACGGGGTCCGGCCAACCGCGCTCTCACGGTATAGCAGTTGCGGTCGGAAGTCGATGAGGCACCTGACAATGGCCAACTGGCCTAAAGAGATGGCGCTGTGCAGGCACGTGTCACCGGCCCCGTTCAGCATGTCCAACTCCTCGCCGTTTGAATACTCTAGAATGAGCTTGAGCATGGCGACAACTTTCTTTGTTGAGGCGGAGTTGTAGTTGCGGCTACCATATGCCAAGATCCAGGAATGCAGCGGCGTCGTGCCGTTCTCCTTGAGACTTTGGCGCTGCTGGAATAAATGCTTGCGCAGATCAGAGTCCAATAGGTTCAGCAAGGTTCTGGTGCGACAGACGGGGCTGTCTGGTTTGATCACTGCATGAACGATGTTTTCGCCCTTATCGTTCCTTGTAGACTGATCTGCACCAGCCGCGATCAGGATCTTGGCGAACTCAATTCGCCCAAGCTGGTAAGCAATCATCAACGGAGTGCATCCGCCTGCAGCCTTCTTTTCCAGAGAACTGGGGCAAGTCTCAACCAAATATTCCACAAGTTCGTTCGCTTCCTGGCTTGGATTTGCCATGACAGCGCAATGAAGCACGAGTTCATCTAGAAATATGTCAATAAAACTTCGTGGCGCCGATCTAGAGGAAATACTCACTGTCAGCACCAAGCCATTTCGAAATTGCCCGGCTGAACCCGCCAGGAGCATCCATCAGGTGTTTCAATCGGGAATCCTCTCTTGCTTGCTTCGTCCTCGAGTATTCGGCATAAAGTCGATGCGGAACATCGCTTAGGAAAAACTCGACACATTCAAGCCGGCCTCCGAGCGCAGCATGCAGGAGTGGTGGCGTTTGAACGCCTGATGTTCGGACAACCATGTTGCGTCCGGCAGTCGCCCAATCATTTCTGTGTTTTGCATTAGTCTCAAATTCTAACTTGAGAGACCAATAGAGACGTACCTCTTTTTGCCATATACAGTCAAGCCTTGGTAGTATCGCGGTTTTTGCTTCACTGCGACGCCACTCTTTTTGACGAGATTGTCCAGTGGCACGCCAGCGCCTGTCTTCTTGATGATCTGACGAAGCGCCTGGGTATTTCCGGACTTCACAGCCAGGATGAAATCATCGTCCTTGAATGTGAAAGTTGACTTCCTCTCCTCATCGCCGGCCTTTGGAGCCTCAGAGAAGTGCTGTGCCATGTCCAGCAACTCCTTGAGACCAGTCATGTCGTCGTTTTTGATCACATGCGCGAAAAGGGTACCATATACTTCGCCGTCTTGGAACTCACCGTTCTCGAGCGTGAACACCCGGAACCCAGCCATGAGCCGTTCAGCAGGCTTGGTGTGCGACCTAACTTCCATCGAAACTTCGCCAATGTTGTCGATTGTGTACTTCTTGTCCACCTTTTCCGAGACTATCCGAACGTGGTTCTCTGAATCGCCGTCGCTTTCCCCATCGTCGCTGTACTCGTAATCCTCTTCGTCATCGTTTTCCCCCTCGATCTTGTACCGGACCTCGTCCACCTCCTTCGGGGTCCACTGCGCTTGAATGATTTCAAGAATCGCTTTTGCAGTAGCATAATGACCTCTCAGAAATGCAAAGGAAAATGGCGCATGGTTGTGATTATCACGAATATCAGCCATGAGAGGTGGCTGAGCCTGATCGGGTCCCCAAGGCTGAAGCGTCAACGATTTGATCTTGCTGATATCGCCTTGCCAGGCTGCCTCCATTCTATTTTCGGGTCAGAATCACTCATATGGATTGCAGTGTGAAGTTTTCGACTTACAGTTCGATGTATCCTTCTCTTCGGCTGTCCGTCATGGTACGATCGTTCTGAAACCAAAGGTCGAATTTGTAGACTGCATCTTTTTCTTTCTCAGGTGCATAGTACCGACTGCCATTGTTCTCCTTGGCCGTCTCAATGTCGGGGTACAATTCAGCAAAAGTCTTCGCGCCGGCATCGATCATTGCCTTTTCGATCCTTTTCAACTCGGAGATCGCTGAATCAATAGCCTCCTGTTTCTCCTTGGCGCCGCCTCTTGCCTCGACCTTCTTGGACTCCTCCTCGTAATATTTGATACCAGCTTCGAAGATCTTCTTTTTGTTTTTGATATCATATGACACAAGTGCATGAAGATATGAGCCAGGCGTGAGCTTGGCCAAGTACTCATCCATTCCAGGTAGCAACCTAGGCTTGTTCGGAGATGAACTCTCTTCTTCGGGCTCACTAAGCTTTTTGATAACGTGCTGAAGAACATCGAGAACCGACTCGCCTTTGTTGTATGACCTCATGTACGTATTTTGGATCAGTTGCTCTGAGGTGGCCGTGAGGCAGTTGACATTTGCTCCTCCCTCAATCAGTCGAAGAGCGACATCCGCGTTTGCTGCTCGAACCGCGAACAGCAAGGGCTGCTCAACGTTCCTCTTGAACTGTTTCTTGTTCTCTTCTAGATTGTTGGAGGAGAAATTTCCATCGTTGGCGAAATTGGTAGCCTTCAACCAAGTATCAAAATCGATCTCTGGCTTTGCGCCAATTTCCAGGAGTTTCAAGGCCATGACGCTGTCACCATTCTCAATGGCGACCTGGAGCGGGGCCTCAACGCTCATGTTCCAAGAATACCCCGTCATTAAGAGATGATTCACGGCTGCTTTGGCGGCAGCCTTGTCGTTGGTGAGAAGTAAATCCACCATCTCAGACTTTCCACTCTTCAAATAGCGGTGGAAAGCAGTGTATCCATTGCTGTCAGCTTGGGAGCACATGGCACCGAGTCTCAGCAACCGCTCTGCCATGGACTTGGCCTTCTCGGGCGGCAGAGACAGGGCGAGCACAAGAGTGAGGATAGCTGCATTTTCGTGGTCGCTCAAAATTTTGACAGGAAGAATGGAATCAGCGCCGTAATCACAAAGGAGCTCAACAATATGCTCGTGACCTTGCACAATGGCGAGATGCAGAGGAGAACAAGGGATGTCCCATGCCAGAAGGTCAATCTGGTAGTAGTCTGGTTCGTCTTCAGACTCTTCTGGGAGGTGATCCTCATCGGCATTGGTACTGTCTTTGACCTTGACAAAAGAGCCCGTAACAACAGAAACGACATCTGCAGCCGTTTCTGTGGCGTCGACAAGCTCTCCATCTTCATCCTCATCTTCAATTTCGACTTCTTCGTCGCGGTCACCTGATTCTTGAGACGTTGACTCAGCTTCGGCTTTGGCGACAGTCGACTGCTTCGAAGCGCATTCTTTCTTATTTTGCTTGCAATTCTCTTCCTCTTCGTTGCTGATACTCTTCTCCATCAGAATCTTAACAATCTCCGCGTCGCCACGGGCGGCAGCCAGGTGAAGAGCCGTTTTCCCATCTGCCAGTCTTGCTGTCAGGCGTGCTCCATGGTCGACAAGACATTTGACAATTTCGGCAGTGGAAGAGGTAACTGCCAGTTGGAGAGGCGATCTGCCCGTGTAATCTCTCTGATTAGGGTCTGCTCCTTCTTGAGACAACCAATTCTTAACGTCATCCATATCGCCATCGACAATGGACTGGCATAGTCGTGCGGTATTTCCAACATAGGCCATGTCGGTCCAATCTTGCTCAGTCAGAGGGTTGAAGGAGCCAATTTGTTGTCGGCCAGGGTCATCAATCATGAACGAGACTTTGCCAGAGATGTAAATCTCCGCTTCTTTTTCAGAAACCTCCTTTTCCTCGTTGGTGACGGGGACTGGACAGCTGCCGCAGCAATCCTCAATGACATCTTGAACTCGACCGAAGAATGCGGGGTGGCGATGCAAGTAAACCTTGCGGTCCTTGGGTTGATTCCACTCTGCATTCAAGAGCAAATCTCTTGTGTAGCAGAGCTTCTCAATACGCCTCGCGTGAAACTTTTCTCCATACGGGACAGTGAAGGTATGGTAGTTGCTGACATCTTCCTCAGACAGCCAATCAGAGACTTCATCCTCGTGGTTGCCCTTGATGTTTCCAAACAGGCGGAAATTCTGACGATGAATTTGGGGCCTGCCCCTTTCCAGGCGTCTTTTGTTCTGATAAGTTTCTCTTGCAGAACTAGTGGGCAGACGCTCGAGGACCAGAAGACGGGCTAGGCCAAGGGTCCGCTGGAAGCTTCGTTCAAAAATGGTTGGGTCGACACGCTTGCGGTCCAGGTCAGCCCAATATACCTCAAAGTTTCGATGAGAGTATTTGGAGAGACGGTTCTCGTAAGAGGGACTACGGCGGCTTAGATCGACGTGATTGACCTGGGTGATGAAGCTTCCAAGCGCGCGAGGGGTGACGTAGACTTGTTTGCCGTCATACGCTCCTCCCGCCGCGTCAATATCGAAGCCAGTAAGAATCTCGCTGATGGACTTGTAAACACGCAGAACAATCTTCATCACTGTTAGTAGAGGCAAAATACGTAGTGCGCTAATTCCCACGAACCTGAACATGACGAACGGGGTACTGGCTGGCAATTGTAATGGCATATTTTGTGCGCACCACTGTAACCTCGGTAAGAATGGCATCTCGGATGGCTTGTTCAATTTTCTTGATCTTTTCAACAGCTTCATCGTGAGTAAGCCCATAGAGGAACAGGTCAACGTCAGATGCGGGGCAGAACTTTTCGTGGTAGTATTCGCGGAGCTTGCGCTTGTTCACATTGAAGGCGTCGGGAACGGGCAGGAGACAATTGACGACAGACGAGCCAGCAGCGACGACATTGCTCCAATCGAGCTCCGAGAGGGATGACTCCGAGAAGAGATTGAAGTTCTTTTGAAACTCAGCGATGCTACCGACAGTGGCCGGAGAACCATGTGCTCGGCGTTGCTCATCGGGAAGCGCCATGATGTACTTTGACTTTTCCTCTTCCGTCTCGGAAGCGAGATCTCGAGCTCGCGTAGTGATGCAACTGGTATCCTCCGTAAAAAGGGGCAAGACGTTGATGTACGGGTCATTGAGAGCGGGATTCTGGCGGTCCTGGGCAAAGACACCACGAAGTCCTGCTTCGAACTTGCGATAGGGCTCCATGATCTCAACCATGGACTTGTCGGCATTGTCAGAGATGTAACGAGCAAGCTGTCCGTGCGGGACAGGCAGCTGCGGGAGGGCTTCCATGGTGGCGGTATTGGTGGTGGAAGTTGTTGGCCGGGAAGGAGGAAGGATTTGGTTGGGAGAATTAACAGAGGGAATAGAAAATGACGAAAAATGATGTGTAGAGGTGTGTTCGAACAGGATTCGGTTGGCTGGATGTGCCAGTCTTAGTGAAGCATGAAAGCCAAGTCCAATTGGCAACCCGCGAGGAATGCAGCCATTTATAAGTCGGCTTGGCTGTCGGTTCCTAAGGCAGATTTCGAAACCACGATGGCGTTTTGGCCGTTGGAGGATTAGGCGAAGGCACATTCAAAGAGTCGAGAGGCATTCGCAGCCCAGGCTTGTTGGGCAAGCTCCACAAGCTTGGAGCTGAAAGGACGCCGTCGCGGTGTGCTGCCTATCAAAGCCCAGGCACGACGCCACGCTACCGGGCCTGAGAGGAGGCTGTGATGAAGAAGCTTGTTAGTATGAAGCCAGCCAGTGGAGCGGTTGCCTATTATCGTGCATACTGACCGCTGTGTTGGAGCGGCCGTGAGCCTATTGGGAGGAGCTGGAGCCTAGTCTAGGGTCTGGGGTCGGCCAAGCGCGACTAGCACGAAATCGTATTGTTCACGGACGCTGGGGAATTTGGCTGTGGAGAGTGGCTGTCTGGCCGAGAGAATTCACGGTCGGGGATAAGAGGGCTTTGATGATGCAGCAAACAGGCAAACGAGGTCGTCGTGGATGCAGATGAAAAGAGGAGGGAGGGAGATTTGCTTGGCGGTTGGTTGGAAATTGGCAGCTGGCAGATGATCCATAACTAATTATTGGCTACCAGTCGAGCTGCTGCCTGCTGTCAGTGCAAGCTCATGCTCACAGCTTAGGAAAAAGAAGGGAAAAGAAAAAAAAATTTAACCAAGGCAAGAGCAAGGTACTATTAACACGTTGGTCGACCTTGTAGAACTGCAACCAAGCGATTCATTGAGGCTGTGAATGGTGACACCGCATCGGACGCGGAGAAATACTACTAAGATAATTCGTGGAAAATACATAGCATAAGAAAAATTCTGCGCCTTATATTTCTGTTTATCACCGACTGTCATTATATAGCGAAGAGAAACACAGCTTCATAATTTCGTGCCATTCATGTCTTGTATACATCCAGATATATACGCAATACACGCAATACACGTTAGGTCTAACCCATTTGCTCGATCAAGCCCGCAAAACTTTTAGGAAATCTTCGGCAAGAGCCAGGCGGCGCTTGAAGCCGCGTCAATGGCATAAGTAAGATGCGTGGGCAAGACGATGGCGCCCTGGTCGCAAATGCTGTCGCCGCTGTGGCAGACAATATGGGTGTTACTCGGGTCAATGTTGGACACGGGCTGGTGCGACATTGGATCGCCAAAGATGACGGCCGCACTGACATTTGACATGTCGCCGCCGAGCGCGTCCGCCGCGTTGTGCACCGCGAGGCCGCCCTGCGAGTAGCCGCTGATGACAATCTTGGTGCTGGGACACGCCTTGCGGGTATCGCGTACGATCTGGGCCCTATCATTACTCGTTAGCGACGGAAGCAACTGCAAGCATCCTAGTGTTTATTTGACTTACATGGTCTGGCCGGCGGCCTTGTCGGCGTTGAGGTAGCCCGACACGCTCGCCGGGTACGCCACGCCCTGGACATTGAGGGTGCGGCCGCCGAGGGACTGGGCGACGGCGCCGAAGAAGGACGGGCCGGCCAGGACTCCGACGTTGCCCGGGTCGCAGGTGCCGCGCGCGAAGACGATGGTCACGTCGGCGCAGCCGTTGCTGTTGGCGGTCGGCACGATGCCAAAGGCCTTGCCGAGGAAGGTCTCGCCAGCCCCGATGAGCGTGCAGGCGTCCTGCACGGCCATCTGGCCCGGGAACCAGTCGAGGACGGCGTCGATGAACTTGTTGGTGTCCAGGTCGCGCCGGGCCAGGTCCGAGTACGTGTGGTCCACGGAGGTGGGCACGGCGAGGGCCGTGGTGCCGAAGAGGGCGGCCAGGAGCAGACCGAGAGGTTGCATTGTGATGGTATAAGAGTGCAAAGACTGGGAAAAGTCAAGTAGAATGAGAAAGAAAGAGAGTCCAGTTTACTTGATTCTCTTGGTATGGACTGCTCCAGCGGCCTCTTCGACTTGGACAGATGGCTCTGGCATGGTCATTCCCCCTGGAGGGGAAACGGCACTCTTTATAGAAAGAGAAAACACGCAAAGGAGCAAGAAGGACAGTATTCGTTACACATCTCTCATGGAGGTCTGCGGGGTTACCTGAGTGCGGGCGGATACCAGCTTACACGCCGAGCAGCTGGAACGGGGATGGTGCCATCGGTGTGCCTGGAGACGAAGTAATACGAAGCTCGATTCCGGGTGCGAATAAGCGACTATGTAAAACACTCCGAGCTTGCAGCTATTCCCAACCTGATAGACTGCACCGATGTCAACAGCGGCCTTGCGGGTTTCATGCTGGCGTCACATGGACTACAATCCGGGGTGGGTTGTGGTAGTGTAGTAGTGCCTGGTGTCACCAGGCGGTGACTGTAGCACTGACCTCTCAATGGCTCTGTTGTAGTGAGGCTCTTTCCGAACACGCGCGGAAACGGTCTCTGATCAATCATCCTCCCGGCCTGGATCGCCTCGGTCCGCTCCGGCACCCTGAGGTTTGGCATGTGGAATAGTCTCTCAGTCTCTTCGGCAGTGCCGCTGGCTGCTTACACGTCTCGTTCGGTGACATTGTGTATATGCACGAACACCATTTGGCTGCATATTGTTTTACTTGTGCAGTACAGATACAGACAAGATTTGTCTCACTATTTCCGGCCCCCTCCGTGGCATGTGATGCTATTGTATTTTCCCCTTCCGAGATCCCAGCACTTGCTCTCGTAGACGGACAATTACCCCGGAACCGGACAGGGCCTGCTCCGCCCCCGCAAACTCTCTTTGCTGTCGATCATTTCAATATGGGGCTGACGGTGCGGGTTGGGCGTCGTTTTTAGTACGGCCGACAATAGGCGACTAATGCTCAGAACGAGCGAGGCTTTGACTAATGGTAAAAAGTAAAATAGCACTTTCATTCACTGTGATTCTAACAATGCGAAAAAGAGGTAGGGGTGATTTCTACCGCCTCTAACAACAGTTTCTGGCCATGAGTTGCAGGGAATGTGTCACGGACTGTAAGGTTTATAGTGAATTGTAGGGATATTCGGCCTTGTCGGCTGCTATTGCTTGATCTTTTTAAGGTCTCTGTAGTCCAATGGTCTAACCTAGAAGCCGTCGTTACATAATGTCTACGCCTCCTGACTGCGGCTTTAGTTACTCTTATGCACTAACTTGACCAAAATGAAGTCCTTTTCCACTCTACAATTTTTTTCAAGCTTGGCAAAAGATGGTCTCGCTCGAGCCTCTTGCTGGCCCTGCGTCTCGGTTTCTCTAGCGGTCAATGAACACCTTCCGTGTCTGGTGGTTGGTGGACTTACACTGCCTGCCACTCACGGCCCGGAAGTGCTTACGGCTTGCGCCACTGATCAGCACAAGCCGGGGAAATCTTTAACAGGGCCCAAACAGTAAAAGATCGGTTTGTATCATGACATGGATACCCTTCGACTAGCGATTTATGCGAAAAAGACGTCCTGGGGTACGTCGGATCTCGCTTCACATTCCTCCGTGTCTTTGACATGCTAGATTTCAAAGTTGGTTGCTGCAGATGATCCCTGGGGAATGCTACTTTCGCCAAAAGTCACCACTGTGTTCCCCTCGGTCTGAACCAAGTAATCAGCCAGGCGGCCGTGGCAGAGGACCATGGTTTCAGGAATGACAACTCCAGGTCCAGGGGCCGAACAGCTGATATGCCTCTCGGCCGAGAGCCCGAGTAGTTCCAAGCAACTAGGGGCCAGTAGTAGCTGACCAGCTGCCCATCTTATGCGGGGGTGGTGCTGTGCAAATATGCCGAGTAAATAAGTGTTCGTTTTGAGTTCAATATAGCCCCTCCAGAAAGAGCAAAACAAGTCACAGAGTCGCCGCTGGCATTGGTTCACTTGGTCGTTCGCCCGACTTATACATCCGTCCACCCGCCCTCTGACCTTGTAAAACATCGGCCGCCCTCGGGAGAACGCGTCACCAAAGAGGGTAGTTTTCACGGGAGTGCGGCAGGGCTACAGAATGCTACGGCATCATACGGTCTTTTATGGAACTTGGCTGTGGATGGGTCAACGCTGTAGTGGCCGTAGCCTCTTGCATTTGAGGTTGGTTTTGCCGAGACAGCCGTGAGTATTGCATCGGCCCAATGGATGGCAATGGAACCTTTTCTCTGGCATGATATTGTGCCTGCATTCGGTTCCCGCTCCAGAGAAATTTTGACCGTGCTTCTAGCAGAACTCTAGCAGGTACCCGGTCGCACCACAGAGTGATATCGCATCAGTCCTTCTAAATGGCAGATCTTTCTAGACCTGTGGAAAGAATATTTTAGGGTAAGATGCATGTAAGTCGATATCGATTTTTGCCACATTTAAACAGAATCGCTCCCGCGGGTTCCGGCCCGGACACGGCTTCACCGACCTGTGTGGAACAAATAATGTAGCGAAGGGGATGAGAGCCTTGGGTCTGAGGGATTAAATACAACAGAATAGGGCAAATAATATGTGAAAGTTGTTTCCGAAGGATTTGAAACATGGTGAGATGACGTGTTCTGCCGAAAAAAGACTGCAAAATAGTAAATCAACTACGATGTTCGTCGCGGCATACGTTGTTGTCATGCTGTCCTCGCCGCGGCGCTCCCGGACCGGATTAAGGTTGCTGATGCAAGCTTGTATCGAAGAGAACGCTGGAACGGGATAATTCGGGTGGTATAGTTTTGGTAAAATAGTATACCTCTCAAATAAAGCTATAGGACGGCCGCAAAGGTAATGTAACTGAAACGGTCGGCTTTGGAGGGCTCGCAATACTTACCAACACAACATTTCAGCAGATCGGGAAAGCAATACCGAAAATGACCGTGAACTAGCTCGCGAGGTCATTTAAGTGTGAGGCATGAGCTGCCTTTGCCGAGAAGCGGCTTTTTTTGCCTCCGTGTCTGAGACTTATGGACACTGACCTGGATGGGTTGACTGAGAATCTGCTGAGCTCTAGCCTCGGGGCTTGTGAAACTTCACGATGCCGAGGAATGCTGTCTCCGAGGCTATGCAGCCGGCCCAGCGAGTGGAAATAATAACAATGATGATTTCTGGCAAATGGTTGACGATCAGTCTTTTTTCGCTAAAGCTCTGGTATGCTTGAGTACATGGGAGTCGGTAACATGCCGTGGAGAGTGAGAGCAGCACGAGAAGGCACTTACAAAAACAAAAAAGACGGGAACGTCTCTTTAAGATACACGTGAAAGTTATTAAAATTTAAGAAGACCGTAATAGTCCTTGAAAATAAGAAAGCATTATTTTTTCTATGCCGACTATAAGATGTTTGACCTCTATGATGCAATTTGAAAGAAGAAGAGAAAAATAGCAAGACGCTCTATGCTGGCAGAGATGCAGGTAATAAATGTCGTGAGTGCGTGAAATTATGTATCTTTTAGTCCTCAAACAGCCGAAGCATTTTTCTGCTCTTTTTCCGCGTTCGTGAAAATGAACATGAGCGTGACAATGAGCTTGCCAGCACCGGAGACGGCGATGGCAGTCGGGGACCCAGCCTCTCTGTAAATGAGAGCACCGACTAGAGAACCGACGATGAGGGCCACAAGGAAAGACACCCGACGTGTTCGGGGACGATTCTTGAGGGCAAAGAGCTTCTGATCGATGATCAGATCGACCCACGCGGCCGTCGCCATGGCCGTGCTGATCTCCGTCATGGCGAGGCTGCGGGACTGCACGACCTGGCTGCCAGACGCGCTGGCCAGCAGGCCGATGACGGCGAGGGCAGCCGGGCCGCGGTCGTCGAGGCCGTGCTTGTACTGCACCGCGGCGGCGCCGAAGACGAGCGCGGTCTGGATCAGGTTGCAGAGGATGAGCCACCACCGCTTGCGGGGGCCGACGAGGTGGCCGAGCTGTCCGGTGAGCCAGCCGGCGCTGAGGAAGAGACCGAGGGCCATGCCGATGTTGGGGATGATGAACAGGTCTCCGTTGGCTTGGGGGAAGACGATGGCCAGACACAGGAGAACGGTGTTGCCGGTCTGGTTGGAGGCGAAGCAGTGGTAATCGGGAAAGGTGGTGGCGTCTACACGACAGAGGTCAGCGGAGTTTCCGGTGGGCGGTGGCAGGCTGTACATACCTTGAATCCCGGTGCAAAATGTGAGAAGCAATAGCTGAAGCTCGGCAAAGATGGTCGGACGAATGTCGCCAGTAAAGTGAGCGACGACACCACCCTGTTGCGGAGGAGCAGACGTCGTCTTGAGACTGCTCTGGTGGTGGTGCTCGTCATCGGACCAGTGGCCAGTGGCAGTCGGGTCCGTCACATAATCCGTGACAACTTCTTGTTTGGACATTGTGGCAGAATTGAGTAATTATATCGAGCAACAGAGGAGGTACGGGCATTCAATCGCCTTCACAGATTAAGTTGAGTCTTGGACGGGAGAAGCGAGCATCACAGACAGGAGTCTGTCTGAGGGTTGAAGGACTGGGGAGCCCAGAAACTAGAATGGGAAGAATCATCGCCATTTATCAAGATGCGATCGACCGGCAGAAACCGACAGCCGCTTAGAGGAAAATTTAACAGTGCCAAAGCCGGGTCCACACGAGAGAACAAGCATTGTGTCGATGCGGCTCCGGCTTTTGGCGGTTGGGTTGGGATGGGATTTAGGTGGATGCCGCCGCTTTAGATGAATCTATCTGCCATCCTGCAAACGTAACACAGAAAAAAGCCCGAATATTCCGCCCCCAATGGGAGCTCCGCTAAAGCGGCCACTTATTTCTGCACGACTTGCTAAGCCGCATTTAGAATTGCCCGATTCGGCCAACCGCCTTTCCGCCCGGCAGCCGGGGGCCACTGCTGTTTTCTTCTGGTAGCCTTGGTAGCACTCAAATCCCGATGCCGCCGACAGCCGCTCCCCACCCCATCGGCTCCGTGATGGCTGCATGCTACGGCCTCGCGGTGTAAAAATGACGAGGCTCATAGTAATTTGCGGTGTGCAATCCCAGACGGAGTTTTTTTTTTTTTTTTTTAAATTCGTAAGATTGAATGTCTAGAGAAGGATCGCATCCTGGTCCTTGCTTTAATTCCACTGAACACTACTGCTCTGGGCAAACAGCTTTAGGATCGCCGTTTTCTCATTTCGCATTGGGCAGCGAAGCATCCTGGTCTTTAGCAAAATGTACTTGTTAGGCTGCTAGTCTCGACTGCAGAACATCGAGTCTCACAATTTTTGTCTATTTCCCGGTTCCTGCAGGACCGCGTGCCTAGCTTGCCGCCACCCACCTTCTGGTTTGCGGTACGTATCTGTGTCCTGAACGGAGCCCAAGTTGATGGGTTAGGAACGCAACACAACAACTCAATGCATGCAACCCAGTGGCTCGATTCGACAAGAAATCAATTAACTCCTACCTTCCTTCTCTGAATATGAATAAAACTTCTTCATCACGACCACTTACACCGTCTCTTGAAGTCACGTGTTTTCGCATCTTGCTGACTAACCGACGCGTCTCAACGCGGACCCCACTAGTCCGTCCAGGCACCATGAACTTAACGGTGATTGATGGTCAATGGATACACAATACACACAGCGGCTGATGATTATGATTGCCCCTTGTCTTCTAGCTACTGTTTTTGCCCGTCGTCTCGATGCTAATCTATCGGATTCATGACTCACAACAACCTTGACGACCACCTGACCTGGCTGCTGAACAACATCTCCCTATCGACACCGCGCGCGGACGACTTTCCTTACGCACCTGAACTGTACCTTGGCGCCTCGGACGTACCCGACTCAATCCTGCCTCCCAGCCCCAACTACCAGGTTCTTAGACGGCAGGAGAAGCTACAGCCAACAGAGAAGTCACAGAACTTGCCCAGCCTCGCGGCCAATGGCCCAGGGGAGAGGGCCGGACCGGAAACATCAGCTCACGGCCAGACCCAGCTGTCCCCGGACGATATGGGCCGCCTAACTTCGACAACAAAACCTAAGAGACCGTCGCTGGTGCTTCAGCAATCCGAAAATACAACACCGAAATCTTCTGCTTCTACAATTCATGATGTCGACCCCGGCTCTAGCAGGAGGGAGCCGCCCTCAAGCTCGCGCAAAGACCAAGCCAAATATTCCTCCAGCAAGCCGAAAGCCGTTCCCCAGCAACCAATCTCGAGAACTAGGCTAGATATCACGGATCTAGATGCCGAAGACCTTGAATGTATGGATCTAACGACGGACTCGGTACACTCGGTCGCGTCATTGGAGTTTGTTAAAGAGGTGCCGCTGCAGTCGTCCAGCGACATGAGCACAACATCCTCACAGCAAAGAATCGGAAAGAAGAGGAAGAGCACTGATATTACTGGAGTGGAGGCGGAGTTTGAGGATCACTTTGCAGATGTGTATCAAATGCTCGGTACGGAGCCCCCAATGTCGACGCCGGCTATCAAGTCTTCTTCCCGAAAGCACGGCTCAACCAGTACAAAGCGCCGCCAAAAGCGCGATGCGGAAACGGTAGCATCATCCTCACGGAAAATACGACTGGATTCGATCAGCAGTCTTCCTGGCGACTTTTCGTCCCCAAGTCGAGCTGTTGCTGCGAAACGGCCTCAGCCCAGCGGTTCACAACTTCAGCATGGAGCACCCGAATCTTCCCAGCGGCGCAATAAGACACATAATACTGCACGCATCAACTCTCCAGCAAAGACCTCAGCCCCGGTGCCAGCCACCGACGGCACGATTTTGCCCGCTGGACCGACTGAACAGTTTATTCCGGACTCGGATGACGAGTTTATGACACCACCTTCTTTTAAACTCGCAAATATATCCCAGGAGAGCCGAAAATCAAGAGCTATTCAATCTCAAGCTAGCCAAATAATTGCAGATTTACCTCAGCCACAACTTGAAACGACTGCATCATTCGATGTCTCGACGGATAGCATAATTATCTTACCTCCGCCAACCGAAACACAATCCAGCCAGGCGCCACGGATATTGTCCTATTTGTCACAGAACCCTAGTCTTCTGGACAAGAAGCTGCAGCAAGTCGATGTTCTTATTCAGCAAAACGCACGCGAATTTAGACAGGCGATAGATGCGCGATGTACAAAGGAGAAACGTGACGAGATCAAAGCAGAAAAAGAACGCTTGTTGCAGCAGAAAAAGTCACTTGACGCCGTTGTTATCTCCTTTCGCTCCTACGTCGAAATGTGCGAGAAACGTGAGGCCGTTGCCGGCCATGTCGCCAAAGCATACGCCGAAGGGGTAGAGACTGATGAGGACGAAGCGAGACTTGATGAGATTACGGACGCAGTGGAACAGAAGGAGAAAGAGCTACTGCAAGAGCTGACTGCGGCCGGTGTTGAAGAAGCGGATTGTCTCGACTTGGCAACGGCCGCGCAAGAAGCTTCTCAATCTCAGAGAGTGGTACTGGGAACTCAACATATAGCAGGAGTGTCAGTCAATATGTCACGGCCCAGTTTGGACCCCCGGTCTGAAATGGCCCATGGAACACAAGTTGTCCACGAAACGCAATTCGGAGGGACTCCCGGCTCCAGCTTCTTACATCACTACCCTGCTAATGGAAACACAATCGCGGTTGGGGCGAGCACACCGCAGAGGATTGATGCTCCATTCCCCAGGGCATCTGCTAATCTGCATCATGCTGCCAATAATCGACGTCCAGCAATGACGGAAGAGGTTGATACATTTGCGGACGAGCTGATGTCTGAGTTCGAGGAAGATATAATGCTCCCACCTCCTCCTCGCTCTGCCCTGAAAGCCTCAAAAGGCGGGGCTTACGGGATGCCTCAGCGTGATCGAGACGAGTTTAGCGAATTCAGCGATGACGAAGATATGCTCGCCTTTGCACAAGACTACGAAAGCCAGAAATCTGGCAAGGAACAGTCTCCAAGCAACCGCACGGTCTTCTCTGAAACGTCTGGAAATGCTGCACCCGTGTCAAGAGCTCGATCGTTGTCGCGAAAGCCACTACCCTCTTCGCAGCCAGAACTGTCTATACCGCCGCACCTTATGAAGTTTCCATGGTCAGCGGAGGTACAAAAGACGTTGAAAGATCGTTTTCGCATGAAAGGATTCAGGCAGAACCAGCTGGAAGCGATCAACGCAACGCTGTCAGGCCAAGATGCGTTTGTGCTGATGCCCACTGGCGGCGGCAAGTCGCTCTGCTACCAGCTCCCCGCGGTTATCAGGACAGGCAAGACACGCGGTGTCACGGTTGTCATTTCTCCGCTGCTGAGTCTCATGCAAGATCAAGTGTACCACATGAAAGCACTGGGCGTACAGGCCGTCGCATTTAACGGTGAATGCACCGCTGAATATAAAAGGGAGATCATGAGTGCTTTTGGGCAACGCAGCCCAGAGCACTTCATTGAGCTGGTGTATATCACGCCAGAAATGATCTGCAAGAACATGGCCTTCAACGCTGCGCTCCAAAAACTGTATCAAAATGGCAAGTTTGCTAGATTGGTGATTGACGAAGCACACTGTGTCAGTCAATGGGGCCACGATTTTCGGCCAGACTACAAAGCCCTTGGGCAGGCACGGAAAAAGTTTCCTAACGTTCCGATTATGGCCCTGACGGCTACAGCTACGCAAAATGTCATTGTTGATATAAGGCATGTTCTCGGCATGAAGACTTGTAAAGTCTTCTCGCAAAGCTTCAACAGGCCCAATCTCTACTATGAAGTTCGGCCAAAGGGAAACGCCGTCTCCTCGATCGCAACCATTGCCACTCTGATTCACTCCCAATATTCTGGCCTTACCGGAATCGTCTATGCACTCTCTCGAAAGGGAACGGAAAGCGTCGCCGAGAAACTCAGAGAGAAAGGCATTTCTGCCCAACACTACCATGCTGGCATGACAGCGCCGGAGAAGGTCAAGGTGCAAACTGACTGGCAGCAAGGCACTACCAAAGTAGTTGTCGCTACTATTGCTTTCGGAATGGGCATCGACAAGCCGGATGTACGATTTGTCATTCACCACGGCTTACCAAAAAGTTTGGAGGGGTACTATCAAGAAACGGGCCGAGCTGGGAGAGACGGCAAACCGTCGGATTGCATTCTTCTTTACGGCAGAAGAGATATAGTGGTTCTCAAGAAGATGATTGACGATGGTGAAGGCAACCAAGTGCAAAAGGAGAGACAACTGGCAATGCTCAACAGAGTCACTGCGTTCTGCGACAACGAATCAGACTGTCGCCGAACTGAAGTGTTGCGTTACTTTGGAGAAGACTTTTCATCGACACAGTGCCAGAAGCAATGCGACAATTGCCAACTAGCAAGAGTGTTTGAGCAGAAGGATTTTTCAGAGTGCGCCAGATCGGCCATCCGCGTGGTTCAGCTTCAGGAAAAATTGACTGCCGCCCAGTGCGCGGACATCCTACGTGGAAAACAATACCCAGCACATGCAGAACACCTTTCCGAGGAATTCCGTGGCGACTGTCGGGAGCTTATGAAGCACCAAATCGTCCGCGTCATCGACAAACTTCTAGCAGAAAAGGCCTTTATTGAAAACAACAAAGTTGGCAAATACGGTGTCGCGATCCAGTATTTAGCCATAGGGCCTCATGCAAATCAGTTTCTCAATGGCCAGCGGAAGCTGATGCTGACAGTACAGGTGGAGGAGCCGCGCGCAAAAAAGGCTTCTACTAAGAAGGCTAAGAAGAGCAAGGCTCAAGAAACGCTCAACGTGCAGTCAACGTATGTCTCTTCGCCGGTGGGTAAGCGTCGCGCCGCCCGCGCCCGCGTCGCTGATAGCGACGACGAGGAATACCCAGCAACCTCGCACGGATATGCCAATGACGGCTTCGTCATTTCGGATGGAGATGGAGATGAAGATGAGGACGACGATGACGACGAAGAAGGCGCCTTTGCAGAATTACCCAGCCACCGACCAGCTAAGCCAAGCAGCAAGCAAAAACAAAAGCAGCCTGCTGCAAAAGCAAAGCCAGTGAAGCCGTTTGGACCCCCTATTCACTCCAAGACGCGTCTGGATGATATTTCCGAGATTCATCAGGACATTGTCACTGGCTTTGTGCAGGAGGCACGAAGAGTCGAAGAGCATATCCGCAACAAGAAGGAACTACGACGACCGCTCTTCAGCGAAAAGGACTTTCAAGAAATGGCTATCAATTGGACTACCAGCATTGAGCGCATGGGCCGCATTCCCGGCATCGATGGTGACAAGGTCAGAGAGCACGGCCCGAAGCTGCTTCCAATTCTTCATCGATATCACGAAGGGTATATGGAATTGATGGGCGAGGGCAACCAGGGTGGCGAGGACATTGTAGACCTCATCAGCTCTGACATTGAGTTTGACGACGATAGTGCTGCAGCAGAGCCTAGTACCGGCGAGACATCACACTTTTTTGCACCACCACAGCGGTCTATCCCGCCCGAAGTGGCTGCCTTCCACGCCCGCCTCGAAGAAGCAAGCCAGACAGGCCAGAGGGATGGCCCTGCGCTGCAGAGCCAATCCCAAACCCGGTCATGCGGTAGAGGAGGCGGAGGCGGCAGCAGCAGCACAGGTCGCAAGTATTTCAAACGCAAAGGAAATGGCGGAGTGAGGAAGCGCAACGCAAGCGGTGGCGGCAGCTACGGCGGCCGCAAAGCCAGCGGTGGCTCCTCGTACGCCTCCGGCTCCGGCTTTGGAGGGGGGGGTTCCTCGCGATCATCTGGGGCCAAGAAGGATGGCAAGATTGTGAGGAATGCCGGCGGGGGTATCGGTCTTATGCCTCTGTAAACGAACGCCCTAGACCAACGATGATGTGGGAGAGAGCTGTGTACCATGGGGTTTACCTTGCCGGTGAATTGGGAACGATTTATTACGATGCATGGCATTTTGGAGTTTTTTGGTCTTTTTGGTGGCTGTCTGCTTCCTCATGCTTCTGGTAGAAGCCATTATTAAACCCGAATTAGCATACTTGTTTACATATAGAACAATAGAAAAGGGATGTACAACTATTCTTGTTGTCAGGACGAGACATGATGTGGATGGCATCTGGAGAACGTGAAGAGTAAATTCTTCTATTGTAGCTTTTGAACTGTATGATACAACACGAAGAAACAGAAAAGAAACAAGGCTATAACCTGCCATACGGGAGAGCCGTGTCGCTATGATGACACGCACTTCTACCGCTTTTGGCTGATCAGCACCAATGAAGCGCGCTTCTCTTCGAGGCTTATACAAACAAGCCCCACGAATAACAAGATACGGACAGATGCAAGGACGGAGACAGGGTAGAAAAAGGAATTAGATTAAAGGGAGGGAGAAAAAGACACAAATGCCAAGCTCCCTGCGTCAGCGACCCTGCGTCAGCGAACAACAAAAAAGAAAAGCCAATGTCGAAAGCGAATTTTGTTTCCCTTAAAAAACTCCGCCGCTAGGATATCATTTGCCAGTGTGTGTGAGAGCGTGTGTTTGTGCATCTATGATGAATGATTATGAAAAAAAAAAAAATAAAGAAAACAAAAAGAGCGTACCAAGAAACGAACCCCTTTCCCTTTTTTGTAATTTAGACAAGAGACCAACCCTGCTTTGTTACACATGATGCTTGCATTCAAGAAGGAAAAACGACCAAAAAGAAAAGAAAAGGGGGAGAGTTCGAAGCAGAGGCAGTCCAGCACAAAGATGTTCCAACTTCATTTCCACCCTTGCGCGTCTCAGAATCGCCAGCGAGGCTTCGAGTCTCTCGGCTCTACCGAGTCTTTCCGACGAGACATCATCGGGCTGGACCGCCCAGGCATGCGAGGCAGCAGACTCTCGCGGTGCGAGGCCAGCGAGCTCGACGGACGGCCACAGTCCTCTTCGGCGGCGGCGTGACCGGCACGGGGCGGCTGAAGGGACGTGCGACGAGTGCCCGTGGCGGCGCCGGGGGTGGTAGACTTCTTGGCCAGCGTATGCTGGGAGTAGGGCCCCGGCGAGACGAGGCGATCGCGGAAGCCCAGTCGGGAGTTGCTGGTCCTGGAAGGCGATCGTTCCACTTGCGGCGATTCCGAGACGGAGCGGTGGAAAATGCTGCGCATGGTGGGCAGCTTCGAGCCGGTGCTGCCCGGCGAGGCCGTCGAGGAGGCGCGTCGATTTGGAGTTGAGAGCGTGTGTGGGTTAGGATACCGGTAACCAGCGTCCAGGTCGCCTGTTTTTGTAGACGTGTTCCACCGTGGGCGATTGTCCAGAGTAGAGGTAGGTCGGGGAATCGTGCTGCCTTGAACAGGAGTGCCCGCGGAAGAGCTCGGGATGGTTGATAATCTGGCAGCCTGTCGTTTTGAAAATGCAGAGGCGGGCTCCGGGAGCGAAGAATACCTGCGACCGGAGGATGGGGGAGCATTTGGTGAGCGAGCCTTGGACTGACTCGCAGTAGGAGTGTGTGCTTCAAAGCCCAGACTTGTCATGATGACAGACGAAGGCGGGGAGCTTCCAGGTGTCTCATGGCCGCTGCCCACAGTGGATCGGTCGTTGGACAAGAGGCTGGAGACGGAATCGCGAAGCTGCTTGCTTCTATTGTCGGCTAGAATCGCTTCCACTATGCCACCCGTCTCCTGCATGCTTTGCTTCAGATGAGACCAGCGACTCTGCAAGTCGTGATGCAGACGCAAGATTTCACCATTGACTGTCAGGCGGTCCTTGACCCCGCGATCGATGATAGAGAGAACGCGCTCGATAGCGGGGCCGTAATGAACCTTTTTGGCTTCGTAACTCTCAATCTTCTTCGTCATGGCCGGGGGGTTGGTGAGATGCAGTCTGGCATCGACGCCCTCGCGAAGCTTAAGGAGAGACCGCTCAACAGACTGTTGCATCTTTTGGGCCTGACGACCGGCGCCACGAAAGACAATGACCCATCTGTCCTCGCCGAGTTCCTTGCGCAACGACTCGGCGTCCTTCTCCAGCTTGCGATAGCTGTTGTCGAGGCCGGTTCGTCTCATGGTTAGCTCGTCACAGGCAGTAGGAAAGATGTTTTCCGCTCTTGTCTCAAAAACAGACAGGCGCATGGGTAGAAAGTCGAGCGAGGCCCGTAGGGGTTGCATACGTGCGAACAGGGCCAGTAGGCTAGAATCGTCTTGTGATAAGCCGGGGCTGGCGGCATTGACAGTGCTTGGAGAGCTAGGGCTCAAGGGACCCGTGGATAGGGGCAAACGCCCGGGAGATTTTACGTGTGGTATTGTGACTGGCCCATCTTCGACAATGGTTTCGAGGTCACCAATGTCAACATTGTCACCACCAGCACCAGCAATGATGGTTTTGTGGCGGCGCTCCTCCATCTCAAAGACGAGACGGCTGAGCTCATCCATTTCACTCTGAATATCTCCAAGCACATTGCTCCAGAGCTCCTCCCATTCCATAGCGATCTCGACCTGGCCACGGACGCTGTGCAGGGTGGACTTGATCTTGGACCATTCGTCGAGAATGATTTCCATTTGAGATACAGCTTGATTTGTGTCTTGCTTGGGGACCTGGGATGCATCGTCGCGTTGCTGGAGTTCCTCAATCGCCGAGACATACGCGTTGATGAGTTCCTCAAAGCGGACAATGGCGCTCTCGACGTCGCCGAGTCCTTCACGGCCGCCCGCGGCCGCCCACTCAACGTCGTCTTCGCTATCGAGGCCACCAATAACCTCCTGTGCCTTGGAGATCCAGCTGCGGATCTGCTCAGCGGCATTGATGAGAGCATTAGTGGCTGCGGCGGCAGTGGGTATGGCAGACACTTTGCTTGAGAGCGAGTGGGCGTCGGGGAGCTGCAACGAGGTGAGCTGGGCGAGCTGGTTGGCGAATGAAGCTCGGGAGAGGGTGTATATGGATCCTGGACGGTTACGACCAGGTGTAAAATATGAACCTAGACCAGGAACATAGTCGGCGGCGGGCGGAGGTGTTACGGGTGGCGGTGGTGTATCTTTTGGGGGAGGCGGCGGGGGAGTTGCTGGCAAGTCGGAGGAGGGAGGCGGGGGTTGTCGTTCGAGGTGCTCGCGGCGAGTCTCGAGGGTGACCTTGGTACCATTGCCATTGGTGTGGTCAGGCAGGCGGTATTTCTGGGTATCCATCTCGAGAGGGTCTGGAGGTTCGATTTCAGGCAGCCGGGGAGATTGGTCTGGTATGGCAGAGGCAGGGCGCAGGTTGGGCTGGCTGACCGACACCTTGAGGGTAGAAGAGGCGCCGGCGCCTCTCCAGGGGCGACCTCTCCTGGAAATTACGGAGCTGATGGAGCCAGCGATGTGTTTCTCGTCGAGTTGGCGTAGCTGTTGCTCGTCGAGGCGGCCGACGAGCTCGGTGGGCGGTGTGAGGTTGGGAGAGCTCTTTTTGGAGGAGCCGAAGCCCAAGGCCTTGAGGCGGGCAGCTAGGCCGGGAGCTGGTTTGCGGAACGAGGGAGTGGTCGAGGGAGCGGTCGAGGTGGTGGAGGGTGCGGCAGAAAGCGGCCTGGCGGTAGGTCCTGGTCTGTGGGAGGCGGCAGTGGTTGTGGTGATGCTCTCTGACGCAGCTGGGGCGGCTTTGGGCGCGACAGCAGGCTGACGCACGGTAGCGCTTGTGCCACTGGTAGGCCTAGCAGAATCGATAGGACTGCAAGGAGGGTCAGCACTGGCGGCGGCTGGGATTGGCGTTTGAGTTGGCGTTGGCGTGTTGTCGTGGTGGTCGAGGGCGTCGTCGGCGTCGCGGGTTCGACTGCTGGAACAGCTCCAGGCGGTGGACGTGGCTGGCTGGATTGGGCTGCCTGTAGTGGAGACGGATTGTTCTCTGGTGAGGGTCGACGCGGATGTGGAGTCGTCGCCGATGGAGATGGACGAGCCGGACCAGCTTGTCGAGAGGGAGGGCAGAGCAGGCAGGTCGATGGTGTAAATGTTTGCGAAACCTAGGGCGCTGGGGCTCAGATCGTGGGCGTCGGTTTCATAGTGGCCGCGCAGGTCGATATGAGAGTGAGGGCGCTGGATGCGAATGTGAGGTTGAGAATGAGGGTGAGAGTGAGGGTGAGGGGGCGACTGGCCCGAGGGAAGAGGCTTGGGAACGGTGTGTACCCTTGGAGGGAGCGTGAGCTGGGTCGTTGTGGTCGCGGTGATCTTGGTCGTGGAGGTGGTGTCCCTGGTGGGCGAGGCAGGCCCAACAGGCGCCTGGAGGGCTGCCATGGGGGTTCCAGTGCTGTAAATAAGGTGGTAATTTCAGGCTTGTCTTGAAAATAATCAGGGTACCTGGGTGCGATGTAGGCAGTGGTCGTCGCAGGGTAGTAGCGAAATGAGGTGGGGTTCTGGTAGAGCTGCGTCCCTTTTTCTTCCGTCTCGAGTAAAAAAAATTGAAGTTGAAAAGCGTAAAGTTGAGACGCATTCACTTTGTGGTCGGACAAGTGAACCAACGGGCCAGCTGGCTTGGGCACCTTTCGGCGGTTGTGTTCAGGTTGTCATGCAATGCAGGCCGAACCTAGAGGTGAGGTGACTTCAGTTTGTTGCTGCAAACTGCAAAAAGCTGGCCGGCACCGTGGACCGCTGGCTCCTCGGCCTCTGGTATCAGTACTTGGCTGGCTGTCGCGTTGAGGGAGACGCCGCAAGTATCAGTACAGCACCCGGGAGAGCTCGCTGGCAGTGGCAGGCTGCGGGTTGTTCAGTGGGTCTTCCCGCCCGAGCTACCCCTGTCGGCCCTGTTTGCTGCGCCTGGAACTCCCTGTACGGACGGGTTGTACCTGGCCTGGCTGCTGCTGGTGCCGACGACTTCTCGTCACCCGCAACCACTTCATGCGCAATGCTGCAGCTCGATGGAGTCTCCAACGTCTGGCTGCCCGATCTTCCGTTGCGCGCCAGTCAATCGTGATATGTTCGGCCGTTGGGGTTTCGCAGCTCGTTCGCGTTTCTTTTTGTCGTCACGTGCATGCCTTGCTCGATATGAATTGGATCCCGCTCGTCGTCTTCCTGGACATTAACAGTGGTTCTATCGCCGTTTGTTCTTTGCCGAATAGGGGTGGGTGGTGGCGCAAGTCGTTCGTCGTCTCGATTCGGCGTGGCCGTTTGCCGCGGGGTGGGAGAGCAAGGGGATGGACAGAACCGAAAGAAAAGGGAGGAGAAAAAAAAGACGAAGGAATGTGGAAGTTGGGTAATAAAAGAATGAGAACGAAATAAACAAGGCAAAAATAGACTTAATACAAGCCTTTGGAGTCAATGTTAAAGAAAAGAAAAGAAAAGAACAGGGGCCAGGGGCAGCTGGCAGCTGGCAGTCGACGACGATGATGATGCAAACGCCCTCGCTTCCAGCAAACAGGCTATCCGTTTAAAAAGAGTCAACAGGAGGTAATAAATAAGAAATAAGATGCCCAATACAAGCTCCGGATCGGCCCCGGCGCTCCACTAGCAAGCTGCTCATTTGTGAATTCAGAATAAGGGGTATGGTTTTTTCCCTATTTTTCTCCAACGCCGCTCATCTGTGTAATAAAACAATCTCGCCGCCGCCCCCATCCGTCCAACGCGCGCGTGGGATTAATTAAATTACACCACTCCAGTTCTCCCCCAGTTTGCGCCCTGAGGCATCATCGGTCCAGCCATCAGTCAACAGTTCATCACATCAGGTCATGTCAAACGCCACTCCATATACTTCAATGTTTGCGCCGCCGCCTATCCGTACCCGGCCTCAAGTCCATCATCTCTCCCATTGCGCTTCTCGGCTCTCCTCATCACATCGGGCACCTTTCCAGCCGACCCCATGATGTCTCCTGCAGCTCCCCGCTTCCGCTTCCGCCTGCACTTGGCACGCTGTCCCGCTCGAAGGGCCCGTCCAGGGGCGGCTCAGAACCTGCTCCCAACAGCGCGTCGCACTACCCACAGAGTCTCAGCACCTGGAGGCTGAACCCGTCCCGCTCTTTGGCGTGGGCGTCCCAATCATTCCCAACGTACTGGGTAAAGAGTTGCAAGGTTCGGATCTCGAGCGCCGCCATTGATTCAGCCGCAGGCCCCGCCGCCGCCGCCGCCGACGCCGCCGTGACGCCGGAACCTCGTTGGGCACGGATGGACCCAGAGATACCGAGTGTTCGGGAGTTGTCCACCTCCGCGCCGGATGCACAATGCCCCAACACGCCTAGATCTCTGTCACATACCGAGTAGAAATGTGGACGTGTTAATCCGTAACTCCGTAACGCTCAATGATAAAGCGAGAAGGGTACATAAAATTAAGGCTCGACGTCTTGCTCGCTGAACATGTGTATGGCACGCTATCATCACATCTGTTCCCGATGCCACTTTCGAGGGCCGAGGGCATTCATCTCGTCGTTTTCTCGCATCTGTATCGCATGCAGTGTTGATGTCACTACCAAGCGCCTCGTGTCGTTGCAGGCCCCCGGTTGGCAGCATGGCCTCATTACCACGTAGTAGCTGTGCGTGGATTCGGATCTTCTTTTTAAAGCGCATGGGCTTGAGTCTTGTACATATGACGCCTTGCTGCTCGCTTTCTGGCTACTCATGAATCTAGAAAAAAAAAGTGCCATTGGTTGCCTCGGGCTACATGCGTACTCCCCAGTACTCAAGCAGCCCAGTTGCATCATGCTCTCCATTACTCAAGTTAATGCCTGTCACCGGTCGCTCTCTTTCGCAGAGAGTGAGGTGTGACACTTGAATGAGTAAATTATGCACGGCTGCAAGGTGCCTTGTGCATCATGCAGGTACGCACTGCCCACAAAGTTGGCCGTGGCGCAGTGCGCTTGTGTCTCGCTTACGAGCGAGAACGGGGTGACGATTCATGCCGTGTCTTTGTCGTGTGACGTCGATTGTTCAGCTTTATTGGACCAAAGCACTGGGCGGAAATTTTTTACACGAGATGAATCGATTCAGGGACCAAACATCAACCATAAAATACTCAGGTTTGTGGGGACTATATGCGCAGGAAGACTGCCCGTCGTGTCCTCGTCCAGCTAACATCTGGTCACAGCATGTTGGCTACTGGCATGACACACAGGCACAAGTGGCAGCCCGCCAAGGGACAACGGTACGTCCAGAGATTTTTTCCCGATGAGCTGCCCCTCTCGGGAATCATCAGATGGCCACAAACCAGCTGTTTCATTCTAGACAACGTCATCTCGTGTCACTTCCATCTATATATGCAGCTCCCGATCCGTCAGCCGAGCCCAGTCTGAGACTTCTGTTTATATTGCTAGAACTGATAGAACAAATAAACCTCGTTATGCCGATTCTAATAAAAATTACTCGAGTAAATTATAAGTGGTAAGAGTTATGCCAGTGTACGATAGCTTCTAGTCGGCCGTACGAACTATGCCGAAGGAGTCATATCCAGGCGCCTGTAAGCCGCCAGACTCACGCTCACGTGGGCAAAATGACCTGCATAACTAGAAACAATGGCCTGATCCAGAGAATTGACTCGAGTGAATTACTAGTAGGAGCAATGTGGACAGGTGCTATACAGGCCCCGTTACAGTAGAGACTACTTTCGGTGTTATGTACATATACACCGCCGAGTTGGCGAGGTCGAGTCACAAACTCTGGATCAGGGCCGAATAAATGACATGTTAAAGCGTATTTTAATAAGGATTCATATTGAACTAGAAATTTTAAACAGTATGCAGACCCTCACAATGTGGGATAACAGTGTCGGCTCTGCCCATGGACCCACGCATAGTCCCAGATAATGATAAAGTGAGCTCTGAAAACGACGCATGCCACATGTCCGATTGTTTAGGTATATAATAGACACTTCACATCCAAAATTTTGGAATCAGTCCGTACAGATTCTTCTCATAGTCTTTCTGAACCCGAGCCTCTACTCCAGCTCCCACTCGTTTGTGCTGAGAACGTCGCTTTACTTCTTTACTTGCCAACATGCGCTCAGTCTTCTTACTTCCCCTGGCGCTGGTGCTCGGCGCAGTGGCTCAAGATGAGCAGGCTGGAGAGGATGTCCAACACTGCGGTACGAACTCAACTGATGGTGTTGCCCATGCGGATTTCTTGATTGAAAGTCGACAAAAGCATGTACTTCAACCCTTTACCATTGAGACTTACATCCACTATGTTGCACCAAGCAACCCCCCTGACAAGGTTAAAACAAAGGTATGTCGAGTTGAATTCTCTTTATTAAAGACATATACTTAGCCAATTTTAGCTTCAAGACTCTGCCCGGAAGCAACTTGATGTGCTCAATGCCGCATTTGAGCCATCCGGCATTTCCTTCACTAGAAATAAGCCCCGTTTCTGGGCAGACGCCCGCTTTGCCTCCATACAAAGCGGCAGTGATCTTGCAGCGATGATCGAAAAGTACCGTGTCGGTGATGACGCCAAGATTCTCAACCTCTTCGTGCCGTACTCTCCAAGTCAAAAAGTACTAGGCACTGGTGCGTGCATCAGCTTTGACGACTTGTTCGTCAGGAAAACGTCCCCCATGTCTTCGGATGGCTGCTTCATCCGGCCTACGACGCTTCCCGGCCACAGCTTCGAGCGCTACAACGAGGGAAAGATGGCCGTTCACGAGGTTGGTCACTGGCTTGGACTCTATCACACGTTTCAAGGCGGCTGCACCGGGAAGGGGGATTTCATGCCCGACACACCGGCCCAAGCGTATGAAACCTTTGGCTGCAACGTGACCCAAGACACCTGCCCGGATCAACCCGGCCTTGACCCAATTCACAACTACATGGGATATTCTGACGAGTAAGTCTAACCCTATTCATAACACTCAAAGAGCAATCTCTGATGCGCAGCAGCTCTTGCATGACGGAATTTACCCCGATGCAAACGCGGACTATGCACCACGTGTGGAGAAACTTTCGCATGAAGGCTTGATCTTCTAAACGAGCGAGAAATAAACCCGGGGTTTTTGAAGATCCGTGATGCGCTGCGTCTTGGGCTCAGGTTGCGTCCATGAGCTTGGCCTGATGTTGGTTTGGGAACCGCCCCAAGTGCAGAGGACTGGGATACGTAGCTCAAGTTCACAATTTCCTTCACCAGAAAATGCCCAAGACTCCCAGTCTATAAATGCAACCTAGGCAAATATATCCAGCAGAAAATAGAGAGGCTAGATGGCAGTCTACGTCCGCCTCATCCCAGCAGCGAATAAAAGGCAGCTCATGATAGCAGTGACTACGCCCAGGTTGACTGGCAGATGCGGATGAACGGGATGGCCAGCTGGTGATGGGGTCATCTCGCTTGCGTGGGGTTTGTGCTTATATCCAGGTAATGACATCGCCACCATTCTCGGGAACGGGATGACCAGAAATAGGCTACTTTGTTGTAGGCGTACATTTTTGTGCCTTTGAGGAAAGAGTGTACTGTGTGATGGGTGATGGGTGATGGGTGATGGGTGATGGGTGATGGGTGATGCGTGTAAGCTGTGTGCGCCAGTGCGCCCATTAGCGGCGGTAAGAATGTTCTTGTTGGAGGCTGGCTGTGGTGCGCCAAAGAGCAACACCATTATTAAACTGCCAGGGCTACTTGACAGGTCTACCAAGGCTGTGCGGTTATGCCACAGCTACATAAGTAGCTTGGTGGTAAGTGCTCGTGTCGTGTGCAGGACGCACTGTCAACGGCCTGGACGGCATTCTTCATTCCAGCGGGCTGGCGGGGACAGGGCCTGGGACAGCAACGCGAATGCGCTGTAGGTTGCCGTGGAAATGAGTCAAGTTAGCATTGTCAAGCATGGATGAGGTATGGAGTTTTTGGGGGACACTGTGTAGTGAAGTATTAATGACATGAGTCTGTACCAGGGATGAGAAAGGTATCCCGGTTCTTGATCTGTATCGTTTGTTCGAGTCACGGTTTTGTTCAACAAACTGGCACTTCTCATCATTTCCCAGCACTGCTTGGAGTCGGACCAACGTTTGACTTATTAATACGAAGTACAAACGACCAGCGGGAGGAGATTATTAGATTACAACAGCTGATTCGCCCAATCTCTGTGGGCGGCGCTCCCCGCGCACACTCTCCACTTGGTGGTGCGCAAATTCAGGCACAGTCTTTTGATAGGCAGGCTCTGGGACTCGGTGGTGCACAAGCCTTGTGTTGAGGAGAAGCATAATCGCAAATGCACTTGGGAGATTTCTGGACACCTTTTCTTTTATTATTAACCATCAGGAGAGCACAGGGCCGGGCCACCAGGTGTCAGTAGCACATGATGAATGGGAAACGGAAACAATGGAAACAACGGAAACAGCCGCGCCAAACATGACGGAGCCGTAAGTTTTAGCCAGGCAAGCCAGAGGGTATAAGAGGAAGATTACGGGGAAGCTGAAAGAGAATTTTTGCATCCCAGTTACCATCTACCATACCTCTTTTTTCTCCGATGTAGGGTCAGTCCCTTCAGACTCTCTCCCTGTCAAGCCCCAGCGCTGGCCTTCCAGCGGTTGTAGTGGCTACAGTAGTGTCCTGCATTTCTACAGAGCCGGTAGTGGATGTGGAGTGTGCACCTACTGTATGTACCTACTGTATGTACGTAAACACTGTGCTGGCCACTGTATTTGAGTCCGCCAACTCCCCCAAAACTCCCCAAATAGACGCTAAAATAGGTACGGGACGCCCCATCCCATGGCGCAAACAGCGGGCTGCTCCGCTATTTCCCTCTTCATTTCACGATCCACCAACCCATGATCCATCCATCCATCTGACCCGTTGCCTCGGAGTCTCTCTCACCCGCTGTTCGTCGCCTTGTCTGTTCCTCACAGTCAAGCTCAAACACGTCCCTCGTCCCATCTAACTTGTCAAGTTACTCTGCTCTGCTGGGCCAACCCGCCTACTTACCCGTGTTTCTCTCTCTGCACACTTCCAACACGGCATCCGATAATCATTTCCCTTTTCCGATCAAAGAGGAAACGGGCCTCTTACCTACTTCACTTGGCAGGCCACCTTCACCCGCCACATCGCATCGCTCGGCTCCATACTGTTACTGTCATATTCAAGGACCTCCTGGATCCTCCATCTGGCGACATCGACCTGCCACCTTGCCACCAACACAAACCCCCTTGTTGCCTTGTAGAGGCTATCCTCTCTTGACTCCAGTTTTGTCCCTGCTTTCAACGTCACGGCCGTTTGGCCCTGGTAGCGCCACTCTACACTTCACGACGACATTGAGCTATCTTGCCATCGCTTCTATCCCCTCGTTAATCGCTGCGGCTTGCTGGACCTGGCACTTCCTCATAGCTGTCCGCTGGCTCCCAAGCCTAAGCTTCCTTTGCTGCACCGAGTCATTCGGCAAGCGCCTCCGACCGACGGTTTATTCTCGCCATGGCAGCCACTCAAAATCAGCCACCTTCACCGGACCTCTCGCCAACTCTCGCCCTCGGTTCCTGCCCCGAGCTCTCCCGCTGCGTCTCAACCGCCTCGTCCCTCTCCCACGGCTCCGTTACCGAGGACAGCTCGCGGGAATCTCTTGGCAGCGGCCTCAACACCTCCCGCCATTCGTCCGGCTCCTACCACTCCCGCCGATCCGATGCTTCCCACGTTTCTCGACGCTCCACGCACTCGGCCGACTCCAAGACGCGTCGACGTGGCTACATGAGGCCGCAGGCCACCGATTTCGCTGCCAGCGCCAGATCCCGCGAGAGCGTCATGAGCCTCGGAAGCATTGCGCATCTGCAGTACTACTTTGCCCGCACCGGCTTGCTTGACGGCAAAGGCGCTCAGCTGGCTCGCAAGAAGCAGCCCAAGATCACACTCGATCTCTCCGCTCTCGACGGCTCGGCAGACACTACCGGAATTTCAGCCTCGGATTTTGATTCTTCATACGCCTCCATGGGCAGCAGCCCCGACCTAGCCTCGCATGGCGGCTTCGCAGCCGCTACCATAACCCAGTCTCCCGTAAAGGAGGAGGAAGACTACTACGACGAAGACAGCTTCACCGAGTCGGAATCCGGAATGCTTCCCCCTACTGTTAGCACATATCATCATAGAGAGACGCCCATCCCGAGGCCGCCGACCATAATGGAACTCAAGGCAGAGCTGGAGGCGACCCTTCGTGATGCCCAAAAGGCCCTCAAAGAGGCCGAAGCGAGGAAGGCTGGCGCGTATCTCGCAACCTGCGACGAGCCCGCGCTGCCCAACATGCCCGAGGAAAACTCCCAAGGCTGGTATGAACTCCAAGGAATGCACATTCTCGACGTTGTCACCCTCGCTATCCGCGCCGCCAAGATGTACTACACGGCGCACGAGCAGCCTGACCGCCTCGACTCTATCAAGTCGGAGAAGCAGGTTCGATCCGACCTACTCGCTGTCATGGAGGTCTTGAAGCAGATGGCCATCCGTGGTTTCAAGGGAGGCATGAAGGACGACGACACCAAGACCATGCTCGCCTGGACCGACAGTGTCTTCGACATTCTTCACAAGGAAGAGGCCATGGAGGCAGCTGAAGCAGCCGAACGTTCCAGCTGGACCTGGATGAGGGCCGACGACTGGTCCGGCCGCAAGCTTGCCCGCGAGAGTGCCTTTCTCACCTCGATGGATCCCGAGGCCGCCGCCGCCCTCCCCGTGTGGACGCCGGCTGTGGACGCGTCGACCTTGCCCACACCATTCCTCGCCGCCATGCAGAACGGGCTCCGTCTCGTGCGGCTGCACAACGCCGCCGTCCACAAATCGAAGCGCCGCTTTGGTGCCATTCCCTCGTTCCACACGGACACGCAGAAGCCGTATCGCTGCGCCGATAACCTACGCTACTGGGTCAAGGCCGCCGAGCTGCGCTTCGAGGTGGTCCTCGCCGTCGACGCGCTGGGCGTGGCCTACGGCACGGATCGCCAGGCCTGGCTCGGCTTCGAAGCGGCCATCCTGAAGTGGTGCCAGCACGTTCGTGAGGAGATTACCAACGAGCTCAGGAAGTGAGTTGGGACTTTGTGGGAACTAAACACCGTCATCACGGCTTTTGTTTCTTTTGTTGCGTCTACGACTTTTACGCCGGGTTTACTACATGGAGTTCTTTTTTTTTTCGCCTTTTTCTTCTCACTTTCTTCTTTGCGGCTGCTCTCTTACACTACTATTACCATTCTAGTACGGCATTTTTCTTTATTTTGGGCAAGAAGGATCAGGATACACAATATTGAAAAGGCAGTCTATTTTTTGTCTTTCAAGAGATGGGAACGCAACATGGCACTCGCACAGCGGATTTTTTACACCTTCTTCTTCTTCTTTTTTCCTTTATTATTTTCTTCTCCAGATCGGGAGCTTTTTGTCATGATCGGGGATCCTGGGCTTTCACCCTCGTTTCTGGTTGTTTCGCCTTAATTATGGGCGCCCTCTTGTTTCATCTACATAGGCACTCTTTTTTTTCCCCTTGCGTTTCCATTTCTTCACTTCTAGGCTCCCTCCTATTTTTATGTCACAAGACCCTTGTCTTCGTCATTTTGTTTTTCATCGTTGAGCGTCTTCATGTCAGTTCACGTGGAAGCCTACATATATATCCACAGTCATATACCCTTCCAGTCTTTTCTTCTTCTTGACTCTTCTATACCAGACTCATTCTCTTTATACCTTTTTTTTTGGTTCTTCAGACGACTGCCCTTTTACTCAACATTAGATAATCTTTTTGCTCATTTCTTCCGCCCAGAAAGGGAGCACAAAACACATCGAGATCGATAAATTTTTATTTAAACACTTTTTGAATCAAGAGTATGAACATGACTTGAGCATGCTTTATCGCTGCATGGTACGAAGTTCTGTCAGTGAATGCATAACAAGGTTGTATTTAGATCGGTTTTGTTGCAGGAATACAATACTATATATGCCCTAAAAAAACAAGACGCTTTGTACAAACACACAAATACAGATTACGGTCCTGCTTCAACAGCAGCTTTCCTCCTCTTCCCCTCGATTCCCTCCATACCACACTATTTTGTACATAAACAAGAAAGAACAACGTCACGACACACACATAACCAAAGCCCCAAAGACGGCCTGCCGCGACCGCCCCCGCATCACCAAATGGCCCGCTCACGACCCTCAAAGGCAAAGTTGAGCGCGACGGCCACGAACAGGGAGACGCAGAGCACACTCGGCCCCCACTTGTCAAAGTAGCGGGCAGCGCGGCGGTTGCGGATCGCCTCGCTGCGGTAGAGGTAGACGGCGACTGAGTAGAGCAGGCTGAGAAGGGCGAGGAGGGTGAAGATGGCGGCGACCCAGAACGACGCCGGGGTCGGGTGGCTCTTGAGGTTGAGCAGGGTCATGGCGATGGTGCCGATGTAGATGGAGTACTCGAGCCAGCCGAGAAAGGTGCGCTCGGCGGCGAAGAAGACCTTGGGCTCGACGCGCACGGGCACGTAAATCTTCTTGCCCTTGGGCGCGCGGAACTTCTTGGACTGCACCGGCTGATCGCCGAACAGCATCTGCTGGCGCGCGCTGCGCGACACCTGCGTGCTGCGCGGCCGGGGTACGATCGCCCACAGCGCGCTGAGCGCCGCCTGACCCCAAGCATGGCCTTTGGTGGCGAACAGCGTCGAGTAGTAGTGCCAGCCGCCGACTCGTCGAGCCTCCTCCAGCTCGTAGTTTTCATCGTACTCTTCATCCGAGTCGTAGATGGGGAAGTCCTCGCTCGCCGTGGGCATGTCCACCGTCTGACCCTCCATATCGGTAGCCATTCCGCGTCGGGACCGCTGGGAGGAGAATGGCCGCCCGGCACTTGTATAGGGCCTGACAGCATCCTCCTCGTCGGAATCATAGTCCTCTTCGTCGTCGTCAGAAGTCGTCGTCGTCCCAGAGAGCGCGGCCCTGTGAATTCCAAAGTCGTGCGTGTGAGGCTTGCGGATATCGACGTCCATTTGGGGCATCCAAAAGGGAAGTAGGTTGATACGGTCAGGGAACAAGCAGGCACAGCCGTGGATGAACTTGGAGAACTTGGGCACGGCCTCGACCAGGTGCGATGAAATGAGCTGGCGAACCCACTCGGGCGGCTCCTGGCCCATCTGGGTCTGAAGCTTCACCTCAAGGACGGCGTACGGGAATCGGACAACGTCCTCCGGGGGCAGCTGAGAGAATGGGTAGTCGATGCCAATATCCATACGTCTCCAGTTGTCGCCGCAGCGGGCCCGGCCATCCAGGTTGTCTTCGCGGACCATAGTGAGCTCGGTATCGAGCGAAATACGGACACGAGCATCTGCAGGCAGCTGGAAGGCCGTGCGATTGTAGAAGGAGCGGCAGACGGGCTTGTAGCCCTTCTTCAGCACCGAGTACTGCACCTCAGAAGCAAGGCGCTCGTCCTCAGCGATGGCCTTTTCCGACTTTTTGCCCTCCTTGCGCGCCTTTTCAAAGATGGCGCCGGGGAGCAGCTCGCCTCGTAGGTAGGAATTGACATTCTTCTCCTTGAGAGCAAAACGAGCCTTGACGGACTTTTCGCCGGTCCAGTCCTCACGGTGAGTCTTGCGCTCGACGAAGATGGTCTCGCTCTGCATGCCGCCATACCAGCGGAGACGGATGGCCTCGGCACCTTCCGTCTTCTTCAGACGGCCCTCGTAGAGATCCCATGTGTCAGGGTTGTCGTAGTAGATGGAGGTAATGGCAGAATCCTGGGGGTCAAACTCCTTGCTGGCGTTGAAGACGAGGACGGGCAAGTGCTTGAGGATGATGAGCTTGAGCTCAGTCACGTTGTCTGGGTGAACCCAGTATTTGGTGGTCTGTCGGACGAAGCTGGCTTGGGAGCCACCAGCGGCAGAATCGCCCTTGACGGGGTTACCTCGGGTTCGGACGAGATCGTAGAGCTTGGACAGCTTGATGACGGAGGCGTCGTAGTTTTCCTTGTAGAAGGGCTTGGCCTTGAGTCGGGTGTCGAACGCGGGTCGCAGATGCCAGCCGGTTTGCTTCTATATGGTGGGGATGCCGTGGTTAGCATTGTCACTGGGGCTGGGGATCGAACTATGCGTCATAGTCTTCTTACATCGTGCTTCTTGATGATTTTGTAGAAGCCAGTGTAGTTGAGCTGGACAAACTTGGCAAGGTCGTGGACATCGGCAATAATATCGGACAGATCCTCCTCAAGCAGGATAAACTCCTCCTCGCTGGGGCCCTCCTCGCTGAGGCCTCGCTCCTGGAGGCGGTTGACGACGTCGCGGACCTCGCGTTCGGAGACGGCGATGCGGCGGGAAATTTCCATGGCCTTGACCTGCTGCTTGGTGTGGACCTTTTCCAACTCGGTCTCGAGGCGGCCTACGAAGCGCGTCTCGTCGTCCTCGGACCACTGGTTGGGGCCGACACCGTCGGCCGGGGCTGGGCCGGTGCTGTTCTTGAGCTCCGACTTGAGGCCATTGTAGTCAATGTAGTACCATTGGTACTCGCGGATGACGCTGGAACGCAGCTGCTCGCCAAACTTCATGACGATAACACCGGGCCGTGCGCGAAATGTTCCGGGGGGAGGCGTCGTCCAGCGATTGTTGATTTTCCTGAGGTCCTTGATAATCAGCATGCGGGCATGGCTGGCTGGCGCGGGCGGGAGTGATGGATCAAAAGCGGGCTGGGACGCAAACAACGTAATTCAAGAGCAGACAGGCAAGTAGGTAACCACCTTTGAAAGGAGGGAGAAGAAGAAGAGGTGGAGGAAATCTCACCAGCCGACGCTTTTTCCTTCTCTGCAGAAAATCTCGGACGGTCGTCGACGATTATTCGTTGGTTATAATGTTGATGCAAAAAACGGGCCATGCGAGCAGGGACAAGCTTCGGTCGGCGAGAGAGCAGCTGGTTGTGGACGAATTGGCGAATCAAAGTCAGCAGTACTAAAACGTGGTGAGGAGGGGGAGGTGGCTTGTCGCTAAGCCCACTAAAATTGACCACTATACGCAACGGTTTAGGACGCTACAGTGGGCGACAACCCACTGAAGAACGCAACAAGGCGAGGCCTGGAACAGCCTGTCGGTGCCGTTTCCGCTTGCCCACTGCACCGTGGGGGCTACAGCGGGCCACGATTCCCTGTTGCCCGTTGCAGCTGGCTGCCTCGTCCACTGTGGCGTTTTGATCCCAGCTGGTGCGTCCTATATTTTAGGTTGCCAGGGGTCTGATAAGTGCTGTAACCTAAATATTTCATGTGCGTTATCGCTAGCGCCTTTGAATACAGGCTTTTATGCACTGCTCGCCGCATCTGTCTAGTACTTTACCTAGCAAACAGACAATCAACATAGAGCTATGTAGCTATTCTGTAGCTAGCCTCCAGCTTTTACTGCTCATTTGTATTATTATTAGTATACAGGCTTGCCTTGTACAGACAAAGGCTGATACTAAAGTAAGGGCTATCAATCCAGGTGCCCGCTTCAACTGAGCTTGAGTCTACCAGCCACGGCCTTTACGCTGTTGTGACCTATGTACACAATTTACAAACTTCAAATTGTAGGATGTTTCTACATTCCAGCTCCAAACTTCCTCCGGAGGCGTATCGTAACGAGGCGCTTTTAATTGGCGCTTTCTTTGGGCACCTACCAGTATTGCCCCTCCTGCCCGCACCAAGCTTCCCCTCCACAAGCGCCGGACTCTATACCGCCACTAAAAAAAATTGCCCGTCAAATCCCCAAGGAAAGAACCAGGGTTCAGTTTGCGCCAACTTGCGTTGTGTTCGGTTGTCGTCGTAAATCGAAAATCTCATTCGGGGGATACCTCACCCGGCTCGTCCCCAACAATATGCCCGACTTCAATGACGCCCTTGAGGCGCGCATCCCCGCCGACTCGCCCGACGCCATCCGCCAGGTCCTGCTACACGCCTGGTCGCGCGACCTGACCACCCTCAAGACGCTCCTCGAACGACCCGGCGCCGCCAGCGAGCAGGATACCAAGACGGGCGAGACGCCGCTGCACGCCGTTGTCCGCGGCTGCGGCCCGGCGGCGACGGCGCAACCCGGCGGCGACGAAGACGAAGATGACGAGGAGGGAGAGGAGGACAGCGAGGTCGCCGAGGCCCGCGCCTGCATCCAGGAGCTCTTCTTCTCTGGCGCCATATGGAACGATGTCGACGACCATAACGAGACGCCCGGCTGCACAGCGCTGCGCCTTGGCCACAAGTCGCTGTACCGCATGTTCGTTGACGCCGGTGTGCGCGCGGAGATGCTCTTTGGGCTGATGGGCGGCTACGAGCAGCTGTCGTCAGGGGCGGCCGACGACGAAGAGGATATGGAGAGAGAAGCTGACGAGCAGCAGCAGGGTGAAGAAGCTAAGGAGGACGAAGAGGCCACGGGGGGTAAAGAGGAGCGGGAGAGTGAAGTGGCGGAGGAGGACGCGCCGGCCAAGGACACAGAAGAGCCGACGCCGGCGCAGTTCGTGGCCCCAGACGCCGGCGAGAAGACGGTCACCAGCGAAGACTACCTCCAATCCACCATCACCTACGACGGCGACAAGCTCCTCGACGAGGACCTCAACGGCGTCATGATGGCCTGGGAGACGGACATCATGCGCCGCTCCGTCGCCACCCTCCTCCCCTCCCCCTCCTCCTCCTCCTCCCCCGGCCCGCGCATCCTCAACATTGGCTTCGGCATGGGCATCGTCGACGGTCTCTTCGCCGACCTCCACCCCTCCAAGCACCACATCATCGAGGCCCACCCCGGCGTCCTCGCGCACGTCACCTCCGGCGGCCACCCGCGCTTCAACCCCGCCTGGGAAGCCAGCGGGCCCGAGCCCGGCGCCTTCCAGGTGCTGCCCGGCCGCTGGCAGGACGTGGTGCCGACGCTCGCGGAGCGCGGCGAGCTCTACGACGCCATCTACTTTGACACCTTTGGCGAGGACTACGCGCAGCTGCGCGACTTCTTCAGCGACTGGGTGCCGGCGCTGCTCAACGCCGAGGGCCGCTTCGGCTTCTTCAACGGGCTGGGCGCGGATCGTCGGGTGTGCTATGACGTGTACGCGCGCGTGTTCGAGATGCACGCGGCCGAGGCCGGGCTGGACGTCGAGTGGCAGGACGTCGAGGTCGACATGCGAGGGCTCGGCGAGGACGGCAAGGGCGCTTGGGAGGGCGTTCGCAGACGGTACTGGACGCTGGACAGTAAGTGAAGAAAAGAAGTCACCCCACATGAATTCTACAGCTTTTACTAACAAAATTACTTTTCTTCTCCAGCGTATAAACTGCCCACATGCACCTTCATGGGCTAGCAATCATGCACGCATCGATGGCGATATTTTCTTATACCTATTTATTTGCTCATGATAGACGCATACACGCATGCACCCAAGCCCGAGTTGCAGACTGCGTGCTGCATCCAGCTGGATGAAATAGCATCACTATATTTGAATGCCCGCTAGTGACTTGACTACATTTCTTTTTCTTCTTCGTGTAGGACAATGGTAGCATGATTATTTGAACCGCTCAGGGTGAAGAATGCCAGCCAAGTTGCCCTGCTGCGCACGCTTCAGCGTCAGCGCAGCAATCAGGGCAGCACCTACACCACTGCCGTCCTCAGCGGCAAGAATCTCGACCGGGTCCTCAGCCTTGGGGTCGGTCTTGTCGGGCCAGTCGAGAATCTCCTTGAGCGCCTGCGCTCCACGGGCCTTGAAGTGAGGGTACTTGTTGAAGACGGAGCCGTCGGCGCCGACGTGGCAGGTCTTGAAGTTCTTCTTCTTGCAGATAGCAGCGACACCGCAGGCAGAAAGTCGGGCTGCACGGGTACCGATGAGCTCAGCGAGGCGTCGAATAAGCTCAAGCTCCGGGCCGGTAACATTGATCTGCAGCTTGTTGGCAAACAGGTCTAGTGTCTCCTGCAAGTTCTCGAAAGGGTCCCTATGGCACAGTTTCATTAGGCACCGCGCGACTGAGTGCGACGTCAAGACTTACTCTTCAATGGCAGAAAGGAAGGAAGCATCGAGGCTGTAGGCCTTGCGGAGAGGGGTAATGTCCTGTCCGTCGAAGATGTGCTCTTCGTCGTGCAGGTCAACCAGGGTGAGGCGGAAGATCTCGCCCAGGTAGAGACCCGCAATCATCTTCTCAAACGCCTGCTGGCCAGGACGGGGAGACTCCTGGTCGATGGTGATGTCGTACTTGGTGCGCGGCAGAATCTTGTGCTCGTTGTCGAAAGCACCCCACTCGCAGTTGATTGCCATCTCCATGTCGTCGGGGAGGCCCAGGTCCGCAAGCTTGGGGATCGAACCGCAGTGTTCGACATATGCGGCGTTGCAGCCGGTGCCGAAAATACAGCCAATCTTCATGCTGGGATCAGTATAAGCCGAGGCCATGAGCGTTCCGGTAGTGTCATTGATCAGAGCAGTCAGTTGGATGGGAACACCCTGGATGCATGTCAGTAGAATGCTACGCGGCAAAGCGCATCATTGGACATACACGCTTGACCAGAGCAGCCTCGAACATGGGGACGACATTTTGGCCCTCGACGCCGTCAATATCGAAGCCTTTGGTCCAGCGCTGCAGGACACCCTCGTCAATGTAGTGCTGCGTAGCGGGGTACGAAAAGGTAAAGCCAAGGGGCAGCGTGCCAATGTTCTTGATGTCGCCGTGGTGAGTTTCGAGGAACTGGTGAAGACAGTCGGCAATGTACTCCCACAGCTCGTCGCCCTTGCCGGTCTTGAGCTCCTCGGGCATCCTGTACTTGGACTGGATGATGTCGAACTCAGACTTCTTGTCGGTAAGGGTGATCTGGCAGACGCGAAGGTTGGTGCCGCCCATGTCGAGGGCGAGGAATGTGCCAGTCTCGTTGCCATCAGGATAGGACATGACCCAAGTAGGGTTCATGGGCTGTGGTCCGATTAGCATGCGTCGTAGAAGTGGACGTAGACTGGTTTGTGCTTACAATGCTGCCTCCCTCCTTGCTGAGGCCTGGCGACGGTTAGCAGCTGCTACTCGTTGCGCAACCGGACTGCGCGGGTTAGCGTTGGTGCGGCACGTACCCTTTGCAAGCTCCGAGATGAAATGATCGGTAATTGCCTTGAGCTTGGCCGTGTCGACAGTGAAGAGCTCCTCGATCTTGCGGATCGCGTCCATGGTACACTTGGGAACATCGGCCCGCGACCCTTCGGCAGTTGTTAGCTTTCAGCGCAGCAACCGATGGCGGCCATCGCAGCACGACGACAGTCTTGCATCGCAAAATAGTAGTGTAACAGTGTCGATTGATCGTGTTACCGTAATATCCGTGGCGTCCGGAACGTACCTTTTCTAGAGGGCGGAGCGCGAGGACCTAGGCCAACCATTTTGACTGCGTCGCGGGGTATGGAGGGGTAGCTACTGTACGGCTGGACGGGCGAGGGGCCGCCTGCGGGATGACGAGATCGTGAAGAAAGGTGGTGGATACGGTTGCAGGAGGCGAAAAGGGTCGAACCGTCGGCTCAGTGACGATGAGGGGATTAGGGTGCGTCAGAGAGGTTGGTTGGGTTGAAAGATGCAAGTTGGGCCGGGACAGAGCTGCGAGCTTATCACTGGGCTGCAGCCTGCGCGACGACTGGTCATAGCTACTGGTGGTATTTAGGCGTGGAACCAGCATGCTTAGTACCTTGGTTGCGCAGTTTTTGTACTGCTCCTGTCCCAGTTTTATTATGAACAAATACTCGCTGCGGTTCTTTATTATATTTCGACCAATCTGTTTCTGCTTACATGTTAAATGTCTTGCTTCTCCTGGCCTGCTCTACATGTAACTATGCTGCTCTCATCTGTGAAGCCTTGCCGTATCATGGTATGGCTACCGGGCGCACCACTTATAGGCGCATTCACGGGGAGATTCTGAAGGATAGCAATCAAAAGTTTAGGAAAAAGCTAAAGGGGGAAGTTTAGTATTCAAATGTGAAAAGAAATTTGAAACTCGCTGTAATTTTTTGAGCCTCGATTCAACCATTCACCTCAACCTTGGTCGTGGAAGGGCTTTGCGCTATGCGCTACTGGCTGATGGCAAGTCCATCGTCGATCGTTTCTGCGGCCTTTTCAAGCTTCATCATTACCAGATCCACAGAAAAGTTAATTCCCTTGCGGCAATTATCCATAACCAAAATGTCTGGATTTACATTCGGCCCATTTCTGGAGGTAGATAGGCCCACCAGAACTCCAGAGTCTCAACTGTATCAGCAGTTACCTAGGTAGTAGGGAACTGCGTGCTAGTAATGCGAAGTACATGCATTCACAGCCTGCGTTCCCTTACGAGAGGAGGTAACTGATTTCATTCACCCACTCACGAAAGAACGACAGAACCAGTCGAATAAAAAGTGGTGGATAACCGGGAGCTCAGTGTGGGTATCAATGTATATATGTGAGTAAATGCAGCCAAATACAAGGGCTTGTCACGGGCGACGAATTAAATGACAGTAGTATATGCAATGATTGGTCTGCAGACTGCCGCAGCGAGTACACTGAAGGAATATTGAATAGATACTGTGCCAGTCATGTTATCAGTCATGTCGATATTGCCTGTTTATGCAAGGTCACGAAACTACGTTCTCATCGACCTCTAGTTTTTCTGGGTGACCCTATTTTGAAAACAGAGGTATTGAACGAAAAGTTGAAATTGTCCACATAGCAAAACTATAGCTACATTGTTAGGTACTTTGCAAATTGCATTATTAGAATAGGCCAATTGACGTTTTACGGAGTAAAATTACCTTGAATTCTCAATAACTCACCAAACCCAAAGCAAAATCTGATTCAAGCTCTCAATTAGGTAGACTCGAGGGTAGTGTGCCACTCACCCCCGGACACCGATTTCGGCCACCGCCTTCCAGGCACGGCACTAATAAGAGTAAGCCACCCCCAGAATTGACGACGCTACACCAGGTCATCTTTTTCATCCCCATCTTCTTCCCCAGCATCGCGGCCAATTGGGGCCCCCTTCTTCGATCCGAATCATGTTCTCTGCTACTTCGGGGGCGGTGCGCATCGGCGCCCGTCGAGTCGCCGCCGCGCCCCGGGCCGCCGTCATCACCCCGTCCTGCCAGCGCCGCGGCCTCTCCTCCACTGGCCGTCTCGCTTACTCCGCCGCCGCCCTCAACACGAACCCGAACCCGCCGCTCGGCAAGAAGAACGCCTCCAACGAGGCGCCCTCGCGCATCGGCCTCATCGGCGCCCGCGGCTACACCGGCCAGGCCCTCATCGACCTGCTCGACAACCACCCCAACATGGACCTGCGCCACGTCTCCTCGCGCGAGCTCGACGGCCAGGCCCTCAAGGGCTACACCAAGCGCGAGGTCGTCTACGAGAACCTCTCGCCCGAGGACGTCGCGCGCCTCGACAAGGACGGCGCGGTCGACTGCTGGATCATGGCCCTCCCTAACGGCGTCTGCCGACCATACGTCGACGCCCTCGGCCAGAGCCAGAGCGTCGTCGTCGACATCTCGGCCGACTACCGCTTCGACAAGTCGTGGGCCTACGGGCTTCCCGAGCTGCTGGCACGGCCCAAGATTGCTCAGTCGACGCGCATTAGCACCCCGGGGTGCTACTCGACCGGTGCGCTGCTGGCGCTCAACCCCATCCTGGAGCATCTGGGTGCTTCGCCGACCGTTTTCGGTGTCTCGGGCTACAGCGGAGCCGGCACCAAGCCCTCTCCAAAGAACGACGTTGCTCTTCTCCACGATAACCTTCTGCCATGTAAGAATTTGTTGGGTCGTCACGCTGGTATTGTCTGGGGAAGCTAATATCTCGACAGATAGCTTGACTGGTCACACGCACGAGCGTGAAATCAACCACCAGCTTGGCATCTCGGCCTCATTCATCCCGCACTGGTCTGTTGCTCCCTTCTTCCCCCTTTACTGTGCCCCCCCAAACTGACATGACCTAGCGCCTCCTGGTTCCGCGGCATTCACCTTACCATCAACGCTCCCTTGAACAAGACCATGACCTCGCGAGACATCCGCCAAATCTACCAAGACCGATATGCTGGTGAAAAGCTCGTCAAGGTGATTGGCGAAGCCCCGCTCGTCAGAGCCATCCAGAACAAGCATACCGTTGAGATTGGTGGCTTCGCCGTTGACAGCACTGGCCAACGAGTTGTTGTGTAAGAGCTCCTCCAAGTCCTGAGGAGAGTCCGTGTCACTAACCCGCAATAGTTGCGCCACGATTGACAACCTCAACAAGGGTGCTGCCACCCAGTGCCTACGTGAGTTATTCCGCGATTAAAGTACCCTGCCCATTCCACTGACGCCTTCTATAGAGAACATGAACCTTGCACTTGGTTATGACGAATACCAGGGAGTTCCTTTGGACTAAGCTCTAATGGAAGAGGGAATATTGGATACTGGAAAGTTTTATCCAATCCTAGAGGTGTCGCCACTATATGGCAGCAAAGAGTTACACGTTGATTCCAGACCTATCGCAACTGCGAACTAGCCTGGAGCATCTGCTCGACGATATGGCGTCTCGCAACGAAGGCTGCTGCATGCCGGGCTACATCTCAGAACCACTTGAATAAAAATGCTCATTTTTCTGTAACAGTAAATAAATCAGTGCACGACAAGAAAATCGAATTCACTCTGTTACAAGTTCCTTGTCTGATTTTATCGCTATCGCTGGACCTCCGCCACCATAAATCGGAAGCGGGTCAATGTTCCCACGACAGGCTGTGATTGGCCGGCTGCCGGCTGGGGAGCTCCAGTACTAAGTTCAAGGAGCAACGTATGCCTTTACAGGGCCAGCCAGCAAGCGAGCTTGCGAACCGAATTACACCTGTCACTCCACGCATACGGCCTGTGCAGTCAATGAACAGCCGCGTTCGCCAACCGTCATCATGAAGCTCCTGTCAGTCGCAGCGGTCGTATCCGGTCTGCTGTCGCCCGTCATTGCTGCCGCGTCCCAGAGCGCCAAGCTGCCCGCCGACTTTAAGCCGCCCCAGGTGTTCAGGAACGCCAACCTGGTGCACGTCATCTCGCTCGAGAAGAATTACGCCAAGGAGCAGATCAATGTTGCCATTGAGAACGTGTCGAAGGAGCCGCAGAACGAATACTACGTTCCATTCATCTCGTCGCAGATTGCCCGCGTCGGCGGCTTCGAGGTAAAGGACCGCAAGGACGACAGCGCTGGCCCGTTTGCAGTCGACGTGGTTGAATACGACCCCAACAGGTAGGAGGCGATTGCTCGAATTTATGAGTCTACCCGTGTTGTTTTTCTAAAACGCCATTCTTCACAGTGATACACAATACTACCGAATTCGTCTCCCCAGCCCGCTCAAGGCCGGCGCCCAGCAAACCCTCGGCATCACCTTCTTCTACCTCGACGCGTACCGCCCGCTCCCCGCCACGATCGAACAGGACGAGGCGCAATACCTGGTCCACGACTTTTCTGTCTTCGCCCCGTCTGCGTACAAGACGAGCAAGCAAAAGACGGAAGTCAAGTCTGCGTCCGCTACCATCCCTGACTACACCAAGATCGACAATTCGCCTCAGAAGCAGGGCAGCAAGCTGATCTACGGACCCTTTGACGAGCAGCCCGCCGGCGCTGTATCACCCGCCCGGGTCCGCTTCGAGTTCGCCAAGCCCGTCACGCATGTCTCCCGGCTGGACCGCGAGGTCGAGGTCAGCCACTGGGGCGGCAACGTCGCCTTCGAGGAGCACTACGTGTTGGAGCACCGCGGTGCCAACCTCTCGACGCCCTTCAGCCGTGCCAAGTGGACGCAGTCGCAGTACTTCAACCGCGGCGCCACGGCCGCGCTCAAGGAGCTGCGCGTCCCGCTGCAGGTTGGCGTGGCAGACCCCTACTTCACCGACGTCATCGGCAACGTGTCCACCTCGCGCTTCCGGAGCAACAAGCGCGAGGCCCTCCTCGAGCTGAAGCCGCGCTACCCCATCTTTGGCGGCTGGAAGTACCCCTTCACGATCGGCTGGAACATTGACGCGGCCAGCATTGTGCGCAGCACGGCCGCGGGCGGTAACGTGCTCAAGGTGCCTTTCCTGGAGGGGCCCAAGCAGGCCGAGGGTGTCGAGTATGGCCGCGTCAACCTGCGTGTTCTTCTACCCGAGGGTGCAGAGTGAGTAAAATTTGGTATTCACAACAGGAATTGTTTGCTAACTGATGTATCAGGAACGTCAAGTTCTCCACCGACATCCCCGAGTCGTCCATTACCGAGACGTCTGTCGACGTCGTCAAGACGTATCTGGACACTGTCGGCCGCACGTCGGTCACCATCAAAGCGGCCAACCTGGTCGACGAGTTCCGTGACCGCCACCTTATCATTTCCTACGAGGTCACGCTTCTATCATCGCTGCGCAAGCCTGTTGTGATTTTCGCGAGCATGATGTCGCTGTATTTCACGGCTTGGGCTATTGGAAACATCAAGGTTGGATTTGGCAAGAAATAAAATGGTAGAAGGGTGGGAAGGATATGTGAAAGGAGAAGTCTGAGAGATGATTGCAATATAGAGGCTCTGTATAATATAAACGGAAGACTGATATCCTGAAATGAAAGAGATTGGCCTAAGCAGATGATACATAATTGGTGAACTCGTCCGGGAATAGCCAGAGGGTTTAGCATTGGGCCCTGTTAGTGTCTACGAGAAATCGCTTGGCAAACTTGGGAAGGAACAGGTAGGTAGGTAGATCCCACCACCCTCGTGACCAGGTCTGGGACGCGATTGATGCTTTTATTACAGAGGACCTTGATCCTTGATTTAGTTCCTTCCAAGATTAGCAACAAAGTGGGAGGGAATAAGCTGGGCTGGTGATCAAAGCATGACGAATGGGGGGTGGGGGGGGGCGAACTGAGCCACACTGTCAGTCCGGGGGGCTTGGCATCAGCTTTCGGAGTGTACGAAAGCATGTTGACGTATACTTTGATAACGGAGGGAAATCCCGCGTAAAGACCGGTGGCAGTAAGGTGTATATAAGTCGGAGCTGATCTCGTGTGGACGCTGGGTGGCATACACTATCATCTTCAAATTGGTTCCTTGTGCGCAGCTGTTACCAATACACTTACTTATACACGTCAATTAAAGCGCTTCTCTTTCGCTTTGCATTATTTACTAGCACCTGACACGGTCTTTTTCAACTACATCCACAAACTACAAATACGCACATCTGCAGCCATGTGTCTCGGCGGCTCAAGAAACAAATACGGCGACGACGTCATCCCGGCGCGACCCTACGGCGGTGGCGGCGGCTACGGCGGCGGGCAATACTACAACAACAATAACCACAACCACGGAGGAGGCGGCATGGGCATGCTCGGAGGAGGAGGGCGGCACAATGGGGGCGGGATGGGAATGAGCATGCTGGGAGGGCTGCTTGGAGGCGGTCGTCGCCGCCCTGGAGGCGGGATGGGGATGGGGATGGGCCCGATGGGAGGTGGCGGCTTCGGCGGGCACCACGGGGGACATCACGGTCACCACGGCCATCACGGAGGCGGCGGGTTTGGCGGGCTTGGCGGGCATCATGGAGGGCATCACGGCGGCGGCGGTGCTTTTGGTGGACATCACGGCGGTGGCCATCATGGGGGCCACCACGGAGGCCACCACGGGGGTCATCATGGTTTCTAAGGGGTTCCGCGCACACTCTTCTTCTTGGGGCCGACCCGGATTGGCACTGCTGATGTGGGAGGTTGCATTGTATTGTATTTAGGTTTTGGTTATTACGGGGCGTTGGCCATGACGCAAGACAGGTATCCAGGCCGGGCGAATGAAAACGGCCTTGGTTGTTTCAACGGCATAGATCTCATTACATCATTAGAATCAAGCTTGATTTGGTTATGCTTCTTTGCTGTGTGTCTTAGCTGCTAAGGTGTAGAGGTGTAGATACTGTCTGAGCCGCTGAATGGGGACCGCTGTACCTACTAAGAAGCGATTGCTGCAGAATGTCAGGTAGCTAAAGAAATGCATAATTACAGGAAATCGGACGCTCCTGAAAAGCTGCCGTTAGAATATCAAGGGCGGGGTTCAATTTGTTTAATTCCTGTCCTGGACTTGGTGACGCTGAGATGGGGCGCTTGCATGACATCATGACGCATTCCCTTTTTCGCCTCCGCCTCAGCAGAATCAAGGCTTAAGCTTTTAGCTCTCTGGTCCATCTGCCACATCGCTTGCTGCTTGCCGGTGTTCTCGCTGCCCAGATGCCCAGCTATCGTCCCATGCTAAGCTGCTAAAGCTGGCCCTAGTCTCGTCATAACTGCCATCATAACATTTTTGTTCGGCCGTCTTCTTAAATACTTGCCCGTACGTAGCCTTGCACAGGCTGGCTCCGCCAAACTTGTCGATCACATCTGCACGACCACGCTGGAGCTCGACATTTTTGCCCTCAGGAATCACCCTTGCTTCTACTTTTCCGACAGATTTGCTACAAGCTTAGCTTCAAAGGCTTCGTAATCCCCCTCACTCTCAAGTATGTCGCCTTTTGGTTGCGCTGCTGTCGAGGAGCTTCCTGCCGCCCGAAAACGGGCGCAAACGGGCAGCCCGCAGCTTCCGCCACGAAAAAGGACAGCTCTTGACTAACATGCAGAAGCAGTATCTAATACTCTATCGGAAGCTTCCTTCACAATGTGAGCTGCAACAACCTCCTCCGGCCTCCTCTCCGTTTTCTGCCCCCCTTCATCCTGGCCCGGCTTGTCTGCCTGGTCACATCATGCCCCGCCGAAGCTTCGACGACGCCAATCTCATGCGACTCATCTCGCGCCGGCGATCCTCCTCGCACAGTGACTCCCTGACTGACACGGCACCCCCTCATAGGAATCGCGCCTTTTCTATCCGCTCCGGCGGCTCCAACAAGGGCTCCAGCTCAGGCGGCGGCGGCGGCGGCAGCAAAATGGGCGGCTTCTCCCTTAACTCGCTGCGGGGCTCCGTGCAGCCCGAGCTGTCCAAGAAGCTCTTCCGCCTGATCAAGTCGGAGAACAACCTCATCAACGCCCACGAGGCCGCCGGCCGCGAGCGCATCTCCATCGCCACGCAGCTGTCCGAGTGGGGCGAGCAAACCGGCGACGACGCCATCAGCGACGTCTCGGACAAGGTTGGCGTCATCCTCAGCGAGATTGGCGAGCAGGAGGACTCGTACGCCCACGCCATTGATGATTCCCGCGGCTACCTCAAGGCCATCCGTAACACGGAGAAGAGCGTCCAGCCGAGCCGTGACGGCAAGGCTAAGATTGCTGACGAGATTCAGCGCCTGAAGCTGAAGGAACCCGAGAGTGCCAAGTTGGTCGTTCTCGAGCAGGAGCTTGTCCGCGCCGAAGCCGAAAACCTCGTCGCCGAGGCTCAGCTGACGAATATCGTATGTTTTAACACGCCGGCTCGTTGTTGAGCATTAGGCTTGTTCTTGCTAACATCACCGCCCACAGACTCGTCAGAAGCTCAAGGAGGCCTACGAGGCCGAGTTTGCTGCCACCATTGAGCGCGCCGAGAAGCAGATTATCCTGGCCAAGCACGGCCGCCGTCTGCTCCAGCTTCTTGACGACACCCCCGTCGTCCCTGGTGATGCCAAGCCCGTCTACCACCATGCCAGCCAGGCCCGCCAGGTGCTCAACGACGCCGAGGACGACCTCCGCGACTGGCAGCCCGAGGCGGATCACTACACGGCTGAGAGCACCGGTGCCGCCGTTACGACTACCACCGAGGAGGAGACTAATAAGGCACCGGAGCTCAATGTGGAGGAAGGGGTTACCGAAAAAGCCACTGCCGCATGATGGAGGCAATATTGAGATTGTGTGTGGATGATACCTGATGGTTGTTCGTGATGGTTATCTGCAACTGTTTTCGTGTTTTGATATGGTGGGTTTCTGTTGCCACGGAGTATTTTTTTTTTGTCTATGATTGTGATAGTAATGGTGACTATGAATTATGCAATGCGTAACTGTTCCCATGAGCTAATTGTACACAGATCGGATCTAGTACATACCTACTAAATTGTGCATCTGTCATGGTAGCAGGAAAGAGGATCTGGAAGGAATAGTCGCCAGTGGAATTATGCCCAGCACTGACACTGCTCATACTTATAAGAGCCATCTACCAATATATTAAGTCATCAGTGCCTCATTCGTAGATGGCGTCAATTTTCAGCCTCAAGGGACCATCCAAGACAAGACGGTGCCAAGACGCAGCGCTCTGCAGTTGGCCTCGGCAGGGCGCCGCATCCACTAAAAAAATGCCGCCCCTATTCTGGTCGTGCGGTTCCGAGGGATCTTCGTGGTTGGTTCTGCGGCAAAAGAGACTTTTCCCAATCCCGACCAGTTCCCTACCACCTATCTCGCATTGTCCTTCTTGTTTCTTGTTAGAATCAATTGTGAACAGCCTCGGCCAACAGCCCTTTCCGCGATTGACCGGGTCCGACCCCGAACCTCCAACCTCAACTCAGCCCCCCGTGTTTTGTTTGTCTTCCCTTCTTTTTTCTCCCCTCGTCCGGGTCCTTGTCCCTCCATGAAAGCCCCAGCGAGCGTTTCGCATCACGCCTTACGCCGCCTATCGTCGCCTCTACTGGGTCGAGCCAATCACGCCGTCAGTGTCAGCGCCTACCCAGGACAGCGCACGATTTGGACCGGTGCTGCAGTGACTGGCTCTACGGCCACTCGCCTTGCCTCAAGAATGGGTCTCGCTGCCCCGCCCCCTCCATCTGGTGGTGCTGGCAGTACCACCAAGTTCTCTGCTGCAACTTCTTCTTCCCCTCGTACCCCCTCCGCCTCCTCTTCTTTCTCCTCCTCCTCCTCCCAATCGCCACTCCAGCGAACCTCACAGATCGCAAACCACCTCCAGAGCCCTGCGCCGCGCACGCATCGCTCACTGTCCACCATGGCGTCTTCCCCCTACGCGGTCCGCAAGATTGCCGCTCCCAACACCCTCGAGCACCGAGTCTACATCGAGAAGGATGGCGTCCCCATCTCCCCCTTCCACGATATCCCTCTCTACGCCAACCAGGAGCAGACCATCCTCAACATGATTGTTGAGATTCCTCGCTGGACCAATGGCAAGCTCGAGGTATGTTTGCCTTGTGTGCCGTTCCTACTGGGTCGTGTGCTCCTCGACCGCCGCCATTTTTTAACCCCGCGGTTGAAATGACGCAGCCTGACTAGCAAAGCGGCGTCAGACACTTACGAAGTTGCATGCTGACATGTGGTTTTCTTTCGATAGATCTCTAAGGAGGAACTCCTTAACCCCATCAAGCAGGATGTTAAGAAGGGCAAGCTTCGCTTCGTCCGCAACTGCTTCCCCCACAAGGGCTACCTCTGGAACTACGGTGCCTTCCCCCAGGTACGCCAAACCCGCACCGTTGACACCACGCGTCACCGTGGCCTGCATCATAACTAACACGCGCATCTTTGCAGACCTGGGAGGACCCCAACACCGTCCACCCCGAGACCAAGGCCAAGGGTGATAACGACCCTCTCGACGTCTGCGAGATTGGCGAGCTTGTCGGCTACCCTGGCCAGGTCAAGCAGGTCAAGGTCCTCGGTGTTATGGCCCTTCTCGACGAGGAGGAGACGGACTGGAAGGTCATTGTCATTGACGTCAACGACCCTCTCGCCCCCAAGCTCAACGACGTTGAGGACGTTGAGCGCCACCTTCCTGGCCTCCTCCGCGCGACCAATGAGTGGTTCCGCATCTACAAGATCCCTGACGGCAAGCCCGAGAACCAGTTCGCTTTCTCCGGCGAGTGCAAGAACAAGGCGTAAGATTAATCCTTGGTTGACTGGTTCGATTCATATTGCTGACATTTTCTAGTTACGCCCTTGACGTCATCCGCGAGTGCGGTGAGGCTTGGGAGCGCCTGATCACCGGCAAGACTCCCGCCGGCGACGTCTCTGTGTAAGTTGAGCCTTTTTTGCCAGCCATTCCCTCATGCTAATACGCCTGCAGTGCCAACGTCACCGTCTCTCACTCTCCCGCTCGCATCGCCCCCGACCAGCTCCCTCCTCTGCCCAGCAACCAGGAGATCCCCCCTGAGAAGATTGACAGCTCCATTGACAAGTGGTTCTTCATCAGCGGCGCCTCTGCTTAAATCTAAGGCGCATTTGAAAGCAATCTGAGTTGGGAAATTGGGAAAAGGATCATTCATCATCGTAATGTGATGCCAGGGCAAAAAGCACCTGGTGAGAATATTTGAAAAGTTTTGGTCCTCTACACATTGTACATGTCCCCCTCGCCTAATAAGTGATACAAAAGGGAGCTGATGTATAGCTCCCGTATAACGCCGCTGAAAAATGCATAGTGTGTGCTCGTAGTTGTACAATATATTAATCTGTGAGATCGGCCTTTTTCTGCAGCTTCCGTGAGTGTCGGTCCATTTCCTCGACCAGGCCCTTGATTGTGATTTTGCTGGTGTTGAAAGTGAGTTCCTTGCCGTCCTCTGTGATTCAATAGGTTAGTAAAGACCTTTCCCCTTTTCTCCTCCAGAGAAAAAGTCAGCCCACAGCCCACGTACTAAACTTGACGGCAATTGAGCTCGGCTCCGTCGACGTGCGTGGCAGCAGCGTCGTGCTGATGGTCGTCCCGGTCGTCCGGGCGTTGGGCGGCAGCAGGGTCAGGAACAGCCGGGCGGGCTTGGCGCATGCGGAAAACGGGTTGAAGCGCGCGGTGATTTCGGTCATGAACTTGGTGATCATTTTGGGCGGCAGATATATCGGGAGGAGGACAAATGTTTGGTTCGGCGCGCTCTCTCTGTCAAGGAACCCTGAGCAGAGATGTCGAAATTTGGTGATGCGGCATTGTCCCCCGATTGTTGCATATTTCGCGGTACAAGGGTCTCAAAAAGCTCCACCCGTGAATGCAGCCCAGGCATTTCGTCACTAATAACTGCTAGAGGCCAGCTTGAGCTTGCTTAGCATTTCCCAGCTTTTTCTTCTTCACACACACAAATACGAATATTATATATTGAACAATCATATCGTCTACACAATCTTTTGGGATATTTCGTTTCTCTTATGGCCTTTCCCTCTCGCGCCATGTTGGTCCTCCCAGGGCTGCAAGAGCGCCTGGCGGCCCTGCAAACGTCGGCGGGCGAGCTTTCGGTGCTCGTCGACCGCCTCGCGAACCTGACGTTTCAGCCCGGCGCCCTGCCGCCACCCGGGGAGAACAGCGAGGAGGCCAACGATCTCATCGCCGAAATCAGGCAGCACATCAGAGCCGGCTTCGAGGAGCAGGAGCTGCTGATCGCCCGGTCGGGCTTCGCGCGGCCCGAGGGCCACGAGAAGGAGAGGCTCCTGGATGGCCTGGCCCGCGTGGGCGACGACCTAACACGGTATGTGTGGGCTGTCCAATGGCCCCGGACTCTGGCGTTTCTGGCCATCGTTGCGCGTTTTGCGTGTGCTAACAAAACGTGTGTGTGTGTGTTTGTTCAGATACCGCCACGAATTTCAAAAAGCCCGGTCACAGGCGAAGAAGCGCTTGATCGAGGCCCGGGAGCTGGAGAGGCAGCTCGTTCGCCAATCCTGGCTCGCGCCGCCGGTCCCCCCCGAACCCGAGACGCAAGCCGAGAACAACGACGAACCTACCACGACTGCCGCCACGACCACGACCACCGCCCAACACCACCACCGCTCCCCCCGAAGCGTCCGCCGGAGCCGGTCGGCGACCGGCAGCGGCCTCACCGATGCGGACCAGCAGACCGTCGGCGCCAGCAGCAACGTGACGGCGTCGCTGCGGCGCGCGCACGACCTGATCGCGTCGGAGCTGGGGCGCAGCGAGTACGCGCACCAGACGCTGAGCGAGTCGACGGCGGCGCTGCGGCGGCTGGACGACGGGTACGGCGCGCTGGACGACATGCTGGGCCAGTCGCGCGCGCTGCTCGGCTCGCTGCTGCGCTCGCAGAAGAGCGACACGTGGTACCTGCAGACGGCGCTGTACATGCTGGCGGTGACGGCCGCGTGGCTCGCGTTCCGGCGACTGCTGTACGGCCCGCTGTGGTGGCTGGTGGTGCTCCCGCTCAGGCTGCTGTTCGGGGTAGGGTCCGCGGCGACGAGGGCGGTGATGCCGGCTGGCGGCGGCAAGTCGGCAGGGGTGGGGACGGGGGGTGTTGGTGGTGGTGGTGAGGTGGAGGTGGAGGTGAAGGGCGTGCCGGACGAGGCGCTCCCTACGATCAGGGTGGATGGAAAGGATGGTGCGGCTGTTAAGGAGGAGGTCAGGGAAGCCGTGGAGGAGGCTGTGAAGCAAGTTGTTGAGCAAGTCGAGCCGGCCTCAAAGGAGCCAGCCGAGGAGTATGCAGCGGACGAGACAGGAGCGGATGGAGGACAAGAGGACAAAGCCGCAGAAGAAGAGGGCAAGGCACATGAAAAGGACGAATTGTAAAAGTGCGTCTGGTTTCTTTCTCCTTCTCATGACGAATTATGTAAATGACAACTCCCTGGACATAGATAGGTGATAACGATGAAATCACAAAATGACATGGGTCCCTTGCCCTGTTGAAGGCGGGACAACTCTCAACCACAAACGCGCAACGCTTTTTTTGTTGATAAACCCCCCCCGACCCGTGTACACCAAAAGAAGTCGAACTGCCAAAAACCTTGAAAGAGAAAGTAGGGATATGCTGCCCATTTACGCTCTATCAGGGGCGATGCGGGGAATGTCGCTGATCCAGGGGATGCCGAGCTTCTTCATCTCGACGGCCAGCTGGAAGAGGTAGTCGAGGCTGCGACGGAAGTGTTAGCCAGAGCAACGTCCCGAAGCAAGCAAACGCCCACTCTCCCCTTCCTCCTCCTCGGTCAATCAACGTACCTCTCGCACTGCGTCTTGGCCTTGTGCACGTTGTCCCCCCAGACGTACACACCGTGCCTCCGCACCAGCACCGCGTACGCGTCCGGGTGCGCCTCCATCGCCGCCTCCAGGTACTCCGTCAGGTCCTCCTCGTGCGGCGTGTTCTCGATGACCGGGATGCGCAGCGTGTCGTGGTACCCGAGGTTGCCCGCCTTGCCGAACCCGCGCCCGAAGCCCTTGATCTGCTCAATGTTGTTCATCTCAAACACTCTGCTGTCGCCCCCTTGCTGCTCGAGGAGCAGGGTGACGAGCACGGCCCACTGCGAGTGCGTGTGGATGCAGCAGCCGGCGCCGCGCCGGGCAAAGGCGGCGAGGAAGAGCGGCGTGCACTGGCTGGGCCGCAGGCGCGGCGGCGCGCGCAGGTACGTCCGGGTGGGATCCGTCTGCGCGGCGAGGGAGAGGACGTACATGTCCGAGGGCTTCATGAGTTCCTTTTGCACGCCGGACGGGGCGATGTAGACGAGGTCGCTGAGGGGAAGGAACGGGGGTCAGCCGATGGGGGGAGCTTACATGATGAGCAGCGCGGGGGGGGGGGGTTTATATGCAAGTAGGGCGGAAGGAGAGACAGGAAGGGGCAAGGAAAAACAGAAAGAAAAAGAATTTCAAAAAACTCACTCATCCCGGATGGAGCAGCCGCCGCCGGTGCCCGTCACCCAGCCCAGCGTCCAAAACTTGGCGCACAGCGCGGGGATGAGGTTGGCGGGGTGCTCCGGGTCGTTCGACGTGACGAGCTTGTCTGCGTCGTTGGCGGCCATGGTAGATGTTGGCGGTTGTCGAGTTGACAAAAGCTCTTTCGAAAAATTGTACCAAAGAGGAATCTTCCCGTGAGGGGCGTTCGAGTATAAAGACGCAAGAGGCAGCAGATGGAAGTGGAAGCTTGTCGCGATTTTGCGCCAACGGAGACGTTATAGTGAGTGGGGCGAGCGAGGCATGTTTGCGTGCTCAGTGCTGTGAGGGAGCATGTGGTGTTGCTGAGCGAAATGATTAGACAATATACTTTCTTCTAACAATGGATTCAGGGTTGATTCAAGAATAGCGATTTCATATCCGACAAGCCAAGCAGAAATGCACACGCTGCAAGTATAGCACTGTCATCTATAGCACAGACACGATGTTGGAAGTGATAGTAACAGAAAAATGGTGTCTTGTAACACAGATATCGAGAACGGCATATAAATAACGGCTTTGTAGTTAAATAGAATTATCTTAGCTAAATATAGGTAAATGGCCAACATGTAGAGAAACTGTAGAGAAACGAAAAAATAGCTGGAAACGGCGCCCTACCGATCGAGCGCTTGACTTTGGCACTGGACAACCCAAGAGTTAGCATTCAATCGATGAACCCAGCCAAACATTAAAAAAAAAACATACCATTTGCCAGTAGACCCCTCGATTGGCAAGAAGCTCCTGGTGATTGCCCTTCTCCAGCAGCTTACCCTCGCCAAGAACAAAAATAACATCCGCGTTCTGCACTGTCGCAAGCCGGTGGGCAACTGCGAGCATCGTGCGCCCTTTTCCTGCGAGCTCAAAAGCCGCTTGCACCTGCTTCTCGCTCTCCGAGTCCAGCGCGCTGGTTGCCTCATCAAGAAGCAAAATTCCAGGGTTTCGAATGAGAGCCCGTGCAATCGCCACACGTTGCCGCTGCCCTCCAGAGAGGGAGACGCCACGCGAGCCAATATCGGTATTATACCCTTCAGGGAGCGAAACAATAAAGTCATGAATGGATGCTTGGCGGCATACATCATGAATCATTTCGTCGGTCACCGTAGTTTCCTCGACTCCCAGCAGAATGTTCTCGCGTAGTGTGCCTTCATGACCGGGTATCCGTGTTAGTAAAGGTATCTGATAATCTCTTGTACAAGATTATTGGTGTTTGCGCGCTTTCTCGTACCTTGCATCAGACTTGACTCCTGAGCTACCAACGAGAGATGACTGCGATATGCGTAAACATTGTTTGCAGCAATGTCCTGGCCGTTGCAGAGGATTCTGCCACCATCTAGGTCGTAGAAGCTAGTTGTCGAAAGGTGTCAGTACTTTGTTGAAAAATGCCCCAATTCAAGACCAGTTCAGGGATACTTGCCGTTCAAGCAGAGAAATAATGCTAGATTTGCCACATCCAGATGCTCCGACCAGAGCTGCGAATTGACCCTTCTCGATTGTGAGACTAAGTCCTTTGAAAACTGGCACATCTCGCGTTGGGTACTTGAATGTGATGTTGTCCAATTCAATCTTCAAGCCGTCACCGTCAGACTTAAACAACTCGCCGGTGGCAGCAGGGTCATCCTTCACTTGACTGGCCCTCAGACTGAGGATGCGGTTGGCCGCTCCGCTGACTTGGGCGACGTTGGGACCAAAGCTCAGCGCTCGTCCGGTCGTCTCACCCGCGTTCAAGATGGAGATGAAGCAGACAAAGAAGCTCTGTAGGCTGAATTCGCCGTTAAGAAGGAGGCGACCACCATAGTACAGCACCAGCGCTTGGCACCCTATAGTCGCGCTATCAGAAAATGCAAACAGAACCGTCACCCAGCGAGCTTTCTTGTATGCGTCCGTGACATGGCCTCGAGCCAGCTTGCTAAATCGATCGCAAATAGAATCTTCAAGCGTGAGAGATACGACTGTCCGAAAAGCTCCAATAGCCTCCGATGCAAATTTAGAACTGTCTGCAAACACTGCAGTGTTCATTTCATCGAACTGGAGTTCGTAGCGGAGTCGCCAATAGCCAGTGCCTAACAGAATCGGGACGACGACACAAAACGAAACCAGCGCCAACTTCCAAGCGAACGCAAAGGCAATGGCGATAGTTCCGGTAAGTGTCCAAATGGCAATAAAGACACTCGCCATATTTGTACCGAGAAGCTCCTCCAATTGACGTGGATCACTCGAGCTCCGAGCAGTCATGGTGCCTTGAGAGTGGTCATCATCGTCAAAAAAGGATAATTGCTGATATAAAATGGACGAGAAGTATTGCTTTTGGTACTTGGCGCGAATGGTGCTGGCGGTCCGATTGGAAAAGAAAAATGTGGCAAAGTAGCTGATGCCAGCCGCTATCGCTAGGACAGTCCACATCAGGGACCAAAATTCGCTTTCCTGTCGAACTTTGGAAGTATCCGGGAAATAGCTAAAGACGAGGATAACTTTGGCAAATAACCAGGATTGGAAGGGAATGGCGGCACCGGCGCAAGCAGAAAATACGAGCGCCAGAGCCATCATCCACCAGTTCGACCTGGTCTCGTAAAAGAAGCGACCAAAACTAGAAAATATACTCTTCGTCTTGTACTTCTTTTTGAAGATGTTTTCTGCTTTTGCTGACTCGGCGCCGCTCTTCTCACGGACAAGGGATGTGGGCTCTTCTCTGGTCTCGGCATGCTTGGGCTCCATGGCTTCTTCCATGGATAGTGCTTGAGCATGAACGAGGCTGTGGTATAACCCATTTTCGTCTTCGAGAAGGCTCTCATGGGTGCCCGACTCGACAACCTTTCCCTGTCTTAACACGACAATTCTGTCCGCCTTCTTAATGGTGGAGAGGCGATGGGCTATGGTAATGGTGGTTCTGTTCTTCGACGCCTTATCTAAGGCTGCTTGCACAATCTTCTCGCCTCGGACATCGATTGCGCTGGTAGCCTCATCAAGAATCAGAATTGAAGGCTGGCGGATAATGGCGCGAGCAATAGCAATGCGCTGACGCTGACCACCAGAGAGCTTCGCGCCACCTTCACCGACGGGCGTGTCGTAGCCCTATCACCATGAGAACGGATTAGTATCTGTTGTATAGAAGTGTTTCGTTGGCTCTTCTAAGCATGTGTCTGTTAGACCGAGAACTGTCGTGTGCGATACTTACTTCCGTGAGTTTCTCAATAAATTCGTCGGCAAATGCTTCTTTACAAGCATCCCTGACCATATCCTTCTTCTTCTGTTCTGCTTCATTCTCCCACTTGGTGCCGACAAGGCCATTTGCAACGTTTTTATAAATGGTATCATTGAAGAGGAAGGGTTCCTGCTGTACAAGGCCAATTTGCGACCGCCACCACTTTAGGTTGATGTCATCGAGGGAGTGGCCGCATGTAGACACGGTGCCCTGGAGTTCGATAGGCGGGCCAGTATCGTCCTCTTCTTCTGAACTTTGTTGTGGGGCTTGGCCATCTTTATTGTTTTTCTCGCCCTCACTATCTTTCTTTGTTTTGTCGATCGTTTTGGAGATGACATGTTGGCTGTTGAGACTGTACCACCGTTCGACCAGGCCGACAATTGTGCTCTTGCCAGAGCCGGAGGGCCCAACCAGAGCAGTGACTTTACCCTTTTCTATCGTGAGATTAAAATTATCGAGAATCTTAACATGAGGTCGGCTTGGATACGCGAAAGTGACGTTTTCGAAAACAAGATCCTCGGTCGGGGATACGTCTGGATCGCGGAGATGACCAGGATCAGGCCTAGGTGCATCGATGACGGTAAAGAACTCGCAAGCGGCGATCATAGCCTTTCCAACTGCCAACAGCGGTGTGGAGGTTCGCTCCATTGAAGCCACAATCATCATGACAGAAAATAAGACACTAAGTCGTTGTTAGAGCCTAGCCTTCCCGGCGTGGTAAGGACGGAGCTACGTAAAATGGACTTACACGATGATAGCCCCCAGCTCATTGATCTTATGTTCGACCAAAAGTTTAGTGCCGTACCAGAATGCCAGCCCAAAGGCGGCATAACTGCTGAAAAACTATACATACATTGTAGTGTTAGTGGATCACGGTCGCTGTCTGTAGGAAAGGGCTACGCATACAATCAAGCCGAACTGGACTGAAATCAAAGGACCAATGCTCTGCGCATGTTTTCCAGCTTCGTCGACAAATCGCCCATATTTGGTACCAATTCGGCCTTCAGCGCAGCAAGCAACAACCATTTTCAGGCTACTCAGGGCTTCACTCGCGATGGAGGCGGACTTGGCGTCGGACTGCGCTTATCACGTCAGTATAAATCCAACCAATGGTGCGGTGGAAGGCATCCTACCTGGCCTTGACGCGCCTGGCCCTTTGTAATAGGGGGCAGAAGGATACTGACGCTGAGCACAATAAAGACAACTGCGGTAAATGTCACGAGCGAAAGCTGCCAGCTGTATACGAAGGCAATAATAATCGATGCAATCATTGTCGCATTGTACTCGAAGAACACACCAAGCTTCTCGGAAATTCCGAGTTGCACCGTGTTGCTGGCAGTTGTAATGACGGTCGTCGCGTATCCAGGAGGCATCGAGTCTAGCACATGGACGCTTTGGGAAAACAAGGCGGTGAGGAAATCTTGTCGAAGGGCCGATGAAATTCGAATGCCTGTCATACGGAAAGCGAGCTACCATCGGGTCAGCGGAAGAAGGCGGAGGGACCGTGTAGTGGGAAGTAATCGGCACCTGGTTGATGTAGCTAAGAACAAAGCGACCAAGAAAGAGGCCAAGCATATAGAGACTATACCGGTAACACATTAGCAGCTGTGAGGATTGGGGCAGTTTTCAGCCGGAGCGAGAAGGGAGAGCATACGAAAGCTGGTTTAGCTCCCCTTGGAATTGGCCCTTTTCCAGCGTTTGAGTGCCAGCATAGGCAGAGAACTTGGTAGCGAATTTGCCTGTCATTTGCATGGGCTTGTATAAGCGAGGATTCGCACTCGGCAGCGTTTCTGTCCCTACCAAAGACGATGTTGAGAAGTGGTATAGTGATGCCAGAGCCGATGGCAGCAGCAGTGCCGGCAGCGTAGGCCAGAAAGTCCCAGTTGTTGGCATAGTGGAATAGTCGCTGCGCGGATAAGGCAATGAGTTGCCGGAGTTAGTGAACCACGTTTAAATCAGAACGGCCCGAGCATCACCATACCACATAGTCTTGAAATTTAGGTTCTCGCTGGGGAGCGCCATTGGCATCAACTTTGGGGGTCGACTGTTTGCTGTCGACAGAAGGCGATTCAGCGCCTGGCTTTTCAGCGGTACCTTGCTCCATGGCGAACGATGGAAATCTCGCACTCTGTTCCCTGACGTGAGAAAGAGAAACGAGTTTCAGAGTACGAAGATGCAGATGCGCGCTTGGATGTAGTCGTAGCCTGGCGAGCAAACAGAGCTTGGTAGGAGGATAAGATAAGGCCGAAGGGCACCTGGATGTGGGTGACAGTCGGGCTCCGGCAAGGCTGAGCTCCACCAGTTTTCGGGATCAGGGCAGACTCCGAAGGCCCGCGGGTGGCAAATAAAACGCAGGGACGTCTATATGACATCTTGATTTGACGCCACGAACAAGGAAAAGAAAGAAGGGGAAAGAGAGGAATATTGGGAATACACGACTTGAGATCGGGGCGAAGGACCCCCACGCGCTATTTCGCGTATGTAGCTTAGGGGTCTTATCCACTGAAACTTGCCTGTATTACTGGAGGATGGGAGAGCTGCAATGAGGCCGTTGGTCTGTAGAAAACATCCAAATAAAATTTTCACTTTAAAAGTTGATAGATGACCCTGATAACGGCGAAACACCAAGCCCTCTCCATGTGTGCCATGCCCATCCAGGCGTTGATTGTCATGAACGAAGAATGCGCCGGGCTAGGATCTTTACCTAGTTAGTGCAAGGTACCAGTAGCCACCAGGATCGGATGATTCTGGCTGGAGCCGGCATCCGACAGGGCCCGCATTTAGCCGCAGGCTGACAAGGAAGGGGTGGACTTTCCGATATTACCAGCAGTGGCAGGCTTCAGCTGGCATCCTCTCAGTTGCTATCATCTGTCCCTTTGCCTTTCGTTTGCCCGTTTCAGTCTTGTCGCCGCCATCTTCCATTGCAAACATAAGCACTAGCCAACTCCCGGGCTCGGAGGTCTTCAACCACCCGCTCGCCAAGAAGCACGAACGAGCGAAAGACATCCGGGTCACTAATTATATTAATAACAAGCATTGCCGCGTCCCTTGTACAAAGGCCGTCGCCCAACCAGAGCCACCAGTCACACACACTGGCGTGCACAGCCCATCGTATCCTTAGCCAGCGGCTTACAACTCGTGAGGTTCTTTTTTTCCCTTGCCTACAGAATCCGTGTCTTTCTTGCCCATGTCAGCACGTCTCTAATGCAGGTCTCACCTCAGCCTCCGAAACGCTGTGAGACCGCATTCGGTTCTTCCGGGTGTCGCGCGCTTAGCAAACAGCCGTTGTTCAGGCACCGGTCGCCCACTGTTAAGCACCAGTAAGTCTCGGAAATCGCAGAAAACAACCAGTAAGTGTTTTACACTATAGATTAAAAGCACAAATCATTAACGAAATTAGTTAGCAAAGGTTCCCAAGGATCCCATCACAGTAGTCTCCTTGCCAAGTCTTCCTTGCCCAGCACCTCACACGCCTCAATCAGCTCAACCAATCCCCGGTGCACGCTCACGTCCAAATCATCACCCAAGAAAGCTGCCATGTCTAGTAACCAGCCATTCACATCTCGTATTTCCGTTTTCCTCCCGGCCTCCACATCCTGAAGCATCGAGCTTCGGTGCTCGCTGATCTTCAGCCCGAACGCGTACAGCTTCGCCTTGAGGATCGGCTGCGAGAACCGAACACACAACTTGCGGCGGATTGCAGCAAAGTTCTTGTAGTAGTCGTCGCTGCCGGGTACGAGTCGCCGTACCGTCTCTGCGTAAGACGCAATCACGTCGATGCTCCCCTCGTGGTTGATAAGGGCCTGGATCACGGCACTGGCCTGCCACAGCAGCTTGTCAAGGACGCGCGTGAGGGCATCCTGCGAGTCATAGCTCGCAAACAACTGTCCCGTCTTGCATCGCAGCAGGGTCGTGAGCGGGTTGATGGCGGCGTTGGCGACGAGCTTCTCTAACTGGATGAGCCACAGCTCGCCCGACGACACGGCCTTGGTGTCGACAACGGGCGTGCTGCTGATGTAGCGGGTGAAAAAGTCACCCAGAGGCATCTTTTTCCGATTCATCGACGGCGCGGAACCGCAGAAGATGGGTCCGATAAAGGCATCGGCCGGCGCAGAATGGATGCTCTGAAAGGGCCCGACTGACGACAGACCGTGATTCACCACACAAGCAGAAAATCTGGGTGCTTCGTCAGCATTATATCGGCTGGCCACGTATAGAGGACCGTGAGGAGGCCACAGCTTATTGACGCCGTTTTGTGCGAAAACGACGGAGCTGTATCGTCCCAAGTATCGACGGACTCGATCTGCCTCTGCCAGTCCAGCGTCGGCTTTTGTTGAAATGAAGAGGTTGCGCAACTTCTCTCCATCAGCAACTTCTCTGACAGGTCCGTACGGTGGTTTGGTCTCTGACCACCACTCAACGTTGAAGCGTTTGTTTTGCAGTCTCTCGCCGCCGCGTCGACCAATGAGGACTACTCCTTCGCTCGCGATCCATTCCAACAATAGTTCCTTTCTACGCACAACCAGCGTGATCGGTAGGTCGCCAGTACTCTTGGACATGTAGCTCGCATACAGTCTCCCGACGTTACCGGGGCCGACGATGAAGATGCGGTTCGCGGAGTCGCCGGGAAAGCCATCGTTTTCGCCCGCCTCCTCGAGCTGTACTGCCACGGACGGATCAATGTTCGCAGGGGACCAAGCGAATAGCTTCGGGGGCGCTCTCGTGTCGGCAAGAAGCGCTGACAGCCAGTGAGGATGCCCTTGGGAAGTCATGGTATCGCAGCAGATATCGACTGAGGAGCAAGACGAAGACAGGGAGGATTCACGGAGGCAAACCCACTTCAATCTGGCACGTTCTCAAGTTGTGAGAAATGAAATCACTTCATGTAGTAGCGGAATGGTGACGTGAGGAGAATGACCTGCGCCTGATCAAACACGGACACAAGGGGGACCACGAGGCTGTGCGAATCCTACGAGGACATGTGTGGTGGCCCTTGCACGGCAACCAGGCCAAGGCTTCTCGGTAGGTAGATGTCTGAGATGGCTGCAAGTCTTTTTGGTATCTGGAGCCTCAAAACCTGGCCATGACGCTACTGCGCTGTGTGATTGGTGATGATGTGTCCTGATCCAGCTAGCCACAGTCCAAGGCCATTATTATGAACTATGAGAAATGTAGTATTATTACCATCCGCTACACTTGGAGCTGTATGGTAATAATCTTGCAGATTCGCTGACATCAGGGTGACCTGGTCTCATACTTCAAGATCGTCGGTTTTTCTGCCAACCGGCGAAGAGATGGTACTGTGCCGACATTACGCGTTGATAAGGTACTTTTTTCGTTGGATTCGCAAAATACTCATTCGTTCCAATATGCATGCTGCAGCATCTATTGGCCCCGTTCCAATGCAGCAAAGCAACCTCGAAGGACATGTCGTCTTGCATCCAGCATACATGTACATGAGCTGAAAATAACGTCCTGCACTTCAACCGGGCATTGTGGTGCTTGCGGAAGTTGTTTGCCGAATTGAGCTCGTCTACCAGAGTATCCGAGACACAAACGCGCACACAATGCCGTCCGTCATGCGAGCCCTGCATCTCGGCCCGGGCGGTTCTGAATGGAAGGTTTTGCCGCCACAATGCTGCCCAACGCCGTCGGCAACGATGACTACGAGTAACACCCTCTTCCAGAATGCTGGTTGTGTGTTGTACTGCATCAGGATCGCGGCATCCAGAGCGGTTTTCCGGCCTGCATGACGCCATGCATAGTGGCGATCCAACGAACGATATAACGCCCCCCCCCCCCCCCGCCGGCCCGCCCGCAGGAGGCTCACGATGCTGCTGCTGCTGCTGCTGCTGCTGCCATTGCAACTCTGATCCACTGTACCTTCCAAGAGATAGAGACTGCGGGCGAAGTTTTCAGCTCGGCGGGCGCATAACCTGTGTAGCATCCCGAGCCTCGCCAATACGGCTGGTTAGCGCACTTGTCCCAAGGTGAGATCCAAGACAATCAATCAATCCCCGGGGCACAACCAGGTTTGGCAAACGCCGCCTAATCCCGCGATCAATTCCGCACGCACCATGACAACTTGATTAATGTCTGATTATGCATCTCGTCTCGGGGAACTCCCAAAACGCGGCGGGCTGCCCGGGTGGGCTTCAGCTGCAGCTCAGCGCGCGCCATGCGCGGGCATCACATCATCAGGGGAGTCAAGATTTTCTGTTCTTGTTTTCTATCTTTTTGGTATTGGGAGAGGAAACAGCTTTTCTCAGTTCACATGAAAATTTGCCGTCGCATGTGAAACCTGTCTGTGGTCGAGACGTGGCTGGCTGGGGTCTCTCTACGTTACACACACGGGTAACTGACCGGCCACTCCCTCTGGGAGATTAGAGAATTATTTGGTGTTCAAGGATGCAGCGTCACCATGATGTACATTGTAGATACATGTCTCTTTTCAGTGAGTACTTGTCAGATACGACAATGTAGTTGGGAGCACGACGTTTCTGGTCAGACCTTGGAGCTTCGAGCGTAGCTCACCTATCACAATGCAGTACTCGATCTTGGCAGGACGTAAGCATAATATAGCAAGTCCCAGTTTCCGATGTACTGTTAATAAAGTGCCACATGTCCATAAGCAGTACACATTACGCAGCATACATGGCAGGCAGGGATCAAGCACCCTCGAGCCTTGCGAGGCAAACCACGGTACGGCTCGTCGAGTATGCGAGGCTGGTGGAGCTTGAGACTGGCATACACACATATTCGGCTGCCGTCGGGCTTGCCGTTTGAATAGTAGTGCTATAAGTATATATATAGACTGGAGCCTGGATGGTATCCAGGGTTCTCGACAATGAATGCTGGTTCAACACTCTCAGCACATCCCTTCTACGAGTGACTGACCGCCGTGGTCCTTTCGTTCTTCCCAACGGGAGTCATTGGACTCTGCTTATAAAGCCGTTCATTATCTATAGTGTGACTTTACTTTACTTTACCAAAATCTTTACTCCCCGCGTCTCTTTTCTTTGCACTTACTTACTACACCTGTCTTGACTACTCTCTACGTCCACGTCTACGTCTTTGCGTCGTCCTCTCAGCAACTACGTTCCAATCTCGAAATGGGGCAACTGAGCGACGTTCATGGCAGCCAGCCAGACTTGAACATGCCCTCATTCACTACGGAGGCGGAGATCTCGGAGCATCTCTACCTCGAAGTCGGCCAGCGCCTCGGCCTGGCCCGCGAGGCCATCGAGACCATCCTGCCATGCAAGCCCCTGCAGCGCGACGTGCTCGACAGCGCCGTCCCGGACGCGCACAAGGCCGTCGGCCACGCCGTGTACCGCGTCCCCGCCGACGTCGACGTCCCGCGGCTGGTCGCTGCCTGGCGGGAGACCGCAAGACGCACCGCGGCCTTGCGCGCCTGCGCGCTCACCTCGCAGGACGGGGTGCCCGTGCAGGTGGTGCTCAAGGAATCCTTCGTCTTCTCGCGCGCGTGCTACTGGGCGTCATCGCCGGACCCCGAGGCGGCCGTAGTGCGGGACGAGGCTGCCGCGGCGGTGGCCGGTCCGCGCTGCAACAGGCTCGTTCTCGTGGAGGGCGCCCCGGGGCAGCGGCAGCTGCTCGTCTGGACGTTCAGCCGCGCTCTCGTGGACGCGCCGCTTCGGGCCCGTGTCCTTCGCCGTGTCGCTGCAGCCTACAAGGAGGGAGACGCCCAGCGGTCGTTTAGCCTGCCGGCGACGCCCGAGTCGCCGCGGAGCAGGCACTCGCAAGAGGACCTCACCGCGGCCAGGATCCCACAGGCTCCGGACGCGGAGCGCGCGAAGCGGTTCTGGCACGACGAGCTGCGCGGCCTGGACGCCCCCGTGTTCCCTCACCTATCCTCCTCCCACCTGAGCGCGCCCGACGCCAACGCGCGGGCCGAGCATCGCATCTCCTACCCGGCTGACGTGCAGCGCAGGTGGTCCGACACCACCGTGTGCCGGGCGGCGCTGGCGATCCTGCTGTCGCGCTACACGCACTTGTCCGAGGCGCTGTTCGGCGTCGTGACGGAGCAGTCGCGCGTCTTCGAGGAGCGGCGGCTTCTCATCGACGGGCCGACCCGGACGGTGGTGCCGTTCCGCGTGGGCTGCGCGGCGGACCGGACCGCGTCGGAGTTCATGGACGCGGTCGCGGCGTGCGATCGCGACGTGCGTCAGTTCGCGCACGTCGGTCTCGGAAACATAGGCCGCATCGGCGAGGATCAGTCGGCTGCTTGCGGGTTCCAGACGGTGCTCCTGGTCACCGATGGCCACGCCCAAGAAGAGGCCGAGGACCAGCTTCACGAGCTCGTGGAGGCGTCGGGCGGCTTCGCGCCGTGCGAGAACCGTGCTCTTCTGCTGCGCTGCGAGACAACTAGCGAGGACGCACTCTTGGTCGCAAAATACGATCAGAGTGTCATCGAGCCCCTTCAAATGACTCGCTTCCTACGACAGCTTGCAGGCTTGATCAATCAGCTGCAGAGCGCAAGCAGCGACACTCTGTGCCTGGGACTGCTCGACACGGTGACGCCGGAAGACCGGGTAGAGATTGAGAGTTGGAACTCCGAGCCCCTGCAGACTCAGGACATCCTGGTTCACAGCAAGATACTGGGCTGGGCTGCCGAGACGCCCAGCAGCCCGGCCGTCTCTGCGTGGGATGGCGAGTGGACCTATTCCGAGCTGGACGAGGTGTCCTCGCGGTTAGCAGCGCACATCAGATCCCTCAACTCCGGCCCAGGGCAGCTTATCGTGCCCGTCTACTTTGAAAAGTCCAAGTGGATGGTCGCCTCCATCCTGGCGGTGCTCAAGGCCGGCCACGCATTCACCCTCATCGACCCCAAGGATCCTCCCGCCCGGACCGCCCAGATCGTGCAGCAGACCTCCGCCACGATCGCCCTCACGTCCAAGCTGCACCGGAGCACCGTCCAAGCCATCCTCGGCGACGGCCACGTTATCGTGGTCGACGACGACCTCCTCCAGTCTCTACCCCGGAACCTGCCAGAGTCCACGCCGCCACCCAAGCCGGACGACCTCGCCTACGTCATCTTCACCTCCGGCAGCACCGGCAACCCCAAGGGCATCATGATCGAGCACCGCGCCTTCGCCTCGTGCGTCGCCCGGTTCGGCCCCGCGCTCGGCATCCACACCCGCACGCGCACCCTCCAATTCGCCGCCCACGGCTTCGGCGCCTGCCTCCTCGAGACGCTCACCCCGCTGACCCTCGGCGGCTGCGTCTGCGTGCCCTCCGACCACGAGCGCCTGCACGCGCTCCCGGACTTTTCCCGGCGCGCCGGGGTCGACTGGCTGATGGCCACGCCGTCGTACGCGACCACGCTGAAACCCGAGGACGTGCCCGGCCTGCGCACGCTGGTCCTCGTGGGCGAGCAGATGTCCGCCGCGGTCAACGACGTCTGGGCACCGCGGGTGCGGCTGCTCGATGGGTACGGCCAGGGCGAGAGCTCCTCCATCTGTTTCGTCGGCGCCATCGGGTCCGACCCGGATAACATGGGGCGGCCGGTCGGCGCGCACGCCTGGATCGCGGACCCGGAGGACCCAGATCGTCTGGCGCCGATCGGCGCGGTGGGCGAGCTGCTGATTGAGAGTCCCGGCGTGGCACGTGGGTACATCGCAGCGCCGGCGGGCGACGCGGTGCCGTTCCTGGAGGAGCCGCCGAAGTGGTACGCCCCGAGGGAGATGCCGCGCGGCGTCAAGTTTTACCGCACGGGCGACTTGGCGCGCTACGCGGCGGACGGCACGGTGGTGTGCCTGGGCCGCGTGGACTCGCAGGTCAAGATCCGCGGGCAGCGCGTGGAGATAAGCGCGGTGGAAACGAGGCTGCGGCAGCACCTGCCCGGCGACGTGACCGTGGTTGCCGAGGCCGTCAAGCGCTCCGACGCGGCCGGCAGCACGGTCATCACGGCCTTTTTGATGAGCCCGTCGATGATGGAGAGGAACGGTGCCGATGTCAAGGCCGCCGAGGGGGACGACGCCGCGCTCATCCTCGGTCGAGATGCGGTCCGAGACGTGGATGATAAGCTGCGGCAGGTCCTCCCTCCGCACTCGGTTCCGACATGCTACGTATGCATGAATGCGCTCCCGCGGACAGCCACGGGAAAGGTCGACCGGAGGAGGCTCCGGTCCATCGGCAGCAATCTGCTAGCGGAGCGGGCCCGAGGAGCATCCTCCCAGGCCCAGCCCAGTCGGGATGTCGCTCCCGTAGCAGCCGGGTCGGAGTCCAAGCTCAAGGATGTCTGGATGCAAATCTTCAGCCTCGGATCCGACTCCCTGAACGCTGGCGCGAGCTTCTTCGAGCTCGGCGGCGACTCCATCACCGCGATCAAGATGGTCAACATGGCGAGGGCGGCAGGGATCGAGCTCAAAATCTCTGACATTTTCCAAAACCCCACGCTCGCCCGCCTGCAAGACGCGCTCGGTCACGGCTCGACGCGCTTTGCCGGCATCCCGGCGTCGGCCTGGAGCGGGCCGGTCGAGCAGTCCTACTCGCAAGGCCGGCTCTGGTTCCTCGACCAGCTGGACATGGGCGCCGTGTGGTACCTGATCCCGTACGCCGTCCGCATGCGGGGCCCGCTGCAGATCGACGCGCTCCAACGCGCCCTGCTGGCTCTGGAGCGCCGTCACGAGACCCTGCGAACGACCTTTGAGAACCAAGACGGCGTCGGGGTGCAGATCGTCCACGAGAAGCTCGCCAAGGAGCTGAGGATCATCAACTTGTTAGACAGGGATGAAGACTACGTCGAGGCCCTGCAGCGGGAGCAGACCACCCCCTTCGACTTGACGTCCGAGGCCGGGTGGAGGGCCTCGCTGATCTGCCTGGGCGACGACGAGCACGTGCTCTCCATCGTGATGCACCACATCGTCTCGGACGGTTGGTCCATCGACGTGCTGCGCCGCGAGCTGGGTCTACTTTACGCCGCCGCCCTCCGCGGGCAGGACCCGACCTCCGCCCTCCCCCCGATGCCGATCCAGTACCGGGACTTCTCCGCGTGGCAGCGTCGCGACGCCCAGGCCGCCGAGCACGAGCGCCAGCTAATCTACTGGCGCGCCCAGCTCGCCGACTGTTCCCCCGCCCGACTCCCCGCCGACTTTGCCCGCCCGGCGCTTCTCTCCGGCTCCGCCGGCGTCGTGCCCGTCTCCGTCACCGGCACGCTCTTTCAGCAGCTGCGGACGTTTTGCCACGCGCTCGACGCCACGCCGTTCGTCGTGCTGCTCGCCGCGTTCCGCGCCGCGCACTACCGCCTCACCGGCGCCGAGGACGCGGTGGTCGGCACGCCGATCGCGAACCGCAACCGACCGGAGCTCGAGGGCCTGATCGGCTTCTTCGTCAACACGCAGTGCATGCGCATCGCCGTCGACGGCGATGGGGACACCTTCGAGGGGCTGGTGCGCCGGGTCAAGGACACGGCGACGGCCGCGTTCGAGCACGAGGACGTCCCGTTCGAGCGCGTCGTGTCGGCCATGATGCCGTCGGGGTCGCGGGACCTGTCACAGAACCCGCTGGCGCAGCTCATCTTCGCCGTGCACTCGCAGCGGGACCTCGGCCGGTTCGAGCTCGAGGGCCTGGAGTCGGAGCCCGTGGCAAGCAAGGCGTACACCCGCTTCGACGCCGAGTTTCACCTGTTCCACGCGCCGGACGGACTGACGGGCTACCTCAACTACGCGCCTGAGCTGTTCCGGCCCGAGACGATGCGGAACGTCGTGGACGTCTTCTTCCAGATCCTCCGCCACGGGTTGGACCGCCCGCAGACGCGCATCGCGGTGCTGCCGCTCGCGGACGGGGTGGAGGAGCTCGACAGGCTGGGGCTCGTCGAGATCGACCGGGTCGCGTACCAGCGGGACGCCAGCATGGTGGACATCTTCCGCGCCCAGGCTTCGGCCTCTCCGGATGCCGTGGCGGTCGTCGATGCGGCGGAGCGCTTGACGTACGCCGAGCTCGACCGCCGGTCCGACCTGCTCGAGACGTGGCTCCGCCGACGAGGCTTGCCCGCCGAGGCTCTGGTCGGCGTGCTATCTCCGCGGTCGTGCGAGACTGTCGTCGCCTTCCTCGGCATCCTCAAGGCGAACCTGGCATATCTCCCGCTTGACGTCAAGTCTCCTATCGCGCGCATGAGGGACATCTTATCAACGCTGCCAGAAAACGCAATCGTCTTGCTTGGCTCCGACGTGGCCGCTCCCGAGTTTGGACTGCCTGGCTTGCGGCTTGCTCGCATCTCCGATGCCTTGGAGCATTCCCCCACCGCGAATGAGACTGATGGAAATGAAGTGGACCATACGTCAAAGCCCTCGGCGACAAGCCTCGCGTACGTGCTATACACGTCTGGGTCAACGGGCCGGCCAAAGGGAGTCATGGTAGAACACCGCTCCATTGTACGGCTTGTGAGACGGGACGTCATACCAAACTTTCCGCCGCCTCAAGGCGCCGTCATGGCCCATTTGTTCAATACCGTCTTCGACGGTGCTACCTATGAGATCTTTCTCATGCTCCTCAACGGCGGAACCCTAGTCTGCGTTGACTACATGACCACCCTAAGTCCCCAAGCGCTCACCGCCGTGTTCGCCAAGGAACGCGTCAACTCTGCCATCATGACGCCCGCACTGCTCAAACTGTACCTCGCCGACGCCCGCGATGCCCTCAGGGGACTCGACATGCTCATGGTCGCCGGCGACAGGTTCGATCCGCAGGACGCGACCGACGCGCAGAACCTCGTCCGCGGCCAGTGCTACAACGCCTACGGCCCGACCGAGAACGGCGTGATGAGCACCCTCTACGCCGTCGACACCGCCGACTCCTTCATCAACGGCGTGCCCCTCGGCCGCGCCATCAGCAACTCCGGCGCGTACATCACCGACCCGGACCAGCAGCTCGTCGGCCCGGGCATCATGGGCGAGCTCGTCGTCACCGGCGACGGCCTCGCCCGCGGCTACACCGACCCGGCCCTCGACGAGGACCGCTTCGTCCAGCTGACCGTCAACGGCCAGACCGTGAAGGCGTACCGCACCGGCGACCGGATGCGCTACCGTGTCGGCGGCGAGGGCGTCATCGAGTTCTTCGGCCGCATGGACTTTCAGTTCAAGATTCGCGGCAACCGCATCGAGTCCGCCGAGGTCGAGGCCGCCATGCTCAGCCACCCGCTGGTGCGCGACGCCGCCGCCGTGCTCCGCGTCGAGGAGCAGCAGCAGCCGGAACTCATCGGCTTCGTCGTCGCCGATGAGGCGGACAGCGCCGTGGAGCGCGCCGCCACCGACGCAGACCAGGTGGAGCAGTGGCAGGACCTGATCGAGGGCACCCAGTACGCCGACATCGCCGCGCTCGACCCGGCCGCCGTCGGCCGCGACTTCACCGGCTGGACCTCCATGTACGACGGCAGCGACATTGACCGCGGCGAGATGCGCGAGTGGCTCGCCGACACCATCGCCACGCTCCGCGACGGCGACCGCGCGCCGCCGCACGTGCTCGAGATCGGCACCGGCACCGGCATGATGCTGTTCAACCTCGGCGACGGCGTGCAGAGCTACGTCGGCCTCGAGCCCACCCCGTCGGCCGCCGCGTTCGTCAACCGCGCCATCCAGGCCACGCCCGCGCTCGCCGGCAAGGCGCGCGTGCACCTCGGCACCGCCGCCGACGTGCACCGGCTCGCCGGCCCGCCGCGCCCGGACACGCTGGTGGTGCTCAACTCGGTCGTCCAGTACTTCCCGTCCGTCGAGTACCTGGGGGGGGTCGTGGACGCGCTGCTGCAACTCCCCGGCGTCCAACGCATCTTCTTCGGCGACGTGCGCTCGCAGGCGACCAACCGGCAGTTCCTGGCGGCCCGCGCCGTCCACGCTCTAGGCCGCGATGCGACGAGGGAGGGGGTGCGCGGGCAGATGGAGGCGCAGGAGGAGCGAGAGGATGAGCTGCTGGTGGAGCCGGCCTTCTTCACGGGCCTGGCGGCGCGCCGGCCCGATCGCGTCCGGCACGTCGAGGTGCTGCCCAAGAACATGCGCGCGACCAACGAGCTGAGCGCCTACCGGTACGCCGCGGTGGTGCACCTCGTCGACGACGCCGACGCGGAGACGCGGCCGGTGCACCCGATCGCCGCGGACGACTGGGTCGACTTCCAGGCCTCCCAGATGCACAGGGACGCGCTGCGCGAGTACCTACGACTCGCGGACGGTGACGCCGCCACCGTCGCTGTTGCCAACATTCCCTACAGCAAGACCATCGTCGAGCGGCTGGTCGTCGAGTCCCTCGACGACGAAGACGCCACCACCTCCCTTGATGGCGCCGCCTGGATCTCCGCCGTCCGCGCCGACGCCAAGAGTCGCGCCAGTCTCTCCATGCCGGACCTCGCGCAGCTCGCCGAGGAGTGCGGCTTCCGAGTGCAAGTGAGCGCCGCCCGACAGTGGTCCCAGAGCGGCGCGCTGGACGCCGTCTTCCACCGGCTCCCGGCCGCCGCCGCCGCCGCCTGCCGCACGCTCTTCCAGTTCCCGACCGACGACGCGGCGCTGCTCGAGCGCGTGCGCGGCCTTGTGCCCTCGTACATGGTCCCTGCGCACCTCGTGGCGCTGGAGCGGATGCCGCTCAACGCCAACGGCAAGGTGGACCGCAAGGAGCTGGCGCGCCGGGCCCAAGCCGTCCAGAAGAGCAGGGCGACCAAGATCAGCAAGCCGGCACCGGTGGAGGCGCCGCTCCCGCTCAGCGACGTCGAGGCGGTGCTGTGCGAGGAGGCGACGGCGACGTTTGGTATGGAGGTCGGCGTGGGCGACCACTTCTTCAAGATTGGTGGGCACTCGCTGCTCGCGACGCGGCTGATCGCGCGCGTCGGCGACCGGCTCCGGGCCCGGCTGACGGTCAAGGACGTGTTTGACCACCCAGTGCTGTCGGACCTCGCGGCGGTCATCCAGCAGGGGCTGGCCGCGCGCGCGACGGTGGCAGCGGCGGCTGACGGTGACGGGCCGGCGAGGGGAGGGGCGGGGACGGCCCCGCGGACGGACATGGAGAGGATGCTGTGCGAGGAGTTTGCGCACGTCCTCGGGGTGGACGATGTCGGCATCACAGACAACTTCTTCGACCTCGGCGGGCACTCGCTCATGGCTACCAAGCTGGCGGCGCGCATCGGTCACCGGCTGGACACTACGATCTCGGTCAAGGACGTCTTTAGTCACCCGCTGCTGTTTGAGCTCGCGACTAAGCTCGAGCTGGCCGGGTCAAAGAGCTACGAGGCGAGCGACGACATACAGATGGCAGACTACGTCGCATTTCAACTTCTTTCTGTGGAAGATGTACAGGGCTTTATCCGTGATGAGATTCGCCCTCGGCTCGGGTTCGCGCACGGCACCATTCAGGACGTCTATCCGGCCACGTACTTGCAAAAGACGTTCCTCTGCGATACCGCCACCGGGGTCCCTAAGCCGCTTGTGCCGTTCTACATTGACTTCCCGCCCGGTTCCGATCCCGCTACTCTGGTCCAGGCATGCTCCTCTCTCGTCGAGCGCTTCGATCTGTTCAGGACAGTGTTTGTCGAGGTTTCGGGCGAATTCTACCAAGTCGTCCTAGACCATCTAGAAGTGCCGATTAACATCATCGAGACGGCGGAAAACGTGCACACGGCGACCAGCGACTTGGTGGACAAGCTCGCCGAGGAGCCGGTTCTTCTCGGCCAGCGGATGATGCACGCCACCATCCTCAAGCACGCTTCTTCGTCGAGGGTGCGCCTCCTGCTGTGGCTCTCGCACGCGCTGTACGACGGCCTGAGCCTGGAGCACATCGTGCGAGACCTGCACATGCTCTACCAGGGCCAACGTCTGCCGGTCCCGACGCAGTTCTCGCGGTACATGCAATACGTCGCGCAGACCCGGGCGGACGGTCGCGACTTTTGGCGGGACGTCATACAAAAGACGCCCATAACTGTCCTCGGCGATGCCGAGCGCCCCAAAGAGCTACCGTCAGCCGGCACAGCCAGGACGCTGCACGCGGGCAAGATAATCAGCCTGCCTCCGCAGGCGGTCCGCAACCGCAGCAGTATCACGCAGGCAACTGTCTTCAACGCGGCGTGTGCACTGGTGCTTTCCCGGGAGAGCGGCGGCTCCGCGGACGTCGTGTTTAGCCGCATCGTGTCTGGGCGGCAGGGCCTGCCGGTGGCCTGGCAGGGCATGGTCGGACTGTGCACCAACGCGGTGCCCGTACACGCGCGGGTGGACGACGGGGGGCAGCAGATGCTCCGCGACCTGCAAGACCAGTACCTGCTGAGCCTGCCGTTTGAGACGTTGGGTTTCGACGAGGTGAAGCGCACCGATTGCGCAGACTGGCCCGCGACAGCGAACAGCGACAACTACCCATGCTGCGTCACGTACCACGAATTCTCCTACCACCCGACGAGCGAGGCCGAGGGCGGCAGCGTCGAGTTGGGCGTGCTGGCCAAGAAGGAGGCGCTGCAGCGCGAGGAGCCGCTCTACGATCTGGGCATCGCCGGCGAGGTCGAGCCGGACGGCGTGCACCTGCAGGTTACGGTGGTGGCGAGGGCGCGTCTGTTTGATCAGGCGAGGGCGACGCAGCTGGTGGAGGCGGTATGCGAGGCGTTTGAGATGTTGAATGCATCCTTGTGATGATGTTGATCGTGTCGATGATTTTGATGGTGATGATGATGTTGATGATGTGATGGATGTGAATGGTGATTTTGTTGACGATGATGTCCGTAATGATGGACGAGGATGGGTACGGGGATACCGATGAAGCGATGGTCTTGTGGAGCTCTCAAAAGTGTAGATTAATCATACGAGCTCGGCAATAATGAGGCAGCAGCAAAGGGGGCCAGCCAGTGTGGTGGGTTCTATTAGGCTTGGTAGGGCGCATTGCTAATATTTACTTTGTATATAGTATTTGGGAATTATGTTCTAATAATAATCATGGCGACTTTTTTTTTATTAGTTATAATGATTTGTCACCTCGCCACCAGACATTTTCACCGCATTAAAGAAGTGAGTGAACATCATCGTATTCGTGGGCAGGGCGTCACACAGTGTGACATGTAACGGCACATTGTGTACGGATCATGTCTCGCGTGTTTGTGTACAGATTATCCGCATGTGCTTCCGGTTCGAGACTCGCATAACAAGTAATCAAAAAGAAAAATGAACCAAAATTCCGTCGCATGTTTTGATGTCATGCAAGAGGAATTTCTTAGCGCCACTTATTGTCTTGGATGGTTCCTCCGGGGCACGCAGCGTTATTATGACTGGTAAGCTATTCAGTATGCCGTAGTCTCCGTACGGATCCGTAGTAAAAGGTCGCTAGCAGGGTCGTGGTTTCTTCAACACAAAGGCTAGTTGGACCAGGTCTTCCTTGTATGATGCAAGCAAGGCGAAAAGAGAGGCTCTTGTTGTACAATCAGGCAGGCACGCTGTGGTGCTGTGAGTCGACACTGTGTCGGGAACGGGGCGTACGTACAGCGCACAATTGACTTGACTTTCATTCAGATGAAAAAATGCTGCCCAGTACGAACAAGGCCCGCAAATTTGGGGGACACACCCGCCGATCTTTCAGGCATCGGGCGGTTTGTCTCGTCGCAAATCGCCACAGGATGGACGCCAAGTAAACAGAGGCCTAGTCAATACGAGGACCGTCTCTGGAAAAGCCGGACTTGCTGCTTTCAATGGTCACACTCGGTTTTCGCTGAAACTTGGGCATTTTGCCATCCGTCCCGGAATGCTTCTTAGTTACCAAGTCCTGCAATACAGGTCCTGCGTCGGCCCATCGCCAAAATTTATCCATCGGCCCATAGCAGCCGCTGAAAGAAGCAAGAAAAAAGCAAATGAGCTAGGGGATTGGCTGGAGCCGAGCTGGACCAAACTAGCCAGGGGCACGGTCGCGCCGCCAATGTAGGGATAAGCGTCAAGGGAATTCGAGGAGGGCTCATTTACTGGTACCATGCAGCAGTCAGTCAGTTTGTGACGCGGTATAGAGATTACAGCATGCAGGATGCAAGCAACCCGAGGAACGTCCTAGACCGTCAGCCCCTGTGGACAGTTGTACTGGTAACATCTCGAAAAGAGGCAAAGAGACTTGCTGAGGAGAGAGGGCGTCCTGGTCGGCATAACGAGCCGACGCCAGCCCTGTCTGGCTGGAATGTGTCTCGATCCCCTCCACCCCATGTCTCCAGCTTCGTTCCCCCATGTCTTCCAGCTAGGCTCTTTGACGGACCTGAGCGCTAGCAAACAACAAGTTAACTGGTAATATCATTGGCTTGGCCCGCTGTGACACAGAACAAGGCACCTTGCCTTGATCAGGTCAGGACGCGGTGGCTACTTGGAGCGACTCACCACCACGCCCACACCCTCCCCCATCCCGTCCAATTCTTTCTTTTCAGTGCTTTGTTTTTGTTTTGCGGGTAGCCCGGTGGCCTTGCAATGGGTCAAAGCTCGAGTGTACATGCTACCTTGGGTCCAATCCGTTGTCCATCCGTCGTACCGGGGGCGTTTTCTTGCATGGAGGAACCTGCAGACCTCGTAACATTATTTGTCCACCCCCATCGGAATGTGAATGCCCAGCAGCCACCACACCCGTCAGGTTGCCATTCAGGCGGCTCGGCACGGGAGGATGGGCCTGGACGAAAAAGCTATATTATGGCTGCGTGGCCCTCCTCGCACTCCCCCTTCCCCCCTGCCCTTCTCCTCCTCTTCTTCCCTCTCCAACACACACTCGTTATATCAAGTCTCTCGTTGCTGCTTCTTCTGCTTCGTCCTTGTTCTAATACCCCAAGTGCAACTTTAATACCTCTTATCAAAATGCGTTTCACTCTCGCTCTCGCTCTCGGCGCTGCCGTCGCCGTCTCGGCCCAGTCTGCCACCAGCAGCGCTGCTGCTCCCAAATCCTCCCAGGAGGTCTGCCTGGATAACTGCGGCAACGATGTCAACTGCAAGGCTCACTGCATCACCGTACGTATCTCCTCTCGGCCTTCCCTGTTCCAGCGTGGTTCGCTTTTAGCATCGGCGTCAGGTTCAGATCTGTCTGGGGAAGCAGGGCATCCATCAATGTTTTGCCCAAGCCCACTTGCAGCACCGATCTCCCCCCCCCCCAACGCTACTGCGAACCCCTGCTGCCAGGCCTCTCTCCTGTGTTGCTTCTCAAACATCTTTACTGACATTGTCCTCTTTCGCACTAGGTCCCCTCGCCCAACGAAGACCAGGCAAACCAGACCACCGCCTGCGCCGCCAAGTGCCCCCAGGGCAACGGCAGCCCTGCTGACACCCAGACCTTCGCCGACTGCGTCCAGAAGTGCATCACCGATTACTACTACAACAAGGAGGGCGGCACCCCCAACCAGAGCGCTGGCTCCGGCTCCGGCAGCAGCTCCGCCGCCGCCGCTCCCACCTCCGGTGCCGCCGCCAACCCCAGCGCGTCCTCCGCCGCCGGCAGCAGCGGTACCAAGTCTGGCTCCGCCGGCAGCAGCGCCACCAGCTCCGGTGCCTCGGCCTCCCAGAGCGCCTCCAAGACCGAGGGCGGCTCCTCGGGCTCGCAGACCAGCGCCAGCGCCAGCAGTACTGCCAGCAAGGGCGCCGCTGCTGGCCTCGTTGCCGGCTCCGGCTCCGTCCTGGGCCTCGTCGCTGCCCTCTTTGCTCTGTAAATTAGGCCGCGCTTGAGTTTGAGTTTGTTTGTTTACGCTCGGGTGCGTTGATGTGCTGTTGAGTCATGTCGCGCGAGGATGTAATGCGATCAGGATCGTCCATGGCAGCGGTTCGGGGATGGACTAGCGAGTAATATACATATATCGTTAGTCGATCCGGGGCTACAGTTTGTGGCTCTGGTTTTTTAAACCATCTTGGTATCCATGCATTCTGAATTGAAGTGCTTTTTTGTGGCTGTGTTTGTTTCCATGTGGTGCTGCTCTTCCAACCGCGTCGCTACCCTATAGCAGGGATCTGAGGAATCATTTCTCGAGGCGTCCGAGGCGCAGAAGGCGTCTTACTAAATAAAAAGAGATATCTTCATTCGTATGATATGCTGACTTGGTTTATGTTAACCCCATGGTCTCTGATAGTGGTGTAGATGGTGTGGTTATTTGTTGGTGCTTTGGTGCTCCCCGGCTCGCTTTTCAACATTACAAACGGCCACACGGACAGCCGTGGAACGCGCCAGACCTCCCAAGATCAGGGGACTATTCGTCAATGACATATAAAATGCGCGCCAATGTGCAATTGGCCGATCGCGTTGCGTAAACAGGAACAGTGTCGGCAGTGACATGCAATCGAGGCTTTGTCCGTGCAAACTATTTAGTGTGGAGAGAGGCCGATGGTGGCTGTGGGGGACAGCTTTTGGAGATGGCCAGTGCCTGGACAGGGCCCAATCACGAATCTGTGCCACTGGCCTTGGATGGACTAGAGGTGCTCAGAAGCGCCATGTATCGCCTGCTTGTGACACTTTTCGCGGCGTGTAAGGGTAGAAGCTTATTGATGGCGCGACATCATGATTACCTGTTGGTACACGTGGCCTGGAGTGCATCCAGAGTGAGCCGGACCTGAGTGCCACGCATCTCCACTACGGGGGCCTCTGGCGAGCGAGGAGCCACAAGGCGCCTATTTCATGAACCTTTTGGAGTCTCGCTGACCGACCTACCTTTCTTGGAATAGAGGCGATGACCACTAGTCGTGCGTATTTTTTGAGGAAGAACTACGGCAGGACAGTGAAGTAAAGAATTGAGAGTAGTCGTGTGCGTCAATGGCCAATGGCTCATGCATTGTTGTGGTCTGAAATCTGCGGCGTTGCATTGTGAGGCGGTTGGCTGGGTTTCGAGAGCTCCTGGGACCAGTTACGGGACCCAGGAACCAGGCCTAGGAGTCCTAAGCCGCCCGCTGTAGCCCGCTAACAAAGAGACGGAGCGCCTGTAAGGAACCTGGTTGGAACCAAAGTACCCACCTGGTTGGAGTTCCAGCCAACCCCCGCAGAGGCGCACTTTATTAGGTACTTTACCTCATTGTAGGTAGGGTCCTCAATCAACGTGTCCTTTTAGTCGGGGTAGCTTTCCCTCATCAAGGGCCCGAATTTCTTCAACTTGCCTCTTCGTTTCTTTCTTCCTTCCACCTCTTCATCTGCTCAACCTCACCCTCGGTTTTCTGCATCGTCGAGCGCTGGGTCGTCATTGGCATTCTTCTGTCCCTTTGCCAGTCTCCCATTTTAGTTCTCCCTCTCGTGTCTCCCTGTTCATTTCCTGCCTCTTCTGCCACACTCTCTCTGGTCATCATGAAGTTCAACGCTGCCGCTGCCGCCACGGCGGCCGCCATGTTCGCTGGCATCGCCCATGCTGAAGACGCCGAGGCTTCCCCTGTTGCCGTCGAGCTCCCCACTTTCACTGTGAGTTTATCCCTCATCAATGGCATCGATCGCATTCACGCTTTCTGCTGATGGCGAGGCTCGCCGTCAAACAAACGTGACACTCGCTGACTCTCCTACCTCTCTAGCCCACCACCATCAAGGCCGACTTTCTCGAGCAGTTCACCGATGACTGGGAGAAGCGCTGGAAGCCCTCCACCGCCAAGAAGGACATGAAGGGCGCCGATAAGGACAAGGAGGAGGAGGAATGGGCCTACGTCGGCCAGTGGGCTGTTGAGGAGCCTACCGTCTACAAGGGCGCCGAGGGCGACAAAGGTCTTGTTCTCAAGAACCCCGCCGCTCACCACGCCATCTCGGCCAAGTTCCCCAAGAAGATTGACAACAAGGGCAAGACCCTCGTCGTCCAGTACGAGGTCAAGCTTCAGAGTAAGTTCCACTTTGCCGCGGCGTACTCGTGCGAACGCTGACACCGGTTCGCAGATGGCCTCGAGTGTGGTGGCGCCTACATGAAGCTCCTCCGCGATAACAAGGCGCTTCACCAGGAGGAGTTCAGCAACGCTACCCCCTACGTCATCATGTTTGGTCCCGACAAGTGTGGCCACACCAACAAGGTGCACTTTATCTTCAACCACAAGAACCCCAAGACTGGCGAGTACGAGGAGAAGCACTTGATCTCGCCTCCCTCGGCCAGAATTGTCAAGACAACTGAGCTCTACACTCTGATTGTCAACCCCGACAACACCTACGCCATTCGACAGAACGGCGAGGAGGTCAAGTCTGGTTCCCTCCTCGAGGACTTCTCCCCCTCCGTCAACCCCCCGGCCGAGATTGATGATGAGAAGGACACCAAGCCTGAGGACTGGGTTGACCAGGCTCGCATCCCTGACCCTGAGGCTAAGAAGCCCGAGGATTGGGATGAGGAGGCTCCTTTCGAGATTGTCGACGAGGAAGCCACCAAGCCCGAGGATTGGCTCGACGACGAGCCCCTCACCGTCGCTGACCCCGAGGCCCAGAAGCCGGAGGATTGGGAGGATGAGGAAGATGGTGACTGGATCGCCCCTACCGTCCCCAACCCCAAGTGTGCTGATGTCTCTGGCTGTGGCCCCTGGGAGAAGCCCATGAAGAAGAACCCCGACTACAAGGGCAAGTGGACCGCTCCCTACGTTGACAACCCCGCCTACAAGGGACCTTGGGCTCCTCGCAAGATCAAGAACCCTGCCTACTTCGAGGACAAGACCCCTGCCAACTTTGAGCCTATGGGCGCCGTAAGTTTTCTGCGTCCCCTGCGTTCCCCTGAGTGTACTGACAAGTATTAGATTGGTTTCGAGATTTGGACCATGCAGAGCGACATCATGTTCAACAACATTTACATTGGTCACTCCATCGCCGACGCTGAGAAGCTTGGGAATGAGACGTTTGTGCCTAAGCACGCCGCGGAGAAGGCCCTGGAGGAGGCTGACAAGCCCAAGGCTGAGGAGCCCAAGTCGCCGTCTGACCTCAAGTTCCTCGACGACCCTGTTGTCTTTGTGCGCGAGAAGGTTAGCCTTTTCCTCGCCATTGCTCAGAAGGACCCCATTGAGGCTATCCGATTCGTCCCCGAGGTTGCTGCTGGCATTGGTGCCATTATTGTCTCGCTGATTGCCGTCACTCTTGGTATTCTTCGTCTGGGTAAGGCCCCCGCTCCCGCTCAGGGCAAGAAGGCCGAGAAGAGCAAGAAGGAGGAGGGCTCCAAGGCCACGACGACTGGTGCCGAGAAGGCAAAGGGTGAAGCTACTAAGCGTAACACCCGCAGCCAGAACTGAGCGCATGTAATGTAAATACCTGAGGCTGGGGCGACCGAAGGAAAGGAAGCGAGAAGCAATGATGGGGAATACCAAAATGAAATTATTTGTGATTTTAGCTGAAATTTGAGATGAGCCAGAAGTGTACGTTTCAACGAAGCAATGTTTTAAGTCATCTAGCTTACAGTAGTATTGGTGCTGTATGGGAATGCTGGTATGCCGGTCAGCACGTTTCGCGCCGGAGACGGATCGAGATGGGCATAAATAGGAAAATAAAAAGTTACATCCAAGCTTGCGGGATTGATTTCCGAGGACGGTTGCATACAAGTAGTTTTTGCTTATAGGTTACTATAATCATGGCCGAGCGTGGTTTGGGCGGTGACCTTGAACGCCCTTGATACCTACAGTAGGTAGGGAAAAGGAACACCGGCGGTATTGATTGCTCCGCATGTTCCACCTTTAAAGTCTGATCTGGATCGATGGTGCGCCCTCTGGTGTCCACAGCACAGCATGCATGTAAATGCTGGGCAAGCCAACAGGGAGGGCGCGAGGGAAAATTGAAGCCATCGTGGGCAAATGCTGGTTGGGCCGGTAACGGAGAAGAGGGTGAGCTGTGAGATGGAACGGCGGTGGCTTTGGCCAGTAATAATGAGATAAAGCTGATGCAATTGAGACATGGAGGCGCCCTCGGCGGTGCGGAAGCCGGCGGCCTAGGAGAAGGCGAGAAGGCCCCAAAGGCTGGGGGGCCCCACATGTAAATGATGGATGGCCCTCTGCTACCCCGACTTGCCCGACCATAACCGCGCCTTCTGAGCATGGGCAAGTTCGCCTGCCTACCAAACCGGCCGCCGTTTGCCTTGTCCGTCTGTCCACCCCGTTCTCCACGGTCGTCTGGACAAGACAATCCCGCCCCAAATAAGAAAGCCATCCCGCCCCCTCTCTCGCCCCATCCCTCGACTTTTACAAAAAGGTAGTACGTTTTGCTCTCATCCAAAACCATCCTCACTACCTTGACGATTGGACTCCCTCCCCCACCATCGTCTCCGTTGACTTGTCACGATGCGTCGGCTCATCTCCCGCAGCGTTTCTGTCAGCGCCGCCACCCGCTCGCCGGCTTCGTCCGCCGCTCCCCGTTCAACCCTCGTCGCCATGTCGTCGTCCAAGAGCGCCGTGGCCGCGCGTAGAATTCACGCCACGGCCCAGCAGATGCGTCCCGCCGCCGGCGCTGCCGCCCTGGCCTCGACCGCCACCAGCTACCCGACCACCCACGAAAAGATCCAGCCGGTCCAGGACACGCCCTACTTCGTCGACAACAAGTTCGTCCAGTCCAAGGCGTCCGCCTTCATCGACCTGCCCGACCCGGCCACCAACAACCTCGTCACTCGCGTCCCGCAGATGACCGAGGAGGAGATGCGCGCCGCCGTCGCCAGCGCCGAGAAGGCGTTCGCCTCCTGGCGCAACACCTCGGTCCTCCACCGACAGCAGATCATGTTCAAGTTCGTCGCCCTCATCCGCGAGAACTGGGACCGCCTTGCCGCTAGCATCACCCTCGAGCAGGGCAAGACCTTTGCCGACGCCAAGGGTGACGTCCTCCGCGGCCTGCAGGTTGCTGAGGCTGCCTGCGGCGCTCCCGAGCTCCTCAAGGGCGAGGTGCTCGAGGTTGCCAAGGACATGGAGACGAGAACCTACCGTGAGCCATTGGGCGTCGTTGCTGCCATCTGCCCATTCAGTAAGATTACACCAACCCAAGGTTTCCAAAGTCGCGAGCTTTGACTAACGCCCCGAACCTCTTAGACTTCCCGGCCATGATTCCTCTCTGGTGCATCCCCATTGCCACCATCACCGGCAACACCCTCATCCTCAAGCCCTCGGAGCGTGACCCCGGTGCCGCCATGATCCTCGCCGAGCTCGTGCAAAAGGCCGGCTTCCCCGACGGCGTCGTCAACGTCATCCATGGCGCGCACAAGACGGTCGACTTCATCCTCGACGAGCCCGCCATCAAGGCCGTCAGCTTCGTCGGCGGCAACAAGGCTGGCGAGTACATCTTCTCGCGCGGTTCGGCCAACGGCAAGCGCGTGCAGGCCAACCTGGGTGCCAAGAACCACGCGGCCGTGTTGCCCGACTGCAACAAGAACCACTTCATCAACAGCGTCGTCGGCGCCGCTTTTGGCGCGGCCGGCCAGCGCTGCATGGCCCTCAGCACCCTCGTCATGGTCGGCGAGACCAAGGAGTGGCTGTCTGAGGTGGCCGAGAGCGCCAAGAAGCTCAAGGTCGACGGCGGCTTCGAGGACGGCGCCGACCTCGGCCCCGTCATCTCCCCGCACAGCAAGGAGCGCATCGAGGGCCTAATCGCCTCGGCCGAGAAGGAGGGCGCCACCATCCTGCTCGACGGCCGCGGCTTCAAGCCCTCCAAGTACCCCAACGGCAACTTCATCGGCCCGACCATCATCTCCAACGTCACGCCGGACATGACGTGCTACAAGGAGGAGATCTTCGGCCCCGTCCTCGTCTGCCTCAACGTCGAGACCATGGACGACGCCATCGACCTGATTAACAAGAACGAGTACGGCAACGGCGTCGCCATCTTCACCAAGTCGGGCCCCACGGCCGAGACCTTCCGCCGCAACATCGAGGCCGGTCAGGTCGGCATCAACGTGCCCATCCCCGTCCCGCTGCCCATGTTCTCCTTCACCGGCAACAAGAAGAGCATTGCTGGCGGCGGCGCTAGCACCTTTTACGGCAAGCCGGGCATCAACTTTTACACACAGCTCAAGACGGTGACGGCCTTGTGGCAGAGCAACGATGCGGTGGCCAAGAAGGCGACGGTGGCCATGCCTACCCTGCAGTGAGGGGAGTGAAGCGATTTTTTTTTTAAAGACAAAAGAAAAAACAACGAGAGGAAGAGGAGAAGGTTGATGGATTTGATGCTGTTAAAAAAGTATTATAAGATTTGCACTGTGAGCTAGCTTAGCTTGTAATGGTTTAATGTAGCAATATCACAGGTTGGTAATTGTCACACCCACCCAGCCATGTTGATCTCTCCGCCCCGGATCTTCATTGTCCTTGACCAACGTGCTCAATTTGACGGGGGCTAAAATTACAAAGTTGACACCTCAGCCGTTGAACTCGGTATCCGTACTTTTTAAGCGAGGGGGGTTTGTCTTTTCGACAAATCACTTTGTTAGTGAAGCTGGGGCGTTTGCTTCAGAATTCCAGTCAACTTTGTCTTACTCCTCAACCCAGTGTGAGCGGCTAACAACGGATGTTTGAGAGTTACACGTCTTTCTAAAAGGAAAAAAAAAAAACGGAACAAAACAAAAACAAACATGCATCCTCCGTGGGGGTCTCGCCTCTCAGCGCCCTGAGCATAGTACATACTGTACATACATACATACATACATACACCCCCAACGCAACTACCTCCGACCCCTAGATAGGAGAAGACAAACGCAAGCTCTGCAATGCACCGCGGGGGTCGAAGAAAAATCAATGACCATGCAGCATTTCCCCCCGCCCCCGAACGAGCCGAATTTTGTCGTTCACTTGAAACGGGCACGGCGTTCTTCTTTTAGACAAATTGTGACAAAGGGCGCCCGCAGAAACACAGCAACAATAGCAAGCAAGTGGCTGGGAATGTCGCCCATCCGGAGATGCAGATGCGGCGGGACAGTTTCAGATTTTGATAAAAAAATCTCCCGAACACCCCGAACAAGTAAATATATAGCTGCTGCTGCTTTTGGTTTTCATATTCCTGCAAACACTTCTGCTGATATACGTTTTGGGGCGTAGCCCAACTGTTAGACACAGAGAGGCCCATGCAAGTCACATGGCGACGGCGAACACCACCGCCAACACCCAACCGCCGTCCGGACCCGCGCCGCTCCTCCCGCATCAACGACAGCGACGACGACGATGAGCACAACATCCGCCGCGTGGGCCACCTGACGCTCTGCAAGCTGCGTGACGCCATCGCACGCGCACAGGCGCTCTCCCGATCCTCCTGGGCCGCGGCCTCTGCCTTTTCGCGACATGGTCCTGCCCGCGCTGACCTCACGACCATGACGCCACCTACACCAGGCGCCCCCGCGGCCGCAGTCTCCCGCGCGTCCGCCACCACCATGGCACTCACCGACCTGCCCTACACCGTCTTCGCCGAAATTGCGTCGCACCTGTCTCCGTGCGAGGCCATCGCAGCTCGGCGCGTGTCGCGGACCGTCTACGCCGCGCTGACCCGCGCCGAGCTGTGCATCAGCCTCCTGCTGCGGCACTTCCCCCGCGCGCGCGAGAGCCGCGAGCTCCGGACGTTGCTGCGGCGGGGCGACGCTGCCCTGCTCGAGGCCGTCCGATGGGCCGACGCGCTGGCGGCGACGGCGCGCCGCTACCATCACCTCGGCGCCGCAACGCCCCGCACGGTCGACACCATCCGGGTCGCGCGCGAGGACCACAACGGCGGTTTGCTGCGTGGCGTCACGCCCTGGCACCGCTTCTTGCGCCTTGACGACAAGACGGCCGCGTTCCACCACTGGGACCCCGCATGGGCGTGCGATGCCACGGCCGGCCTGCTGGTGCACCCTGTAGAGGGCTGGCGGTATGTGCTGCGCGACGTAGACTCCGGCTGTACGTGGCCGGTGCCGTTCGGCACGGTGAACCGGCTGGTGCGCCGTGTACGGCTTGCACACGGACTCCTCGTATTTGAGTGGTGTGAGAAGCAGCCGGTCGGCGAGGAGGACGACGCACACAGGCATTTTGCCACGGCCTATGACGTGAGAAGGATGGGACGGCCAGACGGCGTCGGAGTTGGGAGAGAGGATGAATTGTACACGCTGAGGCGATACAGAAAGGTCAGGCGCGATGACGAGGCGGAAGTAGACGAATGCGCAGTCACATTTCGCTGTGAATGGAAGATTCACAGCCTCGGAATCCCGCTGCGCCACCAAGACCGTTTCTTCTCCGCGCACAACAGCACGCACTACGTTGTATACATCTGGCAGTCCTCGCGCTCGCCGTGGGGTGAGGACGAGCCGCTAGAGAGGCTCATCATCTGGGACATCAGCGTGCCGTCACCCTCCTCGGCGCCCGCTCCGTCCTCCGGCGGCGGCGGCGAGCCGCGCATCATCGCCCAGCTAGACGGCGCACAGCTCGATCACTGGGGCGTGCGGCAGCGAGGTGCGCCCGCGCTGCGCTGCCTCGCGCTCGACGACTGCACTCGAGATTCGGCGGCGAGCGCTGCCTGCGGCCACGTCTTTATCGTCGAGGAGGAGCATCGGTGGTCCGCAGGCCCTCATAGTAGCCCGACACCCCCGCGCCTGCACCACGTCAAAGCTACTGGAATTCCACTCTCCGGGTCTGGCCCGCGCTGGGTTGACGAGTGCGGCGGCGGCGGGGTCCAGTCGGACGCCGGCGGGATGCCCTTCTGCTGGCGGCCCGCAGATGGTGCTGAGACGTGGGCCGGCCGCTGCCCATGCTGGCGCCACGACGACTTCCCGTACCTGACTGTCTGTGAGGTCCGCGACGTGCAGGCCGGCGTACGCTTCAGTGCCCGCCATTGCTTCATGCTCGAGACACTATCTGTGCACGTTAAGCCGCGGTTGCGCGTCCACGGGGTACCGCGACCTGCACCCCATACGCCGCGGCGGCTCTCGTCATCGACCAAGACGAGCAGCAGTCACGGTGGCAGGAACGCGAAATTGACAACTGTTCTTGGAGGTGCAGGTGAGTACAAGTCTCGACGAGGCCGAGCCAGCGAGGCAGTTCGTGAGGGTCGCGATAACCTGGGCGCTGGGAGTGAGAGCGAGTTCGACGGGTCTGACGCTATAGCCCGGGAGGTTCAGTTCGGGGATGACGCCTGGCCGATGCTCCTCAACGCGGGATACATTTGTGGTGACGAGAGGTGGCTGATTGGAGAAGCCACTGACGGTTCTATAACCATTATGCATTTCTAAGGCGGCGAATTGACCACTCTTCTTTTTTCATTTTTTATCTTGACACGTCAGCACCTCGGCATTGGAGTTTGTTATTCACGACCGATGACTCTTTTTCAGCCTAAGTCGCCGTTCTGGCCGACAGCGGTTAGCCAGTACATAGATGTCGCGCCTTCTTGCGGCTCAATGGGCAATTTCGGTTCAAGGCAGGAATATATAGATGCCGTTCTTAGGAGATGCAATATACAAGAATAGAGAGAGTACTTTTGCTCATGACGTTGAGGACTCGTCTGGTAGCTTGAGGAATCCACCATAATATTCGTCAAGCCACCTGGCGGCGTTCGCACCAGATTCGTCGAGTCCAGCGTCCCAGCGCCCGACGGAACCAACATAGCCGTCTGGTCGGACGGTAATGATGGCGACCTCGCCTGGTGCCAGGCGTCCCAGCCATTTTTCTGTACAACGCACACCGCGTGTATCCTGCTCTGGGACATTGTCTAGGTACAACGTCCAGCGGCTTTCCTGCAGCAGAAAGGGTAGGTCTGAAATCTCAAACGCCGACTTCGGCATGGTTGCTGGGCCATGGTGTCAATGATGTCTCTTTAATACCGTCATCACTGGGATACTTACTAATGAGGGCAAACGTGAACAGCTCGCTAGCTTTGACGTAGCGCTCAGGACGAGTGTATACGTCTTCAGGGACTGAGGATCTGGGTTGGCGGGCGTACGAACTCGTCGCTGCAGCAGACAATGCATTCACAAACGAAGTGCGGGAGGATATGGAGTTGCAGAATGATTCCAGAAAGGTGGCGGATTGGAACACGTCCCACGCGAAGAGATATATGCGGAATTGGCCCATCATGGGGATGTCAAGCTGGATGTCTACGGGGTTGGCGTCAATGTAACGAGTGACCTTTGCAGGTGGCAGAATGCTTCCTGGGCGTGCCGCTTCGGGGCATGGAAACGCTGCTTCGTCATGGATGACAGATGGCTGCGTGAGGATGCTGGGGCCATACTCGGCACCAATCCCAGAAATGAAGCGGACGTTGAACAAAAAGTTTTTGGCTAGTGCCACAGCGTCACCATTGGCAATTTGGTTGGCATGTTCATAGTCAAAGTTGACGAGATCAAGAGCGACCTTGCGGCGTTCTTCTTCGTAGCTGGCCATGAGCTCTGGACGTGCGAAGCCTCGAGCGGCGAGGTTGAGCTTCCATGCCAGATTCCAAGAGTCGTGCATTGCCGTGTTCATGCCCTGTGCTGACTTGGGAGAATGCGTGTGGCTGGCGTCGCCTGCAAGGAAGACAGTAGCCGACTCATCACTGAAACGACTTGCTAAACGCTGTCCGACTTGATAGCGACCAAACCATTCAATACAGCTCCAGTCGATATGGAAAGGTGCCATAATTTTGCGAGCTTGTTCCATGACAAATGATTGACCGAGGTCATCGCCTCTAGCAAGGTCGGCAAGCGCGGTTGGTGTTTGGCACGTTTTGAGCTCAATGTAGAGACGGGTCATGTTGCGTTCGCGTGGGACAATCAGAATTGACCCATGCTCTTCTGAGTAGACCAGAGTTTTGGACCAAATATCTGGAAAATCTGTGATAAGCTCGCCATCGAGGACACCCCAGATGGCAGGCTGTGAGACACCGACGGCTTCAACTCCGGGAATGGCTTTACGAACTCGGGAGTGTGCACCGTCGCCTTATTTCTTGTTAGTTACATCCACCAAAAATGGGCAACTAAAGACTTACATCCAACAAGATACTCTGCTAGAAGCGGTTGGACGTCATCGCTACCAACGCCCTTATAATTGACCTGGAGAGCAGACTGGCCAATCTTGGTTGACAGTTGCTCGTAAGATTCAAAGAAAACATTCCGAAGGACTTCCCTGCCGCGCAAGCGCATATCACCCATGAATAAATCCTCAACCATGCCTTGATGAGCGAGAAGAATGCATGGGTCGAGAACATCGATCACGGGAGGATAGTGAACTTCACGACCCAACCGGTGGAGCTTCTCAGTCGGAGTACTGCGCCAGAACGAAATGTCAAACACCTTGACACCGCGTTGTAATAGAGGGTCAGCTAGGCGCATCTGTCGAAATGTCTCTATCGTCTTTGGCTGCAGTCCGTCGGCACTGTTGACATGTAAGTGACAAGCTACAGGGAGAGGACAGAAGGTGTAGTTACCGGCCGACTGTTGTTTTCCCGTCTCTCTCATCTATCACTTGTACATCGATGCCGAACCTGGCGAGATTGCATGCGAGCATAAGACCAGCTGGACCGGCACCGACGACGCAAACTTGGCACTGGGGTGTTGAGGCCCTCGGGATTTGGAGGCGGGAGAAAGAGGCTGATACTTCGCCATTCGGAGAGGGTGAGTGTCTGATGATTTGCTCTTCACTGGGATGCTGACCAGGAGACCTGACTGTTTGTAGAATACCCGGCGCCATGGTAATAGATTGTGTTTGGTGGTGTGGTCGGTAGGGTTCTGCGTGTAGGGTGGGAATAGGCCGTGTTGGGCGCTGACGATGCAAGCAGTCCAACAAAGGGGCGCAGGACGACCGAAAAGGCTATATGCGTTGCTGTGTGAAAGATATAGTAGAAATCTTGGTCGGTTGCTGCGAAAGCTGCCACCCCCGAATATCTTCCAATTCGTGCGATGGGCCAGGAATCAAGACAAACTGGAGTTGATCTGAGTTGGAATTTTGGTCGATTGCGGCGTAGGGTGTAGCTTTTAATGGACTAGCTACCGCGAAGGACTGAAAATCACTAATGTTGCGCGAGACAGGGCTCAGTATGCCATGGATAGTAGTTTTGTGTAAATTTTGGCGGTGAAAGGGCAAGAAATGCAGGTGAAAACAACCGCCGGTGTCGTTTTCGCAGATGCTGTAAGTTTTTCGTGTGGTTGGAGGAAGGCAAGACCGGATATACGTAGAACAGAAAGAAGACAGGGAAAAAAAAGCTGCCACCAAGATGAAACGAGTGCGATAAGGACATGCAAATGGATGACATACCCCCAAGAATAACAAGAGACTAAAAGGCCAGCGCTGGAGACTGCGAAAGTGGAAATGGTCATCGACTCAATCGTGAGATGGCATGATTTCTGGCGCGCGGTGGAGGCGGAGGACCGTTTCTGGCCAAGGCTGGAATGGCTTGCAGCGGCCAGACTTGGGGCAGAAACTTCTTTGGCAAAAGAGTCTAAGCCAAGCGTGTAAGAGGAACCCTGCGGATGGCCGAATGGCCTGAAGAGCATGGCAAAGTCCGCAGCACTGGTCCCCGGCAGAAAAGAAAGTGTGAAAGCGTATTTGAGCCCAGCGAGCCGTGTAACTGCGGCGGCGCCTGCGAGACCTTTTTGGCGGGGCATAGCCGTGTCAAAGTGGTCTGATTTTGAGGCCCAGCTGGACACTTTGGTCGGTGTCAAAGTGGCGCCATAATCAGTCGCCACGACATGCGTGCCGACTTTGGGTGTGTTGGAAGCCTTTGTTGATGCAAGCGCGGGGCCCGAAAAGCTCCGCATTGTGATATTGAGGCTGCCCATTCGTGCATCATGTAATTATTCTCCTTCGGTTCTGGTTCATGCATATTTTGGCCCATGCTCACTTCCACGTTGGGGCCGCGCAGCACAGGTTTGTCGCTCTGCAGCCCTCACTGGTTGCAGTGATGAGGTTGCGAGGCCATATTGATTCGACGTCGATAGCGCACGGGAGCCGGATGATTCGGATGCCGCTGACATTAATCGCGTCGTCGTATCATCTCGTGATATTTGACGTCGCTGTTGTAGGAGAAGGGAAAAAGGAGGTACATAGGTAAGCTTGGGCGCTGCGGCTGGCAAACGGGCACCCGACAGCCGGCACTTGGAGCAACGCTCTGCCAGCTGCCAGATGGACGGACAGCTGCCCGCTAGCTGTCCGCTTGTCAGCTGGTCGACTGCAAATCATCTGCACCTACCATATTTAAACGAACGGCATATTACCATACCATATGTGAAAGACTGACTGTATTATTACTACTACCTGCTTGCAATAACAACAAAAATCGACAAGAGCAATGGCGACTCCAGCAATAATAATGACGGCGCAAAAAATATCACAAGGAAATGGACGTGCACACGGTCGACTTTCTCAACTCCCTCCATCATGCCTCAGCTGCAAACGAACCACCTTTGCTCAATCTGATACGGCTTCTACGTTCAGTCTTGAGCCACGAGCACCGTGCTCTCGCCCGTATCACTAGCCTTTTCCTTTTCAAAGGACGCATTCACATCCTTGATCACCTGGCGGCCATTCCACTTCGACATGTACTTGTCGCCGTCAATGCGCGACCTATACGACAGCCAGTCTGGCAAGGCTCGCATCAGCGAAGCTAAGCCACCTGTCTCGGGCAAGATGACGTTGCCGCTGCGGCCCGTGAGAACTTGCTTGACAATGCCCTCTGCAATCGTGTCAATCTCCAGACTCGGCATCAGGAAGTCGTTGCCTTGGTGGAAACCCTGGAACAGCGGCGTTTTCACGTGGCCCGGATGGACAATGACGGTGCGGACCTTCGGCGCGTGGTATCGAGTGACGAGCTCGGCCGAGAGGCCCTCGTGGAACGCCATCGCCGCAGCCTTGGAGGCAGCGTAGTCGGTCATGGCGGGTGTGGTGATCCAAGATGCCGCCGATGCAACAGTGACAATCATGCCATGGTTGCTCTCAATCATGCTGGGCAGGAATGCCTTGGTGATCCAGTAGTGGCTGAGCGTGTTCACGTCAAAGGTGAAGCGAACATCGCCGGGCTCCGAGTCGAGAATGGTTTTGCCCCGCGCAACACCGGCATTGTTGATGAGGACAGTAGGCTGTCCAACCTCGATGCGCACCCTCTCTGCGACTTCCTGCACGCTCGCTGGGGAGCGGAGATCACATTTGTAATGGTGAACTCGCGAAGCTAGCTTCGGTTAGCATCTTGACACCCAAGACCGGGAAGTCTGTTGAACGAGTATCACTTACAGGTAGCATACGCCATCGGCTGCACGTCTAGAACAACAACCTTTATCGCTAGCTCGTCAAATAGCTTGACTATCTGGGCGCCGATGCCAGCGGCACCGCCGGTGATGAGAACAATCTCGCGCGACCAGTCATATCGGTCCTTGACCCAGTTGTTTCGGGTCTTGTCGGACAGGTATCTGACTATGGTTCTGAGAAGTCCCCAGTAGAAGAGTTTCTTGATGCCACCGTATGCGGTCGGGTGCAGAATGCTCAGGTCACTGCCGCGCTTGGTGTAGCGTGCAAGCAGCAACAGCGGAAGCACGAGCGATGGGTTAAGGGCTGTTCTGGCAAACAGCTTGAAAAGAGGGACGCTGTAGAGCCCCTCTCGGGGAAGGAAGCCCTGGTGCATGGGCATGATGAAGCGCGAAAATGCTGTTGCAGGTAGGCTTGGCTGGATTTCTCGAAGTGGCGATTCAGACCCTGGGTGCGCTGCGTCACGATGGAAGCAGTTAAATGGATCCTTGGTATTTTGCAGACAGTCAAAACGGATTGACTACTATTTAGGAGGTCTGAACTCTGATGGAGGATTTATGAAAACAAGAATGTCACAGATGTCAAGTTCATCGCCTACTTGGTCGACACTAGCACCTCGGCAAGCTCAAAAGTGCGGAGAAGCTCCCCTTTATTGTTAGTTGGCGCAGTCAGATGCTTAGCAGTTTCCAGTAAGGTGTATAAATACCACTTTGAAAGAAAACAGCCAACGCGTCGTTTGGCCAATGCCCGTATTTTGCCCAGCGGAACCCTGGAGTGACCGAGTCCGACGGACGGAGCTGTAGAGGAACTGACGCGGTTTGGGGCATATAACCGGCACGTTTCTACCATGGATTATCTAGCGGGTATATGGATTTACTGCACCTACAATGTCAACGAGATATTTGGCTGAAAGCAGGCTGACTCAAATTGAAACTGACCACTCCAATACTGCGAATAAACCCTGGGTCAATTCACCACGACCCCATGTCCGGTATAATTACAGAACGGCCGTGCGGCACCCGCCGAAGTCCTCCGCCTCCGGTCCAGACTGCAGTCCACATCCCACAGCGGAAGCCGCCTAAAGCCCGCTGAAGCCACTGAAGCCCGCTAATCGGCCAACTTGGGCCTCTAACGCGGACAGGTCTCCACTCGGCGCGCTCTAAAGCCCAGTTCCGATGGTGTAGTTTTCATCCAGTCTTTTCATCCTCAGTTCCGCGCCATCCCCGGAATACGGCTGCAGCACAGGGGAAAGGGCAGATATCGAAGTTGAGGCTATTCGACTAAGGGCGAGAAAAATCCTCCGAAGCCGCGTCTTGCCTCGGTGAAGCTGAGAACTCCGGAGCCATGAAGACAGCTCTCCTCCGCCTGTCACGGGCGCAATGCCTACGCGGCTCGCGTCCGGCGCGCCATCTCCAATTCAACCCAACGGCTGGCTACCGGTCTTTCGCATCGTCACCGGCTGCCGCTTCGGGCCTGGGAGAGTTCTTGTCAGTGTCGGAGGAGGTTACGGATGCCGTGGCCACAAACAAGCCCGTGGTAGCTCTTGAGTCCACCATCTACACACACGGCATGTTGGGAAACGACCTTGCCAAGGAGCACCTCGAATTGGTGCGCAGACATGGTGGGATCCCTGCAATAATCGCCATCGTCGACGGATGCCCCAAAGTTGGCGTTTCGTATGAAGAGATTCTGCGCATGATTGAGGATAAGGGCACGGTCAAGGCTTCCCGAAGAGACATCGCGTACCTTGTGGGCATGGTATAGTCAATCCACTCAAGACTAGTCAACTGCAAGTTGTATAGCTGACATGCCGCAACAGGGTATGACTGGGCGCAAAATTCATGGCGGTACCACAATCGCTGGAACCATGCTCCTGGCCAAGGCCGCCGGGATCCGCGTCTTCGGTACTGGTGGTCTCGGCGGTGTTCACCGCGGCGGCGAAAACTCCATGGATGTCTCTGCTGACCTTACGGAGCTGGGACGCACGCGAGTTGCCGTTATTGGCTCTGGGTGCAAGGGCTTCCTTGATATCCCACGCACTCTCGAGTACCTCGAGACGCAGGGCTGCTTGGTGTCGACCTTTGCGGACGGCCGACAGGGCAGCGTTGACTTCCCTGCTTTTTGGGCCCGAGAGAGCGGAATCAAGAGCCCCTCCACTGTGTACACGGAGAAGGAAGCCGCTGCCATGATCTACTCCCAGGAAAAGTTGGGCATCGAGTCAGGCATGTTCTTTGCCAACCCCATTTCTGAGGAGCACGGCATTCCAGCCCCGGAGATGCAGGTTGTCATTGAACAGGCCGTCAGAGAAGCCAACGAAAAGGGATTTACTGGCAAAAACAATACACCGTACATACTTGGACGCCTCAGGGAGCTCACTTCTGAAAAAACAGTTGTCGCCAACAAAGCTCTTGTGCATTCCAATATCGTCCGGGCCACCAAGGTTTCCGTCGAGCTGTCGCACTTATTGTCGTCTAGCTCAAACCAAATTGGCAGCTCGTAAGTGCGATTCGACAAGAGTTCTGCTAGATAGCTGTCTAATATAGCATCATAAATAGACCGCTCTCGCACCAGTCTGCCTTTGTCAGTACACCTCCCTTGAAGGCAAAAGACGAACCAGCACCTGTCACGGCGCCTACGACAAACATTATGATTGCCGGGTCTGTTGCAGTTGACCTAAGTTGTGATTATTCCGTTCCTACATCTGGGACTACCTCACCTCAGCCGCATGTGTCGAACCCATCCCGTATTAGCCAGTCTATCGGAGGTGTTGGACGCAACGTTGCTGTAGCCGCGCACCTGGCAAGTGGAGGCTCTGGCGTCCAATTCTGCAGCATGATTGGTGATGACATGTAAGTTTGAAGCGCTTTGTCGTTCCTATTATCAGCCCTGTACTGATTCCACTACAGAGCCGGCCAAACAGTTCTGACCTCACTGGAAGCAGCGGGCTTGAATACTTCATCAATCATGAAGTTAGATCGCCAGAAATATCCCGACGGGCGCACTGCGCAGTACGTCGCGGTCAATGATTCAAACAAGGATCTAGTGCTGGCAATGGCAGATATGAACATTTTCTCTAAAAATTCGTTTTCGAACCATTGGCGCTCTGCTGTCGCCACCTCCAAGCCAAAGTGGCTTGTTGTCGATGGCAACTGGTCCCCTACAGAGATTCGAAACTGGATCAGAGCCGGCGAAGAAAATGGCGCCAAAGTTGCCTTTGAGCCGGTCTCTGCCGAAAAGTCCAAGGGTCTTTTTTGCCGTGAACAAGGCCTTCCAAGACTCAACCTATATCCCGAACCTAGCATTAGCCTGGCATCCCCCAACACCTATGAGCTCGCTGCAATGTACACCGCAGCCAAAGAAAACGGATACTTTGATCCCATGGACTGGTTTGAAGTTATTGACGCCTTTGGAATGAGAGGCGCACGCGATCGCTTCGTCCACCTTACGTCTATGGAGCTCACTGACGCCGGCGTTCCTATCCAAACGATACAGCTGCTCCCGTATATTCCCACGATTCTGACGAAGCTTGGATCGAAGGGTGTCCTGATGACAGCAATACTCGGGAAAGATGATCCCCGCCTGCGAGACAGAGATGAAGAAGCATTCATCTTGACCCGCTCGTCACCGACACATCCGGTAGTAGGGGGAGTGTACATGCGCTTATTCCCTCCGGTGGAGACTGTGAGAGACATTGTATCTGTGAATGGGGTTGGAGATACATTCCTCGGAGTCCTGATCTCCGGTCTGGCACAAGGCGGCCGTATTGACAAGCTGGTGGATGTTGCCCAGCGTGGTGCCGTCCTGACGTTGAAGAGTACGGAATCTGTAAGCCCGCAATTGGGTAATCTGGCGGAAGAATTAAAGAATGCATCAAAACGATGATTCTGAGAAACATTAGGGATTGGCTATTTTTTTGCGTAGCGACTTTTAATTGATTATACTTAACACTTCGAATGACTTGTTAAAACCGTCAGCCTCGTGGAGGCTAACGATGCCCATTGGCCAACCAACATGAAGCCCCACATGAACTTTCGCAAGGCTGAGATGGACCACCAAAAAAATATTCCTGGGAAAGACGACCGACGTTTTTCAGCAACTCTTCCCACGTTGCAAAAGACGCAATTACTGGTGCAGCTTGGCAGTGAGCTTTCAGACGACCATGGCACCTTCAAAAAAACAAGATCCCTCCGATAGGGAATTTTCGGATAGCGAAATGTCTTCCGACGTGGAGTCGAACCATAGCGATGTGGAGGAGACCAAGCAAAAAGCAGCCAGCGTGTTTTACGAAAAGGATTCGGACGAAGAGGAGCTTGAGCGACTGGTTCTCGGTGACACGGCAGGCTTCCGGGCGAATTTATTCAAAAATGATGGCAAGGGGTCCTTTGGTGGCCTGGGTGAGGACGTGGATATGGATGCCGGCACCGGTGACTTGGAAGAGGTGGACGACAACGACCTGTTCATGATGGACACTACGACGGCGAAGACAAAGGGCCCGATCACTTCGGCCCCCAAAGTTGAAAACGACCCTAATGCCCCCGTGTGGGTGGACAGCGACGACGACCGGCTGGCTATCTCGCTCGCCGGTACGACAAGACTGCGCAAGCTCCGCCTCACCGAGGCCGAGGACCTGGTCAGCGGCACCGAGTACTGCCGCCGCCTGCGCCAGCAATACCTGCGTCTGACCCCTGCCCCCGCATGGGCGAAAGAGGCCGAGGGCCGTCCCTCCAAGCGCCGGCGCTCGTCCGCCGGCGCTGCCGACTCTGACTCGTCCAACAGCGATGGAGACGACGACGACGACGCCTTCTTCGCCCAACCGCTTGAGAAGTTCCTGCGCAGCGCCGGGCGCCTAGGTGGCGCCGGCGGCCCGCGTCGCCTGCGACCCGAGGTCATCGATATCCAGCGCACGCGCGAGATCCCCGACAAGCACAAGGCGCCGGTGGCCTCGCTGTCGTTCCACCCGCAGTACCCGGTGCTGCTGTCCGCGAGCAGTGCGTCGATCCTGCACCTGCACCACATCGCGCCCGACGCGCAGCCGACGCCGAACCCGCGGCTGACCTCGGTGCAGGCGCGCCGCGTGGACGTGCGCCGCGCCGCGTTCCTGTACCCCGACGGCGACAAGATCGTGTTCGGCGGGCGCCGGCGGTACTTCCACACGTGGGACCTGCCGTCGGGCGCCGTGTCCAAGACGACGCGCGTGCTCGGTCACCACAAGCTGGAGCACCGCACCATGGAACGCTTCCGGCTGAGCCCGTGCGGGCGCTACATGGCGGTCGCGGGCTCGTCGCGCAAGGGCGGCGGCGTCGTCGACGTGCTGAGCGTCGCGACGACGCAGTGGATCGCGGGCGCGCGGCTGACGGGCCGCCACGGCGTCGCCGACTTTGCCTGGTGGGGCACCGGCGACGGGCTCTCGATCCTCGGCAGGGACGGCCAGGTCGGCGAGTACAGCGTCGAGGCGCGCGCGTTCGTTGGCGTCTGGCACGACGAGGGCTGCGTGGGCGGCATCGTCATCGCGCTCGGTGGGCACCAGGGCCCGGCCGCGCTCGGCGACGACCGCTGGGTCGCGGTCGGTTCCAACAGCGGCATCACCAACATCTACGACCGTAGCGCGCTGCTGGCGGCGGCCAAGGCCGACGACGGCAGTGTTTCGATCAAGGAGCGGCCGACGCCGACGCGCACGTTTGAGCAGCTCGTCACGCCCGTCACGGAGCTCGCGTTCTCGCCCGACGGCCAGCTCTTCGCGTTTGCCAGCCAGCACAAGAAGGACGCCCTCCGGCTGGTGCACTTGCCGACGTGTACCGTGTACAGGAACTGGCCGACGGAGCAGACCAACATTGGCCGCGTCACGGCGGTCGCGTTTGGCCGCCAGAGCAACCTGCTCGCGGTGGGCAACGACACGGGAAAGATCAGGCTATGGGACATTCGGAGTTGAAGGAAAGGAGAAAATGACGGACGACTGGGGAGCAAGGGTCTCTCGGCCAACAGGTTTCATACGACAGATGAGACTCACAGCATTCGGCGTTTTTGGTGTAATTAAATGCTTAAGAAGATTTTGACCATTTTTTTGGTTGTTGGTATTAAATTCTATATGGAATCTAGTTCATCATTAAATTCATTATGTCATGCTGCCAAACGCGACCCGGTTGCCGAATGGCAAAGGTAGAGAGCCGCCCTGGCCAGTCAGGCTTTTTGGTCATCGCCGCCAAATGCGCGCAACTCGTGGCACTTTATTCTTCGTATCCTGGCGCACCTCGTGGCCTTTTGCTATACCAATTCCGCGTCCATGTCGAGCACCAGCTGCCGGGCGTTGGACCACCGCAGGATCAAAATGTCGCCGTTTGACGCCGACAGCGTGACGTCGGCGTCGGTGCCGCGGCCGTGGACGTCCTTGTCGCGGAGCATGCGGATGAAGACGGCCGTGTCCAGGTCTGGTGAGTCGATCATGCTGACGTTGCCGGCCGTGTCGTTGAGGTTCTGCAGCTTCTCGGGGAAGGCGGCGAGGAAGGAGGAGAGGTAGTGGTTGTGGAGGAGGGCCTGGTGGCGCGTCGCGTAGGCGAGTTCCGTGGATGACAGTCGGCTTCGCATCTCTTCCGTCGAGAGGTAATGGAGGGTATGCTTGTCAATCTGCAGGAAAGAACAGTTAGCAGACTGGTATAGCGGTTGGAGGGGAATCGGCGCGTTCAACCTTTGCGATTCGAGCGCGCAGATAGCTCCGAACGAGAAATCTGTATCGCTCTAGTTCGGTCTGGATTACGATGAGGGAGAAGTTGGTCTTTGGATCCATGTCGCCCGTCATGTTCTCGATCCTTTCGATTTGCGCCTTGATCTGGTCATTTACGCGCTCGAGCAGCCCGTCCGACGGCCAGCTAGAGAAATCCTCAACATTAGCCGGCGGGACGCCTAGGGAAGTCCGATTGAGCCACGAATGGAAGGGAGCATCGCGCAGAAAGTAGAGTGCAGCAAGGACTTGGCGGTACTTACGCTAGGAGCTCCGGCGCAGACCTCTCTGCGATCCATCGACGTGTCAAGGCTTGCAGGTCGCGTGTCTGGCGGGGAATCTGGTGCGTTTGGGGGTCGACCTCGCGGAGGATATCGTCAATGTCCATGCTGGGCGGCTGGCGTGCGGCCGCCTGGTAATGCTGCAGCGCGGCGTCTCGGGCGTTTAAGACCAACAGTCAATGGTTTGTAAAGCAAAGAAAGAGGTGGGTGGGTGTAAATTGCTGTCACCAGTTGTTCCCGTTGCGAGGGAGGGGTGGGTGGTGGGGTTTTGAGATGAATCGCGCTATGATGGGATAACCTGGAGGGCAGACAGGGGCAGTATTCATTAAATAATCGGTCGCGTTGTTCTTTTTTTAGAAAATACAAAATGAAACTTATCACTTGTGACGGGAAAAGATTATTCTTCGTTATATGCACTTATATTGCCAGATATCTAGGATGTAGGAAGGTCAACGGCAAAATCCAGGGTCTTTGCTTCATCAAGTACTTCTGTAGAAAGCCTTGCACTTAGGATGCAGAAGGGAGAGTCCATACGCCACTACAAGTACAGCCGCGACTGGGTTTTTACTCTCTCCAAGCTTCCAAAATTTTTATCAAATAGTATTCAGGTAATGACTGGTGATACATGCGAGAATAATGACTCAAAGATCAATCGCCAGCAAAATATCACGCCTGACAAAGACATGGCAACCATGATTCTGTCCAGTGAACACGGACAGCGAGCGACACTCCTGGCTCTGAATCTGATACTTTGCAAAACGCAGCACATGCCAGAAATTGAACCGCGACACAGCATAGAATAAACACTACGCCTCGATGGTCAGCATTGTTTGGATATCCCCTTCCAAAGCCGTGGCTGCTAGTATTCTAGAAGCAGGCATTCAGGAAGGGTATCAACACCGAAAGGGTACTCCATTTACACTTACCTTCCTACTTTTTGGCCTTTGGTCGGGGCACTGGCGGGGCAACGTAGCAGGTAGACCACTTGCAGGTGGCTTCGTAGCAGTCTCTACACTTCTTTCTGCAATAACCGCCATCCGCTTCTCTCACCATTCTCCAAACGCACTCGTCAACCAAGGCCTCCTTCTCGATTGCGGCCATTCTTTGATCTGGGATTGAAAAGACTTGAAGTTGAGGTGGATGATGATCTTGTAGAAATGCCGTTGCGTAAGAGAAGAGAGGTGGTGGTAGCATGTATGAAGGGAAGAGGATTGGGGGACTCCTTGTAGACGGGCTTTAATAAGATGCCATTGCGAACTGTGAATCTGTGAATACTGCGTGCACAATACAGCCCAACGTACAAAGCACCCAACTGGCGCAACCCGCAATCATTGCTATCCAGTATGGCTTGGTGGCCTACTCGCTGAGTGGCTTTTCATCCACAGGAGATACTGATTGAAGGTTGGAGGTAACCCAAACCTCCAATCAAATGAGGCCAATACACACTGCTCAGGACAGCTAGGGCGCCCTGACAAATAATATGCTCTAGGGCGTGAGGTATCTCCCTGGTCCTCACACTTGAAGAGTCACACATAACTCAGACGTCTAGGCGACTGTGAGGCGGTTTGGCAAAGTTGGGTACGAATTGCCACAGGAATGATGCGAGAAATGGCACATAAATAACTAGAGCCCTGCTCATGCCATACACAAATAATTGGAGGCTCATACTTGTGTCACGCACATGCGGCGAGCGATGGGTGCGTGGCAGGTGTAACCGCTGTTCACGAAGTTGTCCGTCTTGTATTCCATCCCGCCATCTTTTCTGCTAGCCATTCCGTAGTCAATACGTACCGCCACTCAATCTGCAATCTTTCTGCTTGTCCCGCCATCGTCCGCTGTCAATCCGTGGATCTTCCTTTTTTTTCCCTGCCGTCCTTCTTCCCACCTTGACATTTGCCTCCTCATCCATTGCCGCCTGACACTTCCATTGACCCTCCGGTACTTAATTATGAGTTTCTGGTCTACGAGAGCAATGAGAACATCAACATCGATGAACTGCCGATTGTTGGTGAAAGGAGTAAACCCAGGAGGCTCTCCGATCTGTCAATTGATGTATATACCTGCTTACCTAGTTAGTTGCCTGAGATGAATTCCATACCTGAAGAACACCAAATAATCACTAGCAGTTTCCCTGTCTTCCGTTACGTACCTGCCTATTAATTTTATTCGGACGAGTTTTCTAGCACAACTGGATAATGAGCATCTGCATCAGGCAATACACTCATTGTTGGTTCTGCGCGGAATTAGGCGCCGCGTTGCTTGGTGGTCATGGAATCGTTCCGTCCACCACTCCGCTGCCGAGGCATTACGGCGGGCCAGTTAGCTGTTGCCAGCCGGCCCTTTCAACTTGACATTATCAAAGTTCTTGCGAATATTCCTGAATTCAACTGATAATTGATAACTGTCATCGACTAAGGAAAAATAAAGACATCGAAGTCGAAATTCAAGTTTGCTACTCATCTGTGCGTCGTCGGCCTTTTGGAATCAACGCCGTTCCCGCCCGACCGCAAATATAACTCCTTCCCCGGCCTCCGCATTTGGCGATCGTGCTACCCCGGATCTTCCAATCGCAGCCTCGTTCCATTCGTGTTTCTATATTCTCAGGAGAAATCATGTCCGACAACAGCGACGACAGTGGCCCTCTGCCCTATGCCTACCATATCAAGACCGTCCTGGAGCAGGGCGTCGTCATGGGAAACCTGCCCAAGGTGACGACCGACCTTAACCAACTCGAAGAGCAGGCTCGCAAGGAGATGGCTCTCCAGAGGGGATTTGAGTATATTCGTGGCTCCGCCGGCGAAGCGGCCACCACGCACGCCAACCGTCTCGCCTTTCGCTCCTGGAAGATTATTCCTCGCATGATGAGGCCTACTGGCGACCGGGATCTGAGTGTGACGTTGTTCGGCAAGAAGTACAGTGTGTTATTTTGATTTTGTTCCCCGTCGAAACCCGAATCTAACGCATTAGCTAGGATCCCCCCTCCTAATGGCGCCGGTCGGTGTCCAGGGCACAATGCATCCTGACAAGGAGATTGGCAATGCCAGGGCGTGCGCGGAGCTGGGAGTGCCTTTCACGCTGAGCACCGCCTCCACGACGGGCATCGAGGAGCTCATCGAAGCCTGCCCCGAAGGCGACAAGTGGTTCCAACTGTACTGGCCTCTTGACGAGGAGATCACGCGCTCCATCCTCACGCGCGCCAAGAAGAACGGCTACCAGACCCTGGTCGTGACGCTGGACACGTGGACCCTTGGCTGGAGACCGAGCGACCTGGACACGGCCAACATCCCTTTCCTGACCGGTGTCGGCGACGAGGTCGGCTTCCGGGATCCCGTGTTCCGGCGCAAGTTCGCGGAGAGGACCGATGGTGAGACGCCCGAGGAGAGCCCGGTCTTGGCCGGCATGTACTGGGTAAGCGAAATCTTCCCCGGTGTCAGCCGCTCGTGGGAGGACATCAAGATCCTGCGCAAGTACTGGGACGGGCCGATGGTCGTCAAGGGCGTCCTGAGCGTGGAGGATGCCCAGCTTGCGGTCGAGCACGGCCTGGACGGAATCATTGTCAGCAACCACGGCGGCCGCCAGGTTGACGGCGCCATCGCCAGCCTCGACGCGCTGCCCGGCATCGTCCAGGCTGTCGGCAGCAAGCTTACGGTCATGATGGATTCCGGAATCCGCACCGGGGCCGACATCTTCAAAGCCCTTTGTCTCGGAGCTCAGGCCGTGTTTGTTGGCCGACCCGTTGTCTACGGATTGGGTATTAATGGGCAGGATGGCGCGCATGCCGTCCTCGCCAATCTCCTCGCCGACTTGGACATCACAATGGGTATTTCTGGCGTTAAGAACATATCGGAGCTCAATCCCTCTAGGCTAGCAAAGATTCACCACCCTGGTGATGTTCGATCGAATCTGTAGGCTCCGCTTAAAGACCCGCTGTCTTAGATTTTAAACTCGAGGTAGAATAATACAAAAAGTGTCCATATATATCCAAGACTGCTTTGTGCAGAATTTGTATACACGCTTCTAATTGGTCTTCTTTGCAGTGGTGACAGCCGGCCCATTTAGTTTGGCATACACAACCTTGAGAGATGATGACGCGACTGTGACCAGAACGGCGGAGAAGGTAAAGAGCAGAACACGCTGTGGAGTGTTGAGCAGGGCAAAGATGGGATAGGTGTACCTGGTCGGGTCAGCAAGGCTCGGCCGCATGCCGCCGCAAAAATGCGAAACTCACCAGCCGTTCTTGCTGTAGCAAAGTTCAATCCAGTACCAGTAGGCAAAGGCAATGCCGGTGCTGAGGCCCATGACCGTGGGTGCTCCGACCGTCCACGGAGGGCTGAGCACGAGGTAGTCAAAGCCCAGAAGGAGGCTCGGCGCAAAGTGGAATCCAAGGTCGACGGCCAGCGGGAGCCTGAACTCGGGAGGGACTACGAGCTCCGGGTCAATAGCGGAGATGCCAAAGTAGAGGGTGGTGACGACGATGTTAAGCGGGGTGGCCACGATGGAAAGCGAGTTCTTGACACCGAAGAGGGTTGCGCTGCGCGTCACGTCGGCTGCCGCGGCGACCCCAAAAGTGACAAACGAGAGCGTCAGTGCGATGATGGTCAGGAACTGCAGGTGCCAGCCGTACGCTTCGCTCATGGGCGTCTTCCATCCTAGCAAGAACCGGTAGCTGGACGCGAACGAGGCCAGGCCGACAAGGTGCCACAGCAGAGAGAAGCCAGGGCCTGGCGACTCTGCTTTCTGGAGAGGATGTTGAGCCATGACGGTGTCGAGATGTACCTTGAAAATGTTATCCAATGATATCAAGGGCAATGGGATGATAAATATACTTGATCGACTGGTTCCTGGCAAACGGGAGTAAAAATTCTAGACTTGCGCCGGTTGCCGCGGCCTAGCCTGCGGAGGCGGCCAAATATGGATGCGTAAAGTCCGGGGGCTACATGACTCCGGACGGGCCGCTGGCACTGACGAACTCCCTGTGCTAAAAATGGCAAAGTGGCTTAATTTCAAGAAAGGCCAATGCCTTTTCCATTTAATTTGCCCAAAGGGTATCGGAACCGATAACTCGATATCGATATGCACAGCAAACAGGGTTGGCATGTCACCAAAGTTGTGCCTGCATTGGGAGGGCGACAGGCAGCACCCCCACCCTGGTTCTAGGCTGGTTGGCTGGTCGTTTGCTCCAGTAAAACTTTCTGTCGCAAAGTGCTTGTCCAGCACTTTGGTCGTCACCAAGCTTTCCAGCCACATCAACATCCTTCCAACTAGTCGTTTCGCTTCGCCGCAAGACCCAATCCCGAGGCGGTCATCGCTCCGAACCATCGACGACCAGCTGCCATGGCTGAGGGCGCAGCAGACGATGGCGCGGGCCAGAAGCGAACCCACGCCGACCTTGAAAATGACCCTTCAGGTGCGCCAGTCCGCGATGGGATGTTGCTTGCTGTCCAATGGAGAGGCTAACATGCAGCTTGCGCAGATTCTTCCGATGACGACATGGGCCCTCAGCTGCCCTCTACCGAAGCGCCCAAGAAGAAGCGACGCGTTCTGCCCTACGAAAAGCTCTACGTGGCAGCCCTGCCCGCCTCGGCGCGCTACTCTCGATCCCTCATGCACAAAGAGCAAGTCTCTTTTGTGACATGGACGCCGCTCACTGAGTTCCTCATCACCTCGTCCGTCGACGGCGTCGTCAAGTTCTGGAAGAAGGTTGCACAGGGCATCGAGTTTGTCAAGGAGTTTCGCGCGCACGACGGCGAGATCAAGGCCGTCGCGGTGAGCCTGGATGGCCGCAGCTTTGCTACTGCTGGAGCGGACGAAACGATCAAAATATTTGACGTCATCACGTTTGACCTCTTGTCCATGGTCACGCTGGGCTATGTGCCAAAGAGCGTCTGCTGGGTGCACAGGAAGGGCGCCTCGTTCCCACTGCTGGCTGTGTCCCAAGAGGGCAAGCCGCTCGTACATGTGTACGACGGCAGGGGGGAGAAGGAGGAGCCGATCCATACCATAAAGGGGCTGCACCGAAACCCTGTCCATCTGATGACCTTTAATGACAGCTACGATTGTGTCGTGTCTGCCGACGAGGGCGGCATGATCGAGTACTGGCGGCCGAACGGCACCTACGACAAGCCGGAGGGCGTTTTCGAGTACAAGAGCTCGACAAACCTGTTTGACTTCAAAAAGGCCAAGTCGGTTCCGACGTGCATTACCGTCTCGCCGCAGGGCACCAGCTTCGCCACGTTCTCGCTACCTGATCGCAAGATTCGCCTGTTCGATTTTGCCTCCGCTAAGCTGCATCGCACCTATGATGAGTCACTGCAGGCCATGGAAGACCTGCAGCAGGCGGGGAGTGCGGTGCAGAAAATGGATCAAGTCGAGTTCGGGCGTCGGTTGGCGCAGGAGCGGGAGGTCGAGTCGCAGAGCATGCGCTCCGCCTCGAACGTGATTTTTGACGAATCAGGCAACTTTCTGATATATGGATCCATGTTGGGCATCAAAGTCCTCAATACGTACACGAATCAGGTGGTCAAGACGTATGGGAGGGAGGACGGCCTGCGCGCCATCAACCTGGCTGTGTACCAGGGTCAGCCGCAGAAAAAGGGCGTCACCTCCGTGGAGATGGGCGCTTCGAGTAACCCCCTGCTGCAGGAATCGGAAGCCCGTGACCCTGTGCTGGTTGCCACGGCGGCGGGCAAAGTCCGATTCTATCTCTTCACAAACGACCAAGAAATCTCAAAATCGACGCGCGACGTGCAGAACGAGAGGCCTGCGACGCAGGGTCGCAAGAAGGAGGGCAATGCTAAGAAAACAGAGACAGGGAGTGCTGCGGTGCTCCATACTACTTATGGTGACATCCACTTGCGCCTCTTTCCAGATGCGGCACCGAAAACGGTCGAGAACTTCGTCACGCACGCAAAGCAGGGCTACTATAACAATACTATCTTCCATCGCGTCATACGCAAATTCATGATCCAGTGCGGCGACCCGCTCGGCGACGGCACGGGCGGCGAGAGCATCTGGGGTCGCGAGTTTGCGGACGAGTTTAGCAGCCTGAAGCATGACAAGCCATACACTGTCAGCATGGCCAATGCTGGCCCCAACACGAATGGCAGTCAGTTTTTTATTACCACGGAAAAGACGGTAAGTGGGCACGCGCTACGTGCCTCCCGCTCTCGGGATGATCCTCCAGATGCATTCTTCCTTTCCCGCTCCCTGCTTTTTTTCTTGATTTATTTTCAGAGTTTATCCGTCCACTTCCTACCCAAATATGACGGAACCCCACGTTGGGCTAACCGAAGATGTGCTGCAGCCATGGCTTGACGGGAAACATACGATATTTGGTCGCGCGACCCAGGGATTCGACGTGATCAAGAAGATTGAAAACACGCGCACTTTTAAGGAGAAGCCGGAGGAGGACATTAAGATTCTCAACATTGACGTCATGTAAAGAGTAATGCGACAGCGAGTTGAAGAGAAGAAGACGGAGAGAAGAAGGAGGATGCGCAAACCACCAGACAAAGGCAAAGAATATTACCATCGGCAAACTCGCTTGTCGAAAACTACAAACCACCCAGCAAAACGGCCTTGGGCCCGTCGCAACGTGCACCATAGTACTGGGTATAGTCCCTGTTTCACCTTCCTCCAGGCTCCCTTGCTGTCACCGAGCTGAGCCAAATAGCGCCTTCAGCCACGGTGGCTAGCGTGAAGCCTGGTTAATCCCCCACCAGCCGCGACGAGCCGGGTTCATTGGAGTCTGCCTGCTTGGCCGGGCTTCTCCTGCCCAGTCGGTGCCAACATCTTGACAATCAAACCACCTGCAGCGGCCGGTCTCCTGCAGGTAACTCGCGAGACGGACCTCTCCCCGCTCGGCTGGCACCACGCGTTGCTGTCATGTCGTACTCTGCTTATTCTTCTCTATTACCGCCCCCCCCATTGGCTGGCAAGTGAGGCAAGCGTCACCAGCCAGCTGGAATACAGACCCCTGTCCATTGGGGTCGCCTTCTGCCCACCATGCGCTTGACCTGTCTCTTGCTGCTCATTTGTATGTGTTTTAAATACGGCCTTGTGTCCGTTACGGCTGATTTTTCTTCACTATTCTGTCTTGTTGATTCTGCATCCATGCTGTACTTAAAGAGCCCGACCAACCCCAACCCGACTGCCGAGTGTGGCTGCTCGATCACTTCCCGTCAACCCTCCAACACACTTTGCCAATCTTGCTGTTTCACGGTGCCTCTCAGCCGCCGATATTCAGATAAACCAGGGCGTCTTGGCATAAGATTTGCCCACTTACGATGCCTAGAGCAAAGAATCAAGGATCCTCAGAACCAAAGCGACGCAGCCGAACTGGTTGCTGGTGAGTTGGCCACTTACAAGCAGCTTGTGCATTCATTTTGACAAGAAGCAGGCCCTGCAAATCCCGCAAGGTGAAGTGCGGAGAGGAGAGACCCGTCTGTCAAAAGTATGATTTTTTTCCGCCTCGTTTTTGACGGGGCTGTTACCCTTTAGTGGCACCGCGGCTGTTGGGCTGACACTCTGTTGCAGTTGCTTGAAAACCGGTGACACCTGTGACTACAAGATCAGGCTGAACTGGGAAGGCCGGAGGATTAAACGCCGTGGCGGTGTCGAGGAAGCCGAGGAATCGTTTCCCATCCAAACGACCTTCAACAATGAGTTCCTGGTTGACTACTCGGCCACCGAGAGTATCGGCGTGCCACTTCAACGCTATGCAACCGAACCGAATCCAGCAAATACTGGCCCTATACGCTATGAGTTTGAGCATACTCTTTTCCAAGATCTGCACCAAAACCCCGACTTCAGTTCGTCCGTTGTGGTGAAGAAGAAGGCCAAGTCTATGGATGATGCGTTTTCTATGGATCGGACATCCGCGGACCTCCGATTCACTCTTGGCGGCGAGGACACCACCATGACCACCACTGCCGCAGTTCAGATCAACGGCGTCGCACAAAGCCCGGCTTCGACGATATCTACCAGCGAAGAAGCAATAGCCCCTCGACCAACACAAAATGACACCCGGATGGAACTTTACTACCTCGACCAGGCCCAGTCCCCCGGCGATCCCCAGTGGTCCAGCACATGGAACACCGACGCCATGATGGGCTGCATAACTTCAAGCTCGCCACAACTGTCCAGAGTGACTTCCTACACCAGCGACGAGATGGCCCTCAAATCAATATGGGGGGATTCCGCAGCTGTCGAGACGTCTGATCGTAGATCCAGCGTTGATGACGCAGGAACCGACTGCGTAGAATGCCCGACCAGCCTTTCATACATGGCTCAAGTCGGCTACAGTAGTGCGCCCACTTGTAGCATGATGTGCCTCATGAGCAGAGACCCATGGATGATGGCCATGGGAGACATGAGCCGCACCCTAGCCGCACCCGGAGCCCTGGAGACGGTACCTGAGCAGACGACGGCAGTGATTGGGAATCCGCCCTGGTTCATCAGCAGCGAATACCAACAGACAATCAATGCGCTTCCGAAAGGGATATCACCCATCCCGGACAAGTGAGAACTCTTCGATTACAAAGCTGGGAATTCTGCTGACAGGGTTGACCAGGCTGAGAGATGAGACCAACATGATGGTAAGTACAGCTCTTACCTGCGATAGTACTTTGGCTAACATGCATCACAGTTCTTCGTGAGTACTCATTGGGAATCCAATAGTATTGCTCATGCTGAATGATTTTTTAGGATCACTTTGTCAATTATACGGCAAAAGGTATGAATGCCTACGAGAGACAAACTGGACCTCAGCTGACAGACTATAGTTATGGCGCCCTATCACAACAAAGAAGCTAATCCATTTAGCAACTTTATGCCGGCCATTGCATTCCAAAGCGATATTCTACTGAGCTTGATGCTGGCTTTCGCAGGTAGGTCTTGTGTGCTTTCCACAACAAACGCCCGTTGACACATAGTAGCCGTGCATCGGTCACAAGTTTTGCGCATGACAGAGCCTGAGCTACGCATTGCTGAATGGGCAGAAGACATTTTCTGTGTCCTTCGAGGAATGCTTGGTGACCCCGTCAAGACAATCCAGGACGATACCCTGCTATCGATGGTGCTTCTGACATCGCTAGAAAAATCATCCCCCAGTACCTTTGGGGCGAATATTCCTTGGCAAAAGCATCTCAATCTCACGCGCAGCCTGGTGGGTAAGCGACTTGCTATTCTCGGCTCGCAAAACGAAAGAAACGAAGAACTCTCTTTCATTTTCAGTTGGTTTTCATACCTTGACACCATGGGACAAGTCAGCATGGCCCCGTTGATTGAGGGAATATCTCCCCAGACTGGTCCGTATGACCTACTTCAGAAAATCAGAGTCGATGACGAGGAAGAGTTCGACTGCGTGATGGGCTTCACCACGCACTGCGGAAAGCTTTTGGTTGAACTCTCTGCGCTGATCAGACAGTGCCCCGGCGCACAAGAGCCGGATGACGCTACCATAAACGCGGCGCTGGACCTCGAGAGAAGATTCAAGGAGAGCATGAACAAGCCCGTCAAGGTTTGCCACCACCTCCGCAAGAACAAAGTTGACATGAGAAGCCTCACCGAGATGGACGCCGCCAGCCAAGCCTACCACTGGGCTGGCATCGTGTACCTGCGGCGCCGCATCCTGTGCAAGGGCTCGTGCGATGAAGAGGTGCAGGACGGGGTGCAGAGAATATGGGAGTGTATTCAACATATACGCAGAGAGAAGGAAGCCGACACGGCATGCCTGTTTCCGCTATTCGTTGCCGGGTGCGAAACGAACGAGGCTACTCAGCGCAAGCTCATCCTCGCCCGGCTCAAGAGCGCCGAGAAGAGCGGCATGAAACAGGTACGGAACTACGAAAACTAAGCAAAGGAAGCAATACGATACAGCTACTAACAAGTCCGGTCTTGATAGGTCAAGCGCGCTCGTAAGCTCATGGAGGCTTCATGGCGCGGCGGCCAGCCGTGGTACAGCTTGATCCAAGATGAGTATCTTGGATAATAAGCTTTTCACGCGTCCCAGAATTTATGTACATTGTTTCAAGCGACCCATTTATCACAGATTGTCGAAGTGTGTCTTGATAGAAGCGATGAGGCTTTCACTTTTTTTTTCTTTTGACTGTTTGAATATGACACTTTACACTGTACCAAGAGGCCCGCCCGCGAGCACTCTCCTGGCTATTACATGTACGAGATGGTAGGAGAGGGACCGTCGCCAACTCGAGTCAAGAGCAGATTTTTTCGATATGGCGGTGTGTTGAAGTTGAGAGACGATTGGTGAGAAGATGGGCATGCTACAGTACATAGTACCTTCTGCAAGGTATTCAGTAAGTCGAGAGGCAATTCTTTCGGCAGAACAAAGTGGCGAGGCAACCAGCCAGGCTTCTGCGATTACAAAACTCGTAGTCAAATATATGCAGCGGAAGTTATTGCATGCTAGTACATTGCGCAAGGTAATCAGTACGTCGACAGGTAATTCTTTCAGCTCGGAATAGAGTGGCGAGGCAACCAGCTAGGCTACTTCGATGAAAACCTACCCACTCAACTATATGCAGCGCAACTTATCATCACATGCTACAATGCAGATAATGAAGTTTCCAACGCCAGACGATCATCTCCAGGAGGCTTAGTTGCTTGTAAGGTGAACACGTGTATAAGAAGTGCTCGAATATCCAGCAAAAGCAGAGTGGTCTTGACCTTTTCAACGCTATCAATCTTGCCTCATACCTTCGATACTTGATCTTTAACATCACAGTGTCCCAAATTATTAATACTGTTATCCCAACGAAGCTATACAACAGTTTCCTTATCGACCACGACGCCACTAAACGTACTGAAGCCGTCGGGTTGAAGAGAAGCCATGTTCCGCGACTATCGGAATCTTGGAGAAGCACAAACCTTTGCGAGCTCCTTGAGCCCCGCCTTCTCCATCGGCACTTCAAATCTGCAAGAAGGCGAAACCCTCGTCCATCGTGACCTCCACGGTGCAGGAGACAGCAACCATGCCCCTGTTGAGATTGGAATTGCCACGAGGATGAAAGTCAACGACTCTATTAAAAATGGCCTCGTGCCCCTTCTTTGGATGGCATCAATTGAGCGCAACCTGGTTGCGTATGAATTTGGTATTAAAAGAGACGCTCAACGCTGTGGACGTCAAGCTTAAGGCAGTCCCTGCCGACAAGTGGTCCGTCCCCCTTCATCGACGAGTTCACCAACTACGTTCAGAGCAATGACCTGTCCGACATTGTGTCATTGAAGAACCGGGGGTTGTGTCAACGGCGGTGAGTACGTCTCGCCTAGCCAACGTACGCGCCGAACACGGGCTGAGAAGCTTAAAGAAGACGGCCGGGGTTTCCGATGGTGAGGGTATGTCTGCACGGAGCATATGGAGAGGTATGGACGGGGACTTTGAGGCAGTCAGGCGGTCTGCCGCGAGGCATGACGCCTTCGCTCTGCATCACTGCTCCTCGCCGGTCGCCTCCCGTGCTACATCCATCCGTATCCGATTCTGTTGCTTCGAAAAAGTTGGGTGCAGCATCATGTCCCTGGCCTCTTGGTTGAGCAGCATTTCGTCGTTACTCTTTGCTTCGTGAGACTGCGCTCGGGCTGTCCGTGTACGAAATTGCCTTCTTGAACAAGGTTCAAGGCTCCAGCAGCGAGAGAAATCCTATAGCTGGGGATCTGGATTATGGAGGTTATCGAGAAATTCCAGACTAATTAAATAGCCTAGATTGTTGAAGTAGTTGAGACTATTTAAATAATCTAAATCATCTAGATACGCAGACTCCAAAGATAATCGAGACTGTTTAGACTCTATCTACAGACCTTGCGCCGCCGCCACCAGGAATACTTCGCGTTGCGTTCGCTGTCTTCTCGTTCCTAAAACTGTCAGCAGTGGACCGAGGGCAGAGAGGTCGAAGAGAAGATATTTAGAGTCAGCCCACAACGAATAAGTACTGTTAAAAGGTAGCTGGATTGGACACGGGAGGCGACGGGTGGAGGGCAGCCCATGCAGCGTGAAGGCATCATGCGTCGCGGGCCGGCTATCTGGGCATGGTCTTTCTATGATTCAACAGTACTTTCATCTCTCCTCTACGTTTTGACTCTATAATATTTTCCACTGCATTTCTTTCTATTTTCAGAACCGTACTTGGACAGCAGCTTGTCGCGCTGTCGGGCCGTGAAGTAATCGGCCAGGTCCGAATTATTACGGATGCACGGCGCCGTGGCAGTACAACGAGGCATGATACGATTGCTAATGAGCAATTCAAACAAGGGAGTCCATCAAACAATGAGTGGGAATGACGAGCAGGAATCCTTCGACTCGCGCCAAGCCTGTGCTGACATGCGGAGCACAATGCAAGCAGCCGTCGGCGCATTCTTGTGCCGCCTCTCGTGCCGCCAAATGTCTCGGAGCATCTCCTTGTCAAAGTCTTCGAGGAACCAAGGGGACCTTCCATCCCCAGCCTGATTCCCCGATGCGCGGGCACCAACGCGGTTCATCTGCCCTGCTTGTTACCTACCTACCCTTCCTTGCATGGTCCACGGAGGAGCAGCGGCGACCAATGCCCGGGGCCGGGTTTCTCATGGGACCGTCATCCTCTCGCGCCCGATAGGCTCGGGCAGAAGTGCGCTTTCTGATGTGTCTCGTGCATGAGGAAGGACATGGGGTCTTCCCTGCACCGATGTGTTGTTGCGAGCCCGCCGAGTGTCGGGATTTGGGCAAGTTCAGCCATCGAATGTGGAATGCGCGGCTAAACATGACACGACAGACAGTCAGTCAGTGGCTTGTTTTGCCTTGTACAACTTGCCAAGGCCTCCGAAACAAGCCGCAAGAGGGGCTTGTAAGAGAGAGAGAGAGCAAAAGGAGGTGGCCGGTGATGGAGTGAGTACCCGTGGGTAGTTACCTTGTAGATTTTGTCTGCGTGGGAACCATCTAAATTTGGCGATTTTAGTGAGATTAATTGCCAAGCAGATCCTAACCCCGCAAAACTTTTGATGGTCTTTGTGTTTCTGTTGGCTTTGACTAATATGGACAGTGTATCCGAGCATTGCGCCATTCCCGGCGTCGAGTACTTGCTGTACGTACCATAGATGCCTGCTAAATCATCTCAACATTTTTTTGAGTTGCAAAGTACCAAAGTCACCAATCTCGAAAATCCCACATCTTTCTTTTCTTTCATGCACACTTTCCTGATTCAGTCTGCTGACAGTTACTAGGTCACACTGACTTGCCAACTAGGCCGCCCAGCCCGCGGCATTTCGGACGCTGCAACTTTCTTTTTGCCGCTTCATGCAACTCCCCTTGCTTGCTTTCTTTTCCCCTTTCTACTAGCAGACAGCCTTGCAGCCGCTACAATTCGGATGCCGGCCATTATTGCCTTGTACGCTTTCGATCGCGCCCGCAACTTCGCCGGCGGACTCGTCGACCAAGGGATATCCGTCTACTGTAGCGCGTCGTCTGTCGCCTCGTAGTACCAGCACGATGTTTACTTGGTCTCTCTGCCATGATGTCTGGATTGGCATCTCATAAATAGGCGCGATGCCCGAGGCAGTCGTGCATTGTCCTTGCAAACCCATATCCTCTCCTCTCTGTATCGTATCGTATCGTATTGTATTGTATTGCATTGTATTGCATTGTATTGCATTGCATCTTCATCCTACAGCCAATCGAAAATGCTGCCTTTGACACGGACTGCTCTGGCCGTCCTTGCCCTGGCCCTCACCTCACAAGCCACCTACACAACCCGGCTGCTGTACCAGTTCCCCGACTACCTGCAATGGATCGAGAACATGGCCGTGCGCCCCAACGGCAACATCCTCCTCACCACCTTTGACCGGGCCCACGTCTACGAGCTCGACCCGACATCCGGCCGGGCACCCGGCCTCGTCGCCGCCCTGCCCGACGCCGACGCCGCCATCGGCATCACCGAAATCGCACCGGACCTCTTCGCCGTCGAGGCCGGCCTCCTCAACCGCACCGACTACCAGCTGCACGGCTCCGGCCGCATCGACACCCTGGACTTTTCCTGCCCCGGCTGCGCCGCCCTGCCCCGCGTCCGGACCCGCGTCGCCGCCCTCCCCGACGCGAAGCTCCTCAACGGCATGGCCGCTCTCAGCCGCCACGTGGTGCTCAGCGCCGACTCCATCACCGGCACCGTCTACCGCACCGACACCGCCACCGGCGCCGTGAGCGTGGCCTTCCGAGACCCGAGGCTGGCCCCGAGAGACAACCCGGACCCCTTTTTGCGGCTGCTCGGCGTCAACGGGCTGCGCACGCACGGCGACTACCTCTACGTGACCAGCACGTCGGCCGGGTTCCTCGGCCGCTACCCAGTCGACGCCAGGGGCACGCCGAGGGGCGCGCTGGAGGTGCTGGCGGGGTACGCGGCGCCGCGCAGCCCGGACGACTTTGCGGTCGCGCGCAACGGCACCGTCTTCGGCGCGGTGCCGCTGGACAGCGTGGCGAGGGTGGCGCCGGGCGGCAGCATCGCTGATTATGTGGCCTTCATTGTGAACCACGATGGGCGGCTGCAGCGGCCGACGTCGACGGTGCTGAGCTTGGACGAGAGGACGCTGTACGTGTCGACGGGGGGCAGGAATAAGCCGGGCGGGAAGGGAGGTCAAATATTCGCGGTGAGCTTATGATGACAGAGGGATGGAACTGGAAGGGATACATATTACGGAAATAAATAAAAAAAAAAAAGGTTCTATCATGTGAATATACCCCTGAGTCAAAGACCCTGGTGAAGCTTATTATTAGAAGTTGCGGGATCAGACAACGGGAATTGCAAATCATCGACCACGGAGCCGACATCGAAGCCACGAGCTCGGCTATGAAGCGGGCAGTGAGCTGACAATTGCCCTGTCGTATCATAACCTCCATCTCCATAAGTTAGTCAGTTAGGGGGCAAATCACTTATTGGCCAAGCTTCGTGGCGTTGCCAGGATTTCAGCCGCTCAGCCCCATGAACGGATTGCGCAAAGACCATGCACGCTACGGATACCGACAAGCAGAATCAGACCTTGTCTTGTTTCCCGCTGAGTTGTCAAAAGGAAAAGTCCCCCCTCAAACCTCGTGAGAGGTGGCTTTGAACCATCAACTAGTTCCCGAGCACTTGTCGTCCACCCCCCGCAGCGGCCCGTCCAAGGTATGGTGCCTGGTGAAGCTTATTTTCTGTCCCCGTGGCTTTTTTCTTCTCATGGGTCAGAAAACCCTTTTGCTGCCCACACTACCTCCCGCATAGGGCAGGACGGCCAAGAAATGAGGGAGATTTGCATCGTTATTACACTAAAACTCAGCAGCGACCAGGGTCGTGGCGAATGAAGAGTTGACGAAGACATGATTGTGGATGGCACTGGGGAATCCAGTTTCAGCTTCAACGCTGATCCTTTGACTAGTTAGCCGTCGATTTTGTTTCCTCTTTGTAGTTTTGCGACAATGACTCCGTGGTGGTATATAGTTAGTTGTAGGTAGCAATTTGCGCGCAGTCACTGTATCAGGTTTGTCGTTGGATATCGTAGAAACATCACCGACAACATGGCGAGTCCCCTCAGCGAGTATGACGCCCTCCAGCACGTCAGTCCCGTGTCGGCGCCGTCCCCGCAGCAATCCCTTCCGTATCCTCACGATCGCGACGCCAGCGCTCCCGAGGTCGTCGTCGACGCCGCGACGACGCCGTCCACCATTGTCGCCAGCCCGGTCACCGGCAACCAGGACGAGGGCGCCAAGGAGGTCTTGGCCTACGACGACGCGGGCAAGATTGCCGTCCCGGCCGCTTACGAGTTTCAGTCCTCGCCACCTCCGCAGGTCATCGGCGTCGGCGGCGGCGGCGGTGGCGGCGGTGTCCCGAGGCAAGAAGAGGCGGAGCGGAGCACGGGTCCCGAAGATGCTGCCGCCCCGGCGCCGCGTCCGTTCAAGGTCTTGGGCCTGAAGAGACGCACGTTTTGGATCCTTCTCGTCGTCGCACTCCTCGTCATCGTCGCCGCGGCCGTCGGCGGGGGAGTCGGCGGTGCCCTATCCTCCAGGAAACCCAAGTCAACCGAGGACACGGCCGCGACCTCCCCGACCACGACCGAGTAAGTACAACTCCTCCCTCATCCTCCCATATCAAGGTTTACTCACGCAAACCCTCCCGTTTAGCTCCGCATCAACTCCTTCATCAACACCACCATCCTCCTCATCCTCCTCCTCAACCACCACCACCCCCCGCCCGACGCCCACCTTCCTCAACCAAACCGACACCTCCTCCGGCCACTTCTTCCAGGGCTTCTCCCAGCCCAGAATGAGCGGCTCGCACACCGGCATCGTCTCCGCCGTCGGCGGCGCCGACTTTTCGTTTGACGTGCGCAGCTACCAGTTCGTCGCGCGCAACACAAACTGCTGCCTGTCGTTCTGCCGCAACGCGACGAGCGAAGGGTGGCTCGGGTACCTGTGCGAGTCGCGCACGCAGAGCCAGGCGGCGGATGCGTTCTCGCGCGTGTTCGTGTGGTGCAGCGACAAGCGCTCGGATGCATATGCGAGAGGGCGGTGCGCGTAGGATGAATGGGAGAGAGGCGGGAAGAGAGGGGGAGAAAGGGGGGGGGCGTTGTTGGCGGCTTGGATATACCAATAGCGAGTTCATCTTTTATCATGGCCAGCGCATTCACTTACACGGGTAGTAGTTGTAATATCATCATCATTTGTTTTGTTAGCAGGTCTTCCAGAAGTAACTTGGTTGCGGGCATCTATGGTCTAATCGATTCGAGTCTCCTGACCTCATCCCTAAACCCATCATGGTATCAAAGTCGAGCACAACCTTTTGCATCAACGCATCTCATGCACCACCAACTAGCTCCAATACGGCAAGATCATATATGCCCCCATCTCGTTCCTCATCATATTTTTTGCTCTAGTATATAATAGTATAGCTAGTCCTGAGGGTCATCCTTTGTTCTTCATAGTTTGGTCCTTGGTGCCTTATACCTACGTGTATCCAGACGAACAGTAAAAGCAGTCTGTATAAGTATAAATACTGCTTTAGGGAGGATAATTATTAGTTGCAATCCGCTTGATTGATACTTTGTACCATCTGCGAATTACACACATTAGCTCCGAGCCCGGCGAAACTATTGGTCACCTCGTGTTCTGAACCAAATCAGAGACCAGCATGCATTCTTCTTGCAGCAAGTAACATTTACTAGGTGACAACGGCAGATTTCCAAAAGGCCCCTGACTTCTGGGCGGCCCACATTGCCTCAGTGTAGTAGTTACTACGAGACTTCCGCAGGATCAATAGCGTCATGGCCAATCTCCTCAGTAACGTGCTGATGTGTGCAACGGTTCCACCGGCGGTCTTCCTGGTCTTGGTAACATGGCCATCTGTCGGCTGAATCTTGCCGTCTGGGGAAACCCAGCCGGACTCCAAACAGTGGCTTCCGGGCAGCAGGTGTACATGGACACTGGGAACGCGAAACACAGCGCGTGGCTCTCGCAAGGGCAACCACGCGTCCACGACGCCCTTTGCCAAAAGGCTACGTAGAAGTCGGTCCAAGAACCCAGCATCACAAGCAAGAAACACAGAGGCCTTGTCAAGCAATACCTCGCTCGAGACGAGTCTTAGGTGTCACTTGCATCGCGTTGATCGACAGCCCTGACGGGGGAATTCTCGAGAGTTCCCTCTGAACATGAACGCCAGCCTCATCAGAAGTTGCCAGCGTTGACAACTTGAGCCATCTGCAAAATCGACGTGCCCCTTCTAATCATCGCGGACGATCAGATACAATCCGAATTGCATATGCATCCTCGTCAAGAGTGTTGTGACGATGATGGAATCTCCGCCAACCCTCGTAGAAGCTGTCCTTCGTGCCATTGAGCTCCGCGCTGCGCGTCGTGCCAATGTCCTCCGCGCTGCGCGTAGGACAGTCTTCCACGCATCGCGAACAAGTCTCCCTGTGCTCTTAGCAACGTCTCAAAATTGAGCTTCAATTGGTAGTTGAAAATCTTCAAGTCATTCGAAGAAGGCCCATCCACCGCCTCGCGAATAAGCTCGTGGTTCGACTTGGCGGCCCGGTACTTCGGTATCCTAGACAACGGAGTAGAATACGCAGGAATCATGTAGGTTGGACGAGAGCACCTAGGCTGTCTCTGAATATGCGCAAAAATGCTCATACCGGTGTCTTCGAATTCGCCAGTAACAGCTGTGGCGACGCTCTCTAGAGGTTCGCTGTTCAGTTGGAGAGCTGCGAGATGACACGCCGGGGCTGATTTGCCAGGGCTGCGCATTGGATCTCTGCGACAAAGAGTATGCCGTCAACAAGCCTAAACTGGAGACTAAGATCACTGATCTGAACTTTGAGCACAAGATGATGGACGCAGGAGTGGCATCCTAGGCTGTTGGCTTGGTAGTGAGGATCGTGCAAGTCTTGCAGATCCAACCCCTGGTCCGTCAGTAGAGCGCTCCAAGCGCGAGACAATGCTTGAGCGTCAAGATCTGAATAGTAAATGTGCTGGATTTCACTTTCTACTAAAACGGGAATCGCATCAGAAGTTTGTGAATTGCCTGCCGATGCTCCGATCCTGGTATTCTGTCGTCGAGAGATACCAACGCGTAAATTACCTCCTCACACTGAACACCGATAGAGAAGAGACAGAAGTTTAAAAGAGAGCCTCTTTACTCTCATTGTAGGGCAGTCACGACAACCCATGCGGCCTGGACAAGTGAATGTACCGCAGAAGAGGCGACTCGACTGCCCCGCGAAGTCGTCGACGGTCCAAGGAGCGACTGACATGGCGTGACGATACTATGGCGGAGTCTCAATTGGGATTTCGTATCAAGAAACTCGGTTTTGTCTTTATTGAGCTAAGCTTGGTATTGTATTACGGCGCAGTCATCCCCCAGTTGCAACGTTTGGTCCGCCTGGAAAACACGCCGCAAAGACGGTGAGAACGAAAGACCCAAGACCAAGACCAGGTAGGAGCTACACTTAAAGTGCCAGGTTCCGACAGACCATAGAGGCAGGTTCGGCTCTATTATTTCAGAAAATAGGGAACAGGACTCGTGATGGTCACGGATCAGCCGATGTGGCGGTGGGTTTCTCCCGAGGTGTAGATGTCATGTAGATGCCATCTCGGGTTGCATTGTGGCTTGCATGAGGCCGGCCGCACCAGAGGCATGGGACGTCGCATCCCGACATTCCCATCGCGTCATGCACTGATCATGGCGCTTTTTCGACAACTTGATAGGAGCAGATCCCATCGCATCGAGGCCGTGCTGTGCCTGCCGGGGGCGATATGGTGCTGACTCCGACTGACACGTACAGTTTGGGACTTGAAGAAACAAAAACTGGCAACCTTGTTTGCAGGAGACCCTTTGTATGTATTTTGCGGCATAAGCATTGAAATTTTGTCATTCGACTCGAAAGGGGCAGAAAAAAATTTGCTCGTAAGAAAGTCGAGCCATTTACGCCGGGTTAGGCCGCAACGATCTGATCTGCACGGTGCAAAAGGACTTGCCGACCCCTTCATGCAAGGTACTTTTGAACGGTAACGAACGCGGATAGGTGGAGAAGACACCCTATTATTTCAACCTTTGGAGTTGCATTGTGCATCGTCTTACCAGGGGGTTGACAGGTGGACAAAATTTAGAGTGTTGATTAAAGTCGAGCCATGGATTAGGGTCGCATATCCACCATCTTGGTACTGCTCGCTGCCTTGAGAAAGACGTGGTTTTTGAGACGAGAATCACTGCTTATTTGGTTGGATTTCGGGTGGGTTGTGCACGATGACCAGAGTCGGATGAGGCTGCCACGGTTCATACTTAGTATGCTGGGGGCATGGTATGTATATCTTCTGTCTATAACAAGGACACCAGCGTGGGGGTTTCTCTATCTGCCCGCTCACCTACCTCACTGAGCTCTGCACGGGAGGTCAGCGAGCCGGTGCGCCGGCCGGTGCGTGCGCTGGCAATGAGGCGGACCGACCTGCAGGCTGACATCCCGAACAGATCAGGCAACTGCCGAGTGCAGGAGGCAGTGCAGATTCGGCGATGGCTTTGTCGTGCCCCTATCCGTAAATTGGTATTAATTTTTTCAAAAATCGAACATTTGCTAATAACCTAAACAATGCCCAGGCAATGTGTCGCATTCAAGAGGGGTGGGGGGTGTTTTCGCGTTTCCAACTTCAGTTTCTTAAATGCTACAGCCCACGTGTGAGTACATTTTATGGCCAGCGACCTTCGGATTCAAGCATGAGGCAAAGCATCAAGGTCCTTCCTTCCTTTGTCTCAGACCGCCTCCCGACGCCACAAGAACCCGTGCAACGGGTCAGCAACAGGATGGATGACGGCTTGCAAGGAAACTTGGGTCCGAATCGGGTATGACATGAATAATCCGCCCGCAGGCGGGTTCCGCCTTCTCGGCGCTATCTCTGGTAGGCGGATTAACTCTTGATACCAGTCATGAATGCCAAACCCCCCTTTTGTCTCTATTGGTAGGGCTCCGGTGCGGTTGGCGGAATTATACCAAGTATTATAATTCAGCTGTTCATCTATGGTGATTGAGCGAACGCATTTTAATGGGCCGCGGGCCGTCGAATAATGATAACAAGATAGCCGCATTATTCCTCGATGGCGCCGAGACTACTTATAGACCTGACGACTTTCTGTCTCCAGTGACTTGAGCTGGCTGTGGTTGCACAGGTCCCTTCTTTGTGCTTTGTCGTATTCAGAGAGAGAGCATCTGTCAGCCAGGCTTCGCCAAGGCTTCCATCTCATCTGGTCAGCTTTTCTTACCCGCCCAAGGTGACACGCGCCCATGCATGTCTCGCTCCGCAACAAGAAAAAGGAAAGTCTGTCTCTTGGACTGGGCGTGCACCCAAACTCCGCAAGGCTGCGTAAGATTTCACATGGGGGCTAATAAAGTTAACAAGTCAACAATCATCTTCCCAGTGCCAGTATTTCCTCACCTTGGGTCCGTGAATTAATAAAAGTAAAAAAAAAAAAAAAAAAAAACCCTATTCGTATTAGTGTCAGACGGCGCGTGTGCGCCATTGGCTCAGGGTACGACGCAACTCCGCTGCGAGGTGAAGGCTCCCCTCCCCCCCATACAAACAAAAGGCTTCTTTTGGTTCTTACTATTCTAACTGGCTGGTAGGGCGGTCTATACCCATCCCAGGCAATCTCGCAGCCCCGTTTTCCACCAGCTAGCCTCGCTGCCTCGCTGCCTCGCTCCCATCGCATTCTGCCGCGTGAATTCGGGTCGGGTGCGTTCAGGTGTGAGTCAGTTTGCGCTTGTCGTGCTTGGTAAACGGTCACTTGTGCTTGCCCCCGGATGTAGGGGTAGGCAGTGGGTTGCTGATGAGTCTTGGCAACTGCGACATACTTAGTTGGCGGTTGTACCCGGTGTGAGTAACAAGACGGATGTGTCCCAGATCATCACCCATCATCCGGTGGGTGATGTCCGCACAGATGACTGACTACTGTAACTAGTTGAACTGTAAAGATGAGCAGCGAAACCCACCAGAAAGGGATGAACGGGGATACCCATCCTTCGGACCCGACAGCTTCCAGACAAGGGGGGGGGGAGGGGCCAACAACAAGGCCCCAGCTAAACATTGTTAGTTTGCTTCAGCTGGGACATGCGTTGCCATTCCCGGGTTAACATTGCGCGGGCGGCGGAGGACTTTGTTTGTGCTTGTCTGTCGGTGATGAGGCTCTGACTCTGACTGATGACTGCCGCTGCGTCGGAGACAAGGGCCAGCCTCGCAGCCTATTCGCGGACTTCGGACTGCTGACGGACCCGATACATTTTCGGCCCTCTCTCAGCCCTTTTCTCTTCGCGAGGTCGATTGCGCATGTTTTTTTTTTCTCCTCTTGGGGGGTCCCCTTGTCATGTTGGCCAAAGTTTGTCACTCTGCATAATAATACATGCTCTTCTCTCTCTCTGTGTCCCATTCTTTTCTTTTTTGTTAACAATTCTTCTCTTCTTATATATGATTTTTCCTTTCCCCCATTCTCTTGCATTCCTAGATATCTGATCTCCTCAACTTCACCTACCATCTCGCCACACCTACTAGTTACCACCCTTGTCGTCTCCTTGTTCAGACAAGGGCTGAAACAAAACCACGACACTAGACTCACGGAAACAAAGGAGGGAAGAAAGAAAAGAAAAGGACACTCCGACCTTCTCAACACAATGGTCGCTGAAGACAGCGCCACCGAGGTTGGCTCGATCGGGTCGCGCCACAAGGCCACTGTCGACCACACGCCTACGCCGGCCTCCGTCAACGACCTCTCCGAGAAGCAGCCCGCTGCCGCCGCCGAGGACGAGACTGTCGCCGATGAAAAGGATGCCGCCGCCGCCGTCGCCGCCACGCCGAGCGACGACCCCGACGAGGGCATCGAGTACCCCGTCGCCTGGAAGCTGGGCCTGATCACCATTGCCCTGTGCCTGTCTGTCTTTTGCGTCGCCCTGGTAAGACTCTTCTTCATGGCTATTCCAACTCAGAAATTTCTTCCATGTCCATCGCATCACACACGCTAACCAATGGCCCAGGACAACACCATCATCGCCACCGCCATCCCCCGCATCACCGACGAGTTCAGGGGCTCCGTCCAGGACATTGGCTGGTACGGCGCCGCCTACCTGCTCACCACCTGCGCCGTCCAGCTCATCTTCGGCAAGCTCTACACCTTCTACTCGGTCAAGTGGGTGTACCTGGGCGCCATCTTCCTCTTCGAGGTCGGCTCGGTCGTCTGCGGCGCCACCCCGACCTCGGTCGGCCTCATCATCGGCCGCGCCATCGCCGGCCTCGGCGCCGCCGGCATCTTCTCTGGCGCGCTGCTCATCATCAGCCGCAGCGTGCCCCTCCGCCAGCGGCCCGTCTACATGGGCCTCATCGGCGCCGTCTACGGCCTCGCCTCCGTCGCCGGCCCGCTCATGGGCGGCGCTTTTACTGACAAGGTCACCTGGCGCTGGTGCTTCTACATCAACCTGCCCTTTGGCGGCGTCACCGCCTTCTTCATCGTCATCTTCCTGCACCTGCCCGACGCCAAGACGGCGCTCAAGGACACCACCTTCAAGGAGCAGCTGCTCTCCTTTGACCTCGAGGGCACCTTCTGCTTCATCCCCGGCATCGTCTCGCTGCTCCTCGCGCTGCAGTGGGGAGGCTCGCGCTACCCCTGGGGCAACGGCCGCATCATCGGGCTCTTCGTCGTCTTCGCCGTGCTCATCGCCGCCTTCGTCGCCATCCAGATCTGGAAGGGCGACAAGGCGACCGTGCCCCCGCGCATCTTCACGAACCGCACCGTCTGGGCCTGCTCCGCCTTCGTCGTCTGCCTCGGCGCCGCCTTCTTCATCATGGTCTACTACCTGCCCATCTGGTTCCAGGCGATCCAGGGCAGCTCCGCCGTCAACTCGGGCATCAAGAGCCTGCCGCTGATTTTGGGGCTCGTCGTGCTCTCCATGATCTCGGGCGGCTTCGTCTCCGCGCTCGGCTACTACACGCCCTTCATGATCGCCTCGTCGGTGCTCATGGCCGTCGGCGCGGGCCTGCTGACCACGCTCGAGATCGGCGCCGGCCGCAACGAGTGGATCGGCTACCAGTGCGTCTTCGGCTTCGGCGTCGGCCTGGGCATGCAGCAGCCGATGGTGGCGATGCAGGCGTCGCTGCAGGTGGCCGAGATCGCGGTCGGCACGGCCATCATCATCTTTGCGCAGACGCTCGGCGGCGCGCTCTTCATCTGCGTCGCGCAAAACGTCTTCCAGAACAAGCTCAAGGAGGTCATCGCCGCGGCCGGCATCCCGGGGCTCACCCTCGACGCCGTCAACTACGTCGGCGCCACGGGGGCGCGCACGCACTTCCAGGGTGAGGCCCTGGAGGTCGTCCTGAACGCCTACAACACGGCCATTACCAACTGCTTCTACGTGGCCGTCGCCCTCGCCTCGCTGTCCCTGATCGGCGCCCTCTTCACGCCCTGGAACTCGGTCAAGGGCAAGAAGATTGAGATGGCTGCCGCGTAGGTGCCAGGTTGACGCGCACGGGAATTTATAAAAAAGTTGATACCACTAATTGTCTTTGTTTACATGTACGGATTTTGTCATTGGGACGGCGCATATCTGGTTCACGGCCTGGTTTACTTGCAGAATACTCACCACTACCCTGTTTTTGTTCATGGGTTTCTCTACTTTTGGTTTACTCTTACTAGAGGAATTGGTATACCGCGGTATCGATAGAGCATAGATGAAATGAAATGAAGCTAAATTAAACTAAATTCAACTAGGTCAATACGTCTCTTCTTCGGGCACTGATTTTTCCTGTACCACCAACGGGTCATGCCATAGCATCGCAATCAATCTTTGCGGCGGCCACGACGGCGGCATATAATCCATTCTCAGGTGAACTGATTTTTACATTCACGTACTATTGAAGGGTAGATTCAGCCTTATCGCGTCTTCCCGCTTGACCCTCCCCCACGAACCATAATAAATCTCCAGCTCCGCCTCATCCGAGGCCTTTAGCAGCTCAGCCAAGCCTTTTGGTGCCCGTCAGCCTTCTCCCCAGTCTGGGCCTCGCTCCGGCAGTTCCGGAATGGCCCCCTCCCCACAGCCATCTCAAATGGCTTCTCCGAGTGTTTCGGTGCTCCTCAAAGCTGTAGCGAAGCCCTACACCCATGGGATGTCGAGGCGCTTGGCATGGCAGAGAAAGCGCCATCGCGTGCGTGTCGTTGGTTGGCCGTTGCGCGATTCAGGGTGTAGGCTTTTGTAACGTAATGTTCTATGCAGTGAATTATTTTTTTTTATAAAAAAGACCTCAAAATTAATTACATGCGGGCCTTTCATATAAAGCATGTCCCCAGACTTGCTCCGTCCCGACTTTACCTCACGGAGCGCGGATTGCGGGTTTCTTCAGGACGGAGCCGCGGCGTCAAAGTTCAAGCTTCGCGGATCCAGGCCGATGCCCTTCTTCATAATTGTTCATGCGTGGATAGAATAATGTTGTTTTCTTATTTAGGCACTTTATAATAAGATTAAAACTTGTGAATCTGTTCCTTTCCGTATCCGAGTTCCTCCAGCAGCCCCTTTGTAGAGCGGCTGCCAAGCAGGGCCGTCTCCATGGCCGGCGGCCCGCATACATAGACCTCGGATTCTTTGCTGCCAAGGTCCGGCAGGGCATCTCGAAGCAGCGAGGCCGTAACACGCCCTCTAGTCAGCGTCGAATTCTCTTCCGGCTCGCTGACGGTAAAGAGCACCTTGAATCTATCTGGAAACGCGTGCTGCCATTCTTCCATTTGGCTCTTCCAAAGGATGTCTCGGTCGCTGTTGGCACCATAGATGAGTGTGACTGCGGTTTGATCCTTGGCGTTGCCGAGAATTCCTTGCGCCAGCTGGTAGCACGGGGTGATGCCTGCGCCGCCCGCAATGAGGACCACATGGCGGACCCTGTTTGCTGTCCACTGCGGCCCTTTGATTGCGCCGACAAAGAACAGATGCTGTCCGGGCTGCATTGAATGGAGGTGTGTGCTTGATTTACCACCAGGGTACTGTTTGACCATTAATTCGACAAAGCCGGGTTCGCCTATTCGGGGCTACATATCAGCTGCATGCTGGAACAAGATCCGAACCAGGACGGCAGAAGGGAGAGGCAAAAGGGAGACATACAAGAAGAATTAACTGGTGTATAAGGTCTCAGAACTGGGAAATAATATCCCTGAGGCCATGAAAAAGTGAGAAGAGCGGCTAGATATGTTTTCCATTAGCATTCGTTTCAGTGATTGGAGAGGAAGAGGCACGTTTAGCGCAAAAGGCTCACATGTCAACGAGTTTCCACTGATTGCTTCTGCGTCTGGCAAACGGAAACGAAGCATCTTCGTATTATGATTGACTTGGCAGGAACTCTCCAAAGGCAGAGACAAGAGTGCCGGGCCACCGCCAAATACTTTCTTGGTTGTTGCTGTCGAATCGACAGCCTTGGTACTAAGCATCCTTCTTGAGATTCCAACTGCGGCTCCGCCAACAGCAATGGTGCCTATCAGAGTGGCTGCCTTTGACCAAGTGAGTGCAGACGTAGTTGTCATTGTGGTTCACCAGGAAAAAGAATAGTAGGATGAAGAACGGATGGTACTAGGGGCAACGTTTCGTGGCCAGCCAAGAGATGCATTGTCACCTTTATAAGTCCCGGCCTCAGCCTAGTGTTATCATGCATGGTACCCCATTGTATTAACTTACGAGATGATGAAATGGTGGTACGGTAAAGTCAGTGCTAGCTAGCCTGGCAAGAAACACGGGTTGCGTCAGAAGCTACGATGTGGAGATGGCGCGAAGACAAGACGCGAAAAAGACACAAAAGCATGACGCAGGGCGTAGATATGGGGCAGGTAAGACTCAGAGAAACCTCCTGCTATAGCTGTTGCTAGATCATTAATCAGTATCTATGTATACTACTAATAAGATGGCATTGATAAGGGGGAATTGAAATAGTAGAAATATTTTTTATTTTTATTTTATTTTATTTTGTTTATTATTATTATTATCATTATTATTATTATCCATCTGTGGTTGAAAGATGTTGTGCTGGACAATTGCGGCATCTCGTCTCATGGCCCCGGCCCAACATTCAGCAGTCGGTCCCGAGCCGGTCCCGATTGTAAGTGGGCTGCGTCGGTCGTTTTCCGCTGCCCCACCCGAATCTCGGCCATCGGTATTCCTCGCTATACCGGCCGGCAGGCGGCTGTCAGGTCATGAGAGATATCAAAGCGGCAACAATTTCATTTACCGTCCGTCGGTGGAGCAATAGCTTGATCGGGCCGCTATTGCGACTCGAGTCGAAACTTTGTCTAGGGAGGACGGTTCCGGCGTCTGCGGTCAAAACTTTGGGTCAGTCAGCATGTACTGTACCCTGGAATCAAATTTTTCAGTTCACTCAAAAAACTTAGTTTTTGGGCATAATACTTTTAAACCCCGTTCCTTGCCCCTGTGGCCGTTTCAAATATGCTACATAGTTCCAAGCTTCGCCATCTATCCTTCAAAGTGCAACCGATTCTTAGCTTTGCCTGTGACAACGCCTAATCACCCACCTTGCACCGTTCAACTTAGGATGGCGCCATTCCAATTGACCCCTTCTCTCGTGGCTGTGGCAACTGGTATTGTTGGTTCAGTATGGACTTCAGGTATGATGCTACTCCGCACGCGGCTGACGACCATGCACTTGTTGACATCCCATCCACTCCTTTGCATAGGCGCCATCGCTTCGTTGACCCTCATTGGGGTCCCAACAGCACTCTCTACCCCCCAATCCCCGGTCATTGTCTGGAACGGACTCTTCACCCGCGGCATGGCCGTCATGCCCAAGGTCGCCATCACCACAGCGCTGTGCTACCTCTACGCTGCCTATAAGGTGCGAGGAGGAGGAGAAAGGACGACCAAGACGCACCTAGCCGCAGCCGGCCTTGTCATATCCATTATTCCTTTTACTTTGATTTTTATGAGGAATACCAACGAGATGCTCCTGAATGGCGCGTCGGCAATGACCTCGACGGCATCTAGCCAGCTGATTTCCAAGTGGGGCAATTTGAACATGGTCCGAAGTCTCCTCCCACTTGCCGCCGGTGTCTTGGGACTCTACGGCTTGTGCGAGAGCCAGTAAGTCGTATATTACTACAATATGTATCAATTTAAAGTATCATTAGAAGCCGCGTTGCCTCGATAGCAAATAACCAGTTCGTAAAGTTGCCTGAAAATGAGTCGCTGTGTGCTCGCTAAGACTACGAAACCACTGCTTTCGTTGCTCGTTTTTGTTTGAATAAAAGTCGATTTTGATGTTTATAATATGTAGATGTGTAGGTAGCCTGGGGTAGCGACCTGGTTCCTCAAATCGTTGTGGGCTAGAAAGAGACAAATATCCTTGATTTATTTCCTAGCCCGACAAGAACATTTATGGAAAGGGTGTTGAGACTTGTGAAGACGGCAGATAGCACCGAGTAGTTCACAGTGTTTAAATGCAGGGTAGGAAATGAAAGGATACGAGGGTGCGAAGAACGAGGCCTCACCACTACCGCACTCGCACGAAAGACATCATCTCATGTCATTTATGTCTTCCGAGCATCGAGAGTCTCCTGGGCCTCTGTGGCTTCTTAACCAAGGCATGCATTTTCTACTTCAGCAGGCCCCAGCTGGTTAGGCTGCTACTCGCATCGTGTTCCGATTCCGATTCCGTCAGAAATTGATTCGCACATCGATCAAGCGCCGCCTCCACCATGATCGACCCCATCTACCACAGCCGAGATCTCATCTGATAAAATAAACCAGGCGAGTGAAATCTAGAAGGTTGGATCCCGGCTAGATCCGCATGGCCGCGTGAGAGGGCCGCGGGGTGAGGGTGATGCTGCCTGCATGCGGGCTATATCTCGTCGAGTAATCGGTATATAGGCAGTCTTGATCGGCGAGACTTGCCGCAAACGTTGTTGAATGCTGAATGCTAGTAATGCGCTACAGCGGGAGCGCTTGCGACGCTGGCTTGGCCGACTGGGTGGTCTTCAAGAAGAACTTGTCTGCACAAGGGACAGTTGGGACAAACAGCAAGACGCGAGAAAGGTATGCTACTCGGCAGATGAAGAGATTATTTCCCCTGGTGAAACATGATGCAGGCGTGCACGTGGTACTTGGGCCGGGACATAGCCGGAGGCCGACAGAGAGTTCGGCCAGTCAGTCGATGGCAACGGGTTTTGGGTGACCAGGGCGTTCAGGGGCCGGTATCTATGTATGTACTAAACCGACCTAGTCGATGTCGTACTGGGAGCTGCAACGTCGGAGTTCTGGGACATCATGATGGGCATGGTTGTAGATGACTCGGGTAAAAAAAAAAGGAGAGGGCGAGCGAGATGAATGCCTTGCTTGGGCTGGGAGACGGAGAGGCCGGCCGGACTTGTCTCACCCCGCTGAGGCCAACGCGCCGGGGGCCAAGTTGCAGTGAAAAGGCGCTCTGAATGCACTGCACTGCCTGTACTATGTACGTCTTTTGGTGATGTCTGCGCTGTAATTTTGCCTGCTGGCTTCTGCTGCACATGCGCCACTTCACCAGCCCCCGCCAGTCCACTGGCACCAACCAAGTCGATACCTCACCCAGGAAATCCCCGCAAAACCTTCAACTCTAACAATCCACACCCGCTTCTCGCCGCCAGCTTCGACCTTGTAAAATCTCGCCTCGCACCGTTTATCCCATAACACGCATCCTCGCCATTGTCGCTTCTCTTCTCATCTGCTAGGTGATGATGCCGTCGCCCATCTCACTGTAAATAGATGGCTGCATCCGTGCTTCACCATCCGTTGCTGCCACACCCGACCCTCGCCGCCACACACCACCATCACAACCGCCATATCCATCCCTCTTCTCCGCCCACCACCATGCAGTCACCACCACCCGCCGCCGCCTCGATGCCCTCACCCGTCTCCCAGCCTCTTGGCTCGCCTACCCTCAAGTCGCGCAAGAAGCGCTCACCATATGTCGCAATTGCTTGGTGCGTTGACCGTCTTTGCTATTTCATTCTGCTGTCCAATCGATGCACCTTCCCGCTAACCCCGGCCATCTCGAATAGTGTGTATGTGACCAGCGCCCTATTTCATCACTCACGGCCTGCACCCGGCCCGGCCGCCAAGTCAGCTCATGCGCTCATCGCTAACCCTGTAATCTCTCACCTCACAGAACATGCAAGCAGAGAAAGACAAAATGCAGCGGCGAACGGCCCTGCAAGCGCTGCCGCGACAGCGACATCATGTGTGTCTACGGTCGCGCAACACGCTTTCAGTCTACCGATGAGACCTCGTACGTCATCACCAGCCTCACGCGACGTCTTCCATTGATTGGCCTTTTCCATCATCTCAAAGCCCATCTCACCGCCCTTATTCTTGGAATTTATATACTCACAATCCCGTCCCAGGAAATCGACCAAGTCAAAACGAGACTCGCAGCCCACAAATGATCCTCACAAACCCCGTGAGCGAGATGCCTTTCGCGTCAAGAAACCGCCGCCCTCCGCACCGCCACGCACACAAAGCAATGCAGAGACGACTGCCCAGACACGCCACGGCGCTTCCGACTACTACCTCCGCCTCGCCGAAAAGCGCCTCGGCGATCTCAGCCCCGGCCCCGGCCGCTCACTCTTTGGCAGCGGCCGCCAGCAGCAGCTCATGATTGGCTCTCACATTATGCAGCAGCTCATTGACCACCGCAAGACCGGCGCGCCTCCCGGCACCTTTGCGCCTCTCGACAAGGAGCTCTGGATACGCATCATTGACATTTACGAGGAAGAAGTCGCCCTGCAGTACCCATTCCTCGACCTCGAGAATCTGCGCCACAGAATCAGAGCCGCCGCGCCGCCAAGCGAGAGCAACTCTGTCCCTCAAGACCAGGTTGCCGTCGAAGACATCATGTCGCTGGTTCTCTCCGTCGCCTCTAGTATCGTCGACCCAGGAACCTTGACTGTCGCCAACAGCTTTGTCGAGTCCTTGTTTAGCGGCGCCCTGCTACGAACTCAGCTTGGCGCAGTCAACAAGACGGACCTGTCCATTATCATCCTCGCTGTACGTGCTCGTGGCTGAGTATTACTGCACTGACTGACACTTCTCTCCAGAGCATTTTCTTTTTCCTTAATGACAAGGAGATGCTGGCGTGGAGAGCGATTGGCAACGTCCTACGCTCATTACACGAAATCATAGCGCAGAACACAGAAGACGCGCCCAACCCAACAACGCTGGACCAGCTCAAAGATGTCGGCGAAAAGTTTTACTGGTCTGTATACACTCTCGACCGTCGATGGGGCTTTGGCACCGGCTTGCCATTTTCGGTTCACGACTCCGACATTCATCGTCAGCCACATTTCAAAGTAAGTTTGTATGCACATGTCCCCACACTAACGAACCCCTGACCAGTTCTTGCAGGACGACTCCCTCTCATCGACATATTTGAGACAGATGATTGAGTACAGCATCATCTCCGCCGAAGTCAGACGATCCATCCTCCAGCCGTCCACGTCACCAACCGCCACAGTCACTGCCCTAGCCGCCACGCGCAACCTGCTCGACTTTCAAGTGACCCAGTTTCAGAAGAACATCCCCAAGCGGCTGCAGTTCCTCGGCCTGCAGGACAAGTTCGACCCGACGCGGGAGAAGCGCGGCGAGTATCGTCTGCGTCTCGTCCTATACCTGCGCTGCAACCAGATGCGCATCGTCATCCACCGCAAGTCGGCCATGTCGCTCGTCGGCGGCGGCTTCGACACCTCCACCACCAACGTGCTCGCCGAGACCTCGCAGGACACCATCCGCGTGCTCATCGCCCTCGCGCGCGAGACCGACATTTACCACGCCCAGCAGCGCACCTTTAACCACTTCCTCGAGACCGCCCTCGCCTCCCTGCTGCTGCTGCTCTGCTACGCCGAGGCCGAGTACCGCGTCGGCTACCTCCCCGACGTCCTCGCCGCCATGGAGCTCGTCCAGCACCTCTCCGTCCACTCCCCCGTCACCCGCGCCCTCAAGCAGAAGCTGCACCGCGTCCAGCACATGATCAAGGCCTTTCGCGTCTCCAACCACACCTCCGCCCAGCCCTCGCGCTCCGGCTCCGCCGTCCCCGACCAGTTTGCCGACCGCACCGCCGAAATAGCGGTAGGCACGCCCACCGGCGGTGCCGTCCCGCCGCAGATGCCCGTCTCCCTCGCCCCCGTCCTGGACGCCCAGCAGCAGCCCGTGTTCCCGCCCGCCGCGGCGCTCGCGGAGATGGCCATGGGCGGCGGCGGCGGCGGCGGCGGCGACGGCCCGTTCACCCCGGTCGGCGGCGGCGGCGTCCAGCCACAGCAGCAGGCCAGCTTTCAGATCAGCCAGATGAACACCCCGCAGCCCTACGACGACGGCGGCTTCGTCGGCGGCGGCGGCGCGGGGAGCATGCACTCGCAGCAGTCGGCGAGCGACTCGACGTCTATGATGGACCTGGTGGCGGCGCACGACATGGGCGACCTGCCGAACGACTTCTTCACCTCGCAGTTTACCGATCTAGGCGACATTCTTAAAGATTACGACAATTTTCGGTTTTGACACTACAACGAAATCGGAAAGTATGAATATGGTGGCTGTTTTGCTATTGTCATTTTTTTTTCTTGGGATATATACACTTTGTATAAACAGGAGCAATCTAGGAGGCATCATTTTCGCTGACATTCTAACGAACCGGCGGAGTTGACTTTTTTTTTTTCTTTTTGCATGATTATCATCCAAAATATACCCAGATGCAAATTTATACCCACTGACATTGCTTCGAAGTGACGTGTATGTACTTGAATTGTCTACATACCTAGCCATCTAATAAACGGGCCTGGCCGTTCCCAAAGCACTCCATCCTCCTCCATCTTTGGTCCCAACCAAGCAACAGTAGCCCTATTGCTAGACAACAACCGCAACTTGGAAAAGTCAGTTGTACTTTGTGATGGCATTGAGGTACGTGCCGCCCGACTCGGACAGCTGCGAGCCGTCGCCGTTGGTCGGCAGCCAGTTCGGCGCGAGGCCGCCGCCGCCCGTGTACGCGTACGCCATGACGTGCTCGTTCTTCTCAAACAGGTCGACGGATGTCGTTGATGAAGTTGTTGATCTTCCGCTGCTCCTGGCAGGGCGCCCACTTTCGGGTGGTCGGAGACACAGGCGAACTCGGTGACCCAGTTGGGCTTGCCGTACTTGTTCCAGTTGGACGCCCTACATGCTGTCTTTGTACGAGTGGATGGCGGTCAAGTCCCAGTCGGCGTCGAGTGACTGCGTGCGGAACTTGGCGAGCCAGCCCTCGTCCTTTTGCTTGCACATGGAGGGGCTGCCGAGTAGGCTGCCGGCGCGGCCCTTGGGTGCGATGTAGCGGTTCCAGAGGTCGACACACCCTGGGCGACGCGCAGGTCGGCCGAGTCCTTGCCGGGGCAGTCGGGCTCGTTGAGACCGAGAAGGTACAGCGGCGTCTCGTGTAGAATCTGGAACGCGCGCAGGCGGTCGGCGTCGGTCTTTCTCTGGTGCCGTCGCCCCCGGAGCATGGACACGCCCATGACTTCGTCGTGGCCGGAGGGCTTGGGCGTCCAGTCGTACCACCAGCCGATATGGTCCTTCCAGTGGCGCATGGCGCGGCCACCTGCCGAACCGGCTTTCTTGCCGTTGGGGATCAGCGGCGCCTTGCGTGCATCAACCGTGGCGGAGGTGGGAGAGGCAATCGCCGTCGAGATCACGGCCAATGCAGCGCCAGTGTACTTGAGAAAGCAGACCATTGTTGTCGTTGTTTGAGGGCGTTGATTGTGCAGTGCAGGCTCAACGAGGGATGTAGAAGCTGACCGCACAATATATAGTTGTCTCCATGCCGGGATCTCTCTCTCGTCGTATCGATTTGCAGCAATATGGTGAGCACGTCTGTCGCGCAGGGACATGGTGCCAGTGAAGCCATGGGATTCCGCTCTAGCGCTTATTTAATTTAATCAGATCATCGAGCACAGGAGCTCAGCCAAATGCAGCAGGGTGAACAGTGCCAGGGATAGTACTGCAACCTCAGAGCGTCATTCCTGGAGAAATTCGCCCGAGCCTTGAACCATGGCTCGCCTCGATCTAGTCAGCAAGGTGCGGAAGGATCCTGCTGTGTGTGGTGGACAGCAGGGGGTTGCTGCCGGGGAGAATACGCAGAATAAGGTTGCAATCACCATATCGCACGCATCGCTTCTAGGCGCTTGATTCGGCAACGCGTAATACTATCCGGGGATGGCAAGGTATGCAAGTCCGTTTCGTTTAGTCGGCTCGATGCTCGTGGTATCACCATCGTTGTCGGTAACGCTCTAACTAGCTGAGCGTAGCAGGAGAATGTGAAGCTGACGGTGTGGGCTCGCTGAAAGACTGCCAGCCATGAGGGCACTGTGCTGTGCGGCTTCGGAATATCGTAGAGGAACAGAAAAGCGGTGATTGAAGCTGCTCAGGAAACTAGTTGGCAGCGAAGCCGTTTATCCTGCCTGCCGATCCTGCCTGCCGATCCTGGCTTGGTGAGGAACGCGTCGAAAGTCCCTAACGACGTGCCCCTACTGAAACAAAGGCTGGAAAAGAGAGTCACGAAAATGCGAGTTTGTAGCGAGCGATACCTATGTAGAGTATCGGATATGGCAGTTCGTAAAATAGTCACAGTAGCAGAGCGCCATGAATGAGACACTCGTTTGCAACAGGCGAAGCTTATTAGCTGGGTAATCCATAATTAAGTGGCGTCTGATGCAGATTTATCGATCATGGTCGGGCCGAGTGCATGACTCTTGGCGGGCGCGTTTGCTTGTGCAGGTTCGCTTTGTGCATGCACAAGTGTCATGAAGCAGAGGATTAAAACATGTATAAATTGTAAGGTCTGATTCAAATCTAGTTTCACTCGTCTGTCTCTTTTGAAATTCCAGAACTATGGCGGTCAAGCAGTTGTAGAGCTCTTCCGCGATAGCTCCGTCAATCTATAGCAGCAATCTACGGGGAGATACAAGGTAGTCATCTATCCACTGCAACTGCGTGTACAGCGCATCAGACCACAATCATGGCACCACCAGCAAGGGACAACATCTCACCTCTTCAATGCATCTTTGCCAACTCGGCAACGGCCGTCACCGTCTAAACGACATATGCCGCATCTTGACATAACGATTTTCCCTGTTTCTATAGCCTCCTGCATGCAATGTCAAGCTGTGTTGCGCCCTGCGCCCTGCAGGGTCTTGTCTTGAGTGCCCAATGACACAACCCTTATTGACCACCTTCCCACCTCAGTAGACACCCTCTGTCCAGTTGCCCCGCCACATCGACTCATACCCTCCGGCTCCGGCGCTTTTTCTTGTCAACTTGAGAAAATTGGTGCTGCAGCTCGGAAAACAGTTGTTACCTCTCTCCGTCGTCATATTGGGCCCTTGTGCTTGGCGGCGATTCAAAAATTTCCATTTCATACAGCCACCTATCTTTATTTATCTGCTACACGCTCCTACGCAGCTATTCAAGAAACTCTGTGGTATCAATTCACCTGAACCAGACTCTACTGTTTCTTTTTCTTTTATTATCTATTACTTCTTTTTTTTTCGCACGCGTCTTTATACCCCTTTGCACCATGGCTTCGGTATGTGCGGCCAGCTTGCTGCCCGACCCCGCGATATTTTGCAAGCGACTACCATGGCGGGGTGACTGACTTTTTGCGCTTTTTGCGATGCAGTTCTACATTGAAAACAAAAACGTCGGCAACAAGGCCGATTCGGAGGATTGGAGAAGTGCGTATCCCTACATCAACTACTCGCCCAATTGAGGCCTGCTTTCACCAGCGCTTGCTAACGCTGATGCCCGCCAGTTCGCGGCTACAACCCTCTCACCCCTCCCGACCTCCTCCAGCACGAGATTGCCCAGACATCCGAGTCCAAGCGGACGGTCCTCGAGTCCCGCAACGAGGCCGTTGCTGTCGTCAACGGCACCGATGACAAGAACCGTCTGCTGGTCGTGGTCGGCCCCTGCTCCATCCACGACCCCGCGGCCGCGCTGGCCTACTGCGACCTGCTACTCACGGCCAAGGAGAAGCACAAGGACGAGCTGCTCATCGTCATGCGCTCGTACCTCGAGAAGCCGCGCACCACGGTCGGCTGGAAGGGCCTGATCAACGACCCGGACATTGATGGCAGCTTCCAGATCAACAAGGGCCTGCGCCTCGCCCGCCAGCTCTTCGTCGACCTCACCCACCGCGGCATGCCCATCGCCAGCGAGATGCTCGACACCATCTCCCCGCAGTTCCTCGCCGATCTGCTGTCCGTTGGCGCTATCGGCGCCCGCACCACCGAGAGCCAGCTGCATCGCGAGCTCTCCAGCGGCCTCAGCTTCCCCGTCGGCTTCAAGAACGGCACCGACGGCTCCCTCGGCGTCGCCATCGACGCCATTGGCGCCGCCAAGCACCCCCACCAGTTTCTCTCCGTCACCAAACCCGGCGTCGTCGCCATCGTTGGCACCACCGGCAACGAAGACTGCTTCGCCATCCTCCGCGGCGGCACCAAGGGCACCAACTACGACGCCGCCAGCATCGCCGAGGCCAAGGCTGCCCTGGAGAAGAAGGGCGTCAGCCAGCGCCTTATGGTCGACTGCAGCCACGGCAACTCGCTCAAGGATCACAAGAACCAGCCCAAGGTCGCTGCGGTTATTGCGGAGCAGATTGCCAAGGGCGAGAACGCCATCATGGGCGTCATGATTGAAAGCAATCACAACGAGGGTACATTTTCTTCTTGGCTGATCACAAAATTTCTTCTAACATTCAACAGGCAACCAAAAAGTTCCCGCCGAGGGCAAGTCTGGCCTCAAGTACGGTGTCAGCATCACCGATGCTTGCATTCACTGGGAGGACACCGTTAAGGTCCTTGACAACCTTGCTGATGCTGTCAAGCAGCGTCGCAAGGTCATCAATGGCTCCGCTTAAGCTTCTTGATCTGTTTTAGTATATTTATGCATGTCATGATGGATTTGGATTTTGGGAGATACCGGCGAATGAAGACGCCATGGGATGAAAAAAGTTTTCCTTGTTACATATGCTGTGATCTAAAGAATACAAGCCTGACCTTGAAGTCAAATTATGCATACTAAACTCTGCTTGATCCCCTTGTCACAGATGGACTCCTACTAATACCCGGCTATTGAAGACACCATGGGCTAATAAAAGTTTTCGTTGTTACATAGGTACGTACACCATGATCTAAACGGCAAAAATCAAACGTCCAACGGGAATTGATGAAATAATTCTCTAGAAAATCTGGAATTTGTCACAAGATTCCCCTATTCTCAACCAGTGCGTTGCTAGGGGCTTTCTTGCTTTTTTCAGCGTTGATTGAAGCTCTCGCGCCATGTCATCAGTGGCCCGCAAGCCTCGCTCAGCCAGCAAAATTGGGCCAATGGAGCACCGTCTCACCCAAGCCGAAGCTTTCGCAGCAAACACGATCCAAAAGTGAACTTCTCCCCCTTGATGCAACATCTCGCTCCTTGTCATCTCTCCATCACCACCGCACATCACCATTGATCCAGCAACACACCCGCCCACGCTCTTTATCTCAGGTAGCGCATCTACCGGCGCCTCCCTCGCGTGCGATCGCGAATTTGCAGAAGGCCCCCGGCGCCGACACGAAGCCGCACCCTCAAACTCGCCTCATAGCCAGCGCTCACCGCGGCCACCCAACCCGCACGAAACAGAAAAAAAAGGGCGAGAGATTCACAGTCATGGCTCGCGGCTACTCACCACCCGAATCGCCGCTATCCTCGGTGCGCTCCTCGGAGCGCTCTGACGATGAAGGGCACGACTTCGACGACGCCTCGTCGCGCCCGTCGAAGCGGCTCAAGGTCGACGGCGCATCTCGGGCGTCGCGCGCCTCCTCGGCCGCCGTGCACGACGCCGACCACGACCACGTAGATGTCGTGCCCGAGCCAGACCACCTCGAGGGCATGTCAGACCTGTCGTCAGACACGTCAGGCGACATCCCCAGCTCGCCGGCCAACGCGCGGCTCGACGAGGAGGACTTTCAGGAGCAGGTCAGCGTCTGCGACTGGGACGGCTGCGAGGCCGGCGATCAAGGCAACATGGACCGGCTGGTCGAGCACATCCACAACTCCCACATCGAGAACCGCCAGAAAAAATACACGTGCGAGTGGAAGAGCTGCCCGCGCAAGGGCCTGACGCACGCCAGCGGCTACGCCCTCAAGGCACACATGCGCAGCCACACGCGAGAGAAGCCATTCTACTGCTACCTACCAGGTGCGTCTTGAAATTTCCCTTTTCCCGCCGGGCTGCTGTTATATTCATCGATGTGTTGAACTCGAGGCTAACCAACCCTGCTTCTTACAGAATGCGACCGTTCCTTTACGAGATCCGACGCCCTAGCTAAGCACATGCGGACCGTGCACGAGACCGAAGCCTTGCGCCCCTCCGACCCCGTGCCCAAGTCCATGCAGGCCGGCCCGCCGGGCAAGGCGAGCAAGCTCAAGATCATCATCAAGACGCCGCAATCCCACAGCCAAGGTGGCCAGGACGGCGCGGGGACCGCCGCCCACGACGAGGACGAGGAGGTGGGCCACGCCGACTACTTCACCCCGCTGACGAGCGAGCTGTTCACGGCCGACGAGCTCGCGCTGCCCGTCGACAAGCTGTACCGCAAATGCTACTGGGAGGCCAAGTGGGCCGGCGAGGTTGGCGAGACGCTGACGCGCGAGTGCCGCGAGTGGGAGGAGACCTACTACAACGAGTGGCTCGAGAAGGAGGTGCTGCTCTCGCAGGTCATCCAGAGCGAGGTCGACTGGCACCAGCGCCGTGAGGCTGTGCTCGCCGCCGACGAGCAGAAGAAGAAGCAGAAGCAGAAGCAGGAGGAGGAGGAGGCCGCGGCGACTAACGGAGCGCCGGCCGAGGACGAGAAGCAGCAGCCGCGTGCGCAGGAGAACGGCGTGAAAAGGGCTGCCACCGCGGCGAGCGACGAGGCGGATCGACCCGTTGCGCTCCGGCCAGGGGCCATTGCTATTTAGGAGCAGTCGTCGCCTTTGCGCCGATCCCCGCGTGCGGCTGCTGCCGCGTCTCGGGGACTAATTGCCTTCCTGGCGTCGCGCGCGAGCTGGCCCGATCAATGGCAGCCCGAGTCGCCGACGAAGAGAAGGTTCATGTAATAGCACAAATGGGAAAGACGGGATACGAGGAGGAATGCGAGGATTTAAAGGAGTTTCTTGGGGATACGGCACGTCATGGTACTACTTTTCCTTTTTTTTTTATTCGTTCATCCCCTTGTTTGGGGTTTCACGTGTACTGTATACGGTGCTTGTAACGCACCACCTACTACTGCCTGATTAATGCAATTGCCTTTATTCGTGGAACAAAAATATTGTCTTCTAAAAAACAGTAACCTGTCACGGACTTATCTATGCCATGCCTTGCTACGATGAACGGCAAATTCCCTATCTCTCTAGACTTCGTCACTGTCAGTGATTTCCTAGCGTGGCTTAGCGTGCGCCGACTTCGCAGGGCAGCGGGGTTTTCCCACGGCCGGTTACATTTCTAATCGCCCGGCCGTCATTGCGCGGGGGCGCACATGCCTTCTCTTTATTTAGTACCTACAGCAGTAGCACGCAGTGGGAAAACCGCCACCACAAAACTTCGAACCGCCCATTCTTTTTTCCCCTTCTCTCCCATTCCACGACGACTTCATTTTGCCCTCTCAACGCGACCGCTCCTTGGCAAAATATTTCCTCTTCTCTTCATTAACACCGGCACGCCATCTGTACGACCAAAGGCAGTCTCTGCCACCTACCCTGCCTTGTGCCGTCTTCTTAAAGCGTGCCCAGAACCCTTTCGGAGTCGACGAGCCGAAACCCGGCCACACCATCACCCTCACAAGAAAAAAAGCACACGCAGCGACTGCATTCTGAACAAACTTCAACGCTCTTCCATACACTAAAAAAAAAGCCCGCCTTACAGCGGCGCGCAACCCCCGGTCGACCATGAGTGCCATCCTCTCCACCGACGACCTCAACGACTTCATCGCCCCCGGCGTTGCCTGCGTCAAGCCCATCGAGACCCTCCCCGCCGCTCCTCCCCCCTCCTCCCTCGAGACTGAAGTCATCCTCGACGGCGACTCCCGCTCCGCCACCGCCTCCACCGCCCCGCCTGCCGAGATCTCCCTCACCGACTGTCTCGCCTGCTCTGGCTGCGTCACCTCCGCCGAGGCCGTCCTCGTCAGCCTGCAGTCCCACGCCGAAGTCCTCGCAACCCTCGACGCCGCGCCCTCCCTGCGCGTCGTCGGGCCCGATCCCTCATCCGGCCGATACGCTGTGCTAGGGCTGGAGGATGAAAACGCAAAGCTGCTCGTCGCGAGCGTCAGCCCGCAGACGCGCGCGAGCTTGGCGGCCGCGTGCGGGCCGGGCGTCTCGGCCGCGCAGGCGGGCGCCATGCTGGATACGCTGCTCCTCGACGGCGGCGCGCTGACCCGTAGCGGGAGGCACGCCAGCGGCGGCTTCGCGTGGGTGGTGGACACCAACGCCGCGCGGGAGATGACGCACGTGCTGAGCGCCGAAGAAGTCCTCGGCTCCTCCTCCTCCCCCTCTCTCACAGCAACGGCACCCGCCAAGAAGCCCATTCTGGCGTCGTCGTGCCCCGGATGGGTGTGCTACGCCGAAAAGACGCATCCGCACGTGCTGCCGCACCTCTCGCGCGTCAAGTCACCGCAGGCCCTCACCGGCACGCTCCTCAAAACGACTCTCAGCGCGGCGCTCGGCATCCCGCCGAGCCGGATCTGGCACCTCGCCGTCATGCCGTGCTTTGACAAGAAGCTCGAGGCCAGCCGCGAGGAGCTCACCGACGAGGTGTGGGCGCGGTCCGGCCGACCGGGCCGCGGCGTGCGCGACGTCGACTGCGTCATCACGAGCAAGGAGGTCCTCATGCTGGCTGAGAGCAGGGGTCTGGATTTCTTTAAGCTATCGCGCGAGGCCCGGCCGCCCGTCATGGCGCCGTTCCCCGACCCTACGCTACAAAAGTTCTTGTTCCGCCAACCATCGCCCTCGCCGGCCGTGTCAAAAACAACACCCCTTGCCGCCGGCTCGTCCGGCGGTCTCTTGTACCATATCCTGCAGAGCAGAGCTGCACAGACACCTGGTGCCGAGATCCAAGTCATCAAAGGCCGCAATGCCGACGTTGTCGAATACGTCGTGTCCGTCGACGGCGAGCCTGTTTTCAAGGCTGCGAGGTACTATGGTTTCCGCAACATCCAGAACCTCGTTCGGCGGCTGAAGCCGGCGCGACCGTCTAAGATGCCGGGCGGCAAGCCATTTGGCAGCGCCCGTCGGCCCACGGGCGGCAAGTCGGCTTCACTCGAGCACAGCTACATCGAGGTCATGGCGTGCCCGGGCGGCTGCACGAATGGGGGTGGCCAGATCAAGGTCGACGACACTGTCGTGATGGAACGCAAGCAGCTGTCCGACAAACCTGGGCCGCAGGAGCAAAAGGAGTGGCTGGCCGAGGTGGATGAGGCGTACTTTTCGGGCGACGACGAAGCCGCGGTCGAGGACGGGCCTGCGGCGGGAGACGTGGTACTCGGCGTCTCCCACTCTTATATAAATGATACCCTGGCATACTGGTCAGACATGACCGGCATTGATTTACGTAGACTTGCATTCACCACATACCGCGAGGTCATTAGCGATGTTGGAAAGGCCAGCGAGGGCGAACGGGTGATCCAGCTCGCAGGCAAAATTGGCGGCGGGTGGTAGCAGGATGCAGATAGAACGAACCATGTACAGCATAGATAGCATAGATGTAGCTTGTCACAGCAGCAAATCAAGCTTCTTTCGCGCCACGCCGCGCAAATCCAAAGCCTCCTCTTCCAGTGCCGTCCGGTCCTCTAGGTTCCCGCAATGGCACGCCCTCGTCTCGGATTTGCAGCCCCGTGCCACCGTTGCCGCACCCCCCCGCCTCGTCCCGTTTGCGGAAGCCGGCGTCGGGTTTAGGCGAGTAATTCGGGTCGTACAGCTTGCCTGGAGTCGCCTGAGACGGCAGAGCCGTGCGGCGTGACTCAAACGGGCTGCGTGTACTATCCGAGCCGCGTCCGCCCCGCCCTCGGCCACCGCCGCGGCCCTGCTGCGACCTCGCGTCCAACCGCGGCGGCGTTGTGGTGCCGTTGTTACCCGGTGACGATCCGCGGGAGGAATTCGCGGAGTCGCCAAAGATCTTGGCGCGGGCCTCGTCGTACTTGCGTTGCTTCTCGTCACGCTCACGCTTCTGCTTGGCACGCACCTCCTCGGCGGTGAGTTGAACCTCCTTCTTGGGCCCGTCGTCGTCATCGGCCAGACGGGAGGGCTCACCGCGCCTAGCGATGACCGGCTTCCTGCTGAGCAGCTTGACCTGCGGCTTGAACGTCGCGGCCAGCGGGACGGTGTTGGTGGCCTCGACGTAGTGAAACGTCTCGTTGGATTCGCTGCATTTGCGTAAGCACAGGGCCTCGTCGCGCTGTTTGACTGATTTGGGATTTCGGCAACTTACGCGGCTTCCCATAGCTTTCGGTTCGATTTAACGTGCTCCTCCAGACGCTCAGCCTTGGTCAAGACTGGTGCAGGAGTAGGATTCGCTGCCTCTTCCTTGGCAGCCCGATCCGCCTGAGTCTCCCAGTCGTCATCCCAAGCGTCGGGGACAACGGCTCTTTTGCTCATTGTGATAGAGGACTTCGTTTTGTGAGCACTGCAATTGCTCCTGTATAATCGTGGCGGTTGCTACGAGCGCTGGCTCGGAGCCGGACAGGCTTGGCTGGTTCCGCTCAGCACAGGTGGTGAGATAAAAACTAACTCTCGTCTCTTGCACGCTTAGGGCAGGAGACTCGACCAAGGTCAACGCATGGATATTGTGCCGAGATGTGGGCTGCGGTCCGCTAATTTGATGCTTCTAGGCATGTAAAGAGGTAGCCAGAGAACAACGCGTATGTGTAAGGCTAGCGGCGATGTTTGCCAGTTGCGTGGTAAATGGTGAGATTTTGTGTGCGGCAACTTGGTTTGGAGGTCTCGAGAGCAGAATGAGGGACCTGTGGGGCGCAGTCAAGTAGCCACGCTCGGAAGGCAGGAGGGGGCCAACGAACAGCGCCCCATACATTTGGACTTCACCCACGCAACAAACAAGACAAAGAACGTCGTCCGCCATATAAACAAAGGGCTTCACTTCTTACAAGTTGCCAATCACCGCACTAGATGGCTGACTCATCGCCCATGGCGTCCGTCAAGGCCAACAGCAAAAGACACAAGGACGACAAGGAGCACCACCGGAAGAGGCTGACTGATGCTTCCTTCAACGCCAGTGAGTTGGTGGCCGCGACGAGTTATTATAATGCAAACAAAACTGATGACTTGGTGCAGACCGGTATCCTAATCCCCTGGAGGCTCGGCCGTCGCCAGATCCCAAGTTCAAGGGGCCAGAGGGCGTAACGGCGAAGATGACGCGGAACTGGTTGGATATGATCAAAGCGGCCAAGGTGAACTCGGCTTCCTCACAGCTATGAGGTGGTGATGGAGCTCTATTTACGACACTTGCTTCTCTCTCGACCCTCAGGACTACGGCGCTTTTTTCGGCGGCTGGGTGCGCGGAAGCCTCGGTTCGTGTGCCTCGGCAAGCGGCATTGAGAACTATTTTGCAGAATACCGGCATTGTGCAACCGTACATGCTCAAGAAACATTTCTGATTTCGCTCTCGCTGGTATCTGCGCAGGTGGGAAACAATAGGTTACGTGTGGTTATATTACCATATTCTATGGAGATCGACGCTCTATGCTCAGCTGAATCATCCATGCTGTTCAGACGCAGCCTCTGAACCGCGCCTCTCAGCATTCCATTCGGCGATGTCGCGTACGCCGTGCAACTTATGCTGTGCGGCTGAATAATATATTGTTCAGCGTACTTGGGCTGCAGCGTAACGACGGGGGCGAACGAAGCTGCTGCTGGTTATAGTAACGTCTTCTATGCAGCAAATGCAAGTGAAAGTTCCAATAACTACCATGTCGGTTGGCAGAAGATGGTATGAATTAGCCTTGAAAACTATAGGATCTTGTGAAACTCAAGAATCAAATAGTGGCGGCGACATTTCGGGCTGCCGTACCCAGCCACCTACATAGTCTGGAAGGTACAGCAGCGCCTCTGAGTGGCGTGTGTACACAATGTCCATAGTTAGGTACTTGCTGAAAACCCTCCAAGAACATTCTCGGCGCAATGATTTACATAGGCTGCAACTGTACCCCTTTATCTGATGATTCCAAACTTGCAGTAGAGCTCCCTGATCAGAGCCGCGAAGCGGCCCGAGACCAAGCCAGAATTTGATACATGATGAAATGTAAAGATACGGCGATCGAAACGAGCATCGAAGGGTGGCAGCTGCGCTCTGACTGTCTCGTGTCCATGGTTTGAGCACGTAATGGTACACCGCCTCGGAGCTGAAGTAGCAAACAGTAATTTGACATATGTGTGGCTTTTTTTGCTTGTGCGAGTTTACGAGATGGAGAGAGAGCAATCAAAATGCAGTAGTGCATCGAGGGGGGAGAAAAGCCAGCGTGATAGTGAAAGGGGCTGGTTAATGTACGGAGAGAGAGCGGCGCAGGCTTGGTCAGGCTTGCAATTAGACTCGAGGCTTTCTGGTAGGGCCACGCGTGCTTGGCTGTTAAGCTATGTTTGGGCGATGCCTGGGTGATGAAAGAGATTCGAATGATCTCAGGAAATCGCGGAGCGGCTGAAACATGGGAAAAGAAAAGAACAAGCCAATGGAATTCCATGAGTAACGAGAAAGGAGCCTGGTGGCTGGGTCTGCCGGTTTGCACCTGCAGCTTCCTGGAAGGCGAGGCCGGGGAGGCAGATTGTTGGTATAATAGCTCGATTTCATCGCATCGCGATCGGGGAGACTCGGGATTGCCATGTCAAGGTAGCTTGGAAGTAAGGGTTGAGCATCGGTAACGTTTCACAAATCACTATTAGCGGTCCAGTAGACAGGTGGCTGCGTGAAAAGGTGAATGCTTCATTTGGTGCGGGGATCGGAGGAGTTGAGTGGGATTCGGGGGAAGTTGTCGGTACATCTGGCACCGGTCTTGGTTTGGCGGCGATGCATTCTCTATTCTCTGGGAAGTTTGGTTCTAGTTAGTGAGGACTTGGCTCGAGTCCGCGGCTCCATCAACTGGGACGAAGAAGGGAATCTAGGGAGAATGATAGGTGAGGGGTAGTTTGATAAACAGGCCGAGACTTCCGGTTCCGAAGGAAAGCTGGTTTCTGTGCTTTTTTGCCAGGGTTTCTTTTGGTGATGTGTCGATTCTTGCTCTGTTCCGTTTGTCAGTCGTGCATGGGATGGATGACTGATGGATAAGAAGGGAAGGTACTCTGGGTGTTGTAAGTTGCACTCGTTACCCGCCTAGCTAGATCACTACTTACTTACATAGTTGAGCTGTCAGTGGCAAACAACCAGCTGCAGAGCCTCACTGCAACGGGTATTCAAATCTAGACTCCGTTTAACAATCAAAGTAATGAGTCAGAGTAGCAAATTCCTTATTCCATTCGCCACAGAATAGAATCTGCATGATTCCTCATCTAAGGCTTGGCAATTAAGTTAAGAGGCTTTCTTGCACTTTTACTAGAAAGCTTGTAAAGGGCGTACAGCTGTCGGACAAGGCAAGCTCTAAAATAAGATGAGGGGCAAGGAGGGGATGGATACATACGTGCCGCAGGAAGCTTCCATCATCAGACAGACCCGCCGGAAGCCATAACAAAAAAGAAATGAAAGGAAGACGGGAATTTTGACTGGTAGGGGAAAAATCATCTCGCGCATGCACTACCTACCTCCACTGGCACTGGCCCTTCCTTGGCCTACTAGGATGCATTATACCTACAGCGGTTCCCCCTCCTCGATGCCTGCGGGGAAGTCTTGGTCTCGTCCCGCAATTATGGACTGGCGGGCTGGAATGAGCAATGGACAGAGCCGCCGCCACTGCATATCGGGGCAGAGAGTAGAGTAGTAGTTAGAGGCAGCGAGGTTCAGCACATCAGGGGGCGGGCGGGTGAATGGATGCAAGGTCAAAAAGAGGAGAAAGTGCTACCAGGGAAGAGTGAATAGAACATGGGATGAGAACGGAGTACCGGCGAGTGATTAGAACAGTGATTGGAAACAGGAGGCTGGTTGGAAGGCTGTTCAAAGCTTGTTCTTTGAAGATGTGTCACCCGGCCTCGTTACGAAAACTGTCGTGCTCCCAAATTTGCAAGGCAAAAGAGGCCCTTCGCGTCGGAGCGGGTGCCCATAGTGCCTATTATTGGCTCCTACAGAGGTAAGACAAGGTAAGGCAAGGCAAGGTGGTTGTAACTTGTGGTACTTGGCCTCGCCCCCGGGTGGCGGGTAGTCAAAGTCAAAGGCCCTCTTCTTATTAATAAGGCGTTCACGATAACTAGCGGCCGCTCTTCATCGTCGACCTCTACACTTGCATCATACACTCTACTGAATCTCACTTCTTACCACGCTCACACCCTGCTACGGCATCAACCAGCCACGGCTCGAACCTTGACCGGGAGCAACATCTACGCCGTTGGTTCTGTCTGGCATCAATTTTCCCCTCTCCTCTTTCAATTTCCTTTGCATCCATCTTTTCCATTCACCACTCTCGTTTTCTTTCTAATCTAGGTTGCCGTTGATATCACACCCGCTCGCCATGATGACTGGAAACGACCCGACTCATCAACACCACAACGGCGGCGGATTCGATCTGCTACGCCGAGCAACACAAGCCATGATGTCCAAGTGAGTCAACTATTTTCTACTCTTTCTCTTTCTTCTATTTTTTCCTTGTTTTTCTTTGTCGTCATCAATGACAATACCCGCCGTCCAGTGGCGGCATTTGGAGTGGTTCTCCTACTACAGCGACCGGCCCAGTGGCTGTGATTGCTCTTGGTGTCCCGCATCGAGCGGCGCTGTCATCAACGCCAACCCTCTGACATGGTTCTCGGCATACGATTGCCAAGTTGGAATTCCGGAGAGAAGATGGGGAAAAGGGGGGACGGGACTGCACGATAATCGGGAAGCGGCGAGCAGCGGCAAACGGGGCTCCGATATCACAACCGGTCAAGCTGAGGGGGATGGACAACTACGGCAAAGGCGTCAGCAGCCTCGAACTCGTTCTCGCGAAGCCGGCACTTCTACCCCTCCCTCTGGGTAAAAAAAAAAAAAAGACGAGCAACGAGACAAGCATGAGATGGAAACGAGTCGAGGCTGGCTGACACGAGCGGCCACCTGGTACCTCTGTCAGTCAGTGAGCAAACAGCTCTCGCGGCCTTCTTGGTGGTGACTCTGGCAGGCTTGTCAGTGGCTACTCCGCCTCAGCGCCGCGCTTTATTATGGGCCGGGGGGTGGCCAAGCCGGGAGAGTCTGGAAGGGCAGCGAAGCAAAAGGGTTGCCCGCCACGCCGCCTGGTCACAGACTCACACCTCAGTCAAGTGGCGCCGGCGGTTTACGGTTTGCCTTGGTTTCCTTTATACCAACCTTGGTTTACCGTATACCAGGTACCTACCTACCTCTCTTCCGGCGAGGTACTTGCTTGGTGCTACCCTTTCTGCGAGTCAGCCCAGTCGCGAGTTGGTGTGGTGCAGTGGAGAGGGTGCGCTGGAGCCCGCTGGCAGTGGTGGTCTCGCCGCTAAAAACAGTGCTAGAGACTTGTCATTTTGCTGGCCAAGCACTGACTGACTCTTTGGCTTACGCCGGCTTGCAACCGCTCTGTCAGCCACCTGGTCCGAGCTTGCTTCTCCTGTGCTTCTGGCTTGCTTCTGCAGATGCTTCCATTTTTATCCAGGCTGCTTGCTTGCTTGCTTGTCTGCTAGCCGGCCTACCTCGTCTGGGCATCTCCGAAAGCAACCGCGTTTGCGAGCTGCCCTGCGTCTTGGGCCGTCCTGGTCCATCCCCGGCCACTCGCTACTACGAAACCACATGGCAATTCCATGCGCCGCCCACATGGACAAATGGCTGGAGGATCCGATGCATTGCATAGTGCTGCGACGCACCCTCGAAACAGTGTTTGAGATTCGCCAACCTTGAACCCAGGTCTGCGGTGGATGACATGCTATAAGGCATTCTCATCGCTGATCGCCGCCTTACGAACCTTGCGTCACAGTGCAGCCTCGCCGGTCTGAATGCATGCCTTACTGTACGACTTACCCAGCCACCATATGAGCCATGCCAGGCACATCAGCATTGCCCTCATTTTACTCGACCTTGTTGCTTTACCTTGCTGCTTTGCCTTGCTTTGCGCACGGCTGTGGCGTCCAATTGCGGTGGGCCGGTAATAATACCAGCGGTTGCTGCCAATGGGATCAAAATTTTGCATGGCCGTCCAATTCGGGAAGCTCGCCTACAATTCCCGATGACAACATACATGCAGATTTAGTACCACACCATTGGTGCACGACGCGACCGCCCGCACATGCTACCAGCGACACAGCGTCTATAATTGACGAGGCGCAAAGTTTGCCTTGACCAGCTCAGGTCTAGTTGGGCTCACAAGGGTATCAGCGCCGCCAGCCCGGTTGTTTCCTTCTCCCTCCCAGGCTTGTCGTTGGGCACTAGCTCGCGATACACCTATTTCTTGGTATAGGTACTGGCGAGGCTAAGTACATGTGGCTAGTGGCCACAAAGAGTTCGTCAATACCCGCACAGGATGGAATACCGCAAGGTACGGTACATACATACATGCCTTACTACCTATCGGAATACCCGATCCTATCTGCCCTCCGCTGTCAGTCCGTTGGCCCGCCTGGCAAAAAAATTTAATCAATTGCATCAGCCAGAGTCAGGCCCAAAAAAGGAACAGCTGTGGAAGAAAAAAGAGCTGCCAGATTGGAAATATCCGCTCTCGGAATTGCCGCCTGCCCTGCAGGGGCGCAAACCCAGGCAACCAGCCCAGCCAGCCCGGTCAAACCCAACCCTTTGATTGCAAACCTTGTATACTCGGCTGGTCACCAACAATTCCATCTCCATAGCAGCAACTGCTCCGTCTTTTTTTTTCCTTCCCTCTGGTACTCTATCTTCTTCCTTTCTCCGAATTTCACAACACACTCTTCCTCTTCCCCTATACCATCGCCGAAGGAAGCTAGTCGCTCAATCTCGTCGCACAAACACTCTTCTCCACCGCAGGCCTTGCCTCGAAAAGCTTCACTTCTGCAATCCCTACTCCTCTGGCCTCACCTTCCCTCTCACAGACCTCACCGACCAGCCATGAACTAGGTGTTCATCCTATTTCCACCCGCTGGTCATCTCAACCTCGTCTCTGACTGGCTTGCTGGGATCGTCATTCAAAAAGCCCGCTCTTACGTCTACGGCTTGCCGCAAAGAACCACTCCAAACTATACGCCCAAGCCCCTCTCTCCCCCGCGCTCGCCACCCACTCTGCCACGCTTTTTTTCCCTCTTCGTCTCCTCTTTGACCACCGGGCTTTTTCCTCTGCCTCTCTTCCCCCCCTTCCCTGACTTTCTTCTTGGGCCTCTTGATCAGGCCTTTGCAATTAAAAACCTCTCAATCTTCTGCCACCATGCAGACCGTTGACCAATCCACTACTAGAACGGCCGCCGAAGACGATGGCATCGATCAAATAGGCTCAGACACCCCGCGATCCGGCATTGCGACGCCTCAACCCGACCCCCACGACAAGCGCCTCCCAGGGATCATGAGCTACTTCGGTCAGGTTCGTCAAGACCCTTCTACAGCCGTTCCGCCTTCTTCCCTCGACGCCTGGCAGCACAATGCCCAAGCCACCTCCCAAACTCCCCAGATTGCCCTCACAGCTGCCCACGATGCCACAGCCACCGCCGATGCTCCAGCCGCCGATGGCGATGATCAGGCTCCGTCTCCGGCCTCCGAGGGGATACAAATGCTCCCACCACCCCTCCCACAGGCCGCTGCACCGCCTTCTTCCTCGTCCTCCTTGAGCATCTCTGCTCCTTCCGATGCATCGGCGGTCGCACATCCTCCCGTCCCTGTGGCTGCCAAGTCGGGTCCCACACAGCACCTCACAACAAACATCCATCCATATCCCACCCCTCCACCGTCACAGCCTTGCTCGTCTGCAAGTTCAGCCATACATGTTTTAAGCAGTCGCTCGCAAGAAAGTGCACCCGCTGGTCGGTCTGCTTCTCTTGCTGCTAATGCCATGGGCGCCCTTCAGCAGCTGCCGCTCCCTACCCGTGGCGTCCACTCTCTAGACGAGAGTCGCGCCCAGCCTTCCCATGCTCATGACACTACACTTTCTAATTCTTCTAATTCTGCTTCTACTACTTCCTCAACCACTCAAACGGCTAGCAAATGGTTTTCTCTTGATGGGCTCAAAGAGCTAACACGTTCTATCATCTTCAAGAGCGGTCCTCCTACCCCGACCAGAGCTCTCTCGACCGCCCGCCCTTCGCTGTCGGACGGCAAAGATACAGTCTACCGCGCCAGCAACGATGGCGCCGAGACCAGCGGGACGCAAACCCCTCGCTCTACTGGCGCCCAGGTCCCCGCCGCTCGTGGCAAGCTAACAGTCAAGGTCTCCGAGGCCCGCGGCCTGCGCAAGTGCCACGACCCCTACGTCGTTGCCGTCTTCCAGCGCTCCGAGCTCATCTCGGGCGGTCCTCGACCTTCCGAGGACGAAGAGCCTCTCAACGTTGCACAAGCTGCCATTGGCGGCATCCCTATCCAACGATCAGCAAGTGACTCAGGTCGGCCCATGGCGATTCCCATGCGCAGTCGTCAAAGTAGCAACACCAGCATCACCGATTATAACACATTTCGCAACCGCAACGGTCGCCAAGCTTCGCTCACACACCCCAAATGGGATGCTGAGGCCGTATTGTATGCACTCTACAGTCTTCCCTATTTCTTCTCGCTAACCCGTGGAATTACAGTGATGTTGTCGACTCGGGCTCCTTGGTCGATGTATCTATCTACGACCACACTCCCAGCGGTGAAAAGTTCCTCGGTCATGTCAAGTTTGAAGCTCCCAGGGAAAAGGAGACGCTGGTCCGCGGCTGGTTTCCCCTCAAGGGCCACGTCAACACCGTTGACGAGGACGCGCCAACTGGAGAGGTGTATGTCGAAGCTCTGTATCAACGCACCGAAAAGAAGCACTACGGCCCCAGCGATTTCGAGATTCTGAAGCTGATCGGCAAGGGGACGTTCGGTCAAGTCTACCAGGTTCGCAAAAGGGATACGCAGCGTATCTACGCCATGAAGGTACTGCAGAAGAAGGTCATTGTACAGAAGAAGGAGGTGGCCCATACCGTTGGCGAGCGCAATATTCTAGTTCGCACTGCCACCTCAGACTCTCCTTTCATTGTCGGCCTCAAATTCTCCTTCCAAACCCCCTCGGAACTATACCTGGTCACCGACTACATGTCCGGCGGCGAGCTCTTCTGGCACTTGCAAAAAGAGGGCCGTTTCGACGAGAGACGTGCCAAGTTTTATATTGCAGAGCTGATTCTCGCCATTCAACACCTCCACAACAATGACATTGTCTACCGCGATCTGAAGCCTGAAAACATTCTCCTTGATGCCAACGGTCACATTGCGCTTTGCGACTTTGGTCTCTCCAAGGCCAACCTCACAAAGAACGACACTACAAACACGTTCTGTGGCACTACCGAGTATCTCGCCCCCGAGGTGCTTCTGGATGAGTCTGGCTACACCAAGATGGTGGACTTTTGGTCACTTGGTGTCTTGGTCTTTGAGATGTGCTGTGGTTGGAGCCCGTTCTACGCCGAGGACACTCAACAAATGTACAAGAACATCGCCTTTGGGAAAGTCCGCTTCCCCCGAGACACGCTGTCGCAAGAGGGCCGTAACTTCGTCAAGGGCTTGCTCAACAGAAATCCCAAGCATCGCCTTGGTGCCACAGACGACGCGGAGGAGCTGAAACAGCACCCATTCTTTAATGACATTGACTGGACGCTCCTCACGCAAAAGCGTATCGCTCCACCATTCAAGCCCAAGCTCAAGTCTGAAACCGACGTGTCCTATTTCGACCCGGAGTTCACCACGGCCTTGGACCAGAATGGATCTCTCAACGAGCGCGCCGCTGCCCTCGCCCGAGGCTACGCTGCCTCAACACCCCTCTCGCCGTCGGTGCAAGCCAACTTCCAGGGTTTTACATTTGTAGACGAGAGTGCGCTAGACGATCACATGCGTGACCGTGTGCACCCCGATGATGAGGAGATGGATGACGCGGGCCACCACACAAACGGCAACGACTTTGACGACTGGGACAATATCGATGACTTTGATGTAAGGCAGGGTAACAGAATGAGTGGCATCGTGCGCACTTCAACCCACGACGAGCAAATGGTGGGAGGACACTTTGATGATTAATATTCAGCTGAGTGCTCCGTATCTGTGTATCTGCACATTAAAGAGAAGGGAGAGAAGGTGCTACAAAGAAATGGAAAACCAAGAGGCATTGGTGGGATATCCCGAACAAAAAAACAGGTCTTCTTTTTTTATTCTTGTCTTTTTTTTATGAAATCATGGACATGCGAAGGGTCGGCGGACACATTCGGGCAGGCAAATGGACGGAATGGGAGGCAAACTTAATCAAGTACAGACTCATTTTGGCGTTTGGAATGGTGATGTTCTTATTTTCTTGGCTCTTTTTTTTTTGCGTTTCTCCGTCTTCGACCGTTTTTATAACGATTTCTTGTTTCTGGCGTTATCATTATTACCATTCACTTCCTTGTTTGCCTGATTGATTGATTCATGTGCAACTTTGGTTCATCTCTCTGTAGCGTGCTTTTGTAAAAGAGGCACTTGTATTCCTGACTTTTCAGGAGCGAGAAAGAAGCGAGAAAGAAAAAAGAAAAACAACACATGCCTTTTTTTTATAACATCAGCAGATGTCTCGTGTTTGAACTTGAGAGCTTGATTAAGTGTGCTTGAGGTCTATGGACGAATTGACGTTGAATAATACCTAGGTTTTGCCTTGCGAATGATGGGATGGTTGGACGGCCTTGTAACTGGTGTTCCTCTTGCGTGCTTCTCTTGTCTTTTCGGTTCCCTAATACTCCTGTCTCCGTGCTCTCTTTGCCGCTTCGGCAAGAGGACCAAAGCGAAATTGAGCCTTGCAGCACCTTGTTGATGGCATTTTGAGTTGTCGGACAGCATTTTTGCTGATAATACTGTGTCAACCTTGCGTTTTCCGTTTCAAAAGTATGTAGACCACTCTACGTTTTTTTGAATATCAATAATCATCGGTGCTACAGAAGACATATATACACGGAGACGGTGGAATGCTTAGTTAGGACTTGTCGCATTGGAGACAGGAAAGGAAATGATCAGAAGAAACAATTAAACACCCTCGCACCCCATGCAAAGGGTCATCTTCATTTCTTTACAAGGAAAAATGTACAACAAGGATTCGCAATCCTGTTTCCGCCCAGCCCGACTGCTGGGCGGCTCAACATCCGCCGGCACAGGAGAGGACTGGTACAAAAGAAAGACATGGCCAAACCCGACCAGAGGTGCAGCAAGCAGTCCCCGTACTCGTGAATGCACCCAGAAACAAGTCTTGTCCACGCTTCCCCTTTCTACCCGTTCCCCTGCCACCTGCCGCACTCCACACCTATAACCCAAAGATTAATATCCCGTCATCTCGCGTTTGTCCGCCATGCCAATTCGAGCGCCGTAAAAAGGTAAAAAGGGGGCGTTTTCCACAGTTCCGTATCGGTTGTGCCGGATATCCGGTCCTGTTTGTCGATAGAGACGTGCCGCTCCTCACACAATGCAACCTTTTTTCTTTATTTCTCATGCAATGAGATTTTCTTAGTGCTTGGTCTCCTCCTCCTCGGCCTCGAGCCAGTCGGGCAGGGCGGCGGGGGTGCCGGAGGCCTGCTGGGCGGCGTCCTGGCCCTCAATCTCGACGGCCATGCTCTCGTACTCCTGCAGGTTGCTGGCGAGGTCGGCCTCCTCGGGGGACTTGGGGGTCTTGGGCTCGGCAAAGGTCTGGACCTGGCCGACGGAGTCGGACTCCTTGACGGCGGGCATCTTGTAGGCCTTGAGCTCCTTAAGATACAGCTCCTGGACGAAGTCGGCTAGAGAGGGGGGGCGAATGTTAGCTTCTATAACTCCTGAAAAGAACGAAGCGCGGGCAAAGGTGCGTAAACATTGGCGATCGGGAATATGGCGCAATCGTTCGGTAATCCATCAAAAAAAAAAAAAAAGGCTCGGCTGTGCGCGGCGAGCTTTGTTGTTCGTTTAGGTCGATTGGAGGTTTCGGCTGCTGCAAGTCCGCTGTTCTCCGAGGCTGGTCGTGTCTTCTCCGTTGGCGCATGTGTCGTCCATCACCTCCGAACCAGGGAAAAATTCATCTCGGAAAAAAAAATTCTTACCTCTGCGGGAGACGGTAGGAGCGATAAAGGTCCTTGTCTGAACCGATCGCGAGACGGTGGCAATGGCAGAGCGGGCGCGCTATTAATCGGGAACAGAAGGCCCCCTCAGTCAGCAGAGGTTCTCGCGGCCGGGAGACGAGACAGGCAGAAAGACGCAAGTTGCGCAGCAATGGCGTTGGAAAGTTGGTTGGTAGATTACTCACAGCGACCCGAGTAATTTGGCTGAGCATTTTGAATAGGTTGACGTTGCTCAATGGGGAACCCAAGATTGGCAGGATGGACTGAGGGTTTTGTGAAAATCGTGATGTCGACCTGTCTGTCTCTCCCCCGGCTTAGCCCGTGGCTGGTTTCCAAGTTTCTGCCTGAGGCGTAGCTTCCAATGCCTTTGAGTCACGTGATCCAGTTCAATATCCTGGCAAGTCCAACCAGGTCATGACGCTTTAGCATCTCCAGTACACTGTGCAATGCAACCTAGAAAATCACAGAAAACTTGGAAAGTCTAGTTTAGTATCTACTCAAGCCCAAAGATGCAAATTACTTGGCCAACACGCGACTACTGTTCGAAGCCAGTTGTCAAACGCGCGTATTTGAGCTTACGGTCTACCTTCTAAAACGAAGCCAACAAGCTGTCAAAAAAAGAGATGATGGAATTCGTTCTTATTATAAGGCAAGAATTTCTATCAACTCTGAAAAGCTGAGAAAATGACGCAGTACATGTACATATTCGGGAGGGCAACTTTGTACGGCAACCCTTGCAACAGTCCTGGCAGACTGTCTCGCACTCGATTTTGCCTACCGACTTGAAGCTTCGTCTGAAGCGGCACTCGTCGCCCGGCCTTTGCTGCTGATGGATTGATTCTTGGCCCCTTTGGCCTTCCTCATTTCAAACCAAGGAATGGACAAGACATACGGCCCAGCAATGACGGCACAGAGCACAATGTAAGCAATACGCAAAGACATGCTAGTGTTGGCCAACTGGAGACCGAGTCCGCCATTGATGATACCCAGAATGATGAGTGCGCGGCCGCACCAAACATGAATGTGGCTCAGAACACCGCGACGTCCTTGGCGCTTGAAGCTCGCGTGGTGCAGAGCACCTAGGATGGGTTGCAGGAACATCAAGGCGCAAACCATGATTCCGAGACGAGTATGTGTGTTTTGGAAGAACTATTCATGTTGGTCAACCGTTTGTCAGATACCATGGCGACACTATTACTCACAATGCCAAGTCTGTTGGCCAGAACATAGCCCATGCCGAGACCTGCCCACATGGCGAGGAAAGCGATGGTCTGGAAGGCCGCATGGAATATCCACTTGCCGATGATGGGCATCAGAAGGGCGCCGGCAGGGTACAAAACAACCCAGACGATCATCATGAGAATTCCATGGGCATGGAGAAGCGTGGTCGAAAGAGAGCTAGAACCACCACCCCCAGAGACGATGTTACCGCCGCCGCCGTTGCCGTTGCCGTTGCCGTTGCCGTTGCCGTTGTTATTACCGCCACCAGAGCTGCCACCATCATCGCTACTGGTAAACGGGTTCGAGTCAGAACTGATGGCAGCCTGGCTGAGGTCAATCTGGAAGACGGAGTGATCATCGTGGTAGTCGATGGACGCGTTTGGGTCTGTTGAGTCGATGGGGCTGCCGGCCTTCCACGCGGACAGCCAGCCGCTCGACCCCTGAAGACTGACACTCGTGCAGTCGGCGCAGCGGACGTTGGCCACCATCTCGTCGCCCACGACGCCAGAACCGGCGAGTAGGGTTGCGGACCGCTGGGTGTACTGCGGCATGACGTGCCCGGTGCCGCGCCGGGTGCTGAGGGTGACGTTGCCGGTGCCGTCCTGGTACATGAGGAAGATTTGGGCGCCGCTCATCTGACTGCCGATGCCGAGCGCAGCCCACTCGTAGGAGCTCGGCGCGCGCAGCTGGAAGTAGACGTTGCCGGCGCCGGACGAGATGGCCGCCTCGGGTACGCCCCAGCTAAAGCATATTTGCGAGCTGTCGCTGACGCAGTGCGGCGCGCTGACGGCGAGCGCACCGATGGAGCCTAGACAGATATTCTGTGAGCAATGGGCGAGCGAGCCGTGTCTGCCAATGCCGAGGACGTACTGAGAGAGGCCAGCGCTATAGAGCTGGCAAGAGAACTGCGCAACCCCATGGTTCTGAAGGTGTGAAATGCGGAGGTAAGTCCGTGGTGCCTGCTTGGCTGTATCTACCAGGCAGAGCACAGCTATCGTATTGTGTGAAGCAGGATATACAGAGAATACTCGCACAGTCGTGTAAATGCATGGACGGCAAAACAACGCCCACTGGACGGGGCTTGCTCAAGATATGTACTCTTTTCTATCTTAGTGTCTGCCACAACACGGCAAGGTGCGCACACCCGATTACAGCCACACCTTGGAGAGGCATTGAAGCCAAGCAAGGGCATCAGCTCGAGCACCACAGGTTTAGACGGGGCAGTCACGCCGCCGCCTCGCCTCGTCTGGTACGTCTGGTAACTAGTAATTACTGGTAGGCGTTTGATGATCAAATCGGATGGGGGGTGGGAGGGTGCAGATTTGATGGTCGGCTAGTGTATGACAGTTTTGGGGTCAGTTCATCAGCGATGCTTTCCGGGTGCACTATGCCTGACTATTTGCATAGTTGCGCCGACGGTTCAATAGTTGCAAGCGCCCGGCGCAGGTGTCTACAATGTGAGTTGTTGAGTCCATCGAGCCGTCTTTTTTTCGGTACAAACGATAAGATGCAATCTATATCATCTTCAAGTCCAGAGACGAAACACAGAAAACTGCAGGGAAAAGATGCAGCAGGCGTCTGGTGAAGTGAGGGAGGTGCGCCATGTTTGGGAGCAAGCCAGCAACTAACTACCCAGTAACTACGGATAGTTGCGATGCGCATCAAAAAAGCTAGAACAAGGCCAGAAACAAGCTTTTCACGCCTCAGGGACAGCGGTATGGCAATATCTGCCCTGCCATTGGAGGAACGGCTCGTGTGTCTCTCGGTCAGAGTCCATCCCGGGGGAGGCGTGGCGCTAGGATTGGGGATTCCAGAGTCGTCGCCCCCTTCCCTTCCTTTTACCTCTTCCCTCTCTCAGCCAAGTCCAGCCCCAAAGTTGCTAGCTTGGCTCGGCTTCGAATGATGCCGCCGGGACAGAAACAAGCCGCCTCGGTCATTTCCATGTCAAATAACGAAAACGAGATGTCTACTAACCAGCTCCTTCCTCCCGTTGTCTTATTATGTACAAGAACAAGCTTTTGGTGTTGCGTAATGAGGCGGTGAGCAGCTTTCTTAGATAACAAAGCAAGTTTGCTTTTTTTTTTCCTCCGTCTGTGACGTTGCGTCGTCAAACGCCAAGAGAGGCCTCTGGTCTGGGCGTTGACGCCGCAGTATGTACATGAGTGATGTTCAAGGCAAGCCATGGCGCGACTGAACCCCCGGGGGGGGGGTTTGCATTGGCATTGGCGGCGCGCTGATTGGAGATGGCGATCAGAGAAGGAATGTGCCGCCCGGGTTGTTTCTTATCCACACGCAGATGAAACAAAAAAAAACCCCCAATATCAGATCGAGATTACGTGTCGCCCCCCCCCCCTTCTCCATCTGCCAAGTAGCCGCGTACTTGGTTTGTTGAAGAAGGGAGCAGGGGAACTACGTACGCCATGAATCTACAATAAACTTTCTTGTGCTTGCTTGGCGGAGCGAGAAGCTGAGCTTCAGTGTCCATGATGGCGTGACGTAGAAAACTGCCTGCGGGATGCCCGGCCTTGTTGAGCCATCATAGTTGGTCTCAGGGTGGTGGACAAGGAGAGGCATTTCTTGGGTAGTATTGATGAGGTGGGAGGGCATTGCGTCGCTCAAGTATTTCACATGTTGCGAAGCTACCTTTCGACAGTGTTATCACATGGACGGACATATGAAGTCAGGTAATGGATGCACTTCCTTGTGTCCGAAGTCGCGACGTCACATTCCTACATGAATACAGTATGTACATGCCGCATGCAGATCGGCTGTCACCTCGCCGTAATAAAGATGGCGCTGCTGTATATGAAGTACCAATACCAACCGTTTTAACATTGCTCGCTGTAACAACAAAAAAGGTCCTAGACAAGATGCCGCGTGCAATCTAGCTCAGATGCACCCACAATCGTTCTCGATCAGCCTCGCTCCCGCCGGCCTCGAACCTGGTCACCACCGGATCCGCCGCGTTGTTGAGCCGCAGGATGACGTCGGCCCGTGACAGCAGCGCCCTCCGGTGACCGACCACTACCTTTGTGCAGCCCGCGAACTCGGCCGCGATGACCTGCGCGACGAGCGCCTCGGCCTCGGCGTCCATGCTCGATGTCGCCTCGTCCACCAGCAGCACTCGCGAGCCGGTCACACGCCGGTGCAGGACCGCGCGCGCCACCTGTAGCAGCTGCCGCTGGCCGCGCGACAGCCGTAGCCGGGAGACGGCGGCGTCGAGACCGCCAGCCTCCTCGACGGCCGCCCACAGGCCGACCAGCCGCAGGATGTCGGCGAGGCCGGCGTCGTCGGTGGCGGTAGTTGTGGCGACGGCGTGGGAGGAGGAGGAGGAGGAGGCGTGCAGGCGGAAGGGATCCATGTTGAGGCGGACGGAGCCGGTGATCTCGAGGCCGCCTTGCGTGATGGTGGTGATGCGCGAGCGGAGGAGCTCCCGGGGCACCGTCTTGACTTCGCGGTTGTCGATGTGGATGGTCCCCGAGTATTCGATTAGATGCAGAAGTGCAAGGAGAAGCGTTGATTTTCCGCTTGGGTGCTTTGGATCAGCTGAGTGCTTTGGGATGTATGCGGGACAGAAACCTACCTTCCGGTTCTACCAATGATGCCAATGGTCTGTCCGGGCTGCACCGTGACGGAGACGTTTCTAAACACCTTGTGCGGTTTCTCCGTATCCGGCCTGGAATATGCAATGTCAGCTACACAGGACAGCGCAGAGCAATTGTATTATCAGTCAGTGACTTACTTGTAGGCTACACCCACGCAGCTGAAATCCAGCTTGCCCGCAGGCGGCCAGTCGTCCGGCACCGGCGCGCAGTCTCGCTGGGCCTCCTTGGGAGTGTTCCTCATAAAGGCCCTGATGCGAGCAACGGCGCCAAAGGCCATCTCCATGTTGACGTAGTACCGCACAAAGATGGCGGCAATCTCGCTAAAGTAGAGGAGACTGAGAAGCGACAGGCCCATGGACGCGGGCGAGGCCGTGTTGTGGAACTTGAGCGCCAGGCCGACGATGGACACTGCGCACGCGGCCGTGCTGAGGTCCATGACGGACCGTAGCCACTGGTTGATAGATATCAGGAAGTAGAAGGGCTTTTGCGTGAGGTCGAGGATCTCGTGGAACTCGTGCGTCAAGGCGTCCTGCCAGCGAAACGCGCGGATGTGCTCGATCCCAGCCGTCGTCTCCACGAGGTGCCTGGTCAGCAGCTTGGACACGTCCAGCTCCATCTCGCGCAGCTGTCGGGACGTCCGCAGATAGAAGCGCTGGATGAGGTAGACGACGAGGAGGAAGACGGGGATGATGGGGGACGCGTAGCTGGCGCCCGAGGCGATGACGCCGACGTCAATCAGCACCGAGAGGCCGCACCAGACGACGGTGATGATGGTCGTCGGCAGCGTCTGCGTTGCCATGGAAGTGTCGACGCTGAACCTGTTGAGCAGGAAACTGGCATCTTCCTCGGAGAGAAACTCGAGCGTGGCGCGGCTGGTCGTGTCCGCCAGCGCCCAGTGCAGCGCGTTGACGGCCTTGGCGTTGACGAGGTGGTAGAAGCCGCCGATGGAGAAGACGTGCATGATGGGATTTACGACGCCGAAGATGGCGTATCCCGCGTAGTACTTGTCGTTGGTCGGGTCCGTCTCCATCCAAACGCGCCCAAAGATCTGCGGCATCCGCTCCGCGACGGCAGACAGCACCAGGAGAGTCGACCAGAACAAGATCTTCAGGGTGCCGGCTGGGCCGACGAAGTACGAGTAGAGGGAGAAGTCTCCAGCGCGTATATCATAGCCGTTCGCGTCGCGGGAATCGTCGTTTGGTTTGACAGCAGGAAGATCAACAGCCTGGTTGGTCGACGCCTTGGACATGGACTCCTCTTGAACAGCCATGCGCCTCATGATTGAATCTGGCGAGAGTTCACGTGTTCTCAGAGGAGCTCTCTCAACCTCTCCATTTGTGTCAATTCGGAATAGAAGATCCGCATCAACAAGGTGTGCCTTGTTGCTGGTCGTCATGATGACTGTCGTGCGACCGTCCTCGGTCAAGCCGCTCTCGCTAAAGAGCCTGATACGGACTGTTGACGCCGTCTCTCGGTCGAGTGAGCTGAAGGGATCATCCAGTAGAATAATGTCCGCTTCCAGATAGAGCGTTCTTGCCAGCGCAATACGCGACTTTTGCCCTCCGCTCAGATTACATCCATCAGTGCCCGCGACGGTCTGGTCACCATCCGGCATCCGCTCAAAGTCTTCATCCAAAGCACAGATATACACGACTCTAGCGTACTTTGCTGCGTCAAACGGCTTCTGGCCAATGATGTTGAGCCGGATCGTGATGTTTTGGATCCAGGGCACTTGGCTGCAGTAAGCAAGGGAATCACACGCAAGCTTGACCTCGCCGTGACTGAGCCGAGCCTCTCCCAGAACAATGCTCAGCATGGTCGTCTTGCCGCATCCAACCGGCCCGAATATCATGGCAACGGTGCCAAACGGAAACCCCGCGCACACTCCCCGCAAGATAGGGCCTGCAAAGTCCGAGGTGACGCAGACATACAGCATCTCTACCGCGAGGTGAGTGCCGGGTACGTGCCTCTTTTTTATACCCTTCTCGCTGCTGATGCTGCTGCTGGAGTTGGGGTCAAGGACGAATCCTCGCGGATCCTTCCTCTCGGGGATTGCCAGGAATTCTTGAATGCGGCACAGCGCGGCAAACCCGGTCGACCAGTAGGGTATGTATTCGAGGAAGAGGGCAAGCGGCTGTGCAACAAGCTGCACAAAGGCCAGCGTGGTGAAGAATCTCGAGGCCGTCATCGGCTCCGATGAGCGACTCCAAAAGAGAGCTCCCGCGACAACCAGCACAGGAGTCACCGAGGCGCCAAAGGCGGAGAGAGTCAGAGAGGCAGTGAAGTAGTCGCGGTCTTTCATCGAGGCCCGTGTTTCGGCCTCAAACCGCTCTTGAAGATCCATAGCAAACGCTGGAGAAAGGCCCATCATCTTGATATCCTTGGATTGGGCGAGCATGTTTGACGTTGTCTCAACGCGAGCCGCAATGTGCTCGTTCCATCTGCGACGGGTAGCGAGCATTTTCTTGGCGACGAACAAGATGAGAACAGTTGCGACTATTATTTTGTAAGCAGATAAACATGAATATTCTGAGCTGTTAGCATGTTCGTTTGAAGTACATACGAATGGTAGGAATGAGGGCGAATATGGTGGCAGCCCCTACAAATCTCGACAGCATCGCTATTCCAAGACCGATTTCGAGAATGTAGGCGGTGCTTTCATAACCAAGCTCCACCAGCTGATCAACACCTTTCAAGTCGGTATTGATCAATGTGACGGCCGCTTTCTTGTTTAGTTCAGTTGCATCGAGTCTCAACGATTTGTGGTAGATGGCCGAGGCCAGGACTGCTCGCACACAGATTCTGGCTTGGTTTTTCACGTAGACATACCAAGACCGCGAGACCTACGAGCGATTGTAATTAGTGCGTGTCGAATTACGAAATGGCCAAGTCAAAATGATACATACCGCCAGCCCAGTGTAGATGATTGCCGTTGCAATCAATAGGCCATGTTCAACGTCGACGGATGGATTTGTCGTCGAAACCTCGTTCACAATATCCTGGAGCAGAAAAGGCTGAGAAAAGGTAAATCCCGTCACCAGCAGACGGGGCAACAAGACATATAAGAATGGCCAAGGTATGGCCAAAAATAGAACAATTGCCAGGGCAAATCTCGAAGTTTTCCTCGTGCGCGACTCCCACTTGCTCTCAAACTCGCGATAGAGCATGTCCGATGCAAACTGGGAGGCGAGAGCGGGGAGCGAGCTGCTCGTGATTTTATGCCGGAAGCCGAAAAGCAGCAGGGGGTTTAGCCAGATGAGCAGCGACTTGTTCCAGAAGCCGGCCAGACCCTCGCCGCCCAGCGAGGCGCGGACATTGGAGGCATGAATGAGGGACCGCTTGGAGACCTCTTCCAGTCCCATCAAGACAAACTTGAGAACAGGAACGGCAATTTGAAGTCGTGCAATCTGCACAAGGCCCGGCCGACTGTGGTAGGTCAGGGTAGTCACAATGTCAGCGGGGAGGGTAATAGTCAGGAATAGACCAAGAAACGTGGAAGAGGCAAGGAAGTTGAGGTGTCCCGAAGTGGTGATGATGGTTATACATATCGCACTGAGCAAGGAGAAGACGGCTGCGATACGACCCAGCTTCAGGTCGAGGTGGTCGAGGTCGGACGAGCACCACAAGACCAGGTTTGCTACCTGCACGGCGACGAGGGCCGTGGCAGCCGCCAGCTTTCCGAGGAGAAGCCGGCCGGGACGGATGAGAACGGGGCCGCGAATTAGTCGGTGAATATAAAAGGGTGTTGCAAAGAGTATGAGGGCGGACGGCCCAATGTGGAATATTGTGTGTTCAAAGAGGAGGGTAAAGTCAAAATGGCCCAGCAAGCGGGGGCCAAATGATGTATCGTCCATGACTGAGAGTATGGCCGAGGATTCAATGCGGAAAGCAATCCGATGTCAGGAATTGATGGTGACGGTCCAGGTTGGCGCGGGCTATGCGCGCCACCTATTGGACTCGGGGCGCCTTGAGACACGAGGCAGATGCTTCGAAACAATGCAAGAACGTATTTATAATGTTGGAAGAAGATGCAAGAAGAAACACAAGCCAACGGGGAGAATCAGGCTGTGTTGGGCAGGAAAAGGTTGCACAGAGAAAGGGTACAATAGCGACCACAGAGAGAGGTGAAGGCGTTGGGCAACAAACAAGTTAGAAGGTCAAACCATGGCTAGGGCTTCGATTGCAAAGGCCGGGGGCTGAAGAAAAGGATAAGTCAGGGTGGAAATCAAACAAGATGAAAACAAACAAATATCAGCAGTCGGGGGAGGCCGACGCCGCCGGCGGGCGAGTGAAAGGATCAGTCAGATGCACAAAAGGCCCTGAAGGCCCACGGAGAAATCAAGGGAAGCCGTTACATCGACCAGGCGAATACCGCACGCAATAAGAGGACGAAAGAAGAAGACGGAAGCAAGATACGACAAATAAATTGAATCGACATTTTGGACGACGCAGCCCCCGAACCCCCATGGCTTCCCCAGCCCGTAACTAGCTGCCTAGTCTCATGCTTGCCGGGGACCCGGGGATCACTAACTATCGAAGCAGGCAAGATAAGATGGCGAATAGTTGGTTGGTTCAGCACGGGGTAGATGCTGGAATCCGGGCAAGGGAGGAAAGGAGACGGCTGACCACAGCGAGGACGGGGGGGGGGCGACGGGGGACGGGCCAAGAGAGGGGATCCCCGGGGCGCCACTGCTTGAATAGCTCCGCTAGACGACGGGAAGGATCGCGGCCCTTGTGCTGAAAGAGGCATGACGGGGCGCTGATAGGAGGCCGATTCTCCGTTCGTTCATTTTCATTCGTGAGGGTTTCAGGCCTGTAGAGCTGGATTTTGGTTGGTCTTTGACTGGGGTTGTGGAGATCCCCAGGCCGAGTCAGCTATAACATGGGCAGGTAAGAAGAGGGCAGGTAAGAAGAGGGCAGGTAAGAAGAGGGCAGGAGATAACTCGCTCTTTCTTAACCATTTCGGACGTCTACGACGCTCAATCTGCACCCAGCTAATAGTAACTAAAATAAATACCCAGCTTGGCAGCGCAGTTGCATTCCTTGCTCCCCGCAGTCACAGCCCGCACAGGTACTTTTGTCTCAATCTCCAATCTGTACGGAGCAACCACTGCGGCTTGCATCCTGCAGGTGAGCAAACTATCGGCCCATTGTCGTCGCCCACCTTCCCTCCCCGTCCAGTCGCGCATGTAAAGATGTGAAGAGACTTTTTTTTCCCCAGTTGGCTTCTCCCCCCTCCCTCCTCCCGGTTATTTTTTACCAACAAGGCTCCGAGGGAGGCTCAGCAGGACACCTGCAGGGTAGCATCGGGCAGCCCCGTTGGTGTAGCATTTTACTTCTCGTTGCCTCGAAAAGGCCACCGCCGAGGATGCAGGTTTTGAGTTTTCTCCATACGTGTTTTCCATTGGAGGGAGTGCGTCAAATATTACGCATTTCGGTATGCGCATTATGCAAAGAGCCAAGCTGGCTCGCCCGGCTGGCCGTGGACTTGGACGGTGCTGAAAGCGAAATGAAGAGCAAATGTATAAACTTGAATAGATCCAAGGCTGGATACACGACAAAGGTCTCGGAGAATGGGGATTGCGGGTTCATCATCGGCTGGCTGCAACGTTGTCGACATCTTGTCATCCTGCCGTGCCCGCTGCGTGCCGTCCTCGAGCCACCAGAAATACCACCCCATTCAAATCATCATCAGGACAAGAATTTCCCCGTATGGCCTTTTGCCTCTGCCCAGCTTTAATGCCCCAAAACCTCCGCGCTGTCCGCAGCCTCGACCTCCGGGGCGTAGGCCATCCTGTTGGCCGGGCCAGCCGTCGAGCCCATGCGACCGCGCAGCAAAAGGCTATACTCCTCAGCTTTTTTTTAAAGCAAATCCAAGTCAGCAATTCAGAAGCATGTCATGAGAGGGATCTGTTGCCCTCAAAGCGTAGTTGACTGACCAGACATCGGCATGGCCTGCACGACAACAGCCGCGACGACGAGAGCGAAGAGCTTCTTAGCGAAGAGCATTTTGATGATGACTTCGTTTATATCTTGCGTGTTCGTTTGTATAAGGCTGTTCGTGTAGCAAAAGCTCTTACGCAGCAGCTAGCTTCTTCTTCTGCTTCGTGAAAGAGGGAAGGGTTGGTTGTAATAAAGGTGTGTAGTATTCTTCAGGTGCATGTGCCACGCAGAAATGGGATGGGATGCAGGAGGAGGGGGAGGGGGAAGATAAAGGATCAAGCGAGATACAAATTCGTGTTACACAGAGTTGGCCGAACGAACGGATGCTGCCGCCCGCCTTAACCCCTCCCCCCCCCTCCCTCTCTTGTTACGCGGCGTCCGAACGGATGAAAAGCAAACTACGAATAACAGACAAGCGTCGATCCTCGCCAACGACAACCGGGCAAGACGATGACATTCGCTCCAATAAGATCCTTATTCACGGCCTCGGCCAACGTGATGCAAACAAACAACGGCATCTTGTTGACGTCCCCTCCCTCCGCCACCTCAGCCCACATTGTTTCTGGGCCTTCCTCAACACGAGTACAGTCTGCGTACTCCGAGCGAATGAACGAGCCACCATCACCAATATCACTGCATCACGCCCCATCAATGCGGTGGTCCTGTCACTGGCCCTATTACAGGTGGCAAGGTGGGTTGCAGCACGCACTGGACTGGTCAGCACTTGCATTTGCCACGTTCCTGATTCCTGCAGCCTCATTTCCTTCATTCCATGCCCTCTTGCCTCCCTAACCCGAGTCGCCCGGTTATACTGTAATCGTCACACTGTCGCACACTCCTGCATAATGATGGGAAAGGCAAATACGAATTGATCAAGGTTAAAATAGAATTCTTCAACCGTTCTATATCGCCACGTACGCCCCAACAGCTTGTCCCAACATACGTCTAAAACTCCCATCAAAACTCAAACCATGCAACTGTGGCTGTAAGTCTATTCAACCATGATGACGCTGGCTATAAAAAACAACACTACTCAACAACTTTTTTTTATAAAGCAGAAAAGAAACACTACATAAAACAAAACAACAATCTGAAGGAAAAAGATCATGACCAATCTAATCCAGCAATGTCTAAAAAGACGCTACGCTCTGCAGAGCCGCCTGGTCGCGCCACGCTCCGCCATGCAGTCAATCGGCCACCATGCCACCCCCCCGGGAGAACCCGTGCGATTCTAGGAGGCTAGACGAAGCGACAAAGCTGAACCCGCCAAAAACGTCGTCTTTGGCAAAGGCGCCGTCCTTGGTCGACGGTGGGATGGCCCAAGGCTGCGGCGGGACGGCAATGAGCGAGGGACTGAGCGGGAGGTCCGTAAACTCGGGCGCAAAGTTCTCAGCAAGCTCCGGATCCGTAATCATGGGCTGAATGGGCGGCTCGACGTCGCGGGCGGCCAGGCGCTTCCAGTCAATCTTGCGGAAGAACCTATGGCCTTTGAGCGCTTGCAGATCCTTGGGCATGTTCGAACCGAGACGTTTGTGCGGGTCCTTGCGCAGCAGGCGCGTGAGCAGGTCCTTGGCATCGGCGCTGAGAAAGTACGGCAGTGACAGCTTCTGCTTGACAATGTTGTCCTGGATCTTTGCGTGGTTCCCGCCGCGAAACGGCGGGTTGCCTGTCATGAGGTCATAGCCGAGCGCGCCAAAGGACCACCAGTCGACCGCCTTGCCATACTTCTTGCCCAGGATCACCTCAGGCGCCATGTACTCCACGGTGCCGAGGAACGAGTTGCAGCTGTCGCTTGACTCTTTGGCGCTGACCTTGGACAGGCCAAAGTCGGTGAGCAAGAGGTGGCCATCAGCGTCCAGCAGACAGTTCTCCGGCTTGAGGTCGCGGTAGACAACACCGAGGTTGGTGTGCAGGTGCGAGATAGCGAGCAGCATTTCGGCCATGTAAAAGGCGGCAACGTCCTCGGAGAACATTTTCTCAGTGCTGAGATGAGTGAAGAGCTCGCCGCCCTGACCGTACTCGAGAATCAGGTAGAGCTTCTCGTGGTCCTGGAAGGCGTAAAAGAGCTTTACCACGAAGGGGTGCCTATTGACAGACTCGAGAATCTGCCTTTCCGTCTTGGTCTGCTCAACGAGCTTCCGGTGGACGACCAGGGACGCCTTCTTGAGCTGCTTCTGGGCGTAGAGCTTGCCAGTAGAACGTTGCTTGACGAGAAGCACGGTACCGTAGGTTCCCTTGCCGAGGCATCGCAGGGGTTCAAACTCATCGGCTGTCATCTTGCGGCGGCGAGAGGACAGGTCGCCCTGGAGCGTCCCCATGCAGCCGGGGCGGTCGCGGACGCTCTCGCTGGCAAAGTCATGCTCAAGATTCACCTCGTACTCAGTAGACGTCGTCTCGTAGCCCTCACTACCTGTCTCGCTAGGGGCACCATCGCGGCTGTGAGAGCGGCTGTCCGGTGCGCGGCCCAGAATGAAGCCATTATCGGCTCCTCGGCGTCCGGGCCGCGTGACCGAGCTCGAGCGCGAAGCGGAATCGAGGCTGAAGGGATCCATCTGCATACGAAGCTTGGCGATGCCCGAGATGCTAGGCGAGGGCGTGGGACGCATGACGGGGCTGCAGTTGGCGCTGACGACATCATCGATGCGGGGACGGCCACGTCGGTTGGCCTTGGGAATTGTCGCACGTCCAGGGCCGGTTGCAGAGTCGGAATCCTCATCACAAGACGTGACTGGCGTGCCAGGGAATCCGCGCACGATGTTGCGTGCGGTCGGGGCGGGGGGTATCATGACGTCGGTGGTGGGAGGGGATTATATTATCCAAGTGAGAAAAAGCCAGATAAGCCAAAGTCGAGATGGTATTCGTTGCCCTCCCGCTGTAAATCAGGGTGGCAAGCGCGCAGGTGGTTCGCGATGGAGTCAATTCGATCCACGACGTCGCTCGGGGTCGGCGCGCTTGGTGGTGTCGTCCTGAAGCAGGGTGTGGGCGTTGAGCTGGCTGGCAATACGCATCTGGTACTTGAAAAAGGCAGGTCGGGGGTGCGTCGGTGTCGGTGTATGCATTTGAAGGCTGGTTTGAGCAGAGGGTTCTTTGGTTGTTGAAAAGGGCAAGTTCTGGTCACCAAGAGGTGTAGGGAGGGAAAGAGAAAGAGGCGAGGGAGGCTTTTCGGTACGTCGGACAAGAAGACAGTTTTTTTTTTTCTGGTGGTGCAAAAATTGTGGCGCCGAGCCCGTGGCACGAGCCAAAAAGGCGAAACCTGCTTTGTCGACAAAAGAAATGCATGTCAGCTTAGTGGCTCCTGGGCTGGCCTAGTTCGTAGCCAGACATGATTCGCTTTCTTAATGGCTTGTTATTAATGGCTTGAATTTTATTTACAGGACAACAACCTAACAGGTACTGGTCATCTAACTTTAGCGAGCTAACTAGTGCTGGAGACAGACGAGCCTGTTAATGCGGGGAGTTGCAGAGACCGCGCTGCACTGTGGGAATGATCGCGGATCGCTGTCGGCGCTAAAAATATAAAAATACCTCTAGACCTGGTTCCTGAGCCACGCCCACAGCCACACCCACAATCACAATCACAATGTTACAATTGTGAGACATTGCCGTTTCTTCAATTGAGTGCGACATTGGAATTCGCCTATTAGATTTGATAGCGAATATAAATGAAATTACGTGAACTAAATAAAGTAAATGGATGCTCAATAACTCGTACGGGGTACTCCGTGGAAGACAAGTAAATAATAGCTGGCCATCTCTATGACATCCCGCAGCCGCACGTGGCGTAACATCACATATACCCCTCGCAATTTGACGACCACAATCACTACCATCATCCAGCAACCAACGGGCATCATCTCCATCATCAGAAATATGTTCATCCGCCGAAAAACACTCGACACCTGAAAGCGTTCTCTAGACCATACACGCACTTCAATCGTCCCAGGATCCTCCCGCATCGTCTTCCTAGCAGCAACCACACTCTGCCAGCACAAGACCCTCCAAAAGCCCTTTACCATTCTACCAATTTTTTCCCCTCAGATCTTTACATGGATTATAAATAGTTATTTTTCAGGAAGCTGAAAGGACTGATCACCATCACACGCCACGAATTAGACAACATCAGCGGCAATTTGGACTAGCCAATAGTCAGTCCATAACCAGTCGCAGCCCCGTTCACACTATGTGCAAACAAATGGCAAACACACCATCTCGCCTATCTTGGCGGGCTCAGGTGCAACTGCACGATGGAATTGGCGCAAACAAAAATTTTCCCTTTGCTACTCCGCGGCCTCGCAATGTGACCAACAATGGATAGTTCCATCACCAGTCTCAGTACCCATCACACTATCCAATGGCAAACACACCACCTCGCTGAACTAGGTGGGCTCCGGGACGACGGCATTGGCTCGACTAAACTATCCCTTTGTTTCTCGGCAGCCTCACAATGTGACCGAGGTGAAGCCTTTAACCGCCTGGAGAAGATAGTTGCGGCCGGGGAGGTTAGTCCACGCCCGGAGAGGATCGTACACGCCCGCAGAAGGCACTTTCGAGTGTATAAATATATATCTTGACTCTGCTAAGATAATGTTTCAGGTTCCCGTAAGTCTATAATAGCCCCGCGTTGCTGCAAGTTCCCGATATGCCCATCTCTCTTCCTTATCGCTTGGCGCAGCTGGCGCTCTGTGCGTCTGCCTGCTTTGCCATCCCAACTCCGGGGGGGCATTTACCCTCTCTTCAGCCCAACTGCAATGATATTGACATCAACCTCAGGGCCAGTGCTCCCAACAAGATCTTCACCTTTAATCTGACCAAGTACGGCACACCGGAGGCGACTACTGAACTGCTCGTGTCCCTCGGGACCGCTCCTACAAACGTCGTCAATGGCAACTATCGGGTCGCGGGGCGGTTCTGCTCTCCTCTGCGCGACGTCCCCGAGCGTCGACAGACCCTTCAAATACTGGTCCACGGTTTGACTTACACAAAGGAGTACTGGAATGGCCCGTCCACCCAAGCTTCCGGTCCTCCTGCCACCAACCAGTCATGGATCTACTACGCTGCAGAGCAGGGCTACTCCGTCCTCGCTGTCGACAGACTGTGCAACGGACGGTCAGCTCATTCAAATGGCAACGAAGAGTGCCAGCGGCCTCTTGAAGCCGCCATCCTCGACAAAGTTGTACAAACTGCCCGCAACGGTACCTTGCCTGGGCTTCGCACCAAATTCAACAAAATCATCTACGTCGGTCATTCCTATGGCTCTGAGATCGGAAGCTACATCGCTCGGACTAATCCGTCTGTCATTGATCAGTTGCATCTGACGGGCTACTCCGAAAACATTCTCATCACTTCGCCTGCCGTCATTCTTCGCCCAGACCTGAGACTCGCTTCAAAGACTTCCCCGTCGCGGTTTTCCAACCTCGACCCCGGCTATACCATGGAAACGGCCAGAAACGTGTCCGAGAAACTCTATTACAGCAAGGCGGCCGTGGATCCAGCCGTACTGAACTATACGTGGGCGACTCGAGGGACGGTGGCCATTGGCGAGCTGCTGACTGCCGGTGGAGGTCCGGCTCCCCAGTACAATGGTGATGTTTTCGTCATCAACGGTGACGAGGACGCTCTATTCTGCCCCGTGGATGCTGCATCGGCCGTTGCGATAAAGCCAGGCGCATGTACCGCTACAAATGCTACCGAAGACGTCGCTCACGACTTTCCTGGGGCGCGACGCTTTGGATACTTCAACGTACCCGGCACCGGCCACTCGATTGGTCTACACAAGACAACATCTCTTGCAATAGTCGCATCACATCAATTCATGGCGGAAACGGGATTCTGAGGAACTTTTTACAGCGTTATCACAAATAGGAAGTATTGGGGGTGGTGTTAGATAACTACAAGGTGTAGAGGTGCCAGTCCAATTCAGTAAATGATTGTAATACTATTCAAACTATTCTTTTAATTCAACTTCCAAATATTTGCATATTTACTTGCTGTAGTCTTTGTTTTGTACTTGGTAGAGCACCTTGTTGGTATGACTTGGTGCTCAGTCGTGTTGTTAGTATCACCTTCGAAGTAGACACATACAATACAGCTGCACCTCCCGGGTGTGTCAGACCCCAAATAGGAGGTGCTCTATATTGATCTGTAAAAGTAGCAAAATAAATTAAATTTTGGTTGAATACCCAGTGGTAAGTCTCATTTGCGGTCGCAGAGCATTGCTGGTAGCCTTACTGCAAACAAAGATCGCACTCCACCAGGTGTCTCGCGCTGTTGTCGCGACTGGTGGAGCAGCAAGCTTCTTTTTTTCAACCGCTTCCTTCCAGCAACACTTGGCGTCGCTGCCTCATTGTGACACATATCCATACGGCACGATCTACGGGGATTCCCTGCCATCAATTTTCAAGATAACAAGGCTTATACGGCACCGCTAGACTTGCGACACCGGACAGAGCGGCCGCCGCCAAGATGATGCACCCGTCGAGGCAAGCCCGCGTCGATGACGAGCCCATGTCAGGTATTGCGCTCGAAGATCTCCCCGAAGATCACGACTACCATATCCCCACGAACATCGCCGGCGCGTCGTCCGAAAAAGCATCCGCCATCCTTGACCAGCTTAATCGCAAACGACTCGCAGCTACCATCGCTGTCCCCACCGACGATGGACGTGTACGAGCAAAGCTCCGCGAGATGGGCGAACCCATCACCCTTTTCGGAGAGGGTCCTGGCGACCGACGAGACAGACTGCGCGAGCTTATGACGATTCAAGTCGAGCAGGCAGGCGGCGAGGCGGCCGACGTCACCATGGAGGACGCCGAAGAGGACGAGGACGAGGCGGAGGAAGAATTCTACTCTCGCGGCGGTCCGGCGCTTCTTGAGGCGCGCATCAACATTGCCAAGTACTCTCTGCCGAGGGCCAAGCAACGGACAGCCTTTCAGCGGCTTGAGTGCAAGATTCCTCTGCGTTCGCAGGTAAAGTTCCGCAAGCACATGAAGGAGCGACTTGCCGCGTTTGAGCTGCAAGGCAGCCAGATTGTCGGTGAGCGCAACATTAGCATGACGAGAATGTCGCCCAACAGCGAGCTTGTCGCCGTCGGGAATTGGGGCGGACAGGTCAAGCTCCTCGGGGTGCCAAATCTCGATGAAAAAATGACATATCGTGGACATACAAACAAGATTAGCGGCATCTCCTGGTTCCCCGGCGCTACGTTGCCCGAGTCCGGTGTGTCTTCTGATGCGGTCAACTTTGCATCGGGCGGCGCAGAGGGCCTGATCAACCTCTGGTCCCTGAACCAAGACACGCCGCTCGCCACCCTGCAAGGGCACTCGCAACGTGTATGTCGCGTGGAGTTCCACCCATCGGGGCGATACCTTGCGTCAGCTTCGGAAGATACGTCTTGGCGACTCTGGGATGTCGAAACAAGCAAGGAGCTTCTGCTACAGGAAGGCCACTCAAGAGGCGTCTACGCCGTCAGCTTCAACAATGACGGGTCTTTAATAGCCAGCGCTGGGCTGGACAGTATCGGAAGAATATGGGATGTGCGATCAGGCAGGACCGTTATGATCCTCGACGGCCACCAAGACGGCCATATCAAGCCCATTTACGCGCTGGATTGGAGCGCAGACGGACACAGAGTGCTGACTGGATCGGCCGATGGCTGGATCAAGTGCTGGGACATCCGCAAAGTGCAGAGAACAGGGGGGTTTGGCGCCCACAGCAGCGCCATCTCGGACGTGCGCTGGTTCAAGGGCCTGGACGACCCGTTAGATGGCATGCCCCTGCCGTTGGACGACAAGGGCGTGCAGACACCGAAAAAGACGGGCACATTCGTGGTATCGGCTGGCTTTGACCACAATGTCAAAGTCTTCTCCGCGGACGACTGGAGCATAATACAGACTCTCAGCGGCCATACAGGCCCAGTCACCTCGGCCGACTACAGCAGAGACGGCAGATGGATTGTAAGTGGTGGACACGACCGCACTGTCAAGCTGTGGGGACGGAATGATGGTGAGGCTGCATAGACGGGCATCATGCCAATGCCGCCTGGCCGTAGGTTCAAATAAATAAATTTTAGAAAAATAATACAAAGATACCCGAAATCGGACACGACCAACCTTGGAATTAATTGCTTTTTGCCTTTCAAAACTCGAGGCTTTTTCCGTGCAGAGGTTGTCGTTGTTTGTTACACAGTTGGCAAGTCACCTGATTGGCTGGCGGAAGCACCAAGCCAGCCCGACTTCGCGCAGATGCATTGGGGCGTCATGGACCCCTGCGGAAAGCCTTGATTGAACCTCCATCAGCGCAATTCGCACACCATCACCCTCCGCCAACATTTTTTACTTGGTCGAGTCGGTTTCCCCCATGCGGCAGACGGATCAACCTTTTCCCCTTTGCACCCAGTCGACGTGAGAACCGCAACGCGCCATACACACGACGAGCCAACTCCTCTTCGCTCTTCCCTCCCCGGCTCCAAACCCGCCGGAATGGCTAGCATCGATCGATACCGGCCCCCTCGCGAGGGCTACCAGCCGCCCGCAGTGACGAACGCCGCTCGACAAGAACAGGCGCCCGCGCCCCCTGGGCAACCGCGATCGCCGCCGCCGCCGCCGCCGCCAGGGCCGGCACACGCCCGCCGCGGCGTCGGCGCCGTCAGGGTCTCAAACGCCGCTGCCGGGCGCGAACCAGTGGTCCTTCTCGCCGGACGAGGTGCTGAGCACGCCGTCGGTGTTGGACGGCCTGTCGCCCGAGGAGGAGCGCCTGCGCCGTGCCAAGGGCGTCAACTTTGTGTACCAGGCGGGCGTCATGCTCGACCTGCCGCAGATCACGCTCTGGGTGGCGGGCGTCTTCTTCCATCGCTTTTACATGCGGTGCAGCATGGTGCAGGAAAAGGGCGGGATACATCATTATGTAAGTTCAGGAGGACAGGTTGGGGAGAGAAAAAAACAAGAGTGAGACTGACCCGGACATACTCCCGCAGAACATTGCCGCGACGGCACTATTCCTCGCCAACAAGGTCGAGGAAAACTGCCGCAAGACAAAGGACATTATCATTGCCGTTGCCAAGGTCGCGCAGAAGAACGCCAAGCTCATCATCGACGAGCAGAGCAAGGAGTACTGGCGCTGGCGCGACAGCATCCTGACGTACGAGGAGGTGATGCTCGAGCAGCTGACCTTTGACGTCATGGTCGACAACCCCTACCGCAACCTCTTCGAGCTGCTCGGCAAGCTCGACATCGTGCACAACAAGCACCTGCGGCAGGCCGCGTGGGCCTTTTGCAATGACGCCTGCCTGACGGCGCTGCCGCTGCTCGTTGACGCGCGCGACGTCGCCGTCGGCGCCATCTTCTTCGCCAGCGCGCACACGAACCAGCAGATCGACGACGTCCGCGGGGAGCCCTGGTGGCGGTACCTGCGCGGCGACGAGGCCCGTTGCGCGACCGCGGTCGAGGTCATGCGCCAGTTCTACACAGAGAACCCGCTGCGCAAGCAAAACCCGAGCTTACCGTCGCCGGCGTTCCACCTGGAGCACACGCGTCGTAAGGGGGACGCGGCCAGTGGCGGCGCGGGGTCGGGGACGGACCCGCTGCTGTCGCCGAATAACGCGAGCACACCGTGGGACAGGGAGAGTCACAGCCCGGCGGCGCGGACCAACGGGGACGGTAGCAGTGGCGGCGCGGACAGGAGGTTGGCGGACCCTCCGCGCTCGCAGCCTGATGGGGACACGCCTAGGTCGACGACGGTGAAGAGGAAGGAGGCGGACGCCGAGGCGCTGGGCGACGGGGGGCGGTCCGAGAAACGACCCCGGATGTCCGAGGATGAGGGCGAGGTGGAAGAGTGAAGAAGAGGTGTGGTGGTCATGAGATTTTGAGGTTTCAAGGGGGCTTACAGACATCATTTCATTTTTGAGATATTATTTCTTTTCACGGATATGCATAGCGGCGTTGGGTATACCTGGGTTTGACTTTTCACTGCTACAGTGCCCTCATGGCGGGCCGGCCATTTCTTGTTCCTTCAACCTCTTTTCCTGAAGGGGATGGCAATGTTGGAACAAGGCTGATGTATTGTTTATGAAAGCAGTCTTTTTTGGAGAATCAGGGAATATGAGAACAGGAGATTAAAAGAAAGAAACAGCAAGCAATTGATTTGTATTATGCGTCCTGGTTCAATGTGGCTCTTTGGTGCGGTGCAGAAGTGTGCGTCTGCTTTTGTCCATGTCGCTTGCCAAGAGTCTGTTCATCACATAGGTCAACCACCGACTTCCGACCCTTCTATGCTCGGGAACGATGGCAACGAAGGAGGTATTGAAGTGCGAGGGAAGAGAAGACTCAAACGGCTTCGATATCTACTACCAGGGGCCGTTCATGGAAGATGTTCGCCTTGGCAAGTCAAAGCAAGAGATGTGACTCCGCCCAGACATACTCTGCACGGATGCCCAATCAATCCTGAACTCTTCTCTTTTTTTACAGTTTATCTTCTATTTTCATGTCTACATGTTTTCTACTGGCTCTCAACTACCCCCACATCTCGTCCGCACCAGTCCTCGACGTGCCGCTTGAACGCCTGCAGGTAGTTGTAGAACGTCGTCGTCGAGCACCACGCCACGTGCGGCGTCACCACCAGGTTCAGCACGTCCGCCTCCGCCGCGTCCACCCTGAGCAGCGGGCTGTCGCCCTCCCGCCAGGACGCGCCCGCGAGACGTTGAGCAGCAGCGCGTGCCGCGGCATCGCCTGCAGTTCGGGCGCCGATATGAGGCCGAGCGTGTCCGGGCCGCGCGGCACGCAGAGGACGAGCACGGTGCTCCGGGCGAGGACCTGGGAGAAGGGCGCCCTGTCGGGGCTTGCTGGCGCGGAGCCTTTGCGCGCGGCGACGAGTACGTTCATCCCGAGGGCGCGACACAATTCCGCGACACGACGGCCTATCACGTAGAATTCGGTTAGCCACAGACATGTCTATTCTTCATTCTCGGGTATTTTGGGACTTACCAATCGCACCATAGCCCACGATACCGACCGTCTCGTCCCTGCACGTCATTGGGGGGCGTCCCTCAGGGTCGTTAAGCGCGAAAGTCAAGGAGTACTTTTTCGGCCACTCATCGGTCCTCAACATGGTGTTGTGCGCCCGGATGAGGTGGCGACGCCCTGCAAAGTACATGGCCAATACGTGGTTGGCCACGGTTTCCGTGTTGGCATTGGGGCAGTTGACGACCTTGATGCCTCGCGCCGCCGCCCTGTCCGTGTCGATGCAGTCGGTGCCGGCGGCGATGGCCACGATCAGCTGGAGGTTGGGGGTGTTGTTCACATCCAAGGCGGTGCCTTGTATCGGCGTGATCGTTGTGGCGACGATCGTCGCGTCTCGTACGGCATTTTGGATGTCCTCAGCAGAGGTCAATTGTGTGGTGTGGCTGATGAGCTCGTAGGTGTGTGGCCCAGGTAGCTGGAGCAGGTTGGGTGGGATGAGAACATTCCAGGCGTCCAAGGCCACGATTTTATGATGCATTATAATAGTATATCTTTGCTTAAACAACAAATTCGTTATCTTTCGTAAACTGAGCACATAATGAAGATGTTGATGAGGCACTCGTTTTATGGTTCTGGCTTGTCAATGATATCCACTGTTGTCATCGATCAAAGGGCGCGCCATGAAATGAATGCGGTGCAACTTCAAGTGGAGGCTACATGTCAATCAAGAAAGCCAATTTTGTCTACCAATGTTGGTCAACTCCTGGAAGAATAAAGTTGGGTGAGGAGGATGAATACCACTTATAGGTCTGGTAAATTGCATCCCCTTTTCCAGGGCCACGTCGAGTGTCCTGCTATCATCTCGAGGATTATCCGGGCGCTAACATTGGAACGACCACTGAGAGTGAGCCTTTTCATGAATGATACAAGCTTTGGAGTGCCGACTTTTGCTCCGCTGGGTGATCAAATTGGTCACGTTTTATCGTTGCTTGTGCTCCAATTCTTGTCGAGACAGGCTTACTGACGCGGGCGCAGTTTCCGTTCCATTTGGAGATGGCTTCGCACACCAGACTGTTCCCACCAACGCCACGACCAAAGACGATTATTTTTCTCTGTTACTTGGGTCAAACTACTCACTGCTACTACCAACTATTTCTTCCGGGCAAAAAAAGAAAGGGAAGAGGCTCGGCCCTATTGTGCTGCGAGCTACATAGGTAGGAGGTAGGTAGTACGTTTCACTGAGAAAATTCAGCTACCCTGTATACATCATCTGAACTGGCGATGCAAGCTGTATCGAGGGAAAGGGAAAGGGGAAATGGTAGCAGGTCACCATGGGTATCTCGCATCACGCTCCTCCGAGCTACTGAGGCGTAGGGGTCGTGTTTTCGCGATGTTATTGCGGTCAAAAGGGTCGTGTTCGCAAAAGTAGAGGATGAAATGCAAACACACAGAGAGTGGCGGCTAGCAAACTACGCCGCGGACACCAGACCACCTTATTTTTTATTTTCACAGCTCAATGTAGCCCTCATCATTTCATAACCAGTCCTTGTGCACATATTAAGTATTTATGCATTGCACAGAGCTGAGGTTGCGATGGTGAATAACAGCATACAGATATGCATGTGAGATGGAGTTGGTGACTGCACAATTTTTTTGAACCGACAAGAACCGAATTGGCGGTCAGCCAGCCTAACACACAGCGGATTGGGCCGAAGCACCGAGATTAAATCATCCACAATTGACTAATTGACCCAATGAACAATTCGCATTTGTCTTGCCATCTCCGTTTGCACGCTCCAACCCTGCCAGCCGCGACCAGGCAACCCTGCGGCTGGCACTGCTGCCTTCTCCGGGTGGAGCTCGTGTCACGCCAGATTCTGCCGCGTCGAACTCACCGCCCGCTGCACAAGTTCTATAAATTTGCGTCTCGCCGCCCATCTTTTTGAATTTTTTCTTTCTTTCTTCTTTAGCTCTCTTTGCCTATTGGCTTAGATCAAGTGTAGTATCTGTTCTTTTCAGTTTAATCTCTGAAACGTCTCTACTGAGACATTTATTGATTATTCCTATTTTTGGCCTTCGGATGGTTTCCTCTGTGCTTGCACATGATTCCGTCCACAGTGTTCCTGGTATTACACTGCCTCCAGGTAACGCGAACCTTCTTTCTTTTCATTGCTTGCGTTTGGCTTGCCAACGCGGTGAAGAAGAGATGTTTCTTTTCATCTTATGTTATCAGGACTTGGTCATGTTGCTGGAAACTGGTCGCTGACTGGGTGTCGCGTATGCTGAAAAAATTGTGATGGCTCGCGTTGCAGCAGAGCTGCCGCCATAGCGTTGGACTGGGTTCCCGTAGCTGCGTAAAGACGACTGGAATGAACAATCGTCTCTTGCTTCTCTTTTCTTTTATTCTTTGCCTTCGCAAAAGTGATCAACTGCTCGCCGCCAATCAAGCTGCCTCTGCGTGGACCTGAGCTGTGTTGCATCCGTTCCCCTCCTCTGGCCATAATATTTTGGTGCCCCTCCACCAAAACAGCCCAAGAGACAAGCTCCCCCCACAGTCGCAGAGAAACGCATCCTCATTGCAGCACCAGCGCGACGACAGAAAACCCTGCCCGCGGCATCGGCCCCTGACACGAATCGGAGCTCGGCACAAGCACGATGGCCTCTCTAGGGAGCTACCTCAACAGTAAGTTTCCCCGCTGCTGCTGCTGCTGTCGCTGGGATGCACTGCGACGGTAACTTGAGCCCGTTCGAGCTAACTTTGCGACCTTAGAAAAGGTCCTCATCGTGACGGCCGACTCGCGGATCCTGGTAGGCACGCTGACGGCCTGCGACCACTCTACAAATATAGTACGTCGACCCCGACAGACCCGTTGGCCGCGCTGGAAAGCTTCGAGACTGTGGAAGCCCGAGTCCGGTGGGCAGGCAAACGGAAAGTTGCTGACCTTTGTCCTCGTTCTAGGTACTCAGTAATGCTGTCGAGCGAATCATCCGGACGCCAGACGACCCTGAACCTTCGGCGATCGACCCTCTCGGCGTCTACATCGTGCGCGGCGACAACGTGTGCTCAATAGGGCTGGTCGACGAGCAGCTGGACGATAGCATCAACTGGACAGAGGTCAAGGGCTCGGTTATAGGCGGTATCAAGCATGTCTAGCGCAGCTATGAACAGTTGGAGTCGCAGAGCATCATGGTGGCATGCCGTCTAGGTGGGAGCCAGCTGCTCAGTCAAGGCTTCCTCTGAGCAACGCAAACCGCTGGTGGCCGCGAGGGTTGGGCAGCATTTGCATTTCTCCTGTGGGCACTCTTATTTTTTGTCACGATCTGTATTGGATTTAGTCTCTTGCGCGTTAAAGGGAATACGGCGTTTTGCTATTTAACTATTTGGAAACAACTTGGAAGCTGTGGCACAGGCAGCCGCAAGTGCTAACGCAAACAAACAAACACCATTACTTCACATCTTAGGGAGGCGAAAGCTCGAAGCGTCTTTCAATCTAAATAAAATATAAATATCCTAGAATCTCAATTCTTCTCTACCATTCTATTTATTTACAAGATATTACGCTACCAGCCCAAAGACGCGCTGCAGCAGCACCTCCTTGAAGATTTCCTCGCCCGGCGTCCCCACGACGCGGTAGATGCGGTTGCCCCTCAGGACGCTCAGCCAGCCGAGTTCATCGCCGTCGACGGCGTCCAGCCTCAGCACCTCGGGGTCGTTGCACGGATCCGCCGACGCCCGGAACGCCGCCTGCGCAGGCCGCAGTTTGCCGCGATGGTCGACGATGTGCATGCCGCGCGACCACTGGCCCGCCGTCTCGATGCGGATATCCTCGGCCTCGGTCAGCTTCCACCGCGGGTCCTCCGCGCTCGCGCCGAGCACGTACCACACCGTCATCGGGTCGTGCAGCGACAGGCCGGCCGTGGTGTCCGACCCGAGGATGCTCGCGATCTTGTCGAACGCGCCGCCGACAAAGTGCCGCACCCACGTGCCCAGCGGGCTGCCCGACTCCACGACTGGCGCCATCGTCTCCGCAAAGTACGTGCTCGTCAGCTCGTGCTGATCGGTGATGTCGAGCGGGCAGAGCACGACGCGAAGCGGCCGCGGAAGGTTTGCGGGATAGGGTGGCAGCGTGGTGCGCGGCGTGGTCGGCGGCAGCGTGGCCGAGGGAGTGAAGGAGCTGAGGGCGAAGAGGCGCGCCGTGGCGACGGCGTCGGCATATGTGTTGAACTCGGCCACGGGCGTGATGTTGCCCTGCACGCGCACGGCGCCGCCCATAACGACGACCTCGCGCGCGCGAAGGAAGGCCTCCGGGTCCTCAGACGCGGCGAGCGCCGCGTTAGTCGTGGGACCGACGGTCAAGATGGTGATGCTGTCGACGGGGTTCTCGCGGAGCAGCCGCAGCATCTCCTTGTGCGCGGGCTCCCGCGAGGGCGTGAAGAGGGGCGAGATCTTGTCTAGGTCTGTCACGGAGGAGCCCTGCTCACGGAAGATGTGCAGCCACTTCTCGGGAGGGCTAAAGTCTGGGAAGGTGGAGTGGACGTTGTGGAGGCCATCCAGACCGTCTTTGGAGAGAGGGTTGTTAGTTGATGGCGTTTGGGTCACATTGGCTAGGAGAGGCGACGTACGGAAGTGGTCATACTTGAGATCCGTTTCTTCCAGAGGATGCTCGGCGCCAAGAGCGACCAGAGGCTTGCATGCCTTGAGGGACTCGAAGCCTTCAGGACGGCCGTTGGCTTTGCGCCAGGCCATCTCCTTCTCAATGACCTGCATCATGCCGACGACGTTGCGTCCGCAGCTGTGGTGCCTTGTCAGCAACAGTATGTAGACGTGTGGAGCTGGGATAAGGCACTCACCATTCGAGAGGGACGTTTCCATATGTTACGGAGATCATGATAACCTCAAGCTCCTCCTTACTGGCGCTGAGAGCCAACAGCATGGCCAGAATATCGTCCACGCCTAGTCATGATTAGCTGCGGGAATGGACCGGTGACGCGGAGGCAGTACCTACCGGGATCAGTGTCGATAATGATCTTTCTGGGAGCCATGGTGTATGTTTAGTGCAAAGGCAACTGTATCAAGAGAAGCAAAAATGAGAGAAAGCAAGTTGGAATAAAATATTCAAGAGGGAAGAGACTGTGCAGTGCCAAGTTAGCGGGTATTGGAAAGGCTTGTGGAGAGACCCCGCAGCCTCGTCCTACTCGGTGCAAGAGTACGCCGAAGGGAATCTTTCGCTTGTTAGGTAGGCCCCTGGGATCTTACGGTAAGTCTTGATCGGGGAGATTTTGAGTTCGGTTATCTTGGCCCAAATTTTGGGTTGTGAGAGTTTAACTCAGGCACGAGTCCGAGACGCCTTCTTGGTACGGCTGTATGGTGGGGTTGCGGCGCGGGCGTCTCCGGCCGCGGAGGGGCTGCTTTTTGAGTATCTCGACGAGAGTAGAGTTTGGCAGAATAAATGTGATCAAATCTTGGGTCTCCTAGAAGTGAATTTGCAAATACAGCTAGCGGAACTGGGGTATGTTCTTGGGCACGCCTGCAAGAATGTCCCTTCGCCAGATGGTGAGGATCAAGGCCAGCTTACTGCGCGCTGTATCGTGTGGCATATCGGGTTGTATCTCCGCAACACAGCCGCTTGGGGGGATATGCACGGTGCATAGATAGCTTTTGATACATCTTTGATTTGTGCGGTGTAGATCGAGACTCAGCGAACTAGAAAGCTAGTTGGAAAGCTGGGCTGCAAGGCTTGCATGAATAAACGCCACCAAAGTGGCAAACCAAGACATGTCGTGCAATACAAGAGATGCCCTTGCAGTGGCATTGTGGCATGCAGATGTCGTGCCTTGTTACCCACTTCATCTCGCTGTCTATTCAATATTCACAAGGTAAAGATCTACACGCGGCGCTGCATACACGGCATTTCTTGTTTAGTTTGATGGTTGGGACGGCTGTCGGCCCTTGGGTAGATGCAGAGTTGTGGCCCAATCTTTGGTCTGATATGATGACGATGCTTCTATCGTGCCATGGTTTCAACCATCGCAAAAGAGGAGTAGGAAGAAGCTACTACGTAGCACGGTCTTCCTGTGTTGATCCTGTGGAATGGTTTCATGGGCCTTGGGCTTCCGAGGCGTTGTGCTACTGTAGACATTAGTCATTATGTGAATGTTTCTGAGTCGAAATTCAGCCTACAAGTCTTCAGTAGAGAGGGAAAGAAGACCACCACGGGATGCCCGAGAAGAGGTCCTACCAAAACCCATACAATATGAACCCTCTTGTATTATAGGGATATGGGCTGAAGGGGCGAGAAGCAACGAACGGGGTGTTGCGATGAAGAGCCGAGTCTCACATTTTCAAAGCTGCTGCGACTACTCTTACGACAGGACACCACTTCAAGTCCTCCGATGAGTCAAGGCGCCTGTTGAAGGAAAGGCTGTGTTCATACCAGATGCCTGCGTGTCGGGCGCTGCGCCAGAGGAGTGACTGATGCTGACAGATGTTGGTAAGCGGCACCTGCTCAGACGCCGTATAATTGGAGCAACACTGTCTTAAAACTGGCAAGGTCAGCACAACGAAATCACGGCCCTATGTGCAAGGAATTGCCGAGCTCCTTGGCGAAGACATCGTCGACCATGGTACATGAACCATATCTGACAGGATGATGAGCCAGCTGATAGCTGCCAGTCATCGACTATCCCGATGACAGCCCCACCGAAGCCAACCGAAAGCCAAAGTCAATTCTCTCTTGGGCGCGATGGGCCGGCAAGGAAGTTTTGCCGCCCATGAAGCCAGGAGCAATCCGCATCTCTATCCATGGCCTTTCCTCTTGCCAGTAGGCCAGCCGCGCAATGAACGGCGGCGGCGGCTCAGCCACGCCCCGACACGCCCAGCTAACGATTGACGCGACTCATGCGCTCGACGACTGGCGGAGGAAGTATAGCCACATGTTCATAGGCCGCAAGGGTAGGACCTGGCGATCCTGGCAGGGAGCGTTGACGAGGGTCCTGGGCAGGGAGCTGCTGTGTGAGGACATTGATGCTCTGAGTGGCGTGGGCGGCGAGGTGTATGGCTGCAAGGGAGGCGTTGGCAAGACAATGTTGGTTGTGTGAGGGTGACAAAGCGTGTTGCCAGCTGTCAACTTTTAGTTCGTGGTATTGTTGGGAGCTCGGGTGCAGTGGCGTGATTAACGTGGAGTCTCGGCCGCCAAATCCGAGACCCAAATCATTTTCACTCTTCGTGTTGGAGAAAATCTAGCTGCTGAGGATGATTGACTCGGTAGCCGGCGTGCATATCAAAAGTCTAGAGTACGCCATTTGTGTGTCTCTTTGTGTCCGCGACGTCAAATGTCAGGTACGCGGCACTTGGGAAAGCCAAGGGTCGAGGCGGCCCCGCTTTCCCCTGAAGCCCACCAAGTTGGCATGCAACCAGACGCAATGTTCTGCCAGAGCCTGACTCCCTGTAACTTGGGGTTGCTTTTGCCGTCTTTTCTAACATTTCATTATAAGTTTGCATTGATTTTAGGGGCTAGGACGGGAGGCTAATTGGCAGTTAGCGTTCAATTCGCCCTGCAAGTTGCAGCGCCGCCCTGGACTTGACACCTTTACGCCACAGCACTTCTCAGCACCGTTTACGTGTCCAGGCTGCGTGTGGCTCGGGCCTAGCTGAATTAGGTTTAGTGGCCTGTCTTCTTCACCAGCCTGCCCTTTGACTGGCCTTTCTTTTTGCCTGGCTATCTCTCGACTGGCGACGTAGCCAGAACGCCATAACCACACACACAAACTCACTTTAAACTTGTTGGCACAACCTCTCTGGGCCACCTTTTTCTCCCATTGAGCCATCCCCTTCTTTCTCCATCCTCCCTTGCCTTCAGCCATCGTCCCCTTCCCTCCCGGCTTATCGCCCGGATTCTCATCTTTAATTCTTCCTTCCATCGTCCCCTTTTTTCCCGAAACCGCCTCCCGTGCGCCTCCTGTTCTCCAACGGCCACGTAGCAGTCCTATCCCACCTTTTCCACAATACAGCAACTGTGCGCCTGGCCATCGGCGACTCGACCATCTTCATCGATTAGCCGCCACTACCAGCGCGGCTGTATCCGAATTGGATTGCCTGCAGACCATCTCGACAACGACAGCGGCTCACAATCACTCGACAACCTACGCCGAGACGATACCCCGTCATCGCGCTTATCCTCGCTTTCGCCATCATCCGCCCCGACACAAACAACCGTCATCATGGCCGACTCTGGAATGAACGTCTTATACACAGTTGGTGGCTACGCTGCCCTCGCGGCACTCGGCTACACTGTATACCACTATTCCACTGGCTCTGATGTCAAGAGGCGAGCAGCCGCTGCAAAGGCCAAGGCTTCCCAGCCCGAAGTTCGCAAGGAAGATAGGAAGAAGAAGCAACGCATGGAAGCTTTTGCACAAGAGACCCAGTCGGCCTCCAAAGCTGCCCAGGCTGCCCTTCCAGAGGTTAAGGAGCCCGAGGCCACCACAACCACCATCCGTGACACCATGGACGACTCGGCCGCCAACCGCGAGTTCGCGAAGCAGCTCTCCAAAGCACAAGAGGGTACAAAGTTTGCCGCCAGATCTGACGCCAAGCAGCGCGAGAAGTCTGTCAAGCAGTCCAAGGCTGGCCAGATTGACGCCACCAAGGCCACCAAGACCGAAGCTCCTGTCCCGGCTCCCACTGCCCTTGTTCAGCCGGAAGCCCCTGCCGATGTTGAAGAGCTGGTCGAGGAAGCGACTAGCGCTGCGCCCGCTGAGGCTGGTCGCGTCGATGACATGCTTGAGCCCAAGGCCCCTGCTCCCACTGTTCTGCGCATCAGCGAGTCCTCCAAGCCCAATGAGCAGAAGAAGAAGGAGAGCAAACCGGTCGAAAAGGGCGAGACCAAGAAGCAGCGCCAGAACAGGAAGAAGGCCGAAGCTGCCAAGGCTGCCCGCGAGGAGGCCGAGACTGAGCGCAAGGCTCTCGAGGAGAAGCAGCGTCGCCAGGCTCGTGTTGCCGAAGGCCGTGCTGCCAAGGATGGCTCCCAGTTCACCAACGGTGCCGCCACCGCATGGAAGCAGGGTGCCCCTAACGGCGCACCCAAGACCAATGGCGAGCTGCACGCGCCTCTTGACACCTTTGACACCACCTTGGCCCCTGCCCAGCAGACCAATGGAGCTGTTAACGCTGCGCTTGCTGTAGTTGAAGAGCCTGTCAAGCAGGAAGAAGAGGAGTGGAGCACCGTCAAAACCAAGAGCTCCAAGAAGAAGGCAGCAGCTGCTAGCAACTCCGGCGACGAGGAGCCCGCCGCTGCTCCGGCTGCTGCCCCGCAGGCCAAGCCTGTAACGAAGCAGGTTGCTCCCAAGACGAACGGCAACAGTGCCAACACCAAGAAAGCCTTTGGTGGCTCCTTCTCCGCCTTGACGAACGACGACGCCGAGGAAGAGGAGGAGGAGGAATGGGACGTCTAATCGCAAAGCAGCGACCTCGTGTGTACTGGCCCTCGATTTCTACGAATGGCCATCGGAAGCACTGGCGAGGAGAACGCGAGGATGGAAACTGAAAGCAAAAACCCAATATCCGAAGCCAAAGCCACATCGCGAATTGTTTCTTGTATCATATTCAGTGGTGCCAGAGCCGCCACTGTTGTCACTGTCACGTTCCTTTTTTGCACCATCTCTTTTTTTAACTTGAACATTTTGATATTGAAAAACAATCATGGATAGCGTCAATGGTGGAAAGAACCACCATGGGACGGAGAAGCAAACAGCCACAAGACGAGAACATCAGCACGAATATGAGCCTTTCACTTGAGCCTCGAGCGGCACTTAGGGCATGGATGCTGGTGAGGGCGGTGAGAGTCGACGGCCGACCCTGCACAGGCACTGGATATTGCTTGCAGATGAGAAGTCTAGTTTGCAGAGTACCTTTGCAACGATGAGCAACGCATGGGCAAAAATGGGGGAAGGAAAAGGCAAGGGGTAAAAAATTGGTTGGTTTGTGTGCGGTTGTATGTGTGGGTGTGTATTTGTCGCCCAAAAGCGGGCTTGTGAAACAAAATCTCTCAGTGGTAGCCTTAAAACCTTACTAACAAGTCAAAATTGAATAAGATGATTGCTTAGGATGGATGTGAAAATGATGTACTGTAGCCAATGATTGATAGCCAAGGCTATGCGTGGTTATATTGTGCTGGGCCACGCGAGGCAACAATGTATCATGTGGCTGAGGCACCTGGGATGAGTTGCCTAGATGGTGAGCTGGCAGTGACTCTTGACAGCAACAACCAAGTCGGCAATTGCCTTTCATATACTTTTCTTTCTTCTCTAGCAAACTGATTGATGGTGGGGAACATGTCACAAGTTCTCATGATCTGGCGGATTAGCCCGGGGCCGGGGAGCTAGCGACTTGAGATATGTAGTCGTTGCGACTCGACGACATCTCACGAGAACAGGGGTTCGGATGCCCACTGCAGCGCGTTAGCTCATGGTTTCTGTGGCCAGTGAAAAGCGAGGAGATGGGCAGCTCTCTCCGCGATTGATCGTGACAGGGCTGCATTGGGTACTGGTTGCTGAAGAAGTGGGGTGTGCGTGTGTTGGCGATGATCTATTTAGTGTGCTTCGGCATCGACTTGTACATGCTTCTTCGAATATCAGAACTACTCGGGGCCGGTAAGCTGGTGTTGGTGCAGCTGGTGTCACACGGGAGGAGGAGAAGGGGGGGGGGGATGGCGGAATACTACTACGCTACCACTCGCTGACGGCCTATCACGGCGCAACGTTTTGCCTTGCTTGGAAGGGCGCCGTAGCATAATGCTGATGGGGGACGAAAATGTTTTGACTTGTCTGCTTAGTGTTGGCTGTTACCAACTTGTTACCAAGTGCGAGTCAAGGCTAGCGATATGCGCATGTGGTTATTATCAGGCAGGAGCCATAGCAGGCGCAGACGTCGTTCGTCTGGGGGACGATCGTGTTTGAATGTGGGAAACTTTTGGACAACAGTCAAAAGATTGGCACACCAAGGATTAATGCCTGTTTTTTGTGTATAATAAACTCTCTTCGTAGCTGAGGGAGAGGTGTGTCCACAACAGGAAGAAGTCCCTTTTATTGCGCGCAAAGGGAGGGTGGGGTGTGGACTAACTAACTACCTAGTACAGATGAGCTTGTTATAAGTTATAGGGATGAGGAGGCGTTCATGGAGTGGCTCGAGGCTTGCGATGAGGGAAAATCCTGCGGGGTATCCGAGAAGGAAGGGAGAGGGCCCAGAGAAGTTGTTCCTTTGAAGCGAGGTTGGCTCTGGCCTCCATGTGGTGTTTGCGCACCTTTTTCGCCATTTGCATGTGCCTGTACATGTGTCTAATCTAGTGGTCGATCCTCGGGGAGGATAAGACGGATAGCGTCATGGCTTCGGCAGAGAGGATGGCGGGGTTCGAGAAGGGAGACTGGAAAGAAGAAAGAAGAATGAAGAGCGAGAAAAGCAAAATACAGTGATCTCGTGACCTGTTCTGCAAACAGTTTCTGTGTGTTTCGATACTGTGCGATGTTTGTCAGTGTTTGCGGAGAAGAAATTACAAACATGCAGGCGGGTGTGGCTTTTTGTGCGCAGCAGGGCGCCGAAATGGGCAGGTATAGGGATAAGGGACGCAATATTGTGGTCTTTTAATTGTACAGGGGTGAGGGGCTTGGGCAAGTCTGGAGAAGGGAAGGGATGCGGAGAGGAGGGCATATTGGGTATACTACTAAGTACAAATGCATTGATGCCCAGGGATAAGAATAGACGCTTTTGAAACGCATATGGCAGACTTGGGCGTCATGATCCATGCCGCCGTCGAGGCAGTGCTCTGTATGTCTGTGATGCTGGCATGGAGTTGCACCTCGGAAACTGGTAGCGCGATTTATAGCGCAACGCCGGTTGAAGGATGTCACTGGGAGCCTATCGACTCCAACTATATCATCTTGAGGCTGTGGCACGACGGGCACGAAAATAAGAGGCGACGGAAGAGTTTACGTGAATTTAAAATGAAACATCTCCCACGTAAGTGCTCTGCCGCAGCCACTGGAAGCAGCGCTTTTGGCGCTCGTGGCCAGAGCCTGGCCTGGCAGCCACCCAGCCGCCCAGCAGTGCCAGCGCTAACACAGAAGTCCGCTAGCTGCCCCTCCAGGTTGTCGATGGCGAGGTGGCCCAGGCGGCCAGGCCTGAGTCTTCAGGGACTCTCAGCAAGCGTTCCCAGGCCACGCCCCCCTGTATTCTTTTCCTCAGACCCGCCCTACCCCCCTGTCCAGTCCTGAGGCACCTTCCATCATCTCCATCCCCCCCTTCGTCTTCTCCTGTCCTCCCATTTCCACCACATGCACTTGCTGCCTTCCATTTCTCGATTTCATCCCGCTCACTCACTTTAGCTTCTCTTTCTTGTTCTTAATTACTCTGCTAGCCACTTTTTTCTTTTTCTTCCCCACTGATCACTTTTTCTTGCTCTTTTGATTCCATTTGTGCCTTCGAATCGCGACGAGACGCACTCGACAAAATACGTCAACAACGCATCGCAATCGAACCCATCAGCAACTTCTGTCCGGACCGGCCTTTCAACACCATTGACGCGTCCCTCGACTGCATACGGGTCGTCTGTCGACTGGCCTTGTACAGGAGAGAGGAATTGTCCTCCTTCTTGACGTAACCTCACCACATTGACTGACACATTACACACGAGTCCCACCATCTATTTACGAGCCGACAATCCCGACTACTCCGCAAACAGCCTTCACTATGTCGTTCCCAGTTGCACTTCAGTCTGCCGTCTTCTATCTTCTCGCCTGCACACCATGCCTAAAATGGCGTCATCGTCACAGGGCCAAGCAAGCTGCCAAAGAGAATCGTCTCAAGAGAGCTAACCTCGAGATGGAGCAGCCGGGCGTGTACCAGCACCCCGAGCCCTTCACTACCAACCCATACTGGCAAGAAGAGATCAACAGGGGCCCCAGCTTGCCCAAGAAATCCTCCAGCAAAAATTCGAGCAATCGAGGCCTGACGAGTGCCGGCCGCGACTCCAACGTATCGGAGCAGACCAACGTCGACGATAGCAGAACCAACGTTGACAGCATGAGCGTGTTACGCGAGGATGATGAGGTTCCCAGCAATTGGAACCGGAAAATTGGATACCAACGCGAAGACGAAGAACTTTGGGGCGTTTGGTCGTCACAAAGGGTGAGAGATGCCTTCGCCAAGGCACGTGGCTCGGCCGGCCACTTGATAGAGTCGACTCTCGGCCTGGAGAAAGAGGTTACGGACCAGCAACGCCAAGCCTTTTACACGACCCCTCGCAACCCGCCTGTCAATGACTTCCACCCGCCCATCATCACTACCAGGCCGACTCACAAAGACGGCATCAAATGGATGCTCCAGCCACCCCCGCCCGCCAAAGTCATGGAGGGCAAGGTCCCCGTCCGCAGGGCTGGCAGCTCCGCCAGCAAGTCGAGCGGTCGCACCCTGGTCTCCGAAGACCCTTTCCTTGATAAGCTGGTCCGGGAGAGGCTTGCCGAAGAAAGAGCGCGCAAGAAGGCCGCGGCGGCCGGCCCAGCCCCCTTGTCGGCTCTCCCCACCGAGGCGGAGTTGATCAAGTCCCTCTTCACTCCGGCTTGCGACAAGAAATTCACTACTGCCAAGGCGGATGACAACGACAAACCTACAGAGAGCACCTCGGCAGCTGGTGACACGAAGCTAAAGGCACCGGCCGCCACCGTTGCATCGGACGAGTCCGATGATGACTGGCTCTACGAAGACAACGAAGAGGAGGACTTCATATTCACCCAACTGAGGAAGCGCTGGAACTTTGGCTCCGACCGCCATATCGAATTTGTTCCTTTCGACGATGATGTCCCGGACTGTGCCCTCAGTCGCGAACTAGCCCAGCGGTCGAAGAAGATGATGTCTCGACGCACTAGGCTGTTGGCGGCTGTTGGTACTCCTGAGGATAATCATTCTGAGTAAGGAAGCTGACCAGTTAGGCACTCCCCAGGAAACAACGGATCAAGCTGGTCAAACGCATAATGCTCTTCGATGGTGGTATAGATGCTTACGGCGGGGACGACTCTGATTGAAGACATACAAATCGAATAACAATACGCGGACAACCACACCCACCCGCACACAAACACACACATACACTTCCTTACACTATTTTCTACCGACAAAACGAGCTGAACTCAACACTCAGCCTATCCATCCACCCACTCTTGACCATTTCCCTTTCTCCGTCTTTTTCGAAGCATTTTGAGCGACTACGGCGTCTTTGCTTTTCAATATCCTTTTTTCCGCTACAGCATAAAATGGTGTCAATTGGGGTTTATGGGTTGCATGCATTCATGGTTACTTCTAGATTGGATTCTTTTGTGTTTTTCTGCTTCTTTTGAAATTGGTTTTGCATTTTTTCAGATTGGTCTTTTGTGTTTGGATCAGAATTGGGTCTTTTTCATTTCGATTGGAATTGGTGGTCTTCTGTCTTTATTATTATTGTTAGGAGTTTTTGGAGTTGGAACAACAAAACAGCATGGACAGGCTGCTTGGTTGAATTAGAGGCCCGTCAAACAGTTTGCGCAATACATTGGTTTTCTTTGTCAACCTATTTGCAGTCTCGTGTCGGTGTCGAAAGACCTTTGAAATCCGTAAACATTTAAGACTTTTTCGATAAGTTCAGCGTATTCTCTCGGTACAGAGCAAGCAAGAGTGCAATGAAACTAAAATCCCGTCAACGCCATACCATGAAACGAGGCTCCATCAACGCGCCTGTAGACCATCTTTTCCTCACAGATGCAAGCCCCCATCTTCCTCCGGCGCCTCCTCTACTCCTCCACTCCCACGCACCCCCGGGCGGGCATCCAGGCGCACCTCGCCGTTTCGTATTGTGCCCGTCTGGAACGTGCCGTCCGTCCAAGCCGCCGACACCCTCCCCCCCTCCCCCTCGCCATTCACACCCATCACCTCCTCCTCCTCCGTCTTCTTCTTCGGCTCCTCCTCTTCCTCCTCGCCGCTCTTGCCTAGATCCTCCCACTTGACGCCGCGATTCTCCACGACCTCGATGTAGATGATGGCCAGGCGCTCCTTCATGCGCTCGATGACGCCCTCGTTCTCCGCGATGGCCTCGACGCAGTCCTGGTCGGGCGGCGAGGTGATGCCCTCCGCGGATTGCTGCTCCTTGGTGAAGGGCAGCAGCTGGTCGTTGGAGTACTGCAGCTTGGCGATGGCGTTGTTGATCTCGCGGACCTTGAGGTGGAGGAGGGGCAGGGACAGGTCCTGCAGGGCGGCGGCGAAGCGCGCGGCGGTGATGGGTGTCGTGTCTGCTGAGGACATGCTGACACCGGTTTTGTGTATATGTGTGTGGTGTGTGTTTGGGTGGTTGAGGAAGTGGTAATGTTTGTTGTAAGATGAAGCAGCAAGGAAGCGGTCCAGCAGCTTGGTTAGGCAGGTTGATCATTACGTTAGTAGGAGGGGCAAAAGATTTGGTGGGGGTCGTTCTTAGTCGGACGTGAATGATGCGAAATTCAGGTGTATGAATCATTTGCTGACTTGATATAGCTTCTATAGAGGAACAAAGTGAGAGAGGAAAACTATTTCTGATTAATTCTCTTAATGTAATTCATCCGCTAAGCAGGTATTCGCTGTCCCTGGCTATCTCCAAGACTCCTAGCGTGGCCGTGTAAGTGGCAAGGCGCAGCAGCATCAGAACTTGAGATCGTGACCAGGAACTCGCCCGTGCCCTTGACGGCGAGTCCACTCTAAATCTTTACTACATAATCAAGATCAATCACCAATTATTATACCCTCGCCCTTATAATAAGTACAACATTGCCTTCATGCAGGCACTTTGGGCTTTCTCATCTCCAGCTGAGTCATCAGGGAGCTGCCGCAAATGCCAGGCCGTCCTCCTTGAGCTCCACCAGCCTTCTGCATAGGGGCTCTCAACTGGGTCAACCAGAAAAAAAATCCAGAGTAGCTTCCCCTTTGCAGAATTTCCCGTCCCTGCAACTGAATCTCCCTGTACCACCACCACAACCACAAATCATCCAACATGCTGTCATTTCGCACCATTGCGCGCTCCGCGCCCCGAACCATCACCCGCATGGCCGCGGCCTCCATGCGCCAGGGCGTCGTCGCGCGTCCCCTCGCCGCCACGTCCGTAGCTCGCACCTCTGGCTTCCAGATGCTGCGCGCCGGCGCCGCCAGCAGCTTCTCCACGACCGCCGGTCGCCGCGCCGCGGACGGCGAGACGGACGACGAGCTGTCGGCCAAGATTGAGAGCGAGATCCAGATCGAGGAGGAGATGAAGGCCGGCGAGCAGGAGCCGTCGAGCGTCAAGGACTTTATCGACAACAGCCCCTTTGAGCTGATCGACACGCCCGGCCAGGAGGTTGTCAAGCTGGTCCGCACCTTTGGCGAGGAAAAGTGCGTTCTTCTCTGCCCATGCAAGTTTTGAGAGAGTATGCGTGTTTTTTTAGCTAACCAAATCCCCCGCGCAGGATCACCATCTCCTTCTCCATCGCCGACATCAACTCATTTGACCCCTACGCCGACGAGGCCGCCCTCGAGGACGAGGGCATCGATGACGACCTGCAGGCCGCCGAGGGCGGCAAGCGCCAGGCCCAGCAGCAGCATCAGGACCTCGAGGGCGAGCTCGAGGCCGACGTGGACGAGGAGGCGCCCGCGCCCATCAACCTGTCCATAGTCGTGGAGAAGCCCGGCAAGACGGCGGGCGCGCTGGCCATCGACGCCACCGCCCAGGACGGCAACATCGTCGTAGAGAACCTCTTCCACTACGCCGACGCGGCCCTCGCCCGCCTCGACTCGCCCGAAGCCGCCCAGCGCCGCGCCGACGTCTACCCCGGCCCGCCCTTTGGCAGCCTCGACGAGGACCTCCAGGTGCTCGTCGAGCGCTTCCTCGAGGAGCGCGGCGTCACCCAGGCCCTCGCCGTCTTCGTCCCCGACTACGTCGACCTCAAGGAGCAGAACGAGTACCTGCGCTGGCTCAACAACGTCAAGGGCTTTATTGACGCGTGAAAGCGGTCAACGGTTCTGAAGTATGACACACATGTTCAGATGTAATAAAAAAAGGGAGAAGGAAAGAGGAGGATGATCTACGACGACTCTTTTTTTTTTCTTTTTCGCTTTTTTCTTCACTCTTTCTCTTTGTAACTTGTACAATATAAAAAACCAAATCAGTGGGCGGGTCTGTAAGAGATGTCAGAAACTACGGCTATTTAGCGAATTGATAATGGCGGTGCAACCGCACCAATTACGTCTAAAAATCATACAAATTCACATGTAACCAATGCTCAAGTCGAAAGTGTTGAGGGAATGAATGTGCCGTCAAGGTGAGATTAGAGTACAAGGGCGCGGTATATTTACCTGCTGAAACCCATGTTGAAGTCATATCTGAGGTTGCACGCCGTACAAAAACAAGTACACACAGATATAAACCATCAGAGTGATAAAAAAAGAGAAAGGCGAGGAAAAAAAACCAAATGTCTATCTATCCCAAAGATACTGCAGCTAACAGAAATGAGGTCTGACACCGGTCGTATGCAAAAATAGAAAAGGAAACGAGGAGGACCAGTAGTATCTTGTGTGAGCATCATGAAAACAAAAAGCGGATGGCGAAAGGGAACGAAAGAAGAGCCCTGAAATGTGTATACCAGCCGCGTCTCTAAAGCTGCGAAAAGCCCCCAAAACAAGATACCAAAAACAAAGGAAGACCAAGAAACCACGTTGTCGTCATGTGCTAAATTAGATGATGCCGTCGAGCGACCAGTCGCCCTTTTGGGAGCGCTCGAGGACCTCGCGGCCCTTTTCGGTGAGCTCGGGCTGGCCCTCGTTGCCGACGGCGTGGGAGAAGTAGACGGGGCTGTGCGTCTGGCCGGCGCGCTCGCGCTCGCGGGCCTTGACGCGCTGGGCCTCCTCGAGCTCCTGCTTGAGGGTGGTGGCGCGGGAGAACTGGCGGGCGTGGATGGCCTCGGTGACGCCGCCCCAGAGGGTGAGGGACTCGTTAGGCGCCTGCCGGTCGGCGGGCGGGAGGATCTTGGGGGCGACCTGCAGCGGGGCCGTGTCGAGGATGGTGAAGTGCTGCTCGACGGGAACTTGCTTCTACGGGTTGTGTGTTAGCTGAGAGCTGCAACAGGAGAGGAGGAATTTGCCCCGTGTGTCTTGTGAGGAGAGGAAGACTTACCAGGGGTGTCGAACCAAGCGTAAACACAACCTTTTCCCGCCAGGGCCCGCTAAGCCGGACAAGAACGTCGTCGTCGGGGACGTCCTGGATGCGCGTCTTGTCGTCGTTGTCGGGGTCGTAGCGGAAGATGACGCCCTCGACCTTGTTGGTGGTGCGGCCGAGCCAGCCCTCTTCGACGTAGCTCAGGATGGCCTTGAGCCGCGTCTTGGGGCAGGTGATGTAGGCCGTGTCGCTGACGGAGACGGTGAGCGTGCCGCGCAGCAGGCCGCCGAGGTGCGCGGCCGGGTGCGTGAGCTGGTACTTCTCGCCGTCACGCTGGTCGAGCGTGATGAAGATGCCGAGGTTGTGCTCGCCGGGCAGCACCTTGATCGAGGTGCCGGTGAACTTGGCCGTGATCTGGTCGAAGCCGCGCGCGGAGAGGCCACGCTCGGGACAGCTGACGTGGAACGCCGACACCGGCGGGTGGTGCGACGTCTGCTCTGTCAGGTACGAGACGGTCACGGGCCGCGAGTCGAGCGAGGTGCCGTGCTGCGGCGGCGAGAGCGACCACGTCGAGGCATTCTTGTTGCTCTTGACACTGGATTTGCTGGACGCGGAGCTCTCATTGCCAAGTTTGCTGGTGAGAATCTTGGGCGCATTGTTCTCCGTCTCCCATTTACACTGCGAGACAGATTTGTTAGCATGGGTGCGCGACGACTTGCCGGTAGCGTCACAGGGATGAGGCTCACCCTGAAGAACTCGCCCAGGCACGAGTTGTACGGCTTGCAAGGCTTGCCCTTGGCATATTTGAGGTCCTTGGTCAACCAGAAGCGAACGACCTCGAGCATGCGGTCGAGGGGCTCGTCCGAAGTGCCGATGGCGACGAAGGCATTGGGGGCGTCGAGATATGTCCAGTATTCGAGGTTGGGCGTAGGCTCGAGTAGCTGTGAGGGCAACGAGAATCGGACGGCGGCGAGGTCTGAAACACCAATGAATCTGATAATGGAAATGCACGGGTTAGCAAAGCTGAGCCTTTTTTTTTTCTTCTTCATCTGTATGATATGTGACATGGCCCGGCAATGAAGATCAGGCACACCGCCCCCCCCCCTTGTTGAGGGTCACAAACTATGTTGAGGTGGTGGGCAGCGGAGGGCAGTGCCAGCAGCGGGCGTGGCGGCGCCCGACACGGGATCCTGCAGGCATGAAACCGAGGGATGCAAAGGAAAAGCAAAAGCAGGAAAAAAAGGCGACTGACTTTCGCAAGATGCCGAGAAAGGTGCGAAGCTTGGAGCCCTCGCTCTGATTTTCATCGGGCGTGTCAACGGTGGGCGGCGGCGCCGATGACGAAAGTGTTTCCGTCTGCATCATGTCGGCGCCTGTTCTTGGTACACAGGTAGGCAGTGCGTCTTTCGGAGAGAAACTGCAGAGAGCGAAGTTGGGCGAGGAGGCGCGTAGAGTCGTTCGGGGGCAGTTATCGGTATTCGGTAACGATGCGCGTGGGAGGGAGTCTCGGCGGGGGTTGGAGGGATATCGAGAAGCAAAGATGAGAAGACAAAGAAGTAAATAGATGGGAGGAATATCAAGAAGTTGGTGCAGTGAGAAAAGAGGAGTGATCAAGTTAGCAGAGTTTCTAGTTGGGGACGCCCGCCGAGGCTTGGGAGGGACCTGGGCGCGACGTTGTGGCGGGGCAAAAAGGGAAGATCCAGCGGCAAGTAGCCTGTAAAGAGGTGAAAGGAGCAGCAAAATACAAGGACAAGTATAGAGGCAAGCCACTAAACTCAAGTAATCAAAAGTGGCGCAGCTTTTGCCTTTCGATTTCTTCTCTACGACAAAGTCTAACATGTTCACTCAGGCATACTCTATCGTAAATCCAACGCCAAATTCCTCTAGCCGCCCACCAGCTGACTCGGGCGGCGCCGCTTTACGCGTCTCTTCTTTGATTTATCAAAAAGAAAGTCTTTCGCTATTATCTGTCCTCTCCGCTGAAACAGCTCCTGTCGAGAACCGAGCTCTCAGGCCAGGGTCCAAACGGGGGGCACACGACGGATGGGGGCTTGAGAGCGATGACACTGTTTGTGTAATAAACGAAATAACAGGGCTGCTACTGGCAACAATCAGACCACTGTACAAGATAACACAGCTCGAACTACAAACCTGGAGCCAGCTACGGCGTGCCTCTCTGCATCCCCAGCCCTGCATACCTGCCTGTTACCCTCGCCACTGACCGCCTGCACGGCTTCCACTCTACCAATCCCATCACCAGATGCCACCATATGCGCTGCTTCACTGGCTACCCCGGAGCCGCGCTAATCCCGCCCATCGCCCGGTTCACGGAGAGTGAGGGGGCGGACTCCGCCTTTTTGTCGCAGCCCCCCGCGCGGCGCCCGGCCATTGATGAGCCAATCACTGACGCACATGGGTTCAGCCGGTGGACGGCACGGCGCCGGTTCGACGACAAACCATGGCCAGATGCGGACGACATCCTAGTGACACAATCTCTCAACACCATTTGTATATCGTATATCACCAGTTCGATGTGTGGCTGGTCGTCTCGGCAAAAGAAATCACAACGAGGCGCACCCCGTGATTATTTAGCAATCGGATAGCTCTCGTGCCCTCGGCTCGAGCTTTGCGGGGTTAAGATCCGATGCTGTGCAAAGACATGCATGGCGTGGCACATGCCTCACTTGGTCTGTGGTTTGTGGCCGAAACATCGCATATCTTATGAGCGAAGCCTTTCACCTCAGCCGTATTTGCACGATCTATCATTTTCCTCAAAAACTTCTCCCGCGGCTGCGAACATCGTCACACACTTATCTCCGCATAGCCAACATGTAGACAATAGACAGGCTAACCCGCATATAAGCATCTAAAAATTGTGTAATATTACAATGTATCTTTCAGTAATGCAGGGCCCTTGGCTACCCTGTCGCTCAAATGGCCCCAAAGCTCCGACATGCATGTGAGCCACGGGTGGCACCTATGTATGCATCTCTAAATATGATCTCAACTGCCTATGACGGCACGAGACTCGCCACATATTGATAGTGTAGTGAATAGTTCATGGATCTTCCACGAAAATGGTTTAATATAGAGTAAGAATCTCTGTGTCTAATAAACTCATCCATCGGCACTTGCAAGCTGCTGACAGATATGCCAAGACCCAGGAGCGCAGCCCATGCCGCGGAACCGAATCGTACCGCTATGTATACACGGAAAGGTTTGCAAGCATACGGTCACCGATACCCATCTATCTACATGGGAATTGTCACTTTTAAGTCAAAGTCCCCAAAACTTGTTGCTTCTACAATTAGCCTCGTCGCCACAGCAGACGTGCAGGCTTACAGGAATCTGGAGAGTCGTTCAACGTGATTGCTCGAGAGATGAAGGGCATCAAACTTGAGTTCGTTTTACACTTAGCAGAATCTCTGTATCCCTTCGAAAGTCGAAAAGTAGCATGTGGGAACTTTATAGGGGTTCGGTCTAATCATGTCGCTCGAGGATAAGAGGTACTTTGCAGCAGTTAGAAAGTATATGAGCCGTCAGCTCAGGTACTGTGGCACAAACGAAAGCCAGGGAGCACCTCTGGTCATAGATAGCATCTTACTTCGCGTCATTAAGCAGCTCTGTGTCTCTTTTATTGATGGTTAAAGGGATACGGCTGACAGATGAAGGTGCAGATGATGGGCGCCGGCATTCATGCCACTCTACAGCCCTGAATCACAGCGCAATCTTTTAGGAACTGTATCACCAGCCTTTTTTGCTACTATTTTTCCGAGATTAACTCAGAATAATTAGCTGAAATAGTCTTCCTCCCAATTTCGTCAAGTATGTTTGGCCGCGTCGACGAACACCATCTGACTTGGCGGTGCGCGGCTCATTGACCGAGCCTGGCCTCCTACTCACCAGTCTGTTCTGGGAGCAAGATATAAACATGCAAACAAATAATTCTAGGATGAAGCACGTGCCGGGACTTTGTACAATTTAATGCCAGCACAGACATTCAAGTCGGCCGTGTACTCTTCTTGCACCACAGTTACCCTCCCGATGTGCTGCGTTAAGTGCGGAAGCCCCGACGTTGCTTAGACGTCTAGCCGGATCACAGCCCTCAGCCGGATCAAGACCCTTATAGTATCATCTGAAATCTTTATAGATTAACCCAAAACCGTATGATAATATTAGGTTGCCCTCAGGAAGAGTAGTAGCCATGTGCCGCTCGGCGTCCGAGGCACAGGCTCCCGCCCGGTCCATGGCGGGCAAAGCACGAGCAGCCTATTGTCCGTAAGCCATTATGAGATCAACGAATTTCATTCTTTAGCCTAATTATAATTCTAATACAGTCCTGTAAGCTGTCTAGAAAACCGCTACGCTGCGCAACACCGTCATGTTCTCGTGTTCTCGTGCCACGAAGCAGTCGGCTGTACTAGCTGTGCAGTCTAGCCCTTGCCAGGTTACATGACTGCTGTAGACTAAGAAGGCTTACTATGATGCATTCAAATACGAGAGAGCCCTAGGAGACACAGAAAACGGGACAGGAACTTTCTCGGAAAGGATGTTGATCAGTGTCCTGGCTGCTGATGGCTGTAACCGGAGGGGGGCGGTTCGCCCGCTGAATATCGGAAGCGAGCGGCTGATGAGTATTTGCGGGATGACTATTTACTAGAATTGCAGTAATTATGCAATGTGATATCAGTAAAAATCGAAACTTTTTGCTGTCACTCATGGCAGTGTGCTTGCCTCGGCGCGTGTACCATGCTCTTCGTCCGCCGAGACGGCGTCAAAAAGGGGTGGCTACTGCAACTCCGATTCACGTAGAGACCACATTGCTTCTTAGACGTAGCTAATTCTATTTGAGTAAACATAATTTTACAAATTGAAATGGAGTCTACGAGGGAGGACGGACCAGCCGTTGGGATGCCATGACATGCCCTTGCAAACAACGCAACCAATTACAGAACACTGTACAGTCATTTATCGTAGCAAAGAGGCGTACCGTAAGAAACACCGGGTAGCAACAATTAGAACCCAAGTAGAGCCCCCATGGAGTAGTCAGGTGTATTTTCATCTGCTTGAATCACCATTGCGTGTCTGACGCGGTGTATGGCCGGTTACGAGGCGCCTCTGGCGGTGACGCAGCCAGTCATCCAGATCATCGAACATCCTGCGTTCCCTGATGTAGAGTAAAGCTCCGGTTCTCAATAATAACATGCGTCAGCGAATACTAGTGGCGTCTGCAACAACTCCGCACTCGGTACCGTCTTTCCAGCACAATCGGGCTCCCACGGAGATCCATCTACACGTTCCGGGAACCACATGACGGCAACCCTGCCTCCTCAGAACTAATAATAAAAAGCCTACTAGTTCATCGGGCAAGGGGAAATTCCCGCGGAATAGGATACGGAAAGAACAAGATAATATAATCAACCAGTGGGAAAGAACGATAGCGTGGTGCTAGTTCCGGCTAACTGGGACTGATGGCGGGGACCGATGCATCGAACGCACATTGAGCAAGGCATCGTTCTGTTTGACTTGATCGAAAAGAAGAAAAGGAAGAAGAGTCACAAGCGCTGATTTCTGAAATGTCTACGATGATTGCGCTCTTTGTACGTGCACGGTTCCGTCAGTTATATGCGGGTTTTAAGCTTGTGAACCGCTTCCAATCCTGATAACCTGAGAAAGAATGCCGCAAAATTAGGCCGGATAGGTCGAAGAAAAGATCTCGATATACTTTGTATACCTGGCGAAGAGAGATAGAAGTTCCCCTATCCTCCTTCTGTTTGCCGGTTCCCTGGCGAGCCGATCGGTGTGCCGTCATGCTGGCAGCGCGGACCACATCGTTGAACGGCAAAAGGTGCCAAGAGCTGCGATTAGTATTGCTAGGCTGCAAATCACTGCAAAATATGGGACTGTGATCTGCCTGCCGCGAGTTTGTCTCTCCGCCGCACCGCCACCTACCGAGCCACAGGTTTCGGTGTGGCATCGATGCGTGGCAGCCCATCAACTTTCTTTCTCGAAAGATAGTATAATTCCTGGTAAATGGGCCAGGAAATGGGGAGAAGCTCGGACAAGAAGCTCCTTTAGTTGAGTGTGGCGAGTCCGACGTGGCTGTGCAAGAATGACGTTCGATCGGGCAAGCAGGATCCGAGGTGTGGCTAGTACTGATAGGTGAGTGGCCGAAAAGCAGAGGAATCGCGATGGAAATGTGCTGTCTTTTCGATGAATCGACCCCCATGGGTACATGTCAAACATGGGAAAGATGGGCGAGCCAGCCCAACTTTGCCCATGTGGCAGACTCGCCACCTCCATTCTTAGCTGGTAACGGCAAGTCTTGTAGGACAAAGCATCCCACTCTTTTGAGCCGCAGATTCCATTTGAACCAGTCTTTCGCGTTATACACGACGATCTATGGCTTTGGCTGGCTGCACCGGCTAGGCAAGGGGAAGTTGAGACAGGCGCGGAAGTGAACCCATGTCCACAGATGCGGTGGCAGAGGTAACAGACAGTGAAGCAGATAGAAGCAAATACGTGTCATGAATCTTGGCAACAGAGACGTCGAAGAGACACAGGTTAAGAGTTACTGCAATTAGCATCTCTTGCAGACTCTGCTGCGAGTTGGCCCTTACCTTCGGTGAGGGTTTTGTCGTGTAAATTGTCAAACACCCGCTGGGCTGTCATTCTGGGGCCTGACGAAACTATGATGTAAGACTCGGCTGGGAGCCTCAGCGCCACTAAAAGTTGGGGTTTCGTTCGAAAGAAGAGTGATCGCGAAGAGTGATCGCGCCTAATATTAGTTAGCACAAGCTTTCCGGGCTACCAGAAAGCGCATTGGCAATCACTCCCATGAAATTCATTCTGCACCATCTGGTGCTGTACGTGCTCAATGGGCTGGCAAGTGCAGTACGAGGACTGATGCCATCCTTGGACACTGTTGACGAGAGGAAAATTTCGCATCATCTTGCTCAAAATATTGCAATCGCGCCACTTTCAATAGTTCAGCTGCAAAATAGAGAAAACCAGAGTCTGAGCAGCAAAACGCTCCATCGCCTTGGTTTTTTGGTGTGAATGCTTGTACTGGGCGCAGCCACGTCAGTGCTGAGAGCCCATGTGGCGTTGAGCGGCGGTTGGAGGGGGTGTAAAAAGTTGAATATGAACCCTTTTCTAAATGAAATCCAGGGATTTCTCGAATTGAGCTTTGGGGCGTGGTAACAGGATGGGGAAGAAAGCCAAGGCAGGGCCCTTGAATTGCAGCTTGGATCCACGCCTAGACGCTAGAATTCGAGGCGAGGGTGCAGCTGCTGAAAATGAGGGTGGAATCGCTGTGACGTCAGAGTAGTTTGGTTGGACACGGTGGCTTGCCAAACTTGCCCAGCGAAACGGCAAGCTGCGAAAAAGGCCGGGTCGTACCCCATCTTGGGCCCTGGACGAGACGGTGTGGCTCAAATTCACCCCTGCTCGATGCAGAGACGGAATCCTGAAGCAGCGTTCCTTTCTTCCATTCGATTCCGTGTCTTATTAGCGACGATCAAGGCAGAGGCTTAAAACCAAGCTCTGCCGGAACCTGCGACCCATTTCTTACTGCACATACAGGCGCGGCTGCTGTGCCCCGGAGCATATCCTCCGTGGATACGGGGAACCAAGCGTTGCTTGTGAGAGCCGACAAAGAAAGTATGCTTGGTCGCGTTTTTTCGACTTGAATGAAGCCAAATATTTTGAGAAAGCAGAAGTGCCAGATTGTGACGTTACTGACAGTGACTGCTTCTCACCCGAAATCTGGTAAATTTCACCACCGTTCGTCTGCGAATTTGTATTTCTCACCGCAAAGGCCAACCTTGATACCGGCTCGGACTTACAACAGTCTGCTGTCGCGATGCCAGTACGATGCAAGCCACGAGCGGCGCCACGCTGTCGTCGCGGGCAGTGGGCCGCGATGTCTGCATGCGCTGTATGCAGTGAACAAAGTAAGAAGGGTGGGGTCTGTCTGTTGGAACCGAGTAGCATGCACCGTTGAAAAGTTGGCGCTTGCCGTTGGGTTCGGGGGTGTCAATGTCGAGGAGAGACACAAACCGGGTACGAGCCGAGAATCAGCGGAAATGTAAAACTGATGATTAGAAAAGAGCACAACGGCACTTTTCACAAACCCGGACATATGGCCCCGGAAAGCAGAGATAGTCGATGTCGAGCTGGTAAAGTTCATGGTGCCAGCAAAAGAAGGGGCGCTAAAGGTGTGGTTGTAGCGGCGGAGAGGGGGACGCATGTGGATTTGATTGCAGCCCTGCGGGCAACCAGTTAGGTCGCGCTGGGGAGAGGCACATCTCGATGTCGCGGCCGTCAATCCACTAATAAATGTGGCTCAAGCTGGAGGTGAGGCCAGTCACAGGCGGACGGCTGGCACAAGCTCGTGGTCGAACCTTGTCTGGCGGTTTTCGAGGCAAAGCTGTGTGTGTGGTATTCTTAGTTTTAGCCTTTTTGAAGGTGCTGGTTGTCGTTTCGCCATGAATTGGTTTCGGAAGACGCCGACTCGGCGGATTTTGCACGGTAGTGAAGGAGCAAGAGGAGCGGTTGGCATGAGGCTAAATGGCCATGTTTATAAACTGTCCCGTGACTTCATCGATGCATCGGTGCTTCGGGCTGGGGAAAAGCAGGGAGAACTTTTGCTCCGGGCCGTTGCGTATCGACATTTTGGCGAGATGAACGTGTTGGCTAAATAGGGTAGGTCTTTGTGCGTCAGTATGAGAGGCGCCGCACGAGTACCTGGTAGGCGGAGGATACTAAGGGAAATATCAGCCACAAGGCACATGGGAGTGTCACAGGGATGCTGCCGAGATGGGATTATGGATGGATGATGATGGATGGCTGGCGAGAATGCGGGATGTAAGTGGTGGTGTGGTGTTTGTTTCATGGTAAGGTTGTGACTGCAAACAGAGCAGATTTTTGGTGGGTTTTTGCCTTTGCCAGGTGGGTAGGCGCCGACACCGATGTTGATTTTGGATGAAGATGTCCACGAAGTGGCTGACATGGATTCTGAGGAAATGAAGATAAAAAAACAAAAAAACAAAAAAAAAAGAAAGACCCCATGGGCGATACACTGTGCCTGTTCGTTTTGCTTTGGCTCGATGAAGGAGGGTGGCGTGCCGATTCTCTGGCCCAGCACATTGCCGGCCCCGCAACTTAACAATCGAAGGCCATCGCCTGCATCGACAACTTGTTGGCCTTCTTCATCCTCTTCACCCACATCTTGCTCGCTCCCTCACTCCCGCGGCATCATCTCCACCATACCCCCATCCATCCATCCCCCCCGGGTGAGACTATCCAGAATGCAGTCCCATCATGCCGCCACGGGCCCACGGCATGCACTTTTCTTCTCCTGGCCCTGTCGCTGTCGCTTTCTGTGTGGCTGTTGTGGCTAGCAGCATTGTGCCCACCCCTCCTCCCATTCAATACGCTGTACTCTGGGATACCTTTTATACCCATGGATGCCCTCCGTTTTCTTCCACTGCGTGCTTGGATTTCCTCTCAATTCCACATCTCTCTTGCTCCTCTTGGCTAAAAACGAAATAATTCCTACCAACTACAAATAAGATTCCGATACCTGCCGGATTTGCGCCCTTGTCTTCACGACAAACAGCACCGCCACGACGAAACCACCCCACGCGCATACTTGCAAAACTTCATCGACTCTTCTGGAGCTCTTCTCGCGCTCAATCTAGACCGTGAGACCGTGGCTAGCAATTGCCTTTACGACGCCATTTTACTGCACCGCCAAACTCTACCTACTCGCCAATTTCACCGTGGTGGTACATCCGTGGTACTTGCAACTGGGCCGTGAAGCTTTAGTTAGCTAGTGCTACCAGCGAACACATACCCAAGCTCCGCGCCTGCCAAGCACACGGCTGCAGTTCCGTGCCTGCCAAAGATACAACCGCGATCTTCTGTTTACTATATAGAGGAGCACGCTCTCTCGTGCGATAATCTCAATCATGCGAAGCAATTCTCTAGACTTTAGCAGCTTCGAAGCCATGGCTCCCCCTACCACTTACAAAAAGGTACGCTTCGCGCTTCTTCTGGCCCCCCCACCAACGCATCCCACTAACAGGCGAGCTCGCAAATAGACCGAGAGGACCCATGAAGAAAACCAGGAGCGAGCGTACATTGCTGCCTCTCGGCGCACCGACCGGAGCCTTGAGGCTCGCGTTCAATCGGCCCGTATGGCCAGTGACATCCATAAAAAACGCACCGGCAAGTCCTTCCGCATCACGGAAGAAATCGTCCTGGCAGAAGAGATGTACGAGGAGGAGGATGACATCTTGCCTCGCTCCTATAGAGTCCTCGGTGGCGGCGTGCAGAAAACGCCCTCCGATGTCAGCTCCAGAGTCGGCGATTATCTTTCCAGCAAGGTTGCCGTGTCCAGTCTACTGGCTCGCAGCAATGCGGAATGGAGGCATCATGAAGTGAACCAGAAATTCGCCGAAGCATTTCCCCACATTCCTTCTTATGCAGCAACTGCATCGTTTCCCACCCGACTTCAGCAAGCGCAGCAGCCCCAGTCTGAACCTCAGCAGCCCCAGTCTGAACCTGAGGAGCCCCAATCTCAACCTCAGCAGTCGTCTCCGCCACTGCCTCAACAGCAACATCCGAATCCGAGTCCGAATCCGCATCAACAGCAGCAGCAGACGCAGCCGCATCAACAAAAGCAGCAGCAGATGCCTCCGCACCAACCGCAGCAGCTGCAGCAGATGCCTCCACAGCCGCCTCGTCAGCACTATCAGCACCATCAGCCGCTACTGTACCAGAGTTCCCATTACCATCAACAGGCTCAGCCCATGTCCCAGCAGTTTTCGGGAATGCCATTCCCGGTGGGATCTCTTCCACCTCCTCACCGGTTTTACCCTCAACACAGCTCTTCGCGCTTGTCTACCTCGGGTCCAGGTCAGTGCCCACCACAGCAACCGGGTTATTGGAGACAGGACTCTGGCATAGGTATGCCCGTGTCGCCGCTCACCTTTGACCCCTCGTCACAACCTGAATCGCCGCTTGGGTTGGGATCTAGCGGTTCCGCATTCACATCAGCGTTACCTCCGGAAGCTAGAATGATGATGGGCCTGCCCACGGGCTCTGAGCATTCGCAGAACTGGTCGGGCATGGACGGCTCGGTAAACACGTCCTACCTTGGTCGCGACATCAAAACAGAGGAGGACGATCGCCACATTGAAACAGGGGAGGACGGTTCGCTAAGCGGGCCGTACCCTGATCGCGACATTAAAACGGAGGAGGAGGAGGACCAAGTCATATCTCCCACGGGCTACAACTTGGACATGTCGAATCCTAGATGGTTGGCGACGGTCCAAGGAACGGACGAATCGAATTGGGACACGTTCATGAATGATAACGCCTGGGCTGCTGATAACCAGTGATTGCCTCTGCCGTTTCATTTCTCGGCGATTTGTTCCCTTTTCTTTTCTTGCCCTGTCTTTTATTTTCTCTGTTTCTTCTCTTCTTCTAATTCTTTTAGTGATTCTTCTGTGTAAGTATTGCACTTAAAGATCTTGGCGTTGGAGTGGCGAACAGTACGAAAGATACATGTGATGGAACATGACGCTGAGATTATGGATGGAAAATTGTAGATGACTGAAAGGGGCTGGATTTTCTCAGCAAGCGGTGTTCTGATTCAGTATTACACCAACAGCGTTGCGCACATGACCGCAGAATTACTGCAGCACACACTCGAGTATTGGCTAATGATACATGATAGCCTGATATTTATATACTATAATTTCTCAAGCGAAATGCTGGTCTATTACTTTTCTACTTGTCCTTCCAGGCCATGTGATGATTTGCTTGTCGGACCGAGGTGAGGTGTTAAACTTGATGGTGATGTGACTTTAGGCACGCAGTTGAACATTTTGAATTTAGAAGGACAAGATGATGCTAGAGGATACTCGCGAAAACTTAAGTTGAGGAAAAATCGTCATGATTAAAACCTCATGCACTGGTCTCGGCTGTGATTAAGACATCATGCACGGGTCACGGCTGATGGTTGAGAGCTACGACTCGCTCTGTTGGTTGAGACTTATACCGCAACTCGAACAACTTTACTCAAAAGGTTAGCCATTCACGGTGAGCTAACAAGACGGCCAAATTTTAAAGTTGGGAAAAGAAAAGCCCAACATACGCCCGTCGAAGCCCCGGCACCAAACGCCCAAGTATCGCCAATGTATGCAGTAGCTCTTGCGCTGTCCAGGTTAGTTTTACGGACGGCGCTTCATCCGCGTGCGCAGGTGATTTCCCGCGCCCAGTTTTTATGCTTTTCAACCTTTTTGACAGCTGTCTAGTTTCTGTATCAGAGATGGGATTGGTCCGGCTAACGCCTTGTCATTTATTAGAAGCTTTTCGCTGGTGTTGATCTGCGTGACTCTTAGAATACAAAAGGCCATCCCTCCGTTTCTTTGCCTGGCGGGGTTGCCTTGCGGCCTGGTTTCTGGTATAATGTTTCCCCAATTCTGCAGGGGAGAAGTAAAACACAGAAGAAAAAAACAAAAAAAAAAACAAAAGAATGAAGCAAAAAAAGATGAAAAAAAAAGCAACATAGCATGTGAAAGCAAAAGGTATTGAAAGAAAGGGACTCCGCCTGCGCCGCCCTAAACAATGCAAGACATGAAAAGTTAACGAGCAAGAAAAGTTGGCACCCTTGCGCCCCGGGTATTGTACATGAGAAGGCCTGCCCTGCCGAAGACGCGCGTTTTTATAGAAAGCAGGACGCAAATTTCGGAATTCACAGACGTCGATAGTACTGAGCGCCGCCGTAGGCAGAGGGCTGCTGCGGGTGGTGATACGCGCCGCCGAAGACGACGCCGGGAGCGCCTCCGACATGCTGCTGCTGCTGGGCGGCAGCAAAGCCATAGTTGGCCGCAAACTGCATCTGTGGCTGCTGCTGCTGCTGCTGCTGCTGCTGCTGGGGAGCCGCAAAGCCGACGAACCCGGACTGCTGCTGGGGAGCTGCTCGTGTCGCGAGTTGGTGTAAGTGAGGTTTCTCGTTCTAGAATGCTTCTGCGTGGGGGTGTTCCAGTTCCGCCGGGGTGGCGGGGAAAAAAAAACAAAAAAAGGAAAATCTTGCATAATGTAGAAAAACGTACCTGCTCCTGCATGATAGCCGTAGGCCATTCCTGGGCCTTGCTGGTTCTGGTAGGCGACGGCCGGGGCGGCGGGCTGGTAGTACCTGGCGGGCGCGGCGGGCTGGCCGGGGAAGACGGCCGCCTGCGAGGCACGCGGCGTGTTGCCGCCACCGCAGGGGTACATCTGGCGACCGAGGCGGGAGGCGAAGGAGCCGGGCGCGGCGCCGGTGCAATCGTAGCCACCACGAGGCATGGTCTTTTCTTTTTGTGTTGCTGAGGGGAAATGAAAGGATATTGGACAACGGAACAAGGGTGTTTTCTCGTTGAATAGCTGACGAGGAGAGTTCGAAGAGTCTGGAAGGAGGTTTTGGCACAACAAGTATAAGCGGCGGCAAGAAAGGACGCGACGAAGTGTTGAGAAAGAAAAAAAAAAGGGTTAAAGAGATGATGGATTGAGGGGTGACAAGAGCGGTGTTGAATCTTATAACAGCTGACGATAGTATGTGACAGAGGCGAGGCGATGGATGGGTTGAAAGAATGAGCAAGGCGAGCTGGAGGGCAATCAATGGAAGGGCAAAGGGGGGAAGAGTTTTTGTTGACTGTGCTTTTGGTGCTTGTTGCTTCACATTGCGTTCAAACGAGGTGAATCGGCACTTTCGAGAGCAAAAGTGAAGGGAATCTGAACAATAGCGTGTCGCGTGCGGTGGTTGGAGCGTGCGTTTGTCGTCGGATTCACTTTGACTAGACCTGCTCTCACAGCCCCCAAGCCTGGCTGTTGGAGGAGGAGCATTGGATGAATGAGATTGTATTGAACCGAGGCGATGAGATGTAAAAAATGGAAAAGAAAGGAGTTAATGGCAGCTAGGGGTGGGATTGAATGCGATTTTCTTTCTTGTCTGTCTGGTCTACTCTTCAAATTCATTGTCACAAAGCGACCAAGGCTGTGGGCAGTGAGTGCCCTGGATAGAGGGAAGCAGGGCGGTTGAATAAAGAAACAAAGAGAAGTACATGCCAGCGGCGGCAACACAGGGCCATGGCGTCTCTTCCCTCGCACAGGGCAATGCAAGCGACTGGATACAATGAATTGTAATTTTAGAAGGTGAAAAGCCTGTGGGGGCCAAGACAATGAAAAAAAGACGGGCAATCAATGAAGGAACAGGATAGGATGAGGCTGGGAGCCGAAACCCTTGAATTAGGAAACGAAAAAGAAGACAAAAAAACAAGGTGTATCCGAGCAAGTCGACGGAAGGGAAACAAATTGTTCTACTGTAGGTGGGTTACACACGGCGGCTGTGTCTAGATGGACGAGAATGCTGTTGGTCGGTGTTGGCTTGGGTGGGTGGGGGCGGAGCGCTTGTCATGTTACCTAGGTGGGCTTTACTTTTTTTTTTGCCGCCGCGATGGGATGAAGCTTCTAACTTTGTGTGACCTTTTCTAGAGCCAACGGCCAGCCCGGGAGGAATGCACAGGACAGGTACAGAACGGGGGGGTGAGGGGGAGTTCACCAGGTTGATTGGACCCCAGCGTATGTGGATGGTATTACGAACGTGTCTGAGATACCCGTCGGGGCGTTAGGGAGTAGCTCCGAACTGGCAGTAGACCTGGCACTAGACCAACGCGAATGACTACTAATGACTCCGGCGGCGCCAACATAGTAATAGATCCTTTCCCCCGTCCGTCGCGCTGTTGGTTCAGAGTAAGTTTGGTGGGCTCCGGCCTGCCTCTTACGGAACAAGTCCGTGGCTCGGCCGGTGATCTTATTTCCATGGACCTGAATCTGGATCCTTCCATAAATGAGGCTCACGCTCCTAGTTCGGAGCGGAGGGGTGGTCGCGTACCTCGGCACGGAAAAAAGCACCGGGGGGAACGGTTTACTCGCCGAAATGGTGGGGCCGATGATCGCGGGGTAATAAAAGCCGTTATGCCCAGGCTACTTGGTCCGGCTTGGCAGCTTTAAGACACCTTTGTCTCCCACAGATGGTCATTTTCTTTTTGATAAATCATTGACACCTGCAAAGTGGCAGTTGACGGGCCAATCCGCCCTCCTTTCCAGCGGCCATGTTGTTCAAATCCGCCTACCCAGATATAGAAGGTATGTACATACCTGCTACATAGAGAGACACGTCACCCACCAAATGCCAGACTGCATATGTTCACACGACTCAAAACAAAGTGCCCTCGGACGTCACCCTCTGGCAATGGCTCTTTGAAGGCCCCTCCCCGGCCGCCGGCTGCTCCTCCCAACCCGCCCTCACCGTCCCCTCCTCCCCGCGCGCCTACATCAACACCCAGACCGGCGCGACCCTCACCCACGCGCAGGTCCGCGACGCCGCCGCCGCCCTCTCTGCCGCGCTCCTCCGCCGCATCTCCCCCGGCGACGTCGTCGCCGTCATCTCCCCCAACGCCGCCACCTACCCGGTCTGCGTGCACGGCGTGATCCGCGCCGGCGGCGTGCCGGCCGTGACCTCGCCCGCGGGCAGCGAGGCCGAGCTGCGGCACGCCCTGCGCACCGTGCGCGCCCGCCTCGTCATGTGCGCGCCCGAGGTGCTCCCGGTAGTCCGCGCGGCGGCGAGGGCCGAAGGGCTGGGCGAGGGGAGGGTGGTGGTGTTCGCGGACGGGGATGATCGCGTGGAGGGCCTCGTGTCGCTGAGTCAGTTGGTAGAGGAGGGCAGGAGGTCCGGGGAGGTGCCGCCGGCGGTGGGACTGCCGAGGGGACGGACGAGCGCGGAGGAGACGGCGTTTCTGTGCTTCAGTAGCGGCACCACGGGCCTTCCGAAAGCAGTGAGTTGGTGAACTGTGTGTGTAGCGGTTGGTAATGTTACTGACAAGAGTCGCTATCTAGGTCATCATCTCGCACGCAAACATCATCGCGCAGTGTCTACAGCTCAACCTCGCCTACACCCACAGCCACACGGCCCTTGGTCTCCTGCCCTTCTACCACAGCAAGTCCCCCGAACCTCCGTATACCCTCAAAACTCCCCCTTCATCCGCGCCCTCGTGCACTGCCTCGTCAGCCACACCTCCATCGCCGTCGTCCCGCGCTTCACCATGCCAGCCCTGCTCAGCGCCATCAGCACCCACCGCATCGCCGAGGTCAACCTCGTGCCGCCCATCCTCATCCGCCTCGCCCAGGAGCCCGCCGCCGCCCTCGCCGCTTACGACCTCTCCTGCGTCGAGCGCTGGGCCACCGGCGCGGCGCCGGTCAGCCCGGAGGTGCTCGCCCGGCTGGCGCGCCGCTTCCCGGGCACCGGCTTCAAGCAGGGCTACGGCATGACGGAGACGACGGCATGCGTGTCGACGCACCCGCCGCACCTGTACGACTTTAAGCACGGGCGGTCCGTGGGGACGCTGGTCGCGGGGACGGTGGTCAGAGTTGTTGATGAGGACGGCGTGGCGGTGGGCGTCGGTCAGCGCGGAGAGGTACGTTCTCCCCTTCTTTTTTGATAGCACACCCCGAGCTTGCGAGGAAAGAAAAAAGAAAAAAGAAAAAAGAACCTAACGTGGTGGGCAGATTCGAGTAAAGGGGCCCCAGATCTTCCCGGGGTACCTGCACGACCCAGAGTCCACGGCGGCCGCCTTTGACGAGGACGGCTTCCTGCGCACCGGCGACGAGGGCTCCGTTGCGGCCGACGGCCAGATCACCATCCACGACCGCATCAAGGAGATGATCAAGGTCAAGGGCGCGCAGGTCGCCCCCGCGGAGCTCGAGGACCTGCTGCTCGGCCACCCGCGCGTCGCTGACGCCGCCGTCATCGGCGTCCCGGACGACTACGCCGGCGAGCGGCCCTTTGCGTTTGTCGCGCTGCGCCCGGGAGGAACGGATAGCGGCAAGGCGGAGGAGGAGCTGATGGGGTATGTCCGGGGGGCCCGCGCGAGGAGCAAGTGGCTGGTCGGCGTGCGCGTGGTCGAGGCCATACCGAAGAGCCCGAGTGGGAAGATACTGAGGCGCGTCCTGCGGGAGCAGTACAAGAGGGAAGCGGCGCAAGCGCCGAGCGCGAAACTATAGATATAGAGAAGAGATTTTATAGAACCTGATAAAGGAACGTGGATGGCGAAAATGATCTATTGATGTGAAAGCAAAAAACTCCTAACCCTATTGCCATGAAGCCCATCTTCTCAAGACACTGTGGTGTATATACACACATACATTGCTAGTTTTCCTTTCGCTTCCCCCCCGCGCGCGTACCGTTCTTGTTGTACGCCGCCGACGAGGCCACCTGCTGCGACTCCTCCGCCACCATGTCCTTGATCCAGGCCTTCCAGTCGTGCCGCCTCATCTTCCACACGTCGCCGCGCCACGCGCGCCACGCGCTGCGGCCCATCCACGACTCGCGCAGCGCCGCCTCCCGCCCGGCCAGCGCCTGCATCATGCCCTCCTTGACGTGCGCGGGCACGCTGAAGTCGCGCCCGCGCGAGGGCACCTCCGCCAGCGCGACCACGACGTTGTGCCCGTTCTGCGAGGTCGCCAGCTCCGCGACGTGCGGAGCGAGCGCGTGCGCGGTTGACTTCTGGAAGACCGCGTTGGCGGAGGGAGTCTTGAGCGCGGTGCTGAGGAGCGTGGCCGTGGGCAGGGAGGTGTTGGCGAGGCGCAGCAGGAGATCGGTGGGGAGCGCGGCGAGGGACTCGTGCACGCCCTTGGCCGGGCCGGGGATGGCGAGCAGCGAGGTGAGGAGCTGCGCGCCGTGGGACTGGATGGCGTATTCGTTCTTGCTGAGCTGGGTGACGTCCTGCTTCTTCTTCTTCTTCTCCTCGTCGGCCTCGTCTTCGTCGGTCTTGAGCGAGCACAGGGTGGTGACGAGGTCGGCCGGTTGCGGCCCGCAGCCCTCGCGGAGCCCCTTCATCAGCTGCCTGACCTCGTCCGTCAGGCCGCGGGCTGCGCAGCGCTCAAACAGCGTCCGCAGCACGTTGTAGCGGTGCTTGGCCACGAGCTGCGGCACCGTCGGCGCGATCTTGGCCACCGCCTCCACCAGCTGGTCCTTGCCGATGCGGCTCAGCACCTTGATGGCCGGGTAGCACGAGACATCGTTGCGCACATAGCCCTGGATGCGCGGCAGCAGGATGTTCTGGTTGAGCGCCTTGAAGACCTTGCCCGGCGCGTGCGTGATGATGGCCTCGACAAGGCGCGAGCCGATCGGGTCGTAGATCATGCCGTTGACGAACTCGGTCGCCGCCGAATCCTCCTCGAAGAGGGACTGCGGCGCACCGGGCAGCAGCTGGAAGAGCAGCGTCGGCTGCTCCGCGTCGGCCTTCTGCTCGGCCTTGTTGAGCGAGAGGTCGAGCTCGAGGAACAGCTGCAGCGTCGGGTTGCCGATGGGGTGGGTGGCGAGCACGCGCAGGCCGGCGGCGTCCATGGACGCCGTCGAGTCGCGGATGATCTTGGTGACCGCCGTAGCAAAGGACGCGGGCACCGCGCGCAGGCCCTTGTTCTGCTCGTCAACCGCCGCGGAGCCCGCGACGGATACGCGCTCCTTCTTGCGGCTCTTGACGAGCGTCCTGGACGCCGCATCCTCGAGTGGCCGACCGGACAGCACCAGAAGCAGCACGCGCAGCGCGTGCGACGCGAAGCGGTCAGTCATCAGGAAGCCCATGCTGCCCTCGAGCTCGTCGAGCGTCGCCAGGAACAAGTTTTCCATCGAGTTCTCCGGCTCCTGCGCATCGGCCCCCGCTTCGCCGGTCGTGTCGAGCACGAAGCCGGACAGCTCCTGGGACACGACGCCGGCGGAGCGCAGGAACAGCGCCTCGCAGCAGTGGCTCGCGAAGCGGTGCTGCACGAGCGAGAGGAAGTGGCCGGCAAAGGCCTCGAAGAGGCGCTTCTTCTGCGCCGTCGTGGCCAGCTGGATCAGGCGCTCCATCAGCCGCGAGCACGACTGGCTGCTGGCCACCTTGAGCTCCTTGCCTCTGGCCTCGGTGTAGACGCTCTCGAGAAAGAGCGCGCGGTCCTCAGGCGTCGGGAACTGGTTGAGCTCGAGCATCTCGTCGGCCCGCCGGAAGTACTCTTGCTCCTCGTCGGCGAGCATGCCGAAGAATTCTCTCTCGCCCGGCCCGTCCTCGTGGCTCGCGAAGCCGCCCCCGTTCGCAGGTGCGACTTCGTCCTGCTGGTACTCGCCGTTGTTCTCGTTTTCGTTGTATTTGTCGGTGTCGTCACCGCCGCCCGTACGGCGTTGTCGTTTGCTGTCAATGTCGGCAGTGTAGTCGCCATCCTCGGCATGTTTTCTCTTGCGCGCCTCGCGGCCGGAGCCTCGTTTTGTGCGTGGCTTGGGCATGTTGACTGGGTTGCTGGTGTAAAGTTTGGTGGGGTGGTTGGTGAATCGACTCTTGTCTCTTCTGCCAACTTTTTTTTTTCTGTCAAAGTGCGATAAGATAAGCGCTTTTGCCTGGGCCAAAAGTGCTATCCGTACCTCAGCAATTGATCTATAGAATCCGGGCAATTCTCAAGTATGAAATGATTTTCCTTAGCAAGTGCAATTTCACGTGTTTTTCTTTTCTACTTCCATTCATCTTCCATACATCTTCGGTCGTTGTTCCAGGCCAGATCGCAGATAATTGCCAGTTGCAGGGGCCATATTGAAGCCTCCTACCCAAAACGGTAAGTGGAAGCCGCTAAATTTATCATGCCCTTCAGAAAGCATTCTTGTAATTACTTCAGTCTTCATACTGGAGGCTTCTCATATTGCATGAAATTTTTCATCAATTCAACCCTTTTCAAGGATGACTAAGAAGCTTCAGATGCTCATGTGATTTATGCCCATGAGGGGCTTCATCCGTGCAGTCAGGCTGCAGTGGTGAGCCCTGGCCCTCTCATGAACATCTCCATCAACAGAAAATGGCCTCCAATGTCCAGAGAGATGTATTCGCTCTTGTTAGCATCTTGTCATTCATTATGCGTCGGGCGGCAGATCTGGGAGACGGCGATGACGAGAGCGGAGGACTCTATTCACCTTCCATCCCAGAAGCCACGGACGCTGCGGAAGAGTCTGTTGACGAGATAGAATTCGAAGAACCGATTGACAACCGTGACGAAAACCTAAGCGTCATCAAACGCAACTTTTTAGATCGTCTTGCCGAGGTCTTGGCCAAGTTTAAGACGGCAAAGCGCGCTGCCAAATCAGCCAACCGAAATTGTGATGCAAAGCACGTTACCAGCTTGATGATGGTGGAAGACCCGAGTAAAAAGACCGCCAGGATCTTTTGTGCCAAGAACGAAGGTCTTGATGAAGACGATGATTATTTTTTACACAAATTGGAGCAACTCTACCAGAACATCGTCACAAATGGCAAGCCGACCTTGTCTTTTTCTGTCATCGAGCGTGGAATCTTTGCCATGACTTACCTCAGCTAACAACGAGAGACAGGGTTTGGGGAAAACGAGGCTGTTGAGAAGGCGTTTGAGTTGACATTTGCTCATCAAGCTCCCCGCGTACTGCATTACTCTACCCTAATCGCCAAGACCCTGAAAGATGCAAGTCTTGCCTCGCGGCCACCGACGATACTGACAAGTGACAATCTGCAACGAGGGCCTCGACAGCACGCCACTCGGAGCTGGACGGACGACAATGATCTTCAATTCGACATTCCAGTCGTCAGCAGAGGGGAAGAGTCGCTTTTCGAGAATGCAGTGGATTGCTTATCTAACCGCGACGACGAAAACCTTGTCCAGTCCGTCTTCCGTCGCATCCTGCGCCACTTTAGCGACGGTTGCTCCGCCGATCAGACTGAAATGAAGAGTCTCCTGGAAAGACTGTATAGAATCGTACGCCATCCTCGACGACGACCTGCGCTCAAGGGCCTCCTTAGACCCGTGCTTCATGATAAGAAACGCTTCAAAACCGCATGGTCCTCGCTGCTGTACCTGACGCGAATATTCTATGCTGCTGTCACCTTCGAGCAGTTTGCGTCCAAGTCCGGTTTTGTGTCCATAGCGTTCCAGAACATCCCGCCCCTCACTCCGCGCATGCCACAGCAGACAGTTGGCAAAACCCCGAAGCAAATTCTCGGACTGCTCGACGTTCAGTCTTTGCCGAACTGGGGCGATTTCTTTTCCCAGCCAGACAAGGCCAAAGACTTTATCAAGACGTCACGGATACGGAAACCAATACATGCCGAAGTTCAGCTCATCACACATTGTTCCCAGCAAACCCGGGTTGATGGGGGTTTAAGAGGCAAAGTATTCCCGTACATCGGCTGCTCCAGGAAATTGTGCTTCTTCTGTGCGGCATTCTGCAGGCTTGCAGAATTCAGCGACGAGCCTTTGCAATATCGGGGGTCCCATTTGGCCCTTTTTTCGCTATGGTCATTACCGGACTTCATCCCGGAGCCAGCAATGGAGTTAATTGATCGGTTTTCCAAGTTCCTCCTCGCTCTCCTGCAGAATCTTCTCTCTGAGGAAAACCCACCTTTTCAACTCGACCTTATACAGCAATCTTCAGCTGCATTATCCACGGCGGAGGTAGTGCAGAGAGAACAACCAGAATATAAAAACAGACCTCTAGTGTCAAGGTAAGGTCGAAATTCTTGCCATAACCATGACCACCATGCTGAGGGCCTCCCAGAAGACTGATGCTCGGTTTTGGTGGGGTTTTGGCGACGGACAAACAGGTGGAGTTTCTTCCCATACATGATGAACCCGGCTATGCCAGTGTGTTAGATGGCACGGGTCGATACAGCGCCAAAGCAATGATTCCCATCTACGAGGCAGAGGTTGCCAAGATCAACCACACCCGGAAACAAGACGGACTGGAGGAGATGCAGGAGATGCCTCTTGCCCGAGTCACGAGCCAGAGACTGTGTCGGCGCTGTCGCGGCCCTGCCGATTACAGATGCCGAACCTGCTGGTCGTTTTACTGTTCATCTGAGTGTAAGAAGCGCGACGCCGCCGCCCACGTCTTCACCTGCCGAATGCCCAACCGGCCCAACGATGTAGACTTCTTGCGACTAGTCATCCGGAAAGTTAGCAGGGAGGTGAAATCCGAAGATGAGGAGCGGATGCATAACGCGTTCACCTATCTGTTCTCCGACGACCATATCTGCCGCACTTTCGGCTTCAACAACTGCGCGGACAGACTTCAGGTGCTCAATCTCATCTGCCTGTACGGGACCCTCTTCGCCCGAGTCCGGCCCGCCGTGCGAGCGCTGCACGAGGAGCTGGAGGCTAGTACACTCGTCCAGTTCATGCTTACTTTTTGCAAGCTGGAGCGCGATATAGCGAGTCTCAGAAACACGAAGGAATGCAGCTGCGTCTCATGGTTCTTGGGATGGTCGCCGGATACTTTCCCAGTCCCGAACATGGACCAGGAGCAGTACGACATCTGGATCGCCGCTGCGAGCAGTGCCTTTGCGTCCCTCAATGTTGATCAACTTTTCAAGGCTGAATACCAGTTCAGCCGGTCACAGAGGGACGTTCTCGACCTGTACATCGCAATACAGCCCACTCTCTGGAGACTCCCTGACGCGACGACGTCGACCTGGATCAAGTTTGGGTTCTGCCACTGCAGGTCGTTCTCCCAGCGTGTACAACTTGCAAAGCACTACCTGTCACTTGCCACATCTGGTGCCACGTTTGATGACATTGTCGCCGCATATGAGGCGCTGAGAATACCCGAATTGATGCACGCCCGCGGCTTGGACATCTCAAAGCTGGAGAGCCAGGGCGTAGTCCCTCGTCGGCCAGGCCCCTGCGAGTACAGCGTCTTTCGACTTATGATAAGTGTCGAGCATGCGCTGTCCGGACGCTTCTGCGACTGTTTCCGGGTTCACGAGCAGCGCGAGTGCCACCGCCCCTTCGAGACGCACCTCGAGCGGGAGGGTGACTTGAATTTTGGATTTCACCTGACAAGTAGCTGGGAGAAGTGGCAGCTGCTCAACTTCTATAAGTACATCTTTCGGCAACGGAGCTTTGACGCTCGTCGCATGGCACGGGCTGTGGATGATGCCGACCGCGATAGTCTGGAGGCGTATCTGGAGTCGCTAGACCCTGGAATGAGGAAGAGACTGCACCTTGGTCATCGGGCTAATATCTTGTTTCCGAGGTTGAAGGACAGAGTGAAAATGAGGCGCCAGGACGGTTCACTTGTTCATAGCCATCTGCCGTGCGAGTGCAAGTTGCATGAAGTTTTTGGACCACATGGGACATCATTCTGGAGCGTCGAGGCCATTTTTGCCGCGCTGGGATCCGACAACAGAGAAAATAATGCATGCGATACTATGTGTCTTACGGCATTGGATCAAGGAGAGTTCCCAGCGCAGTCCAGGTAGAGTCGACAAAAAATTCATCCAGTTTCTCAGAGTACTCGTCTCTGTCCTGCAGCTTTTGCTGAACAACATCGCTACTGTCGGGACGCCATAGGCGCCCAAAACGCTTGTAATCTGCGTCGTTCAACTCTTCTGAGGGGAAAGAGTAAAACTTCGGCAAGATGTGGTCGTAGAACATACCAGTGAACCCGATGGGATCCGTGACTGCGAGTGTAACCCAGAAAGCCCCGCTTGTCCATGACCTTTCCATGATTGACGATAGCGGATAGCTTCCAAGTCCCTTCCGCTGCTTTCGAGTACCCTCCTCACGTTTTATATGCTCAACGAACACTTCATAATACGGTGCGTAGCTGACCGGGCTAATCTCGTCAGCCGCTGCGCCGCTGAGCCAGTAAGGCACAGTGATGAACTCGAGCGGCAAGGAACAGGCAAATTCGAGGTCGATAATGTGGGTGATGTGCCAGTTCTCGTCGACCAAGATGTTGCTTCGATGTAGGTCCGTCAGGGCAAACGCAAATGGCCCGTTATTCAGTTCTCTCTGGAACAACTGAGGGAATATCACCTTCGCGGCGAAAAGACTGGTCATTTGGCGCCAAGCATCTTCTGAGCTGGATATTGCATTTGGCTGATGGATAAGTCGGTTGTCGAAAGCTTCTAAATGATGGACAAGAAAGTCATCGACGCGAGAGAAAGTCCGATAAGTAGAATCACTGACAGGTATACCTTCATTTTCTTGCACTGTATCCTGAACGCTAAGTGGGCGATTGTCAAGTTTGAGATAGCCTCCAGCGTCGAGCCGGAATGTGCCGATGCGGGAAAGGGGAACGCTCGCAAGCGACAATGTCAATTTGGCGAGATCCTGCTGCAGATTGTCTAGAAGACGGCTATCTTTGCATTTTTCGTCCCAGGATTCTGACAGCATGGTGCCTGCCGTGATGGTTTCAATCAGCAGATAGCCTAGGTCTAGGTCCAGGCAATGAGCAGTTTGATGTGGTATGTATTGCGACGGATACCCGACCCCAAGTGCTGTCATAATATAGCGCTGAGCTCGTTGATACCAGCGGGACCACCAGGGAAGAAGATCAAGCCTCGTGAACTGTGAAAGCATGCCCTGTTAGGCGCTGAAGTACTGAAGAGGGGGAAGGAATGGGCGCCTACTCTCTGCTTGGTCGTCAGGCCGAAGCCGTAAAGCTGAGGAATAGGAACCTCGGGGCAATTCTCTCGAATCCACGCGTACGTCGCCGCTTCGCAGCTTATCTTCTCATCTGAATTACCAGGGAATGTGGCCTCCCCCACACGGTAGGGCAGGGGGAATCGGATCATGACAAACTGCGGGAGGGTTGGGTTGGTCGAGTTGTCGATCATAATCGGAATGCAAAGATTGAAAGAACCATGGCGCCAATAGTCCTCAGGCGATACGTTGATTTTCTCCGGTGTTGTGCCAAGATGGTGTGCGACGACGTCGGCAAGCATGCAGCCGTAACTATCGATGCGTTTGTAGAAGGCACGCTTTTGCGGCTCGTATAGGAGCTCGTGAAGAATGTTACGACTTTGACTTTTTGCTGCTGATAAAGTGATGGGCCCGCGCAAAAGGTTGCGGGTGGTCATGACTGCAAATCGAGCTGGGTTGCGAGCATGGAAGGAAGGAATGGGCGATGTGTTGGAAGAGGTGGAGGACGTAGAAAGGGGTGGCCGTGGCCTCGTTCAGTAACTACCATGAAGCTTAAGCAGCCCTGGTAGGCTGAATAAGCGACAATACTGTCGCAATATTGACCACTCAACAGGGCTGTAAATCCAGGGTGTGCAGGGTGAGGAATGAATATTCATAAATTTCACAATATCCGACTGTAGAAAGCGTGCTAGGTTGCTGCAAAATGCACAGGAAAGCCTGGCGCCAAGCGCGATTGTGCAAGGTGCGCCAAACAAACGGCGCCCAGCGATGTTGACAAGAACAGGTAGTGGCACCAAGGCCGCATGGACATTGCTTCTAAACGTTATTGTATTGTCTCTATATCTATATCGTCATGTACATGCATTCATACACACATCATTGGCCCTCGGCAGCCACCTCGTCCAGGGCCTTTGCCAGGCCCCCCACCGTGCCCGGCAGCGTCTGGACGTTGACCACCACGCGGAGGAAGCTTCCCCTGTCGCCCGGCGCGTAGTCGACCATGAAGCCGCGCTCGATCAGCGCGTGCACGATGCGCCGCGTCCGCTCCGTGTTGACCGCCTTGTCCGCCGCCAGCGCGCCCCCCGGCGCGTAGTAGAAGCACACCTGCAAGCACGGCGTCTCCCGGCCGGACAGCAGCGCGAAGTTGCCCGTCGCCTCCAGCCGCGCGTGCAGCAGCGACGCCATCGCGAACGCGTGGTCAATCTGCCGCTCGAAGCCGTCCGCGCCGTAGTACAGCCACGCGAGCGCCAGCTTGAGGCTGTCGCCGCGGCGGCCGCACTGCAGCGTCAGGTCCGCCAGGTCCCACGTCTCTCCGTCCTCGCCGCTGCCCTCGTGGAAGAGGTACCCGGCCTTGGTGCTGTTGGCGACTTTAAAGGTGCGCGTGTCGGGCACCAGCAGGTACGAGCAGGTGGTCGGCACGCTCATCATCTTGTGCGGGTTGATGGTGATGGAGTCGGCGAGGTGCGCGCCGGCGAGCTTGTGCCGGTGCGCGCGCGAGAAGACGACCGGCCCGCCCCAGCTGGCATCGATGTGCATCCACATGCCGTGCTCCTTGCAGACGGCAGAGATCTCGGCAAAGGACTCGTAGGAGCCGCGGACGGTGGTGCCGGCCGTGGCGTTGACGTACAGCGGCGTCTTGCCCTGCGTCTTGGCCTGCGCGACGAGCTCGCGCAGCGCGGCGACGCGCATGCGGCCCTCGTCGTCGACGGGCACGGCCCACACGCCGTCGGCGCCGAGTCCGCAGATCATGGCGCTCTTCTCGACCGAGTAGTGCCCGTGGGCGCTGGTGAAGACGACAAAGTCGCGCCCGGCGCCGGCGACGCCGCGTGACTTGGTCTCCGGGTATAGCGTGTTGCGCGCGACGACGAGCGAGGTCAGGTTGCTAGAGCTGCCGCCCTGGCAGGTGATGCCGCCGGCAAAGTCGCCCTCGAAGCCGAAGAGACGGGCGAGGGCGCGGCCGGTGGCCTTTTCAATGACGGTGAGGGCAGGCGAGACCTGGTAGACGTGGAGCTGGTGGTGCGGTCAGCGATGTTGATTGGTTGCATGTCGAGGGGTTGTATCGTACATTTGTGTTGAGGATGGAGAGGATGATGTCGGAGATGACGCCGACCTGGTACAGCTGTTAGTAAGTTTTCGCGCCTCGCAAGGAAAAATAGTCGCACCGGCGTGTTGCTGGCGTAGAGCTTGTCGAGGAAGCCCTGGTCCCAGGTGTTGACGCTATAGTCTAAGATGCGGCGGATCATAAGCAGCAGGCCGTCCGCGCCCTGGCCCTCGGCAGGCAAGACGAGGTCCAGCTTGGCGGCGAGCTCGGCCGGGGCGGTGGTCTGGACGAGGACGTTGGGACGGCCCTTGGGGATGGCACCGGTAGGCTTCTCCGCGGCGGCGTCGTCGGCGGCCCGTACAAAGGGTAGGATGAGCTGCTGGACGGCTTGAAGAAGCTAATGCCATGGCGACATGCTGTTAGCGGTGGTCAATAACAATGGAGTGAAGTGCATCCCGGCTTACATGCTCGAGTTCGCCGGCCCGGTTCAGCGGACTACTACCAGGGCCGGAGCCGGCACCGGGTTTGGTTGTGGCGGCGGTGGCCGGCGAAGAGTTGCCATTTTGGGCGTACGTTGTGGCGGCGGGTGGTGTCATGCCTTGTCGAGCCGAACGGGGGACCGAGATAAAAATATGAGGGTTTTTTTATTGGGCTCTCTCACTTGTCGAATCGATGTGACGGGATCGACAGGAACCAAGGTTGCAGTTGACGTGCGGGCTTGCAGATTTCTTTGTTGGGGGCGGTATGGGGGAGAGAAAAAAAAGATAGAGGGAAAAAAAAAATCTGTTAAATCCCGCGGCGAAGAGACAAAAACAAGGAAAGAAGCATCTTCTTCCAGCTCGGCAGAAAAACAACGACCTGCTATTGAGCGAGGTCCCGCCGCATAGCTGGCTGCGGACAGCTGTGGACAGCTGCGGACTGTCGGCCTGGATTTTCACACTGTGCGGTGAGCCTTGTACGCAGTCTTTTCCCTGATTTTTGAGCTGGTTACAGAAGCACGTCCGGATAGATTGGCATTTTCTCTAATTTGCGACACAATTGTTCACGGGCCTACTTGATTAGTGCTTGATGCCTCGATACATAAGGTGTATAAGTAGGTGGTACGGCACATAGGTAAGTTGGTAAGTTGGGTGGTTGAATCACGTCACCGCGGGGCTAGACAGTTGGTCTGGTGCGGGCAAATCGTAGGCACGCGAGCATGTCGAATTACAGCCAAGATATGGCGAAATGAATGCGCCTAGAAATAGACACGTAGTGAGTTGGTAGAAGTAGACGAATTTATTCATTGCCATAGCCAATGCCGCGCAGCCTAACGATAGCCTGCAGCATGCATTCATTCTTTGAATGGCGGCGCTAGTTGGTCGTCTAATGAACCCTTGTTGTAACAGATTGTATTTATTAAGCACCATCACAAAATTGCTTATGCCTTTTGCTCACTTGCGTTTGTCATAGTCGATCGCTATATATAGTCATAGATACCTACATTTTATAGCGCCGTCTACAGCGCCTTCTACAGCGCCCTGTACTCTCTCTACAGCGCCCTGTGCGCAATATGTAGCGCTGTGTTCGGCTCTATACTCAGATAGCGCTCTGTGCGGCTCGATATAGCTTCATATAGCGCCCCGTACGCTCTGTCCATAACACAGGTATGTATACCGCGCTCTCACAGTTACTCTGTATCTAAAGTCACAGCCACACTGTATTACTGTGACTTGGTCGCAATATCATTTTGTGCGAGGCTGCCTAAACAGGAAATGCCTCCTTGGCCACCCTTGACCCTTGGGGGCAAGTCTTGCCGCGCGGAATTGTCCCCGACAATATTCGGCGGATAATGCAGAAGCACAAAGAAAAAAGGGGAAAAGAAAAGGTCGAAGAAAGCAATCATAATAGAAAAGGACACTTTTCGAGGCAATTTTACTTTCACGGGCCAATGCACAAAAACTATGTCGCGGTTACGCATCACCGCCACAAGCCGCACCAACCACCATAGATGGCCAGGTACAGACGACCAAAGCCATAGGTAGCTTTGCTAATAATAATCACAGATATCAGCCCTCTTTCAACAGTAATCAGTAGTTCCGGGAGGAACCAGCCGATGTACGTTGTTCCCACGTACACGATTCCCTACCCGCCAACCCCAACGCCAGCTATTTCGTTTGTCGCGGAACCCTACAAACCAACACGCACGCCCAAGGCTTGCCGCCCTGTTTCAAAAGTATCCGCGCGCGCTGCTTCTTAAACCTCATTCATTCCATCACTGTAGCACCTCTCTCCTTCCCTCTGCCAGTCCAAACGAGTATTTAATACCGTCGTGAATCCGCATCTAAATAAAAATATCCCGTACATCACACTCCTCAGTCTCTTAACACTCACAAGCCAAAAACCTGCTCCCAATCTCACCACACCACCACCAACCAGCCATGTGCCAACCTACCTACGATTTCGACAGTCGTGGCAAACGCTATAGGGCGGGATGGACCTTCTGCACCCGCGCGCTGATTAAAGACGCCGTCACTGAGTTGACGGGCCGCGAGCTCCGCCGCCTCCGCCGCCTCTTCCTGGACGAAGAGGCCGACTACTACCGCCGCCGCCTGGAGCACGAGGCCGAATACTGCCGCCGATGCCTGGAAGACGAGGCCGACTACTGCCTCGAACCCCCCATCTCAGGGCCCTCATTTTCAAACTCCCGCTCTAGGGATTACTGCTACGGTTGCGGCGAACGTGAGCGTTCTTATTCTCATTATTCGTCTTCCCGCTTCGGCTCCTAAGGGGCGGCTCCCATCTTCAGAGCTCCACGACAAGCGGGACTTGTGTGGAACAAGGCCTCTTATCGACAACCTGTCTCTCCTCATATTGACAGTCAGTCTCTCCTCATATCGGCAGCGAGTTTCTCCTCATATCGACAATCAAACCCTCCTTATATCGACAACCAGTCTCCGTTTCACGATAGATAGAGCTTGAGAATCCAAAAAGAAAATAGACCCTTCATTCCTCCATCATCATTACTACTTTGCCTTCGTAGTCAAGAAAAATACAACGCAACGTGCCCGTGAAATCCAAGAATCACCCAAACGCAAGTCCTCCACAATGCTTTTGTTCCTCCGAAGCGCCATAATATCATAGGCTTGGTATCTCTGCAAGCAAAAACCACCCAAAATGCAAAAAAAAAAAAGAAAAGAAGTCCAGGGTTCAAAAATAAAGTACAGTGAAATGAAACGAACAGGCACGGCCGTCTTGTAGTGCCGCACAAGCAAAACAAAAAAGAACGCCAATGTGATAAAAACAACCGAAGCATACAGCAGCACAGCAAAAAGTCAACAAGAACCAGCCTCGTTTTTGTTGCGTTTCCCGCCTCCGCTACCAGCAGCGCAGCCTCTTCCAGAACCCGCCCTTGCCACGCCCGAAGCGCTCCCCCGTGACCCGCGGCCCCCCCATGCCGCCGGCGCGGTGCTTCTCCGCGCCGCCGCCGCCGCCGCCGCCGCCCAACGTGCCGGCGCTGTCGTCCTGCGGCAGCGGCGTCAGCGGCTTGGTCCTG